TGACTTACATGTAACTGAAATAGCATATTAGATCAACCCCATTCAGTGCTTTTAATAAACATCCTGTTCATTTCATTTTTAAATAAATCCATGCCTCACCTGACATATTTATCACTTACCATCTATACTAGAAACCTAAAGCTCAGTCTTTTCACTGTTGACTGATTTTTCAGTTAAGTACCCTGTTCATGTATTTAAACAGCTCACTAATGCAAAAGAAGAAAAATGATTTCATCGAGGCTCAAGGACAAAATACTTTACATCCAGTGATAGAACATACGAAATTTGACATCAAGTTACTGCAAATTAGCACATTTTAGCACATTCGTACACACACCTATTCGCAATATCTGTTTATCTTTTTTTCCATACAAACATTTGTAGTTTCAGGCGAATTTATGAGATTAGACTTGTATAAATCATGTTAAAAATCGTCCCAGGAAACCCATTCATTTCCTAGTTTTACTTCTTTGATGAATGCGGTTCATGAATGAAAGTATGGAAATCGAAAGCTGTTTATGCTTCAGTGTATCCAAATTTTAATAAGCTGTGCTAATATTCCAAGTTATTACACTGGTTTTCTTTGTTGATTAATGCATGTTGGTGTGTCAAGACATGGTGTATTTAGTCAGAAAACATGTAAAATATTTCATTTTATTTCTTTTTGTCTTCATTTATTATGCAATTTAACAAAACTTAGTTAAATAGACCAAACATTATGACTACCCATGGATTGCGGGGAGGGGAGGGGCTAAAAGAGTCCTGTGGCGAAAGAAGTCTTACTTTGCCAATGAGTGGTACAGCTTTATGCAAGTTGATCCAAAACATATACATATGTGTGTGATTCTTTCCCATTTAATAACTGAGAATTATGGCACAAAAACAATTCAACCAACAAATTTTTGCAATTTGTTTGCAAAAATTTTGAACATAATTTTTGAGGTAAAGGCAATATTTGAACGTATTTAATAAAATGAAATGAGGTCTAACTTCCTACTGTTCTGCTCCTGACTGGGCTAATGAAGACGGGCATATGCCATACAGTGTGCTATGAAGGAAATTTTGCCTGGGCAGCGGCACCATGGCCTACTCTTATATCAAATTCCATCTGCAAAGGGATCTTTTATGTGAACCTGGGTTTTTCATACCATCCAAACGACTAGACAGCAGTCTTAGTCAGGCCCTCGGTCCTGCAGCACTGACAAGTTGAAACGTCAGAAAATCCTGATAAACTTTCTCGGCCAATGCCGGGATCAAACACGTGACCTCCAAGCTAGCCAGCCAGTGACTTACCCACTTAACCACCGTGGCTCCTACGTATTAAATAGGGCACATCTTATAATCCTTTATGATGTAATAATATAACTTTGCAAGTTAATTATAGTTCATATCCGTCCTTAATTTTATGTAGTTTGCTTGTCTTAAAATATCCATATCCTATTCATATTGAGAATCCAAATATATTATAGGATTTATATAAGTTCATGCAAGTATCTGTATTCAGGTCCCAGCCTAGGGACATGAATATTATTTATCAGTATATCACATTATAAATTTCTCAACACAAAGATGAAAGGTTTTTTTATTGTCTGTTATTAGTTATATCAAGGGCGCCATCCAACACTTTAGATTGATACAAGTGGGATTAAGTATGCAAATCTAACACCAAAATATAAAGAAATAACCTATTTCCATGTCTGAGAGCTTTATCTGAATTTATTGATCCATTCAGAAATCATATAGCAATAATCAAATTTCCAATATTTTTTTATATGCTGGCAACATATTCTGACAGAAGATTTCTAATTCGCAGGTTTGAATAATATAAATAAAGATTTTAGGAATTCTCCAGCAGGGACCCCTATACCAGACAAATTATTAGCAATTTACAGTGTCTTTTAGTACAATTAATGATTTCACCAGTATATTATATAGTTTCAAAACAATGAATCTTGTTGATGGGAATCGAGAATCCTTCAGAAAATATTGAATTTGAGCTTCAGTCTATGAAAATATTTGATTCTTCAAGACGATCCCTGACTTAGGCCATGACTGGTTCTCATGGCGAAGTGGGGGGTTGGATGGCGGAATGGTTAGCACGTGCATGCTGTATCATAAGGCCTGTTATTGAGTCAACTGGCGTGGTTTCGAACACCCGGTTGTACGTAAAAGTCCCGAAATGACCTAGTTTGTGTCGAGTGGACGTTAAACCCCATTTCTCGCTCTCTCAATGAGAACCTACATGACAAAAAAAAAACATGCTTGCAGGATAGGACACATTTGACTGGTGAAAATCAAGTGTGATTAGTAGTGTAGGTTGTTGAACAGTTAAATTCTATTTTACCAGGCACACACAATTTTCATGACGCTTCCTTTTGGAAATTCTTAGTGACTAATATAATGCACATATCTTTGTCATCTGATGTCAACTTACTGGATAATCATGAGTAATCTGTATAATTATTTATATTAGATGAGTTGCCTTGGGAAATATGGATGAGGAGTATAAGTTAGTTAAAGCATTCACAATAAGAATTTGAAATAATGTGTATTATACACAGTGTAATTTATATGCGTATTACTATTAACCTTTCATTATTACAGTCATGATAAATTATCAACAATAGGTCTGAATTGTAGGCTACAGCAGACTATATTGGTGTGGGACCATACAAATAGATACCTTAGTGGTATGAACGTTTTACCAATGTATCTTCTCTACATGCTTTAGGGAATACACTTATATTCCACAGGAGACAAATCAGAAATATGATTTATATAAATTAATTTTCATTAATAGACATGAAAAGGCATTACTGTGATATTTGAGACATAATGCACGAACGTTTGTGATGCAAGAAATTCTGCAATAACCCCTGGCCATGGATGCCATAATAATTTTACTTTACAGTGAAACAAAGTCACAAAGAGTCAGAATTGGTTCAACATTTGGAACCAGCATTTCAGCCTACTATTCATCAAATTCAAAAATGCTAATGGGATCTTTTACGTGCATACCAAGCGTTGGCTTTTATTGACTATAATATATCATCTGCAAATAATGCCTATGACAAATTTTCGATCAAATATTTGAGAACAGAACCATTTTTGGAGATTATGGGAGATTCGATAACGAGTTGGCAGTTCTCACTATAATAGTTAAAAACTAGATAACGTAAAGGCAATTTGCTGAAAATTTTATTCAAATTGATCAATTGTGAACCGAAAACTAAGCGAATGAAATTTCTGCCTAGCCTCTTTCATCATTACTAAAGTCAGTACGATAAACAGCATAGTCTCGATTATCCATTTAATCGTTTAATCGAGAAGGAAAGTTATGCAGTAAATCGGCTCACAATCCACTTAAGATCACAGGCTAGCGATGCCATCTAGAGTTGATTATGGTCTGGATAAGTTAATTAATGTCTAATTAATAATTTAGATAACATTTCAGGCCTAAAGAAAGACCTGCAATACACAGATTTAGCTCTTGCATAATGTATGTTTAAATAACATTCAGAGAGTTTAACTCAAAAACATAAATATGGTTTCACTCTACATTAATGATTTTTTTCATAACCATTTCAAACTTTTCTCATTCATGTTGATACACAAGCCTTATGGTTTTTTTCTAAGATATTTTTTTTAACAGCTGGGTGTACATACATTATTAGTTTATGCACTTATGCTCCAGTTGATATTGAAATTTAAACCAATGCTGCATTGTTTGAATAATAGTAATCGTGAGTTGTTTTTTGTCAGTGGTCCGATATATAAAATTACCCCATTTTTGTGTGCATATTATATATAATTATTATCATATGTATAGTAATTCAATATATAACCATAGAATTAATGTAATTTTAAACTTTTATTGCTAAAGATTAAATCTAGATAAGAAACATATGAATTTTACTAAAAGATCAATATACATGTACATACAGGCACAAGTTATAATTAGATGGTACAAGTTTAATGGTAATGACTAATGGTTTTCCACAAGCTAATAAATATGAAGGAACCGGTTTGAGGTTTTCGCTCTCTTTAAAACCTGTAATCCATGACAGTATTTGAAATCATGCAGTGCACCCCTACAGATTATAATTAACATGTAATATCTAACATATCACAGTTTATGGGTACATAAAATATTGCAATATAAAGCAATTCTCTTATTCCCAAGTTCTTATACAATACACTGTATGTCTCGGCTTAAACAGGTACATGTAGCTACAGGGGTGTATACATACTGTGTTTGTTGAAATAAAAGCAGAAATAATTAATAAATTGTTTAAACTAAATACCCTGGACATCTCCCCACCAGTATACAAATAGAAAATTACAATCTAGGAATTACTTTAATTAAGTCATTATCACTCTCAATAAGAATGTAAATGTAATTTTTTAAATATGATAAAATATGATATCTATATAAAAAAAATCAAGGCTGTTGGTTGATCTGACTACTTTTTTCATTCATCTTTTCATTTGTTTTTCTTCTTTTATCCTAGTTAGGGATATGGTTTCTGGAGGTTCGTGGCTAGGGTTAGCTACATGTATGAGCGGGAGGGGGCCGCAGGGTTAGGGTTAGAGCCGCCTAAAAAAGTAGTCAGATCAGACAACAATGCCAAAAAATCCAAGCACAGACATACTTGGAATATGATCAATAAACTAATTGAAAAACACTAAACATGTATAATACACCAATGATTTGGTAGATTTGACATTCTTGAAGCTATAATTATACCTGGCCTACTGTACCACAGCCCTATCTTCTTACAATATCAATAAGTATAAGTCACTAATTGGAAGATTTAAAATTCATTTAATAAACTCTGATATGTGTCTGTTTATTTAATCTAGCTAGGTAATTATATTCATGAACTATATATGAGGTAAATAGCCAGTGTTTGAAGTTATTGAAGTTATAACACTTTATACATGTGATGTACATGGGCTAACGTTTTTCAGATATTAAAAATGAATATCATTCAACTCACCAAAATATACAGGTTTCCCGCATTTAGCACAGTTATTGATGTTCATCGTGTTCACTTGGTGAGAAAATATTTTAAGGGTGAAATGATTGCTATATCGTGTATCCTGTTATTTAACCATATTTCATCAGGTCCTCTTTCACTGTATAATGCATTCCACAGCACATCACTTCAGACGACCTGTCCATCCCTTATAGTTACTTATATTCCGTATTATAAAAGTGTAATCGTTGGCCTACCCATGTATAGTTTATGGTATTGTGTCCAATAATCGAACGAATAGCCGATTTATAACATTTAAAACAAAACACGCCGATATTACATGACATTTGTGAGACTCCTTACCCCTCACAACCACGATCAAGAGCGATTCGGTTGACTCGCGTCAACATCAATACAGCGACGGCACATTCCATTCGATAAAGACAATTGGTACTGAGTCCCATTTGGGCGAAACCATTATTATGTCAAAACGCAATTGTCATTTGCTACTGAAAGTTACCGTTGAGATGTTGTTCAAAACAGGCACACAAAATCAGAAGTCCGTGAAATAAAATGCACTCACAACGGCAAATAGAGTTCACACATGGTTTACATTACCTAGTTCACTGTGAATAGAGCTATGCGGTTAAAATATCGATAAAATTGAGCCCATACATAGAGGACATATTAAATAACTTATCTTGTAAAAAAAAAGATACCGATAAAAGAATATACTAACATTTAAAAATAGTATCCTTTCATGGTGGGTTAAAATGTGTTGAATCCACTTGACTAACATTATTACTGAATTGATAAAAATAAAATGACCTAAATTATTTATGCAAACATCTGTCAGATCAGGTCTTGGTTGATGCTTTTCGTAATAAAAATCATTATAATTTAAAGAAACAATAATAATGAATTCGTTTTAACAAAAAATTAAAATTATTCTCTTTAGGAAATTTTATTTTATTCAACTGACTTAAGCCAGCAAATTATATAAGACTGTGTGTCTTGTTTATTGAAGAATAGGAAATAAATGTCTTATAATATTCATAACTATAGCAGGATATCCAGCTTCAACTGAGGCCCAATTTGAACCGAATTATGGTCTAAAACATTCACAGTTAATTTGATACCACATATGGGAGGTGGGGGGGGGCAGAATCGCAACAAAGTGTGATGGGCAAACATACATACATACACACAGACATCGTTAAGACATAGATTTATTTCATTACCAGGCTTCATCACCTAGTTAACATAAAAGGAGGGGCAACAGAAAACTCAGAGAAATCCTTAGAAAGTAGTTGATTATCAAGACATTGACCGTCAAGATCAAAGGTATTTATTGTTATGCTGTTGTCACAGACCAGAACTCACTTTGCCTTTAGATGTTAATGGAGTGACTTCACAATACACGCATATGTCCTTGTCATTACAAATTTAATTTCAAATAAAAATAATTGACGAAAAACACATGTTTAACTATGTGAAATTCCCAAATAAATAAGAGAGAGAGTGAGAGAGAGAGAAATGGGGTTTAATGTCCTCTCGACACAAACTAGGTCATTTCGGGACTAACACATGGTTTAATTTTATTTCAATAATTTGCTTGCGCGTAGGGGTCTTTATCAGTGGGAGGAAACTGGAGGACCCGGAGAAAACCCACGAGGTTGGACAGGCGACTCTACTCCTTGCCACGTACAACCGGGGATTCGAAACCACGCCAGTTGACTCAATGACAGACTTTATGGTACAGCGCGCACATGCTAACCATTCAGCCACCCAGTAAAATTTGATTGATTTGTATGCGAGTCAGTCTTATGTGCAGTTTGTACAAGGAGGTCTAATATGCACTATAGATCCACAAGGGCTGTTATCTATGCAAGTCATGGATTCAATCCAAGATTTGTTCGTTACAGGAAGTAAGGATGCCTGCCTCACTGTGTGGCTTTTCTCCAGTTTCTTCCAATTCCTAACGACTGCTGCCAGCATTCAAATTATTTAACAAAAATAACCTAGTTTGTGTCAAGTAGATGTTAAATGTTTATTACGTCTTTCTCTAGGATCTCCCACTCTGTGCAATGGCTCAGGTTGCTTTCAAACATTTTGATTCTATTTTGTGCTACATATGTTGCAATATTTTCAAATATCTTGTCTGTATTCTCTGAAGTAATAATCTACCGATAGATGTGTATCAAGTATGTTGAACTACTAAATGAGAATATCTCAAATTCTTTGCATAATGAACTCTGTGCATTAAAGGGAGGTAACTTCCTTACCTTGATATTTTACCAAACAAAGTAATTGTTTTAAAAAGGAAATAACATATTTCTAATAGTAACATCTTTATTAAAATCAGCTAAATTAAACAACCACAGATAAAGTCAACAATACAACAAAAATGATTAAGATCAGAATTAAAATGAGATAATTATATTGTTCCTTTATGTAATTCGTTTGTTTTGACTATATAAGATTGAAATTTAAATATAACATTCAATTATTCCAAGCCTAATAACAATAGTAGATTGTGATTATAACACAGTTTGATTAACTCAAGTCACATACTTTGTTACTATGATTTTATTCTTTGTGTAAATGGAGTTGCTGAGTTGGTACAGTACATCAAAAAGAATACTATTATGTTAGATTAATTGGTGAAAGTATACTTAAAAATATTCATTAATAAAGACAAAATGTATAAATTACGGTATAAGAGTAAACTTTTAACCCATCTAAAAATAGATTCATAAATTCAACAATTGCATAGATTCTAGAGATTTATAATAATAGAAAATTCATAATAGTTTGACATGATTATGACAAAATATGTGAAAATTTATATGAATACACTGTATATAAGCCTGGACAACTAATGTTGGCAGGATCTCTATAAAGAGGCTTATATTTTTATTAAACAGGCATTAGCACTTTTGAAGTCTTTTATATAGACATAAATGTTAACTGTCAATTTATGAGTCAAATCCATTTTTTTCTGGTACTTTGAGTAGCTAAATGAAAGCATAATATACCTTGGTGAGAGTGATCATGTCTCTTTAAGGGCAGGAATGAAAATAAAATTGTGTAGTATCACCACATGAAAACATTGATTTAAAATGAGCAGGTGTTAATAATAATAATACTAACAAAAAACAATAATGAATAAAAAAACACAAACCGATTGTTACAACTCTATGTGATATAAATGTATAACATAAACAAATTTTTACTAATATGTAATACTATATATATAATACTAATACATAAAATAAACAGTAAAAGGGGAGACATCAACTAATAAAATCTCCAATGTTAAATATGTTTGCATATGTAAATATAAATACATAAGCCTATGGCATTGTATAGTAAATCAAAGTTTAAAACCAAAAGAAACGCACCAAATCATTACTGATAAAATAAAACAACAGTAAAGTATATAAATGAAGAATTATTGATAACAAACAGATTAAAATCACAATGGCACGATAAAAAATTAAAAATATGACACTTGGAATCATTTCTTGTATGTTTTAAAAATTACATTTCTCTGTCACTAAAATACTTATGAACATTAAATTTCTCAACATTTTAATGAAAATTGCTTACTATAAGTGAATGAAACCATTTTATATACTTGCTTGTAGTTTAAAAGACCATTGCTTATGAACATTAAATATCTCAACATTTTAATGACAATTGCTTACTATAAGTGAATGAAACCATTTTATAAGATAGAAATGAAGATTTAGTTCATACTTGCTGCCAAATACATAGAAAAATAATTCTTGACAATACCATATTCCACATAATAACTACTTTAATGCTTTGAAACTTTATTCCAAAGCCTTGCTGGTTTACTTTTATAATGTCCCACCTTGTTTACGTTTATCATAAAGGCAAATTAGGTAGCTTTTCTATCAGACATTTTACAAATTGTCCTAATTTCTGGAATTTTTTCTCATTTGAGAAAAGAAACATTAAATAGCATTATTAATCTCAGAAAATTTTATGATGGCAAGTAAGGAAGACAGAAATTATTTCATGTTTATGAATGGAAAAAATTGTATTTCATGTAGAAACCATTCCATCTTATGCCAAGTGAATATCTTTAACAAGCATAGAGTATATGCATGGTGTTTGTTTCTTTTTATCAAATGTAGGATTTGCTGCAGATGATTCAAATTGATGTCCCACGGCTTTTGTTACCCAGCGTAGAAGTTTACACAAGTTTGACATTTCACTGCTTGCTTGACTCAAGATGCGACAAAGATGTATCACAAACCATGAACCCTGTTGTGGTCGTCTAAATGCAAAAAAACCTGAAGAAAAGAAAAAAATACTGAAATTATATTTTATAAAGTTACTATTATCTGAACTTGCATGTAGGGACTGTAGCATACTACCATAGCCAACAATGATTAAGACGACACTAGTTTTATTTAGAAACTTATATCAGTTCAACCATAGCAGAAAAAATGACAAGAAGTGCAAAAAAAGGACCTTATATCAAAAATTTGTTATTATTTAAAGACAGCCATTCAAAGTATGAAAAAATGCCCACACAGCAGCTATGTCATAAGAGCAACTTGTCAGAAAGGGAAACTGAAATGAAATGAAATGAAATGGGGTTTAACGTCCTACTGTTCTGCTCCTATACTGGGCTAATGAAGACGGGCATACGCCATACAGTGTGCTATGAGGGAAATTTTGCCCGGGCAGTGACACCATCGCCTACTCTTATATTGAATTCCAACTGCCAAGGGATCTTTTACGTGCATTCCAATTTATACACGGGACCTCGGTTTTTCGTCTCATCTGAAGGACTAGACAGCTGTCCTTGTCAGGCCCTCCGTCCTGCATCACTGACAAGGGGGAACCACGCAAGAAAATTTGGATGAACTTTCTCGGCCAATGCAGGGATCGAACACCCGACCTCCAGGCTAGCGAGCCAGCGTCTTGCCCACTTAGCCACCTGATCCCCGAAAGGGAAACTGATATGTTGACCAGATTTGGTAAGGATCAAATATCGAAAAGAAGATCTGATCTCTATCGTACTCACAAGCTTGTTTAAATCTGTTAAAAACAGCAGATTGAATTCTATTGCATTGAAAGATCGTAGAACGTTAAATATCAATAGGATTCATCCTCTCACAACTCCTATGCTGCACACCAAATTTGAAAAAGATCTGTTAAAAACTAAAGCCTCCATCATGTTCACAAGGTTTTTCGAAAATGGGGCATAACTCAAAAACGGAAAGTTGTGGAATGCAGAATACAGAGAGGATTCAGCCTCTCATGACCCCAATAATTCATACTAAATTTGAAACAAATCCACTGAAAACTGTAGCCTCTATTATAGTTTCCAGAACAGAAGGTTGCAGAATGCTGATCATTGATATGGTTTGTTCTCTCATACAGCATCAAGCATTAGAAATTATTTGTCACTCTGCTTAACCTGAGCACAAAATGCTCAATAAGGAACTTAGTCAAGGTATTGATGTAATGAAACTATACAGACAGACAGACAGATGAACACATTTTAATAGTTTATATATATTTAGTTTTGATCAAACTTCAATTAAACATGCATTATGCAAGAGCTAAATCTGATTATTGCAAGTCTTAATTTAGGCTTCAGATGTTATAGAAATTAAAAAATTAGATCTTTATTTAAACAACAAGACCAAAATCAACTCTGTAGACCCACGGATGGCTCGGCTACAGCTCAGATTTAAATAGGATTTCACTAATTGATTAAATCAAATAAGGGGTAACCTGATGAAAATACGTCAGTTAGATCGAGGCTAAATGATAGAGTGTACTTAGCGAGGCCGCTGTAAAGCGTTTCCGTATGCCATTGAAAACTTTACTTGATAATCGAGATATGTAGGTGGAGCTAACGCCTGTCAATCAAACGATCGGCGAAGGTGAAGACGCATTTCGCTACCATTTTTAGTCAAATATTACAATGATGATAACTATGTTCAGAATAAAGTAATTTGACTACTTTTGAACTGTTATAGCAAGAATGACTAACTCTCTATAAAAATCTCCCATAATGTATCTTTATTGAAACACTGACCTGGTGGTGTGGCATACATTACTAAGAAATCTTTTCTACATGGAAGCCTTGTGATGATTTCTTTATTATAATAACCATCAATCTCATCATAATTTTCTTTAACCACAGACGATTCTGTTCCTGGATCTAACTTATCTCCACGACAAGCCTTTAAATGGCAATATAAAAATAGGGGAAAATTAGCTACAAATAGTATAAAACAATGCCAGGGAAGTCATTAGAAATTTTGAGAATGTACTCAAAATTTTTCTGACCACTATCTAAAATCAGTGCACTGTGTATAAATTTAAGGTCAATCGGATATTAACTTTAGCCTCTATCACAGCCACAAGAAATTTCAATGTGGCCAAGGGCCATAACTCTGGCAGTAATTATCCAAAATCGTTGAAAATCAATAGCCTTCTTTGTCTCATGACCTTAAACACTATGTATAAAGCAATTGAGGACGCCGGGCCGCATAAGCCATAAACTATTAAGTTACAGGCAAAACTATAACTGTGCCTCTGCCCTCTGGTATGATTTAAATAAATAACAAAATCCTAATTTGAACAATAACACAAGAAGAGATGGGTAAAGGAAATGTGGACAAGATGGTTCTTTGATATTATCATACATGGATTCAAATCCATCTTGACATAAACTTAACACAAACTTATTGACTATAATTAAAATGAGATAAAACTGTTTCGGGCAGAATTAGTGTTTGACAAAAACCAAATAAATAGAAAGAACCAATAATTTTATCGTATCAAAGACTTAGACAATTACAAAAGAAAAGTTTATTGTCACTTTTCGATACTAATATTACCTTCTAGTTCTAAATTTAAGTTAATCATGTTCAATAATACAACACAAAACATTTCTTGGGTAAATTTGTGACTAGAAATGAAGACCCCTCAAAGTTGATCACTACTGTCTGTAACAGGCACTAACAAAAACTTCCAATTGAACTTACCTGCAGAAAAAATAACCTTGGTTTTCCCTCTAATCCGTTGCAATTTTCATCGGAAAAAACATCAAGTATATCGGCTGTACGAATATAACCATCTGTAGCATGTACTATATCTTCCTCTATTGCTTTATTCTCATGAGTATCATAATAACTTATTTTATCACCATGGGTACTCATAGCAAAGGCAAAACAATCGAAGTCTCTGTCGTGACACATTTCTCTGCTGACTGTAATTAAAACAGATTACATATCATTTCTCTATAAAAATAATTAAGATGCATTATGTAAGACCTAAATCTGCCCATTGCAGGTTTTTTTCTGGCTTCAAATGTTATATAAATTATAATTTAAACATTTATGAACATGAAAAGCCCATAATCAACTCTCTAGACCATCAGATAGTCTCAATTTTAAGTAGATTAGAACACTGTGGCCATTTAAGTGTTTAATGATAAAATAGATAATCGACACATATCCAATAAACTTAAATTCATTATCTATTTTTGAACTATTATCTTACATAATCCATCTTCAATTGTATAGAGTTAATAACAGTTTAATGTAGTTTAAAAGAATATGATCTCACAATGAAGGTTCCCTATATCAGATCATTTTATACAGTAAGGACAGTATTCGACATCTGGAAATTCAATGACCAACCTTTATCAAGATTTTCCTGATTACATTGACCAAACTAATATGAAAGTAAGGGCGGATCCAAAGATTGTGGACCGCAACTCCCCTAAAACAGTTCAAGTGTCCTTTTTTATCCATTTATCCATGTGGTTTAAAAATATCTATACCCAAACATAAATATTCACTTAAAATCATTCAATAACTAGGGCAACTGATTCTTTTCCAGTGGGTTTTTAATGGTCTAAGGGATCCTTTCTGATTTGGCCCCCACTCCTTCCCCTACACAAAAGCTCCTAGAGATTGATCTGTGTTATGCTCATGCAAATTACATCTGGCTATTAGTATTAAAGAATTAAGGTATGGTAAACTGGTCAGTTTAATTTATTTTGTTTCTTCATGGGTTAAAGAGGCATTAGAGTTCTAGAGATCTTGGTTGGATGGTAACAGAATTATTTTCCATTTGCTGTGATTGGACTAGACTGTTACATTGTGCATGTTCAAATTAGATTTAAGTTAAAATGAGATATACCAATAGAAATTAGGACTGTCAGTTTAGTTTACAAGTGATAATAATTTTTAGAGGTACTCAAGATGTTAATGCTTGGATTTTCTCTAACTAGCCGTTCTAAGATTATTCTAAATATGATATTATGCAAAATTAGTCACATTTATTTCTCGGTAATGTCTTTTTAAAGATGGGTATAAAAGCTGTAACTTTAAGTCACCGTCATACTTCACTTCTTTGTATCTGTACCAATCTGGAGGCTTGGTTGGCCAAATGGTTAATATGTGCAGGTTGGATCAGAAGGTCTATGATTGAATCAAGTGGTGTGATTTCGATTCTCCGCTTGTACGTGCCAAGGAGTTTCATTGCCTGTCCAATCCTGCGGGTTTTCTCCTGGTCCTGTGTTTCCTCCCACTGCTTAAGACCTCTACGTGCAAGAGAATTATTGAAATAAAATTGAACCATATTTTAGTCTTGAAATGACCTAGTTTGTGTCTAGTGGACGATAAACCCCATTGCTCTCTTTCTCTCTGTACTAACCTCCTTGAAGCACTTTCATTGTATCAGATCCACTTAAGTTAGTGAAGACTCTAACATCAAACTTAAGTGACTTGAAGCATTCCACCAACATGTCTCTGTCTAGTCCAGCTCCAGAGCGGTTACTGTGACCATGGAAATATTCATTAACAATGACAACAGCTATACCCCTTCTGCTGTGTCTAAAATCATATTCTGTTGAATCATCTTCTGCTTGATCAATTTCCATATTTGATGCTTCATCTTCTTCAGTTCTATAAAAAAAAAAAAACAGTAAAAATATCATTGCCAGACATCCAAAAATATTCTCACCACCAGCTTTGTTTACTAAGGGAGGAAACTGAGACTTATCATTACAGTATTGTGGTGCTTATCACAATAATTAATTACATTTCAAAAGCCCTGGTATTTAAAGTGTTTACAAGGAAGGGTTTGATCAGTGACAGAGACATTCACTGTGTGGAAAACACACGCATTAGTCCAAATTTTAATATAATTTCTCATGACTAGCCAAACAAGTTTTAAAAATGGGCAAAAAAATGAATTGTACAAAATAGACTGAAGTGTGTCACCTTGCATCAATATTCCTACATCTCTTAGATGAAACCCTGTCAACGAATAATAGCACTAGCGAGATCAATGCTTTATGATAAATATAATTTGAAATGTCTTACCCTACGACAAATTCTTTCACTTGCTTAAAGCAACTTTTAAATATAGAAACATCTGTGTCTATATAAAGTAAAAGAACAAGCAATCATTAAATGGGAGATTTTATTGTGATGTAAGGATATTCTAAAAATTAATATGCTGCCAGGCAACAAAGATAGGTTGCCAGGCAATACAACATATACGCCTACAGCAGCTAAATCGCTTGGCAGTCAAGAAGAGTTGTCGCATATTTTTACTTTTTTTCAGTAATGAAACATTTATAATACACTAAAATCTGATTAAGAGTAACAACTCATTCAGTAATTATCAGAAAATCATTAGAATTTGTTTGGTTTTTATAAAGTTCTGCCTGCACCATGCTAACGTTTAGCATACAAAACATTTAATCATGAATTTAGCTGTTCATGTTATTGAAATTTATTGAAAATCAATATACTTGTTCGTCTCAAGAAATTAAACTCTGTGTATCAATCTGAAGTCAATCGGATGATAACATAAGCCTCTAGAGCGTCACAAGATATTTCAAAGTGATCAAGGGCCAGAATTCTGGCAATAATTATCAGATATCGTTGAATATCAATAGGATTTTTCCTCTCATGACCTTAAACACTGTGTATAAATTTAAAGTCAATCAGATATTAACTTTAGCCTCTAGAGCGTCTACAAGATTTTTCAAAGGGACCAAGGGCCATAACTCTGGAAGTAATTATTGGAATGTGGGCGTATAAAAATACACCTGCCAACCAGTAGCTTTATTTATGCAGTGCAAAAGTCACAGTGGTGTGTGTTGTACATCAAAGGAGCAGTAATCCCATCCAAAAACATAGCTTGCCAGGTAAAGTACATGTAAGACATGAACACTACAGCTTTGTTGTCCAAACAGTAATAAAATCCCCTTAATATTTTTTAACACACACGGTTTTGAAATTAGGGGCCTTATGATGTACAGTAACTTATGATCACAATTAAAGTTAGTCATTGACAAATGGTTAAATTAAGTCACTATGTGAAGTGAAATGAAATGAAATGGGTTTTAACTTTCTATTGTCCTAACGTCCTACTGTTCTATGCTGACTGGGATAATGAAGACGGACATAAATGTGTGTTCTATGACGGAAAGTTTGCCTGGACAGCTAGCGTCACTACAGCCTAGTCCTGTATCAAATCCAAGTGTCAAGGGTTCTTTTATGTGCATGTCAATGTGTACATGTACACAGGACCTCAGGTGTTTTTGTCCCATCTGAAAGACTATACAATGTCCTTTGCCAGGCCCTCAATCTTGCACCACTGGGGCGAACGACACTGAAAAATCCTGATATAGGGCAAAAGAATCGAACACATATTTCTTTAAGTGACTATATATAGACCTCTTTAATTTGAATCAAAATTAAAATTGTCCATTTCACTAGACTTTTGATTTGTTGATTTGTTGATTTGTTTTAGAACCTATATTTTGTGTTCAATTGTCAAAACAGAACATTAAAATTAGGAAATGCAAATTCCTGATCTTTCGATTAATCTTTCAATCAAAACAAAAATTTTATTGAATAAGCTTGTCCACCACTAAGTAAAAACAGGACATCATGATCAACCTGATTCAATACTTTATTTTTGCCTAAATTAAAGGGGCTTGGTAACTTTATAGTTTTAGCTCAAATTTAATTATTTCCTCATTGAATCATTCAATCATTCATTACATAATGGTCTCTTCTTTATTTATTTAAGTTTGTCCTTGAATTAATTAATGAACTCCCAAATAATATGCTAACGGTACTTACCATCTGAAGTAGCCATGCTTCAAACTTCATCTAAAATTTGTATTATTAATATGTTACTATTTTAATGTATACTTGCTGAGATCATCTTTGTCTTGGATTTATTTCGGCTTTGTGACCTAGTATCTATTTTTAGACATACTGTAGCTGCAGTTATCCAGTCAGGCGATGTTATAAACCTAATTCGATATGCCTAATTCTCCCCTGACTACATTTCAGCCTGGTGATGTCTTCTTGTATCATTGCAGGTGTTATTAATTTTTCAAATTAAATATTTAAACACTAATATACAGAAATCTTTTCTTCTCTTAGTTTTAATTGCACTTTGTCGCGAATTAACTTATTGTAGAGGTACGAAATGACTCCAACAATTTTTCAGACATGACGAATTATCTAATAGCTCGCTTCCGGTTTAGGACCGGATAAACAAGACCACACAGATGATAAATAAACAAAGTTAGGCGCTATTGCCAAAGTTATTCAATTAACGTAACACTGAACACGTATCGATAAAAATCGTCATAATTCTTGATTAACTATTAAGTATTATCAATCGAGAATCACAACAGTCAAACTTCGTGGACTGGTGGGTTTCAAATACCAACTTCTCTGAAGAAAGGAAGGCTTCGGTAATCATGTAAATTCAGTTTCTCACCTTGGTTGGATTCATTTAACAAATTCCAGTACATAACATACTATAGGCCTATTGATGTCAAATATGAATCATGAGATTCATTCAGACATAGAAAATACCGATAGGAAACTGAGGGATTAAATTGAAACCATTTCAGACTAAACGTATGTCAGAATGTCCAAGACCCACGTGACAACTTATGGATTATGAAGTTTGAAGTTTATAAGTCTTCGCTATAAGATAATTATATAGCATTTTTGACATGTACTCGATATTTATATCTACTCAATATTTTAGATATCTTCGTGAGATTTTTCAAGAAGTTCAATGTGCATTTGCATGGATTTTAGATACCGGTACCGGTACTTTAGGCCACGGATTAGCCCATTTATTGATGAAAGCCTGAAAGTGTCTGCAATCAAAACACACACCATATACCAATTTTTGGTGACAGATTTTTGGTCACCAACATTTTGTCGATGGATCGTGCAGGAGAACTCCTCATTGCCTGCATGGTTACATGGTGATGCTTATAGCTTCATCCATTCAAATTACAATAATAGTTTTTTTTTTAGAACTAATTACAGTGGTCTCCAGCATGAAGGGCTTAATCAAATAATCTCTTGTAAAAGTGTGCAACAGGAATTAGATTTATCAACTCCAGTGGTCTGTCAGCGAAAAATAGGATTGTCTGCAAGCAGTGTACATATAAGGGATAAATCTGTCAGAATATATAATTTACAACGGAGCAGACTAAATGATGATTCGTTAGTCTTTTATTTGAATCATAATTCAGTAGTTTTGAAGGTTTTGAAATATGAGGGAAATAACCCAACATATTATTAACAAATACATGTATAGCATATTTATTTTATTTTGTTTTTTATTTTTAGACTTAATAGGTCCTTACGTAAAAGTTACAAAATGCAAAAGAATGATGACATAAAGGGTGGTAAAAAGATGAAAGATAAAATTGATTTTGTTATAAAATTACGTGATAGACAACCACGACTTGTGACAGAATGGAATAAAGTGTTCAGTGATGATATTAAAGATGGCATCATAGAGGTATTTTATAGTTCTGTGTCAACTGATGAAACAACTTTGTATTATGTATGCTTTGTACAAATTTGTTCAGTTAATATTTTTGCACGAAATTGTAATGTTCTATCTATCACAACCAGGTCCTGATGGTGAGAGTTTTATGCATACAGGTATCTACCAGTCATAAAAATAACTCTGAATCACTCTTATATGTTTTGGTTATACATTTTCCATAATCCACCACAAATCGAAGCCTCGTATAACAATACAGATAATTCGATTACCAGTATTCTACAGCATCAGAAAATGGTCTTTAAGAAAATATGCAAAGATGTCAATGTAGAACAACAACAAAATGAAACTGATTGACATCAGATTTTAATCAGATTAGTTTTGTACATTACAATGCTCTAATACTGATATCTATTTGGAATACTCTTAATTTTCAATAGTAATACATTTTATTTTTAGGCAAAGCTAAAATTTTAACATTTTGGTACTGTACTACATACAGGAGCTTTATCTCCTTTCTGGCTAGGCGATTATTCTCTGATTTTATAACTTATAGTTTTAAAGTTTCAATGATTTTTGTGTACTCATGCTGCCGGATAACAATTACGTAAGTTATTTCAGAGGGTTATAGACATAATGGCCCTAAACCATAACGGCCAAAATAATTGGTCATAACTGCCAAAATATTTGGTCATAACAGCCAAAAAATTTGGTCGTAACAGCCATACAAATTGGTCGTAACGGCCAACAAAACCATACCATTTATTACATGTAAGAAATGATATTTATTAACATAAATATTGCATAATAGATAATACCATAATATAAATACATACATTACATTAATTTAATACGTAAATTTACATAGACATTTAACATAATACAAACTACAACATTTCACATACATAATACATTGTATGAAACATATAAACTATAAAATTTATTTCAATGATATTTCACATAGATAATACATGTACATCTAAATACATAATTTACAGTATTGATAAAAGGGCTTTTTCACGATTTTAAAAGTCCCATCAATAAACCATTGCCCGGATTTAGCAAGCAAAGCCAACTGTCTTTTGGTTGAAAACTTCAAGTGTCTTTCTCCTTTAACTTTTATATCAGCATGTAAAAAGTCATCAGGTATTGCATCTTCATTTATCTTCATTTCTCTTATTAGGTTCTCTGAATTTTCTCTGAATGGATTGGATATGGCCATTTCTTTTACCTTTAGTTGATAAAAAATAATTGATTAATGTTTATCTCATATATTACCTAATCAGATCAGAGGGTGTGAAGTACCTAATTAGGGATTATCCAATCAGTTGATTAATTAGTACTCACCTCTTTCCTTTGAATTGCAATTACACTTTGCAGCATGTATTTTTTGGTGTTGGCTTGGGTTGTTATGTCTCCAGGACACATGGTGGGTAAAACTGTAGCACCACATCGATGTTTTGTTTAAATATATTGTTTTTCATTCAATTAAAAAGTTTGATCATTACGGCTAAATTTTTTGGCCATTATGACCAAACGTTTTGGCCATTTTGACCGTTTTGACCAAACTGTTTGCCTGTTATGACTAAAGTAGGACTGTTTTGACTAAACCTGTTTTTAGCTGTTACGGCATAGGGCTGTTATGACCACATCCTATTTCAGAAATAATAATGTTTTATAAACAAAGATTTTCATGTGTCAGGACAGAATTTTTCAGATTTTACAGCTGTTGTTTTATAAATATATTTGATCTATATATTTTTCAGGTATCTCAAGGTGATATATTTAGAGATGCTCCTTCTGCTGATGCAATAGTAAGTTTATGTAGCTGGCCATTAAAACTGAAGCTATCATGATTATTAATGAACATCCTCAGATTACTAAACTTTTGTATTTCCAGCTGGCGGGAGTTGGATGACCGAAAGGTTAGCATGTGCGCACTGTATCATAAGGCCTGTCATTGAGTCAACTTGTGTAGTTTCAATTTCCTGGTTTTAAGTGACAGGGAGAAGGGTCGCCTGTCCAACCCCGTGGGTTTTCTCTAGGTTCTCCGGTTTCCTCCCACTGCTAAAGACCCCTACGTGCAAGTGAATTATTTAAATAAAATTGAACCATATGTTAGTCAGGGCATACGCCATACAGTGTGCTATGAGGGAAATTTTGCCCGGACAGCGGCACTACGGCCTACTCTTATATCGAATTCCAACTGCCAAGGGATCTTTTACGTGCACGCCAATGTGTACACGGGACCTCGGTTTTTCGTCCCATCCGAACGACTAGACAGCTTTCCTTGTCAGCCCCTCCGTCCTGCATCACTGACAAGGGAGAACCACGCCGGAAAATCTGGAGATTTAGCACAAATCAGTTATTTAAGCTGTTTCAATGGCATTTAGTAATTGAACTAGAGTATACAGTATATAGCTTGATAATGACTAGAGAAGCCTAGTCGAAACGTCGCTCAGTAAAAAGCAGTAATTGTATTCCATAGAATTGTGACCTGTATACAGTTATTTAAGATTGCCACTATTTTTCAAGAAAAAATATATCTTGCTTGTATAAGATGCACACAGATATTATCAGTGATTTTAACTGGATATCAGCTATACATGTACATTATTTAATCTCTTTTAAAACTTAGGCAACCAAGGCTAAATCTGTTGAAAAGAAAATTTCTAGCAAAGTGCTAACCTGAAATCTACCCAAAGTTTTTTTATTCTCCAAAAACAAAGGTATTCATTGATCAAACTGCTTGATCTGCCAGAAAAATATGAAACCAAAAATTATTTAGTGTTCTATATATAGATGACTCTTTTTCTGATGTATATTATCATATATATAATTATGACTGTTTTAGGTCTCCCCAGCAAATAGTTTTGGTTTTATGGATGGTGGTATAGATATGGCATATAGTATGCATTTTGGATGGCAGATGTAAGTATATGGTAATAAAATTAGTTTTAATATGTGATAAACTACTGTCTAATATAACATATTTATCGACCAGTGCTGCATTTTACTTCGTAGATAGTTGTATTCAAAAGATTAGGGAACGTAGGTACCTTATCCCTGTTTCCATTTGGTAAAATAACGTAAAAAGAATACACAAAGTAAAATGTGAGAAACTTTCTTCTGGAATTACCTCTGTAATGTGTTATGTCTTACTTCGTAATTAACATGTTAGGTTGCATAATATACCTGACTTAAAAATATATTAAAAAATCTATTCAATGTTTAATTTGTGATTTTACAAAATTTTAAGGCAACATAGACTTCAAAAGAATATTAGAGAGAAATATGGTGGAGAACTTTTAGTGGTAAGTATGCTAATCTTATCTAATAGACAACAGTGACACTCAACAGTATACCAAATATAGCACCGACAATCAAAAATGGTAAAGTTTGTGGCAAAGTGCTTTAACAATCAAACAATTGTAATGTAACAAATAAAAACGATATTAAACACCAAGCCGCTGTAAGTGACTACTGCCAGTGGCAAATTGTTAGATTGGCAGGTACACTGCAGGCATAGCAGTGTAGATTTGTCAAACAAAGAACTGCAAGGAGTATGGTCTTTGGTGGGATTTGGATGTTCAGAATGAATAATATGAATAGTGATGACAACAGAGAGTGGGGATAAATTCTTTAACTTGCTTTGTTAAGTTTCTTTAGTCAACTGCATGAGGTGTATAATATTTGAGGACTACATATAGATATTATGATTATTTACTCTATCTTGATTTATATATAATTTCAGGTACGTGTATTTACATTTCAATAGATCAGTAGTCAGTATATTGAACTCCAATCATAATCCTTCAATTTCAGGTACATTTCAATACAGCAGCTGTCCGTCTTCTATCTTCAATAGATCAGACACCAGTCTACTGATACATTTCAATACAGGAGTAGTTAGAAATGAAATGAAATGGGGTTTAACCTCCTACTTTTTTGCTCCTAAACTGGGCTAATGAAGACGGGCATACGCCATACAGTGTGTTATGAGGAAAATTTTGCCTGGGCAGCTGCGCTACGGCCTACTCTTATATCGAATTCCAACTGCCAAGGGATCTTTTACGTGCACGCCAATTTGTACACGGGACCTTGGTTTTTCGTCCCATCCAAACGACTAGACAGCTGTCCTTGTCAGGCCCTCCTTCCTGCATCACTGACAAGGGGAAACCACGAGGAGTAGTCAGTCTACCTATAATGCTCAATAGATCAGTTATCAGTCTATGAGTTCCGATCATAATTTATCTATTTCAAATACATTGCAATACAGCAGTAATCAGTCTACTATATAAGCTTTGATCATTGTCCTATCTCATCAAGTGTGTGAGCGATTTTGCTAACTGCCAAATCAATCAGACACTTAAAAAAATATTTTCAGATAGTCTATATAATAGTTTGTATTCATTTCAAACTTGTCATGGTATTTGTATCATAAATTGACTGTGGTAAAACTGTGACTGACGATTGTTTTATTGAAACTATTATTTTGTTTAGAATATCCTGCAAAAGTATATATGTATAATCCCCTTGTGCTTCATATTAAAATATTTATGTTTTATAGGGTCAAGCAGAAATAATTCCCACATTTGACGGGGGTGCTAAAGAGGACTCGATGAATTGGTCGGCTTGGAATGGAGGAAAACCAATCAAATACCTGATATCAGCACCAACAATGAGAGTACCATTATTTGTAGATGATAGTGTCAATTCCTATTTAGCTTTCCGTGCAGTCATATTAGCAGGTAAAAAGATTATTAAAATACTTCAGATTCAATAGCCCCTTTATGGTGTGTATTTTTATGTATCCACCTTGAATGTGAAAATATTTTGTTATCACCATTGTTTGTAAACATCCTGCAGGTCAGAGTTCTTGATATATTTTTTCAATTGCTTTCATTGGGTCATAAGGAAATTCATATTTTTCCCCAAAAAATTGTGGATGTTCATGTTATCGCCTTGTTAATGCTTAAATTTATGAAAGCTTATGAACCTAATACAGAACAGAGTTCTTGAAACCTATCAAATTTTCAGGTGATAAATTTTGAACGCTTTTTGTCAACTTAACGTTATGGTCGTGTTTTGACTTTTAAAGCACAAGAATGTGATCCAGGACAAAGTTTGTGATGAAATATCCTAAAATGGGTGAGATTGTTGAGAGTTATCTCCCAGTTTACAGATTCAACTTTATGAATATTTGTGAAAAAAATGAAATGAAATGGGGTTAAACATCCTACTGTTCTGCTCCGAACTGGGCTAATGAAGACGGGCATACGCCATACAGTGTGCTATGAGGGAAATTTTGCTCGGACAGCGGCACAGCGGCCTACTCTTATATCGAATTCCAACTGTCAAGAATATTTGTGAACTTAATACAGTGACAGTTTTGGAATTTATAAAGACTTGGAGATATTGGATTGTAAATTTTGACTCATCTTTCCTTTCATGTTTTTACTTTTAAAGCTTGTAAAGGCAACACTGGACTGCGCTTTCTATTTTCAGTAAAAAAGTTTAATACTGGAAATCCAACCAATCCTATAAAATCAGTTCTGTGTCCTGGTTTAGGAACTGCAGTAGGAAGAATGCCAGCTGATAGATGTGCTTATCAGGTAATGACATATTAATCTTTGCTTCTTTTTGGGGGGTTGGATGGCCGAATGGTTAGCTAGCAGGTGCTCGCTGTACCATAAGGTCTGTAATTGAGTCAACTGGTGTGGTTTCAATTCCCTGGTTGTACGTGACGGGGAGTAGGGTCGCCTGTCCAACCGCGTGGGTTTTCTCCAGGTTCTTCGGTTTCCTCCCACACCTAAAGACCCCTACGCGCAAGTGAATTATTGAAATAAAATTGAACCATATGCTAGTCCCGAAATGACCTAGTTTGTGTCGAGTGGATGTTAAACCCCATTTCTCTCTCTCTGCTTCTTGAATTAATGTCAGGTAAGCTCATATTTCATTATTTGCAGACTGAAAAAATAAATCCTACTTTTATCCTTTGCAGTACCCACTTATTGTTATATTCTCAAAGCAGTGGTAATGAGCATTATGAACTCATTATTAACCATTGCATATAGACCAATCAAAACTATTGATGCAACCTCTGTTATACACCATTCAAACGGGCATAGATTAAAGATGCATTATGTAAGACTTAGTTAGATAAAGAACTGGCCATTCTTGCTATAATAGTACCGAAATAGATAATTCAAAATTAATATTAAAAATTTCATTCAAATCTTGGGAAACAGAGAGAGAGAGAGAGAGAGAGAGAGAGAGAGAGAGAGAGAGAGAGAGAGATGGGGTTTAACGTCCACTCGACACAAACTAGGTCATTTAACATATGGTTCAATTTTATTTCCATAATTCGCTTGTGCGTAGGGGTCTTTAGCTGTGGGGGGAAACCGGAGGACCCAGAGAAAGCCCACGAGGTTGGACAGGCGACCCTACTCCTTGTCACGTACAACCGGGGAATCGAAACCCCGCCACTTGACTCTATAAACCGTATGATACAGCGCACGCGTGCTAATCGTTCGGCCATCCAACCCCCCTTCTTGGGAAACAATTACTTGTCTTAGCCCACCATAGTCTACCGTATAGCAGTGGTTAATTATAATGCTTGTAGCCATTGCATCAGGAATAGTCTTCATGAATGCATTTATCAGACGTTCATATTTATTTAATTGTTTGTTTATTTTCTTATTGTAGATGAAGAATGCTTTTGATACATTTTTACTTGATAAATGTCCTCGAAGAATAAACCCAACAAGATTAGAACAAATGTCTTTTGATACAGAAGTTATGCAGAGAGTAAGTATTAGTTTAAATTGATTTCTACCTGTCATATAACTTTGAGATCACTCGAAAAATATGTTTTTTTGTAAGAATCCTTGTCATGGAAATATAGCTTTAATTTATATGGATGCATGTATTTTAACGTATTTACAAATGTTGCAGTATCATGTAAAGTGTGAAGATGATGATGATGATGATGATGAGGAAGAAGAAGATGATTGTGGTGATTGTGAAGAAATCATTGATGGCGATAGCGAAGATAACTCTGATACATCTTCAAGTAAATTACCAGTTTGAACTGTAATGGACAATGTCTTTTAATTAGTTGGTAATCAGAGAGTTTACATTTTTATGTGCCGAAATTTATTGTCGTCACCCTTGAGTATCCATTTGCGGTTGGTAATCAGGGAGTTTACATTTTTATGTGCCAAAATTAATATGGTCATATACATGTATTGCCGTCACCCTTGAGTAGGTCTGTCGTCATTTATTCTGTTTTCTAACAAAATCTTGTTAGCACTTTAGAGATTTCAATTATGACTTGATCTTTTTGAAATTTGCATTGGTTTTCTATTCTGTTGAAAGGAAGAACCCCATTGATTTTCAACAATTTTTGATAACTTATTCACAAGTTTTATGAAATTTTGTTAGCCCTGTAGAGGCCTCAATTAGATCTTATCTTTCTGAAATTTATATTGGTTGTCGTGGCTCTGTCAGTAGAGTGCTTGCTCACTAACCAGGTCCCAGGATGGAAAACCAAGGTCCTGTGTACAGTTGGAATTGGATAATGAGGAGGCTGAGGCACGACTATCCTGAAGAAATTTACCTTATAGAATACTGCAAGTTGAGAGAGAGAGAAATGAGATTTAACATCCATTCAACACAAACTAGGTCATTTCGGGACTAACATTTAGTTCAATTTTTTATCAATATTTGGCTAGCGCGTAGGAGGAAACCGGAGGGCCCAGAGAAATCCCACGAGAACTGCAAGTTGAATGCATTCGACCGGTTGGTGGAGAGAAGTAGGACCTTAAAACCTGTTTCATATAAAATTGATTGTCTAACATTTTAAGAGGAAATTCCAAGAATTACTCACCTTTTTGACAAAATCTTGTCAGCACCCTAGAGGTTTCCATTATGATCCAATCTTTCTAAAAATAAATTACGAGTTGTTAGGTCATAACTGCTTGGATGGCGGTTAGTTGCTGGTGGATATATGTTTCCTTGTTTGATAACCTATAATTTAAGAACAATATTCGTGTCAGCCATTATCACATATGTGATAGAACTGGTTAAACATGTTCTAAATATAATTTTAACACAGAGATCGTTGCTACCATATATAATGACTGACACCAATATTATCCTTTAAATAAGGTTTGGGTTAGCAGATTTAGAATATTAGTTAGAGGTGCAAGTTATTACATTTGAGCAATGTTTATATTGCTTTTAAACAAACCAATTTAAAATGGTGAGATCATGATTAGTTACCACTTTAACAAAGTCTTCCATTGTGAATAATTCCAGTAAAATAAGGTTGTGTTAGTATTTTTTAGATATGGTGTTGAGTGATCGTAAACATAAGTAAGAAAACCAAGGACCATGTGCATACAAAATATATAATTTAATTTTAGTTGTTCATTTTAAATTATTTATTTATATAGCCATTACTGGTTTTAATATACCACTGTGAACTGTCTCAGGTTATCTGTACACCTACCTCTTTATAAACCACATCTATTTATATTCCATATTATACCCTACATATTATTTTTATACATAGTTAAGAATATTTAATTAAACGTCAAGAATTTTAGAAGGTTACAGCCAGTATGTTTTGGTTGGTTGTTAAATCATTTGTTGATTCATTTAAATATTAAGATAGGTCAAATTTGAATAATTATTGGGTCTCTCCATAAGTCTCACATTTGTCTGATTTGATCACAAGAAATTGAACCAAATAATGAAGCTATTTAGCTAAGCTGGCAGTGAGCATTACATATGTGATTTGTAACAGCTCACAGTGACAAACGATAGCCAGTGTTAAATAGATAATGCTTGCTAATGACATTGATACTTGACAAAGGCAAGTTGTATTTGAATTTGGAATGATTTTTTTGTGCAATTGAATCACAAATGTGGCTTAACAAATCAAAATTGTTGTACCAGTAAATATAATTTTTTAGGTGCAAGATTGTTACTTTGTCTTACTGTGAACCACTTTGCATAATACTGTGATTGACTATGTAATATTTTTCACAAGAATCCCTCCTGTACCATCTTTTATTTCTTCAACATTTAGAAATTGACTTAAAACAAAAAAAAATAGCAACAGTTTTATGGTGCATTGCTTTACTTTAGAATGACGTTCTATGAATGTTGAAGCTTCCTTGGTGATGCAATGTTTCACCCTAGAATGACTTTCTATATAAGTTTAAGCTTACTTGGATAGTTTATTTTTTTTAACTCTTTACATTGCAATCTATTTTAAACATTTGTATCGGATGGAATTAAACACCATATTGCCTTGTCATTTATTTACTTATTTATACAAGAAATGCTTATTATATTTATTAGAATGTCTTTTTTATAGCAATTTTTATGAAATAAAGAAAAGAATGAAACAAGTTTAACTTGTTCTTGGTAAACTGAATGTTAACTTAGTTTTAAAGACAATGTTGAATATTGGTTTCAGCCTCCCAGGAATATTGAACCCAAGAACTCTTGGTTAGCGAGCCAGCGCCTACCCACTGAGCCACTTTGGCTCCCTTAAACAAAACAAACTTCCACACAACCTGTTTTTTTCTAACCACTGATTGATGATAGTTTTCCAGTATTGATTTTTAATCCACCATTTATCCAAACATATGAATAACCAGCAAAAAAAGAAAGAAAGAAATTCATTTTAAAAATTTCAACTTTTAATGTAAAAATCCAATACTCTAAGACATAATTTAAAACAAAAACCAAATAAAATATAATCATTAAAGCTGTTGATGAGAATAACATTTCTAAAAACATTCAACTCAATCAGTACCTGGTACTGATAAACATATAGGCAATTTATTTAATACAATAATACAATGGACAACATGGAAAAATTTAATCAAGTGTGGTTTTCAGAGGCTGGTGCTTATACTTAAATTATACATTAACATTTAATTTAATGAAAAGACACACTTAAAATTGATTCTAGTTATTATTTGAACTGTTGTGATATAGTACCAAAGGATATTATAAAGCTGGTTGTGGTCAGGCCCTCGCCAGAGTCTGGATCTGAGAGAGAGAGAGAGAGGGGGGCCTTTCATTTCCACTGGATGGTCTAAAGTGGTAGACACACTAGCCGATTGACTTCGGTGCCAAAATTCAGCTAGTGTGTTCACTATCATTCGGCCAAATGATTCGCCCAAATTAAACATGTGATATATTTCGGCTATTGTGTCCACTGCTTAAAACATTCACTGGGTCATGCTGGTTAATTTGATACTACATATGTACGGGTGGAGCGTGGAGGCGGCGACGACGAAGCATGATTCGCCCGGGGCCCGAATTGGATGGCTTAAAACATTCATGGGATCATGCTGGTTAATTTGATACCACATATGTAGGGGTGGAGCACGGCGACAAAGCATGATGAGCAAACATACACACATCTTTGATTTTATTTATATAGACACTGAACAAAATTTTAAATGTGAGATAAAAAATGATATCACTTGATATTGAATCTATTAAAATATACTTTAGATTAAATTTATTAAAATATAATGTACAAAATTGGTATTGTTATGTACAAAAAGGAAACAATAATAACAATTACTTTCAAGACTTGTCTGGTTAATTATCAAATCACCCCTTTCATTTTGTTCTGAAAGCAGAGATTAGTTATCTGGTAAATAGTGACTTAAGCTACATGCCAAAATAACTTGAAGCCACTTTTTATCAGATAAGATAGAGGGTAAGAGAGTTTGCATTAATTTTGATTCCCTTCATATAGCATTAATTTCATGAAACATTAATTTCTTTTCATACAGTAATCATAATTGATTCCCTTCATATTGCATTAATTTCATGAAACATTAATTTCTTTTCATACAGTAATCATAATCGGTTGTATAAAATTATAATTCCACACTTCTCACTTTTAATTTTATTGCCATTACAGTATGGAATATACTATAATATTGCCATTTTATGTTATGACCCACTGGGGTTTCTTTAATACCACAGTATGCAGATCTGCTACTGGTAATCCATGATGTTTGTGACCTTATCTGTAGTGTTTATATTTTTATATCAAGTAACCAACAGAAACAAACATTAGCTAACAAACCAAACATCAACTACTATCCACACTAGATAATTATCCTATAATTCAACACAGCAAGTATACTCTTAATAAAATGATTTGTATTCTTATATAACAACACATACAGTATCACTGTCTAACATATAAACAATTTATTTATGGGTTTCTGCCAGCAGAAAAGACCATCATGTATTCACATACAATATGATTTTATGTCAGAAGTAACTTTTTCTATGAGTGCAGTATGATTGGTTTGGAAGTATACACAAATACTTTCTTGATCAATAATGATCACTCGATGTGCATTTTATATTGAGAGTACAGCAAAGGTGCAGTTTGTAGAAGACATCAGGTTATTGTTACTGTGATCCCAGCAGAAGAAGTAATAGAGGGTACCTACTTCAAGAGAAATAACAATACAATGTGCAGAAGATACTGGTGACTATGAAAATTAGACAAATAAAGCACCATAAGAACACCAGCACCATATACATGAACAACAGTAACAACTGTTTCACAGACAACAACACCTGACTTGTAATTATAAGAAGTTATAAAAAGTATATTTATCTTGTATAAATATTGAGGTAGACCTATATGTCGTTAGTAGATTAGTAATAAAATTATAAACAGGCAGGGTATGCTTATAATTATTGAAAAACCTGACCATACTCCATCATAGGTATACCAGTTACTGTGTCATGTTAAACCTGGCATAGTACACATACTATGGCACTACTTTGTATTTATGGACTTCGAATTTGAATGCCTCTGAGAAGCAACGACACTATATTTCATATTTTGAATCAGTGGTACTATATTTCATTTTTCGAATCAATGATAATATATTTCATTTTTCAAATCAATGATAATATATTTTATTTTTAGAATCAATGATAATATATTTCATTTTTAGAATCAATGGTAATATATTTCATTTTTAGAATCAATGATAATATATTTCATTTTTAGAACCAATGATAATATATTTTATTTTTAGAATCAATGATAATATAAATCATTGGAATATGTTTGGCACTTCAAAACTTTTTTTTCAGTCCTGGTAGGTGATTTTGTTTTTCTTGTAAGTAACAATCCAACAAATTCTCCTTTCTTCTTTTTTTCAACAAAACTGTTTGAATAATTAAAATGCCCTGATATATACACAACTTTAGCAGATGTATAAAATGATTGAGAATCAAATTATTAAAAGAAACACTAATAGTAAGTACAGCAGGGCTGTATTGCACACCACTCAAAAAAAAACAACCAAAGATTAAAAAAAAAAATGGTTCGTAATCAATTTTCAAAGAATAAAATTCTAATATTTTAACATAAAATTGATAAAGAACTTTTTACAAACAACCATTAAGATAGAGCTTGATAGATAGTAAACTTAAACATAACTAAAATGAAAATAGCCATTTGAATTACCTTTTATAAATACAAATAGCCAACAAGTCGATTTATAATAAATAATAATTCCTCTGCATAATGTACTTGAACTAAAAATAAAAAATGTAATGTTACTGGCTAAAAATCACATATTGTGAGTTCCGATAATAAATTGTGACAAATCTTTATGCAACAGAATCCAAATATTTCATTAATATTGATTAAGGAAAGTAATTAGTAACTAAAATAAAATATTTGGTTGGTCTTCTCAAAAGCTCTTTTTCTTAGTTCCAAATTTTAAAGTTTTGAAATTTAAAAAAAAAAAATTCATGAGATTTATCTTATCATCCACAAGAACTAATTTCGAAAACTTAAATTGGTTTGGTATTATTACCTTTGTATTTAATAATTTTCATTTTCCATCTTGATTCAACTTACTTAATAATCATATTTGATTACATTGTAAAATAAGTTTATTAGTATGAATATAATAATACTAATACAAAAATATTCAAATTCAGTATTATACACTGTAAGTTGTCTTAAGTAAGAAGCAGATCCTGTAAGTATTTTGTAAGTAAAAAGCAGATTCTGTAAAAGTTGAGCCATATCATAAGTATAATCTTATTATTATGCGTAAACATTTTAATGTTGAACACAATTCACTTGACATGAAACAATAACAATAACTGTACAACATTTATTTCAATACATACACAAAAATATACAATTTTTAAAAATAAAAAAACTCAATCAGGTATCGACTTCTTACAATATAACAATGACAAGAAAATAACAAATTAAAATCAATGTACATGTGTATACAATATACTTCACATATTAAACAATACAATCAATACCATATAAATATTTAACAAATTGACTTTTATCAACTAAGATAAAATCACAAGTATCAAACAGGCTTGGCAATTATTTACCCTACACTTGCTGATAAACTAATTCTTTCTATGGCAACCAAATTATTCTAATTATCCATCTAAACTACTTCTTTTAAAACCAACCTGAGCTAACAAAAACAAGTTTGTTATAATAAAGGATGTCATTTTATCTGAAGTGGAAACTCAGAACATTGTGCAGCACTAACTTTTGACCAAACATCTAACAAGCACAGGTGCCACGGTTAAGACATATCCGGCATCTGAACACTATTCTGCAAGAAAACATCTACCAATCCACACTGGAGATGCATATATCATGCCAACATAAATGCATTCTAAAGATCCACCACCAATTGGGGTTCAATCCATTATGGTATATTTTTTATAATAAAGGGAAGAAATTCCCACTAACCCAATCCATGGATATAGGTGGTCAATGGAAAGATTGCAAAATCATATTCTAATACACAGGAACAAGTTTTGGCTTCTCCTAGATCTTATCTGCGATATCACAACCGTGGAAGCAAATGTTGACAAAAGATAGATAACAAGTGAAACCAGTTTATCATTGGTTGTCAAGAGATTCACATTATGCAGGCAGTGTGAATATAGCTTTTACAATTAAAACAAGACAAAGACAAAATTAATAACTCATAAGACATTTACTAATGCATTGTTAAGCAAGCACAAATCAGTGACTTGGAAGAACACTTTTAAAGAGATAGTCTTACACAATGCGAAAGTCTTACAGTGATTTCTGAAAGCAAATTTGACAGAAATAATCAAATTTTGTATATTTTTATTTTATGCCATATCAATAGCGATGATTTTTCACTAACAGTAATCTGACATCCATAGATAGACTTGATATGCTAAAACGTTTCTTTTTTTCCAGGATGTACTAGTACATGAAATCACAAAACTCTTACTTTATCTGAAATATGTCAGCTAAAAGGTTTAGACAATAATTGACAGAATCCAAAGTTGTTTTATTTATAATACAAATTTCTTTATGTTATTTCAGGTTAGCTTTAATTCTATCAAAATATAATATCCTCACATAACGTTAATAATCCTCTTCCAAACATTCATTATCTGATTAAATATATTAATGATCCACATCAAACCATGATATTTTACTTACTTTTAATACAAATAGTTTAGAATCGTTTTTTTTAGTTTTAATACAAAATGGGTTTAGAATAAGTTAACAATCACCATGGAGAGTATTTGTCTAGTGGAAATTGGAAAACATGTCTATTGGCATTATAAGTTGATGTTTCTAAATGTATTCCAATCAAACCAAGATTTTGTGCCATTAGTGTCACTGATATTGCCAAGTTTTTGTTCTCAAAGCCTCTGTCATATTCTTTAACAGTGAACAAAGATAGACAATTTAATTTTAAGTGAGATAATAAGTGGTGTTGTGGCCAGGGAACTATCAGGCTTACAAGACTTCCCAGATTAGTTTACTCGCAACCTCTAGTACTACAGTTTGGTGCTCGCTTTCTACTAAACCCTCTTGGGCACCTTTACAAAATCTTGTCACCCTTCCTGTCACCATCCCATATCACCACTGGTGAAAATGTAAATGAGAATATTACATTAAGTGAAACAGAACACTTTTAAACAGGACTATAAAAATAAGATGATTCTTGCAAAATGATTTTGTATAATTCTATACTTTTAAGCAGTCGATGAATCACCATTATCTGGTACTAGTTGAGCTATTGGTATAAAATTAGACTTTTCAAGATGGGTTAATGACTCTAAAACATCTTCAGGCATGTGATCAAAGACCATTTTGTGACTGATAATAATTTCGTTAAAATCATCAGGATGAGCCCACACTGCTGAAAATGTAGGTTTCCCGCAACACCCACTGAAAAATAACATCAATCGGTGAAAAATATTAGTCATTTCCTAACAAAATTCTTTACTTCTTTCTAAACTGTCAGGCTAACAAATATTAGATACAGGTACTATGAAATTTCAACAATATTGTTATTGTAAACATGATATATTATGGCTATCTACAAAGTTATTGAATCTTACAAACCTCCATTTTTCTCAAATACATTTAGATAATTTAATTCTTAAATTAGTTGGCAACCAATGAATTAACGTTTATTTACAATAGATGACTTAGTGAGAATGATTGTAAGAATTTTAAAATTCAAATGCATATTCAACACTTTAAGTATTAATAACAGCTGATCACTCACAATAAATTTCTGTCCGTTTTGAAATATTTTCCTTGAACTAAAAATAATATCTACATGCCTGAAAGTTATTTAATATAAATTATAACTCACCTTTCTTCTTCCTCTTCTATAATATGTAAAATTTGACCTGGTGGATGCATTGGCCATTCTTCATCATGTACCATGTTATTGGTGTTTACAAAAGCAGTTTTTAGTGATTCCTAGCAATAACAAAATAATACACATACAAAATAACATTTCAAGATCTTAAATCACCATCAACCATTTCCATAGAATGATTTATATAACAGATGTAGATAGAAATAGCAAACCTAAGCTTAAATGATAACTTAAGTCATTACCATTTCTTCATATTGTATTCATCATCTAATAATAAAATAGCTTCAAAGTACAAATCATTTTGATTTATGCATTTTTGAAACTAATCATATCAACTTTATTTGCAAATCAAGATGTATGAGATAGAATAAGGTTATCTGATGAAGGATTTTAGATCTTAAATTTAAAATATAGTCATCATAATGAAGTCTTTGTTTAATGTGAATTATGTATGATTTATTTAACAATAGATCAAATAAGCTGTTTTAATTGATATTTATATGATAGTTGTGTATCAATATATTAGACCCTTCTTTAATTAATATTTTTAAGATAGCTGATGTGTATCAAATAAGGTATTAACTTAATTAAAACCGTATACCACAATAATGAGATTTCAATGTTAATAATATATTATTTTCAATTTACTGGGTTTAAAATCAATTACTGTTAATTATTAAATCAACATATAACCTGTGTTAATAGTTAGAAAATAATGTGAGTATGTGTGTGATGATAAAACATGTTATTATTAATTCCATCTTCCCCAATATTTCTTGCACATACATATGTAACAGATTATATATTACTAACATTATTTATCATACAACAAAAATTTGTTATTAATTTATGTACTTGTATGATTATTGATAACTAACTACATCTTTGAATAAAGGATGAGTAGGAGAGACAAGACAAAATGGAATGCAAAGGAATGAGATTTAATGCTTTGGTCAATTTGAGATAAACATATGGATTTTTTCTCATTAATTTTCTATGGTTACCATGGTCTGGACAGGATCATTTATGTCTACACTTCATTGATTTCCAACTGTCAACGATTTTTCATTCCACCTGAACAACCAGGCATGGTCTTCTGGCTACCCTTCTCTGACAAGATAAAGGCCAGCACGTGACTTGAAACTCAGAACATTTTGAAAATGTGATTTACTACTGTTTCAGCTTGTGAATGCAGCAACTAAGAAAGGGTCCAACCAAAATTCCACTCTATGGCCTAATCTGAATTCCAGACAGCTTGTAACCAAATCAATTAGACGGTTGCAGCTGCATTCATCGAAAAAAAATAAAAAAAATAAGCAGACCCAGGTCTCCGACAGGGATCAATATTCAGGCTACTACTCGAAAATAATTGCTTATGCTGAACATTTGTCATCTTTTTATGGTGGTGGAGGGTGCGGGTCACCCTAGTTTATTTGCAAATGAGCTTGCCCGATTATTTTTGAAGTTGGCCACAAAAAATATATTTTGGGGGCACCTCCTAGGCCTATGTAAATCGGACAAATCGACGTTGGTATCACAGACCTTCAGATAGCTACTTTGGGCAACGATAAATAGTTCTAAGGCCTTTCCACAGTACCACACAGAATTAGTTTATTCACTGAAAAATATCTGACATTTTTCTTTCCATTACTTTTGTTCAAAACATAGCAACTACATACTTATCAAGTAAATGTTGCCTTACATATTCCAATATTACAAAAAACACTCATTTTAGATAAAAAGGGTATATTAATTCCATAGTCAGTTATATTATATATTGACCCCGATCTGGTAGCATTAATTTCAGAATGCATAAATTTATCATCTGAAAGTAATTATTTCATATATGTCTATCAGCATGATAATATGGTTTGCATTACGATATAAACTCATTGCTATCATTTATATAGAGAAAAGTATTTCTCCCATCAGAAATCATGCATAGATTTGAACTGATCTGCACAATGTCCATGTAGATGATGTCAATATACTTTGGTATTTATGAGTCAATCATGCAGGTAATTGTAGCTCATTGGCTGATAAAACTTCAAATTATAGAGCATTGATATCAATTACAAATTTTCCATTCCTAAGCCATGATTTCATGCTTTGCTGATTACATACATATAGGTTCATTTAAATGCCGTCACATGGTGCCATGTGGTGCCATGCATAGCTTTATTCGATTATACATGCAAAAACACAAAGGGCTGTGTATAATTAAATAATGACTGAACAAATCACCATAAACTGTTAATTATGACTGCAGGCTAAAGAAGAAAGCCAGCCATTCCTGATTCTTTATATGTTATTCATTATCTAGTATTAAAATAGTTTCAACAATGCACAACCACAGTACAAATCCTTTCACCGGTACCTAACAAACTAAAATGCTGGCAGTGACATTACAGAGGTAACTGCTAGTCAGTGTTTATAAACAACACGTGTGCAAAAGCTATTCCTAATAATACACCTAGCTGTAGGAAAATGCACTGGGTTTTATTTACAGTAAAGGATAGTCCCTGCTATAATGCCACAACGTGTGTATTAATTTTTAAAATAAACAATGAAATGAAGCAATGATTATTTCAATAAAATAGGATAAAAAAACCTACAATGGTAGGATTTATCCTTAATGAGACCTTGAAAGGATATTTTACATGCAAAATCATTTCATCAGAATTAATTTCAACAAATTCTGTCTATCCTGTTGGGGGGGGAGGGGGGGGGGGAGGGGAATTTTGTCGTCCAGTGTGGCATGGGGTCCCCACAAAATTTTGAAAAGCAGATTTGATTTGGGGCATTCTGAGATTTATTCAAACTTCAATCAAGGTACAAATTCTAGCCAATCCTTTTTAAATGAAATGAAATGGGGTTTAACTGTTCTGCTCCTAACCTGGGCTAATGAAGACGGGCATACGCCATACGCTGTGCTATGAGGGAAATTTTGCCTGGCAGCGGCGCTATGGCCTACTCTTATATCAAATTCCAACTGCCAAGGGATCTTTTACTGCACGCCAATGTGTACACGGGACCTCAGGTTTTTGTCCCATCCGAACGACTAGACAGCTGTCCTTATCAGGCCCTCGGTCCTGCATCACTGACAAGGGGGAAACCACGCCGGAAAATCTGGATGAACTTTCTCGACCAATGCAGTCCTTTTTAAAGACACGTCACTAATGTATGATTGACCTCACATTTCTTTACAAACTAAAATCTAACAGTACTATAAACATAAAAATGTCTACAGCAAAGTAAATAAAAGACAAAGTCAAAATTACCCACAGAGCCCTTTGGGTGTGAAAAGGGCCCTATTGAATGCAACACTGTTGCAAAGAATGACCTTATTTTAAAACCTAAGTCATCCAATGGAACTTTCAATCTTTTACCCAACACCCCACTAGACCCGGTACTCTCAAAGATTTGATATCAAATTGTCTAAAATTCTACATGCAAAACTTTCTGGGCTTCATCAAAAAGTATCTGAATATTAGTAAACTGACCAGCTACCTCTTGTTCTGACAAAATCCTGAAACTACCTATATCAAAATAACACATCAATCATATTGCCCTCCTTTAAAGCATATCAATGAAATTTTCACAATATAGCCATACAGACAAAAACACATGGCCATATAAATAACACAGATTGAAATTCATACACTAAAATAGTTTAGAGCATTTAGTGGATATATTTATGGCTAAAACACAGTATTTGTGACAAAAGCGTCTCATCAAGCTGAAAAAATAAATTGCCTTGTAATTCTAAGTATCAGTAGTTAAATATTTTGGTCATTAAAATTTATATTTTTTTGGCTTCAGTCAGCTGTTACAAATACACTTTGGTGAAACCTTTTAAGTATGGGTCATTGTGTGGTCACTTTAAAAAGTGAAAAAAATCAACTTCAAATTCAAATTAATAAAAAATATTTTAGATTTTAAAATTGCACATTGTAAAGTATAATATTACTGAATATCACATTTTTATTGTAAGTTTTTAGTGTTTTTCATGCGCATGTCCACTGTGATTCTGAAAATTTGACAGAAACGCATGTTTTTGTAATCTAATCATAACCTCCTTAATACACTGTCTATTTCTATAATTCAACTACCAAAATTTATTATAGGAACTGTTCTATAAGCATGCATTTATATCCTTTCCAAAAAAGTCAATGAAAATATATTAATTTGAGTTTCAAAATACAATTGATTGAAGTGAGCATAATGCAAAAAATTGCTATTTTTGGGACATTTGTATTGCCGTAACTCAACAACGAAGATATATACTGACTTGAAATTTGGTGGTCATTTTGAGAGGTCATTATTACAAATGTTGAATATAAGAAATGGACTGTAAATTCTGGGAGTTGTTTCCAAACTGTATATAACATCAAACAAGCCAACAGTGAGGCTGGTGTCCCCCGCTGAAATCCAGAAATAAATAGATGACATATTAATTAATAGCACACTAATTTTTTTTCAAAAGTATCAAGCAATCAAACTGATTATCAACTATACACTAAGTTTCATCACTCTATCATATATAATCAAAGTTATTTTGTCCCAAAGCATCGACCAATGAAATTCCTTAGCTCTGCTTAGCTTTAGCTCGAAATGTTAATCATTGAACTTCCAAAGTCTTGGATCAATCAAACTGCTTATCACTCTTTAGCCTAAGCAGAAAATTTGCATCATAGAACTTAGTCAAGGTAATGATATAATTAATCTATACTCAAAGTTTCATCCCTCTCACTTATTTAAAACTGAAGTTATCGTACCCCAAAGCATCAACCAATCAGATTGCTTATCTCTGCTCATCTTCGAACTCTATCAAGGCATTCACCTAATGAACGCCTACACCAAGTTTGAACATTCTACCTCAATTAGAAGGAGAGTTATTGTGTTCTAAAGTCTTGACCAATTAAATTGCTTATCGCTCTGCTTACCCTGAGCAGAAGATGCTCATTATCGAAATTAGTCAAGGTATTGATGTAATGAAATTTGATCACTCTCACTTAATTAGAACTAAAGTTATCGTGTCCCAAAGCATCAACTAATCAAATTGCTTATCTCTGCTTACCCTAAGTAGAAAATGCTCATCTTCGAACTCCACCAAGGCATTGACCTAATAAACAACTACACCAAGTTTGAACATTCTAGCTCGATTAGAAGGAGAGACAGACAGACAGACAGACAGACGAACGAACCCATTTTAATAGTCTCCTGCTTTCTTCGAAAGGCGGGGGACAAAAATTGAAAATTGGACAAATACTGTGTTTTAGCCATTAGTATAATAGACACTGTTAGGTTTGCTGCAGGTTAGGAACATGCCATGTGAATAAATTTAAAGCAAAGACATTTTTGGTTAGAAATTGTGAAGCAAATGAAAAAATTTTTTTTACCTTGAACTTTTCAATCAAAAGCTGAATCAAACACAAGCAATAAACAGAAAAAAATAAAATGTGGAGGTGTTGCTTATTTTACAGAAAGGTCTTTAAGGAATATTAACAACCAGTGCAAAAAAGGAAACCTAAATTCTGCATTTTAACGATGTCTATTCTATGTCTAGTCACTATGTATAGCTCTGTTGGGTGTCTAAGTTGGTATTTACTACAGATCTATGGTACAGTATACAGGGTTTCAAGTAAATATATATCTTACATTATGAAACCTTTAACTATAGCAGTATTTGTATTACATAATTTGAAGGCTGAATTGGTTTATAAAAAGCTTACTAATAATAAAGGCAAAGTGCACAGATAAGAATATACATGTATCTTAATTATGAGTAAATTTAAGCATCTTGAGAGTTTGCAATATCCACAATGATTTCATTCAAATATAATATAACATTTACAGTATTCATTGCAAGAGAAAATTCAACCCAAAGAATTTGAGAAACAAAACTAATATTTTAAATTTAAATTATTAATTTTAAAATGAAGTAATGGAATCAATTATCGTTAAAGTGTGGTTTAATAATAATGCTTATGGGGAAATAAATACAGATTTGTGATTACTACAACATATACAATATATACAAAACTGTAACAAATAACTAGCTTATATAATAGACGGACTTACCCCTGTTGATTCTACATCACATGATTTACTAGAGTGGTTAGAATGAAGTTGGTCTTTCATTAAACAATCACAAAATACACGGAAACATCCTCCAGCTAGTATTTTATACTACAAAAATACATTATACAATTCAAATTTATTCAAAACCTTCCTTTTTTAATTAACCGTTGTTCAGAGACTATATCCAGGTAAAACTGTATTTGTTGCTGAAAACAACATATCTGAAGAGTTATGAATAGGGAAATCCTATTCTATCTTAAATCTAAACAGAATGTCACCACCAAGGTGGGCCATCAAGGCTTACCTGTTCATTCACTAAATGTCATCTTGATAGCTAAATGTACCACAATTAATGTAACACATTAGCATGTCAATGATATATAAGTCTGCATTTTTAAACATTGATTGTCTTTAACTGAAGAAATTCAGATGAATAAAAGACCTGAAGCACTCATTGCCTAATCTTATATACTTTTCTATTTCTCAAGAAAAGAAAAATATAGAATGATCATATTTTCACTTACCTTTGGACGACGACATTCAGCAAGTGCTTTCAAAATCTGACATTTAAGTTTATTCATGGTTGGCATACCAAGACGTGGAATGACATCTTTGCCCAGTATAACTGAACAAATATAATCTTGGGCATGTTGACTCGCATTAGGACTGGAATAGATAATTAACTGTCAGACATATTAAACTTGCAACCTATTTAATTTTACTTGTGTTAAAATACAATATCATGCAAAAGCATGTCTGTATCATTGCCATTTTGAGCAAACAAAATAAAGTCATATCTTTTTTCAATATCCATAAATAAACCTTGTGGACATTATTTTTTGCCAGGGCAGTGGTATAACCAATAATGTATACTATCAGTATCTAGGGTTGGCACATGGTAAGAATAATGGTTTTCCTGACTGCTGCTTCAAAAATAAATGATGTCTGTATATGTGCAGATAGTGATATTACCTAAGCAATCCTCCTGGTGGTGAGAAAGCATAACAAATCAAATCTGGATAATCATGTCGTAATTTCATTGCTAAGATGGCTGCTGCTCCAGCACCTAAACTGTGACCAGTGATAACTAGACCAGTAGCCTCCTGACAAATAAATGTTTAAATTTTCACAATTTTGCAGAAACCATTTAAGAAAACAAATAACAAAATGATAGAAGGTGGCATAAAGACTATGCATGATTTAGCACCATAGAATCAATAGCTGACTACATTATTGTGCAAGCTGAATCATCAGTCCAAAAATAGTTCAGTTCAGTATTTATAACGATATGACGAACTGAACATTCCATCGATCTATGTTGCTTTCTATGTAACAAGACAGCTGCCACCTTTATTGACTGTGAACCAAATTGATGGGCCTGTTTTAAATCTGACTGAATCCAAGCCGGGAGATTATCTAGCGTTGATATTTTAATTTTTCATAACCAAATATCAGATAAGTAGATATTAGCATGGATTAAGCCTGGAGAAACTTGCAAATCATGCACTGTTACTTTAACCGTAATATATAACTTTTCTATAACAGCTACACCTATAATTTATTTTCTGAGATAAATTTGTATATTTCTTTATCTAAAGAAATCTGATAAATGTTATAAACATTAACATGAACACTTATCTTCTAATAAAACATGCCAAAACAAACTTTTTAAATACTTAAAGTAACACTCTTCAAGTAAGTTTACAAAAATAAAACTCGTTTTTGCATGGAGTTATCCTTTTGTATCCTTCAAACTTGCTCATTTCTCAAATATTTTTAAAAATTTAGTTGGCAACCAAAATAACATTTGTTTACAGTAAGCAATGTTATCTTGAAATAAACAATAGGCATTATACAATGTACACAAGCCTAAATAGTTACAATTTCTAAATCAATATGCAAATTATACTAAAGGGGTGTGATTTGCATTTTGTAAGAAAATATCAAATTTATCACAGCTTAATCCACGCTAATATGTACCCAGATTGATTATAAAACATTTAATTAATAAAAAAAGAATCAAATGTCAATGCTGGATAGCCTCCTGACTTGGATTTAAACAGGCCCATCAATTTGGTTCACAGCATTTGAAAATGGTGGCCAAATCATTTTTGGACTGATATTCGTATTAGAGATTCAACTTTCACAATATTGTAGTTTGCAAGTGATTCTTATATATCACACAAAAATGTCTTTAAATTATTTTAGTAGGATTAAAGGCTGATTAATTATGAAAAATTATATTGGCTTGCATAGAGTTTGTAGTTTTGTCAAAAAATATTGTATACATAAATTAACACAAAAAATATAAGTTACTTACTGGTAATGCTTCAAATCCTTTTTCAATCAACTGTAACTCTTTTAATTGTGATTCTATATACATGGCACATTTTAACATACCACAATGAACATAACAATCTGTTACACCTTCCACATCAATATTAACACCAACAGCAGATAAATCTGTTAAAGCATCCTGACAAATTATAGACATAAATAATCAGTCTTATTATAAATAGAAAGGAATATAGGGCATTTATAAATGTATAACTTAAAACATATATTTTTATGTTAGCAAATATAGCAGAAAAACTAATGGGACTTATTCACACAAATTTCAATATTTTCACTGACATAAGACTAAGCGCTAAGATTTGTACAATAGTCTTTTTCGAATGTTCCAAAAAAAAAAAAAGAAAAAGAAAGTTACATGTTCTGTAAGAAAAGGCTCTTCAACTTCTATTCAATATCTACTTTGGAATGTGCATGCATGAGTACCTTACTCAACCATTTTAAAAGGTATCACTACCAATAAGAATTCCCTTCTTCATTTGTTTTTTTCTCTAGACAAACAAGTATTTTCCCAATTAAAAAGATCACAGGACTTTGTAATTGTACTTAGATTGGCATATCTATAAAATGGAAAACCCCAAAATAATATAGTTAGTCAATATGCTCCTTTAACTCTAAGTACCGGTACATGTAAAGAGATTCTGTGATTACATTTTTCACTTAACATATTTTTTAATTAAATTAGTTAGTGTAGTTCTATATGTTGACTTCATGGGTTGATTATATACATTACCTAATAACGGTTCACATACAACATAATTACGACTAACCTCTAACGACATTGTCCCTCTAATAGCTATTACCACTTTATTCTCTTTTCTATCAACAGCAACAAAAAATGGAATTTCTGCAACCTAGAAACAGAATGCAGTACAATTTATTAATGTTAGTTTAGCATAAACATAGAGAGAATGTCAAGAGCTTCCTTTTGGAAGGCTATATGTATATTAGATGGAATTCACTTGTAGGGCTTTTTGTTATTAACCAGTTAGTAACTGTATAATCGTTTGGTATCAATTTTCAAGATAAAACAGACCTTGTCAGGAAGGGCTATACTTGCCTAAAAGGCATTACTCTCGCAAAAATTTCCAGAAACTTTTCATTGAAATGTACAATTCTTAAATGAAAATTTAAAACTATATAAGACCACACTTATTTGAATACCTGGTTAACTTTTTTAAATTCAATATCTACGATAACATACAAGACAATACTCTGTTTCCTATCGTATATGACATATGGCGATAATATTACAATAATGTTACTACGAATAGAATAAAATAAATTGGAAGGTGTCTATAAATCGGACAATAAAGAAACAATTTTGAGTTTGCAAGTAGAATTTTTATGATTGGTTAATTTAACTAAAAACCAAAGAATTCTTGCGAGAAATTATGAGACATGAAACGTGTATAACATCGTAACAAATCTTGTCTAGCCTTTATGATTATATTCTGAATGGTGTTTATATTTTTAAATAAACATTAAACAAGGGAAAATATAGTTAGAAATGCCAAGAAGTATTTGGACTGGATTAACAAGAGCAAAAGTCAGAACAATGTCTGTTGACTTTACCGTATGACTATGAGTGCTATTAATAGTATTATTTTTTATGAGTCTACATTGTGGGGTGACAGTTACATTCTAAGATTTTCAAACATCAATTACAAAAGAAAAACAGAGAAGTATTTCTGAAAACCTTCTTTTCTTGGTTCACTACGATAACAGAAAACTTTTGTTATAAAGAGGAATATAATAGGACATAACTCTATGTAATGGTGGACATCTTCGAATAATCGTACCGTTCAAGTACTAGGAAGTAATTAAATATGTTTGAAAAACTATAAATGATCAATGGCACTAATGTTGTTAAATATGAGTAGTGACTCAAGATTTGTGTGAGTACTGGGTATTTACATTTTGGCAGGATGACTTCACTACTATATTGGATTGACATAACCTGAGTAGGGTCAACTCCGAAAATAATTACCTTATTATGATAGCTGACATATATCAAATCTTTTCTGTCTAGACCAGTTTGCATTAAAATACCAGCTGTATTACAACTACATGCATTATCACTGACTATATGGTCTTCTTTTCTTATACAACTACAACATCTACAAATATAAATACATTATCACTGGCTATATGGTCTTCTTTTCTTATACAACTACAACATCTGCAAATATAAATACATTTATTATCACTGACTATATGGTCTTCTCTTCTTATACAACTACAACACCTGCAATTATAAATACATTATAACTGACTATATGGTCTTCTCTTCTTATACAACTGCAACATCTACAAATATAAATACATTATCACTGAGAACAAGCGATTTTCGTACAATAAGGGGCCATAATCCTGGATGCTATGGTCCGACATGCATCAATTTCGAAAGGAAACAAGATCTCTGGAATATAAACATATATTTCAAGTTTCATCAAAATCTAATAAAAATTGTGACCTCTAGAGGGTTTACAACCTTGTTATTACATTCTTGAACACTATATGCGTAAAGGGGAGCGACCATTTTGACAGGAGAATTTAACCTTATTTTAGGCCCTGTTTTACACATGTGCAAAGTCTTAATAAGATTGGTGTTGAAAAGTTAGTGCATATCTTAGACTAGTCAAAGCCCCTGAACTCATGTACCATGACTTTCCCTTCCAGAGATTATGCTTGCTTTTTCGAATGTGATATAGGCTATATCTATTCTTAATGGATCTTTTTCAAATTTAGTGGTAGGCATTGGAGTTATGAGAGGACAAAAAACAGCTTTCCTATGCCATCTGTTCTGTGTTGGACCACTCGACCATCCAGCCCCTCCTATGGGTAAAGAACAATTGGTTACTGGTTGACTGAATTTTACATTCAAAACCGCAAATAATAGATATTTTAAAGGTTTTGATTGTTGGTTATATTTTCATCACTTTGCTCATCAAAATTTGACATTAGAATTGCGCCCTAAAATGATGTTTATTTAATGTAAGATTTACATTAAAATAGTCGGTTAGATGTCCAACCTTTTTTGCTCATCCATTTAACGATCATTTAAGGTCAGGAAATGATGTTAATCTAACGTAAAGTTTACGCAAATATAACGTACAGTTTACGTCATTTTCTGACCTAAATAGAACGTACGTGACATAAACTTTACGCAAAATTTATGTTAGATTTATATAAAAATGATTTAAGGTTTACGATAAATTAACATCATTTCCTGACGTAAAATGATGGTAAACTGACTATTTTTACATAAATTTTAAGTAAATATAATGTCATGATGTTATGTGGGTAATAACGGTGCAACGGTGATATATATATATATATATATATGAACATTTTTAAAATCAGACAAAATTCGTACAATGAGTGGTTATGAAGTTAGGTCCTATACATATCAATATCAAACAAAACCAAGATCTTTGGGATATAAACCTATATTTCAAGTTTCGTCAAAATAAGATAAAAAAGTGAACAGACGGACAGGGGCTATGACAATATACATCCACATGAAAATATGGGGATATAAAAATCTGGTTTGTCTGCGGAAATGTTGAGAGATGGACATGATAACAACTACATGACATTTAAATCTCAAGTGGTTGTCAATTATCATACTTCCTTTATCTAAGATAATATTTATTGGATTATAACGCCTACATATTATATACAGTTAAAAAACAGAAAATATAGAAGTAAAGATAAAGAAAAAGACAGGACACAAAAAAGAAAATAATGAAGATAATTCTGAACACCATAATGTAGTCATTTGGTCGTGGCATTCCTGACTGTTTTTATAGAGCATCATTAATAAATAAAATTTGGATTAAAAAATACTTGTCTGGGATTTCAGAAAAAACACAAAATTCAGATTTTTAAAGCTCCCTTAAAACCTGTAATATTTCACAGTATTAATCTTATTAAAGATGGATTTCCATAAAAGTAATCATAAGATAGTTATTTCCATTAAAAGTATGGCAGATTTTTGGTATACCGGTATATGGAATGAAGTTGTGTGAACAGTGCAGACTTTGCAATTAAACTGCAGAAAAAGAAGTTAACAGAGGACAATCCAAGAATTTACATAGTTTGTGATATTTATGGTAAATGGACAGCGAGTAATGATAAATTGTACAAGCAGATAATGGACCCTCTCCCTCAATCAAATCATGTGACAAACAAGGCTGCTTAAAATAGTATTTTAAAGCATGGGGTAGTTTCCTCTGGTCAGAATGTTTTGAGGGTGATTTGTAGCATTTTTGATAGATAAATTAGCTTGAACATGTTTTTACGTGGGAAGGTGTCTTTCACTTATTCTGTTAGGTCTATAGACTGAGTATTTGAAACAACATCCTGCAAGACAAACAAACTACAGGGTTCATTATCACGTTCAAAGGAAAGCATGAGTAATGAACTAGTTAATAATGTTATTCTCTAAGGTGAATCACATTCTGTCATGAATGTGTTCAATACCCTCCTAGTTCAAATTAACAAGTAAAGGCTGATTGAACATGTCAATATTCTGGCATTAAACAAAATCTGGGATCTTAAAGATGTGACTTGGAACAGAATCACATGTAACTCATAGTAGTCTTGAAATAGAAAAGGAGAGATATTACACCATTCTAGCAGCCAAAAGATTATGTACTAAATTGGAAACAAATTCCACTTCATCATATGGATTGTAGCGTCTATGACGAATTAAGATTAAAGCATATATTCAAACTTGCTATTCCATTTGCTTTGGCAACACTTCAGTCAAAATAAATTTAATGCTATTTTTTATACCATGCTTTTGCTAAACGAATAATACATGTAGAAGTATCACAACATGATGAATTCTAAGCAATCACTCTTTGTGCCATTTATTATTTTTACTTCGTCATTTTCTGTATTATGTACATTATTTATGTTCTCTATTTCGTCTCTTGTTGTATCTTTAAGACAATAAAACATCTTATATTCTTATCCCACATCTCAAGTTCGGGTTAGTACTGGGGTGGGGAGGGAACAAATAAGGGGATCAAATATCCTGCAAAAATAATTATGTATTTCTTTTTTTTTTATCTATGAAGTACGTAAATGGATACAAAAATATTTAATAATAATCTATATGTACGATAATGAGGATGCATTTGTATAGCACTTAATTTCCATAGAGGTCTGCTCAATGGCACAGAATTGTTCTATCAAGCCTAGACATTATGAGTCATGAGGGAATACAAAATGTCTTTAGATTAAATTTGATTGATGATACAGAGTATGCTTCATTGATTGACATCAACAGTTTATTCCAGAGGAATGGAGCACAAAATTTTTCTGTTCATGTTTAGCCTTGCAGTATTCAAATATTCTTTTCACACAGGATTCTCCACCTTATTAATGTTAAAATATGCATTAACACAGTTATCCTTATTTTAATTATGCTTTTGGATGAAATACCCGGTTTATGTCCCGGAAATATGAGCACCTGAAAATGACTGGGACTGTCTATAGCCAACGAATACTTTACCTGGATCTTTTCAATATTCTACATAACCCAGTTCCTAAATTATTATAAACATAATAAGGCCATCCATAACTTGCTGCTGCAAATGTCATATAATGCCTCATTAATCTGATTGTCATCCAAGGTTTGGGTGGTTGTATGCGTCTGGAGGTGTTTTGTGGTTGTAAATTACTTGAACTAGGACTGTCAATAACAACTGATATTAGCTGACTTGCTGACCGGGCTTGTTGTTTTTTCACCAGTATTAAACCAGCTGCTATATCAGTGGGTACAAGATCTACATCCTGAAACATGAGTAGAACGTTCAAGATGACAAATACCTAATAATAAATTTTTAGCCTTTTGTTTACATTATACTGCCTACTACATGTAAGCTTATAATAAATCCATCAAAGCTGTTTCAGAGTTCAATAGTTAGTGTTCATAAATAAACTTAGATTTTTCAATATCACTTAGGCGGATATTAATACACTTCCCACAACCAAATCTAGTATAATTGGAAATCCAAAAACTTTTAAAGATGTTTAAAATGTAATCTAGGTATAAACTTAGTGAATTCTTTTAAAACATACCACAAAAAAATCTGCAACAAGTTTTGATATTTCAATAAAAGCATCTCTGTTTTCTTGGTTATTAGCTACACAACAACATATCACTTTAATTCTGAAATGAAACAAAACAATAGAAATTGTCATCCATGCATATAAAACTATTTACCTGAAAGTAAGAGGAAAATGATTTTTTATGTTCTTATTATTAATTAATATGACTTGTAGAATGTATACGGGGGGGGGGGGGTTGGATGACCGAATGGTTAGCATGTGCGCGCTGTATCATAAGACCTGTCATTGAGTCAACTAGCGTGGTATCGAATCCCCGGTTGTACATGACAAGGAGTAGGGTTACCTGTCCAACCTTGACCGAATGGTTAGCATGTGCGCGCTGTATCATAAGACCTGTCATTGAGTCAACTAGCGTGGTATCGAATCCCCGGTTGTACATGACAAGGGGTAGGGTTACCTGTCCAACCTTGTGGGTTTTCTCCGGGTCCTCCGGTTTCCTCCCACTGCTAAAGATCCCTACGCGCAAGCGAATTATTGAAGTAAAATTAAACCATACATTAGTCCCGAAATGACCTAATCTGTGTCGAGTGGACGTTAAACCCCATCTCTCTCTCTCTGTAAAATGTATACCAATATTGTATTACGTGCGCAAGGCCAGTAGTTCCCCAAAACATAAAAAAAATAAAGATAGATATGTAAATAGATCCAAGTAAAACATATGCTGACATTAATTGCATGTTAATAACTTTTAAATGAGTTGACTATATACATGGCATGTGTTCAAAATAAATTAAGCCTTAAATTAATCAATGTATAAAGTGTGACTAGCAAGTGCCATTTAGCAATTTCTATACAACCACATTTTCAGATGGACGTATATTGTTGCCACCCCTGTCCGTCCGTTCACATTTGTTTTTGGACGCTCTACAGGTCACAATTTTTATCTGATTCTGACGAAAATTGAAATATAGGTTTATATCCCAAAGATCTTGGTTCCTTTTGATATTGACATGTATCGGACAATACATGTAACTTCATGTTTTTAGTTTGTGGACCCACTAGACATCACAATTTTTTATCTGATTTTGATGAAACTTAAAATATATGTTTACATGTATATCCCAAAGATCTCACTTCCACTTGATCTTGGTCCATAACATCCTGGATTATGGCCCCTTATTGTATGAAAATCCCTTTTTTTAACATGTTCTTTGTCCATCTCTTGCAAAACTTGGGCGTATCTTGCATGGCAACTGCTTGTTTTACTGAGGTCACAATTTGTTAACCCATGTTGATGAAATTTAACACATATGTTTATATCCCAAAGATCTCTGATTATTTTAATGTTGGCGCATATCGATTTTAACGGATGAAGACTCCTGATTGTATGAAAAATCGCATTTTTAGCTTGTTCTCTGTCCATCTCTTGCAAAATGTGGGCGTATCTTGCAAGGCAACCACTTGTTAATCATTAACAGTTCATTAGCTTTTGACAGAAAAATTCCAAAAATACAATGGTGGCAAGTAACCCCTGAATATTGAGATTACTAGTACTACTGCTAATGATTTCAAAGTTTTCTTGGCACCAAAGGGAAAAGATGAAGAAATAAGAAAAATAAATAATTATATAAGTATAATTTTAGAAGAAAAATCATCCTAACAAAAGGGGAGGGCATAAATATCAACAGGTAGATTACGAGAGAGATTAAAGGAACATTTGCATCCGTTGACACACCTGCGATCGATGTACTGTAGACTGGCCTCCCTTGCCTTACTACCGAATAGTTGAGTATGTCAATGTGCACAACTCAATATTATTTGATAGAGAAAAGAACTCTACTTGATTCATATTTTATTTTAAAGAGAATTCACATACAAAGACTTTTATAGACATGATTGAGACTAGTAGCTCATTAAGAATCAGTGTGGGTGAGATATATGTGAAGAAATTGTGGGATTTGTGCTAAAATTATGGAATTTTGCCCATATATAGATCTAGACATCCTGATCATTTTAGGAGTTGAAGCCCTCAGACATTTCCCTGTGGCATGGATGAGGATATTTAGGTGTACTTATAATAGTTAATATTTAGTACCGAACATTAAGATAGGTTGCCAGGCAACAAGCATACGCCTACATCTGCTAAATCATCTGAGCGGTCGAAAAGGGATGTCGCATATTTATTCTTTTGTTGGTAATGGGGGGCCAATTTCGTACAGATCAGATTATAATTTTCGTCGTTTGAGGGTTCACAAGATTGTTGTACAAACTGAAACAAGAGCCTCAACTTACATGCTTTTTGTTTTACTAATTTAAATAATGCACATAAATTTCATACAGATCGGATGTTAACCAATTACTTTTGTCGTTCAAGTGGTCACAAAGTTCAACAGAAACTACTGAATTTCAATAGGCTTCTTCGTTTCAGATCACAACTTTTGTCGTTTGAGGGTTCTCAGGGTTCAACAAAATGAAACAAGGGTCATAACTCTAGAGGCTTCTTTATTTCACTAATTTAAATGATGTATATAAATTTCAAACAGATCGGATAATAACTTTTGTCGTTAGAGCGATCACAATTAAGGTGCAACAAATTGAAACAAAGGCCATAACTCCAGAAGAAATTAACAGAAATTACTGCAATTAAAGAGGATTCTTCATCTCACTAATGTAAACAACATATATCAATTTCAAAACAATCAAATGATAAAAAGATAGGTTGCCAGGCAACAAAACATACGCCCACAGAAGCTTAGTCAGTAATGAAACATCTATAATACGCTAAAATCTGATTAAGAGTAACAACTCATTAAGTAATTATCAGAAAATCATTAGAATCTGTTTGGCTTTTAGTCCTGCTCCATGCTAACATTTAATATCGTGGATTTAGCTGTTGAAAAACAATATACTTGTTTGTATCAATCAAGGGCCATAACTCTGGCAGTAGTTGTCAGAATTCAATGAAAATCAATACACTTCTTCGTCCTATGGCCTTAACTTTAGCCTCTAGACCATCCACAAGATATTTCAAAGTGATCAAGGACAATAACTCTGGCAGTAATTATCGGAAAATCAATAGGCTTCTTCGTCTCATGACCTTAAACACTGTGTATAAATTTAAAGGCAATCAAATATTAACTTTAGCTTCTAAAGCGTTCACAAGAAATTATGGACGTCGGACCGAAGGAAGGGGGCAACGGCAATATACAACCACATTTCTATGTCTTTTATAATTATAAGCAGAAAAAATATTTTATTCCTGATATGGTTTAAATTGTGTACGTGACAAACAAACAATAAAATCATTACTGAAACTATGATTACCCCAGAGAATATATCAATGTATAACCTTTCATCTAACAGGTACATAACATTATTTTTATAAATGCTGACTTTATAAATTATTAAAACAGAATTAAAACGTGGGCAAATCCATTATATTGAGCTAAATAGATATAGAATACAAGAATTGTGTACCATTTTGAGCCAAAACTTTCTGACAAGCTATATAAATTAGTTGTATATTAGCATACTAAATTGCAATTCCAGCGTGATAGATATATAAAATTTTCCCTGAAACAAACAATCCGCGACGGAAAGCTTTGTTTCTTTAAAATTTCAACTTATCTGCTAATAAATAAGACTGAATTTGAAATATATGTTACAAAGATATTGATCAACCAAATTATGTATAACTCACAGATTCAGATGTAATTTAAAATCTGAACAACCTTGTGCGTGCTCTAAAAGCTAAAGTTATAATCTGATTGTACACAGTATGAAAATTCATCAGATGAAAAAAGTCCTGCTGATAGTACAGTTAACCATCTGATTAATTACCATTGCATGCTTTGAAGTAGTAGAAGCGATTCCAAATTTGTTACTTATTGCTGATTATTTCTAATGCTCTCAATACCTATGATTTAGCTGCTGTGGGCATGTTTCATTGCCTGGAAACCCCACAAAGAATATTATTAAAACAAAATTTGAGCAATATCCTGTTCAACATTAAATAAGATTTTAACTGCAAATTAAATATTGATAATCGCTGGCTCTTTAAAAAGACACATTCCGCTGAAAGTATTCATTGGATTCGGGGAGCTATTTCCAATAAAAGTATGGTAACTTGTATATATATTTGAAAGAAGAGACACCCAATCTGATCTAGAAAAACACTGAATTGCCAGGGAAAAAAAAACAACATGGGGCATACAAGACAAAAATGTAAGGTTATCCCTAAAAGTCTGCTTGTCTGCTCGAATGAGAGGGATGTGATGCATGCTTTTGATAGATAAATTAGTTTGAATGTTTTTAGTTCAAACATTATCATCAAATCACACAGTTTGTATGCTGGAAGGCATTTTTAAGGTTGTACTCAAATTGAAACTACAGTTGAATGTGACAAAAGGGAAGCTCAATAAGTTGAGTCCAGATTCAGAACATTTGGTATTGATAGAATTAACACGGAGCAACACAGTATGTGTTCTGTCAGACTTGACAACTGATATGGATAAACAATAATATAATAAACACAGCAAAAATATCTCAATATAGCAAATTAATTATGTTTATATGGTATGATCAAGAAATCAGAGTTAAGATAAATCATACTGCCATTTTCAACTAAAATTTAGGGTTTGTTGATATTTCGATCAAGTTCAGCCTTGTTTCTTATGTAAGCCATTAAATGTTCTCGTTTTACCTATAAATTTGAAATTTGAAAATGAAATATTTAGTGAGAAGAATTACATGATATATATATTCTAACTGGGATTTGTTTTCAAATTTCTTAATATCATCATGTAAATTGTAATATCCAAAATGTATGACAGAAGAGGGATAGATCACTGTTGGTCCGGTGTTCACAATTGCTTGTGGACGCTCTAGAGGCTAAAGTTAATATCCAAATTTATACACAGTGTTTAAGGTCTTGAGACGAAAAAGTAGATTGATTTTCAACGATTTCCGACAATTACTGTCAGAGTTATGGCCCTTGATCACTTTGAAAATTCTAGTGGACGCTCTAGAGGCTAAAGTTAACATCCGATTGATTTTCAATTTATACACAGTGTTTAAGGTCATCTTGTCGGTGCTTTAGAGACCATAGTTATCATCTGATTGATTTTATATTTATACACGGTGTTTACACCTATATATATAATCCTTTTGATTGACTTAAGATTGATTCGTAGACTTCAAGGTCTTGAGACGAACAAGTACATGTATATTGATTTTCAATGATATTTGATAACTTGAACAGCTAAATCCATGATATTAAATGTTTTGTATACTAAATGTTAGCATGGGCCAAACAAACTGTAATGATTTTCTGATAATTACTTAATGAGTTGTAACTCTTAATCAGATTTTAGTGGTTTTAGTGTTTCATTACCGACAAAAGTAAAATTATGTGACAACTCTTGTTGACTGCCCGGATAATTTAGCTGCTCTGAGCGTATGTCATTAAGAGTATTCCACAGGCTTTGCGTAGTACATGTAGTAGTACAATGGTTCATAAGTGATATTATCGCAGACAAAACCATGGAGAGCCGACGATTGTTCCTGTATTTTAGAACAAGATTTTGCAATCTTTCCATTGACGGCCTTAAACCATGGATTGGTTTAGTGGGAATTTCTTCCCTTTATTATAAAAAAAAATCATAACGTTTGGTAGTGGATCTAGTGTTTAGGTGCCTGGCCTGTGTAATCGTAACCTCCTTTTACTTAACTACATTGTATCCTACTGGTACATGTACATGACATAGGTGTCTATTTAGCTGCTGCTCCATTTGACCATGACCCCCTCTTACTCCACTATCCTGCTAATTTGGAATAGGTAATTTTTTAGTTCAAGTGTTTAGATGCCGAGCCCACCTAACCATGACACCCTCTTACTTCACTATTCTACTTAATCGAACCGTGGTATTAGTTTGAAGATTTGCAGTTTTAGGCCTGGTTTTTGAAAGAGTAGGTTCCTGGTGTTGAGAAGTATATTGTTGTTTTCCATCCTCCCCACTAGTTCCCTTCTCTCCTCATTGTAAACTTCAGTCTACCAGCACATGACTGGTGGTATATACTTTGCCGCACTCACAGATGATGACTAGGTATTTGACCCTTGGTTTCGATATAAGTTTGAATATATCTCTTCTGGGGAAGCTTTGAGAATATGGGCATTGGATAAACAGATGCTTTTCACTTTCAGACGTACTGTGGCAGAAATCACATAGACCTGAAGCCACTTCTCCAAATTTCAATAATCAACTCTCGATGCTATCGTTAGCCTGCGATATTTAGTGGCTTTGAATGTGTTTTGTTGTGGATAAAATAACCATAAAAATGGACAACTGAGACTTTGTTTACTATCGTAACAACAGTAGTAATGATGATCAAGGCTGCCTAAGATTGAATTGCCAATATCTAGATTTAGAGTGAAGTAATTTGACTTAAACTTCCAGCATATTCTCTTTTCATTATCTGTATTTTTACTATTATAGCAAGAACTGTCAGCTCTTTATCTAATCTTGCCTATATAATGCCCCTCTAAGGAAATCTTTATCTTTGTATAAATATTATATTTCTACTCAAAAATTGTAAAGTGTCACTCTTTGTTTTGTTACAGTATTCAAATTTTGATACACGGTTAGATATTGGAATCCTATCTCCGACTTTTTAAACTGTATAGTATTACAGTTGAGGAAGAGTTGTTCATAGAAATGAATACTAAATTTTGCATACCGTATTTAGGGTTATAATTACTACCAGATAAAAGTAAAGGGTTATTATGTGGTGAAATGCAGAAAGAAAATATTTCAAACCATGGACTAGTCTGTGAATATTTTATTAATCCCAAACAAGGATTTACAAGATAAATGTTCATGACTATAAATCATCTTTAAACCGCCACGTGAGAAGTCCTTATAAATCACCTCACTTTTTATTTTCCCATAGAAAATTGTATAAAAGTTTGTTTGATTTGTTGGCAATACAATCAGGAACATAAAGTGACTGTAATTGGTGGGATAGTTTTAAAAGACAAAATGCTTTTATTACGACTATTTTATCCATCAATGTCGATTTTCGTAATTTCCAATTATTTAACCTGTTTTGTTTTTTTTAATTCAACAGGAAAAATGAAAGCCAAGGATTTTAATTGAGAAGATACATGATGACAGTATATATTATATTATTTAAGTCTGTCATTTATTTACATTGTATTATACAATTGTTTATGCATGTATTTTTGTAATTTGATTTGATGTATTATTAAGCCAATAAATTAAATTTATAAAAAAAATCTCAATAGTTTTGAATTGAAATTTGACTACTATTAAAAAATTTACTTATTCACTTCCTGTATACTTTGTCACCTTATATTTATATAGTTCATTGTCCTTGTTTGCAAGATGGAGAGAATTGATCGTTAAATAAAGTATGGTATCCCCAAAGAATTGATGGCTTAATATACATAAAGGTTGCTTTTCTGCTTTTCAAACATATAAATCCAAAGGCTTTACTTTGCAATACAAAGAAAGTACATTAACTAGGTCTTCATCCCACTGGAGTTTTTTCGATTCAGTTGTCACAAGCAAATTAAGACAATATTTCTCTTTATAAAACAACCTTTTATTCTGTTAAGTTCACCTCCTTTATCATGTACTGGGTCAGACTGAAGCATGACCAAATGAATCGTACATTCCTGAAGTGATTTCAATAGCACTGAGCCTAAGCACTGCAATCCATTTCCATTCAATGCTAAAATAAATTGTATCTGTAGTGACTGCTAAAGGGCATTGGCGATATCATCTACATGTAGTCAGAGAATGGAAAGTGGAAAATAAAACTGATATATGCCACAATGAAATTTGCTCATAAACTTCCTCTTTGATCTGTTTCAAAAATAAAATTGTTGATATCACTGGGTTTCATATGTTGATTTTTTGGGTGGGGTTAATTGTTCAAAATTTACCTTCATAGATAAAGCCAATGTTAAAGGACCTATGTCCGTAACTCAAAATCCTCTAAAATCTTCGACATCGATGTAAACTTACCGGGAAAAGATGAGCTTCTGATATCCGATATTTAAGATAAAATAATTTTTTTAACATTGGTACACGAATCGTGTACCATAATGCGCTTCAGCCCCAGTTGTATTGAGAGACTCGAGGGATGAGGCTAGACACATTGCACCAAATCAAATGGAGTTATGTAGACTAGAATAACTAGACGCTAGAAATTTGCAATCAATTGAGATTGCTGACTTATTTCGCCGAACATAACTGATTTGAAATTGGAGTAAAAACGGAAACCATTAAATGTAAATCAGTTTATACACATTCATATTACAGTATTATATGCGTTGCGACCCACTTTTGTGAATTTCTAGGTCCCAAATGTTAGCGATTTAGCTCCTTTAAAGATACATTATGTGAGATTAGATAAAGAGCTGGCAGTTCTCACCATAATAGTTAAAAACTATATAATGTAAAGTTAATTTGCTGAAAATTTGAGTCAAATTGATGCACACTGAACCAAGTATTTAGCGATTGAATTCTGGGCCTAGTCGGTATGATAAAAAACAAAGTCTCGATTGTCTAATTAATAATTTATATAACATTTCAGGCCTAAAGAAAGACCTGCAATTGGCAGATTTAGCTCTTGCATAATGTATGTTTAAGATATGACCAATTGTAATCAAAATTGTAGACAAACCAACTTTAACTTAATTTTTCAAAATACATGACGAGATTATCATAAAAGTTAAAATACTGATCAATCCCCAATTTAATATTTTATTTTTATGTAAATCAAAGTGGTTCATCTTGTTCTAGTTCTACTTTAGATATTGAGCTTACTTACCTTCGTTCCCAAGCTTTTTTAGCAGCATCACTCTGATATTCTAAAGCACCTTCTGGCGTTCGCTTAGCTAGTCTATTTTTCTGATGATACTCTCCCATTGGATCAAATATAATAAATATCACTACTAAAACAATAAATCCCACAATCCATGAACAGATAACAGCTCCTTTTACCATCCAAACTAGAATTTCTGGACAAGCATATGTGTATCCATATGCCCAATAGGTACCCAGAATCACCCACACACATTCTGGTACCAACACTCCCAATTTGATGTATAGTAACAGCGCCATCTTGGAACGTGGTTCAGAAACAGCAATTGTTCCCTTCATGCTAACAATCATTATTGTGGTTGCCACAAGAATATTTAATATCTGTATTACTAGAAGACCAATATGATATATCTTCAACAAATTTGCATCTTGACAGGTAAAATTATCATGATTTATATAGAACACCACAGATATTGCTATCAACCTGAAAAAGAAAATATGTTTGCATTATTACTGCCTTTCGGCTTTTGGATTTACAGCCCATTCATTGTGCATATACAATGTGCTTTACAATGTGTTGGTAGTTCAACCAATGCACTTTAAAATATGTGGTCTTGTTCAACCGAAGTGCTTTAAAAAATGTGTTGATGTTCAACCAATGTGCTTTACAATGTGTTGATGCCCTTTACTATGCAGTTGTATAATTAACATGCACATCTAGTAGGGTATTCCCTTAAACATACGGGGATAACAGTGGCTAAGTGGCGTGGTTCCCCCTTGTCAGTGATGCAGGACGGAGGGCCTGACAAGGTCGGATGGAATGAAAAACCGAGGTACTGTGAACATATTGGCTTGCACATACAAGATCCCTTGAGAGTTGGAATTCGATATAAGAGTAGGCTGTAGTGCTGCTGTCCAGGCAAAATTTCCCTCATAGCACACTGTATGGCGTTTTTGTCATCATTAGCCCAGTTCGGAGCAGATCTGCAGAACAGTAGAATGTTAAACCCCAATTCATTTCATTTTCCTTAAACATACATTATGTGAGAGCTAAATCTGCAAGTCTTTCTTTAGGCCTGATGTTATCTAAATTATTAATTAACTTATTCCGGCCATAATCAACTGTCGATGTCATTGCTAGCCTGCAATATTTACTGGATTGGAATCAGAACTGCTGCTCAACGCTTATTGATAATTAAATCAAAAACTGGATAATCAAGACTAGGCCTAAAATTCAATCGATAAATTCTCGGTTCAGAGTGAATCAGCAAATTCCCTTTACGTTATCTAGTTTTTAACTATTATAGTGAGAACTAGGCCATCTCTTTATCTAATCTCCCATAATGTATCTTTAACAAGATTAAATTTACTATGATGGGTCCCAAACTGATAGCATGAGGCTATTTTATTTGACCATGATTGTCATATGCAGTTCAATCTAAATCCAACAAACTCAAATTTCTAGCATTTAAAATAATTGGTTGTTGTGACAAGTGTCATCTGAAAAGCTATTTGGATGCAAGGAGAATATTGCAAAACAGAAAACCTTATACGATCAATAATTGGTCCCAAATAGGACAGTGTGAGAATTACTATAAATAATATTTCAAAATGCTTGAAAAACCCTGAACTTTTAAACTTTCGCTGTTAAAAGAGCAGTCCCAGATCTCACAGGGTATTCAATGATAGAGGGAAGTTGAAAAGCTAATAATTAAAAGTAGCCTGCTTACTTTAGTTTATAATTTCCCCCTTTATTTCAAAATATTAAGATGTCTGAAAACCATGATCAGAATTGCTTAACAAGACTTGGTAACTATGCTAATGTTTGCTTGTAATGATGTTATTGAAGGCAAACAAGCCAGATTGTGCCCACTCAAAAGTCAAATATATAGATATAATAAAGATGCATTATGTAAGGGATAAATCTGCCTATTCAAGGTCTTTTCTGGCTTCAAATGTTTTGTAAATTATTATTCTGTCATTTATTACATGACAAGCGCATAATCAACTCTCTAGGGTATCGGATGGCTTCAATATTCATTGGTCTAGAACACATGCGCTATTAAATTGCTAAGAAAAAGGAAAATCAAGACTTCATTATCAGAGTAATTACAAAACTTCAGACATTCATAACATCACTCACAACAAGCAATTGACATGCAAGATATGCCCACATTTTGCAAGAGATGGACAGAGAACAACCTAAAAACAAATAATCAGGGGTCTTAATCTAGGATGTTACAGTCTGATATGTGTCAATATCAAAAGGAACCAAGACCTTTGTGATATAACCATATATTTTAAGTTTCATCAAAATCTGATAAAAATTGCGACCTTTTAGGAGAGCAGCTCTTTTGTCAGACAGTCTTGGTCAGATTTTCCCGAAATTCAAATGGTGATATATTTTAATGGTTTTTAAAAACAAAAAAAAATTGTGACTTCTAGGTGTCTACAAGCTGAAAGTGTGATTTTTCGTATAATTTGTGGCTAAAATCCAGGAATATCGAAAAAAACCGAGATCTTTGCAATATAAACATATATTTTAAGTTTTATCAAAATTAGATAAAAATTGTAACCTCTAGAGTGTCCACAATCTAAAAACGTGATTTTGTGTGACAATCAGGGGCCGTAATCCTTTAATTAAGGTCCGATACGTGACAATAACTTTAATTCAAGTTTCGTCAAAATCTGATAAAAATGGTGACCTGTATAGTGTCCACAAACAAATTGTGGACGGACAGGGGTGACAATATAATATGTCCACATGAAAATATGTTTTTGAATAAAAGTATGTTTCTTTGTGTGAAATGAAATGAAATGGATTTTAACATCCTACTGGGCTAATGAAGACAGTGTTTCATTGTGTAAATTCTATGTTTAAACTTTATAATATCATGGTAGTTCATGTTTCATTGAGTAAATTCTATGTTTAAACTTCATAATATCATGGTAGTTCTTTAAGAACTCTGTGATAATAATGTACAATTGTCTGCCAACTATATGAGTGGGTGTTCCGTATATTAAATAATGTAAACAACATAATGAAAGGAAAATGCACAATAAGCCTTTTTTGCACATATATATCACAGTAAGATTTGAAATACAATATTTTCTCTTAAACAGCTAAATAATTTATAACTATATGGCTATATAACATAATTATGTAATGTCAATTTACTTTGGCTTTGTGGATAAAATATTACAATTTATTTTAGGATCAGTAGTCGAATACCGTGTTTTATCAGTGAAATAAAAGTGTTATTCCACTGGCTAGTTGTTTTTACCTAAAATGATTGTAAAATCATAAAATAAATAGAACATTTGTCGTTTTGTCGTGAATAACATATTTTATTTCATCTCTAAGCAAGAAAACGTTTATATTTTCACTCATGCTACGCATTCGTGAAAATACAAGTTTTCTTGCTTCTCGATGAAATAAAATATATTATTCACTCTAAAACGACAAATATCCTCTATTTCTACTCTAACTGCTACAGTCATTTTGAGATACATAGATGTAGTATTACATTACTGTATATTATAATTACACTTTTGTCTGCTAATTGTTGCAAAATGCAGCATACTATATTATACAATAATGTCACTAACCATATATTCACATCTCATATTGCCATGAATGTTCAGTCAATGAGAAATATTGAGCTTTGGACTATTGTTTAGGGGGGAGCTTATTTTTTTGATAATTTCATTATAATTCTGAATATAATAATATTCATAATTGTTTGATAAACATAAGCCATTTGTAGAAATTTCTCTCAAGGGTGCAAGTAAATAAGCATTTTGGTTTATCACATAAAACTACCACAATGAAGTCAGTCATTGGTTCTGTAACCTTTAGCAGTCAACATAGCTACTAGAACATAAATATTATTATACAACCGACTATGAACACAATAAACTCATAACACTGGCTACACTTGTGATGAATAAGTGATAATTCACCAAGTTATAATCAGGCATCAATATTTCTCCAAAAAGCTTAGTTTGTAGTAATGTTATAGAGTATAAACTAAGTGTTGCTTGACACATGTCTGTCAGGCACCGCCGACAAAGACCTTCTCACTCACAGACTGTTATACTGACTGATAGAGTGACAGTAACCACAAAACATATGTATAGACTGAAAAATTATTTGGAACAGGAACCGAGCATGACGTCATCAGATACATCTTGGAATTGTGATGTCATATAAATAACCTCAAAACACTATGTGACAAGTAGTAATGGAGACACCCACTAAAACCAGTCACAGATTTAAGGGGTGGAGGGGGGACAGGCGACCCTATAATTCGGTAGGGCGGGTAGGCCTACTCCTTGTCATGTCCAAGCTGGGAATCAAAACCCTGCCACTTGACTTGATGAAGACAAAGTATTTTTGGACCAAAGTAAAGTGCCGGATTTACTGTTGTGCTTAGGTGTGGTTAAATACAGGGGGGACTCCATCCGCCCTGATAATTAAAAAAATTGCCTAAAACTTGTTGAAAATAATGACTGATCAGGTAACATGTAATATTTTAACTATTTCTAAATTTTCTGAGCATGTATGCCAGTCTATCTGTGTAGGCATGCCTGGAGATATAATTAAAAATTCCATCTCCTAAATGCAGATAAGTTGATTGTGTTATAGTGATCTATCTGTAGTTGGATCAATTGTCTTCTGGATGACAAATGATCCAACTGCACGTGGGCTGAGGTTGATAGTAAAAGATATTCTATAGATGTCCATTAGATCACTTGTCATGACTACTAAACCCACTTAACACACTGTATACTGATTTGTGTGGTTGTTTTCCAACTTGCCAATTCCAAGGTCTATCAATTTTGTTTCAAATAACATACGAGTAGGTAATTACAAATAAAATTCATTTTCTACAGAACAAAATTGATTTTGGATCATTAAGTAGAGAATAGAAAAAAGTATTTATGAACCACAAGAATGGTAAGATTAAATCCTAAGCCAAGGATTATGTATACCCCACTGTTTTCAGATCAAAAGTCGAATGTACAATATGCATAGTAATTTCCCCTTGAAAAATTTTAAAGGATCCATTTTGATGGCTTAAAAGCAAGGTCACCAACCGAGTCAATATCGAGGTGTTACGGCCATTTTGAACCAAGATTTGTGAGCCACATTTAGTCTGAGTGAGTAAGGCGCTGGCTCACTAACTAGGAGGGCTGGGGTTCAATACAGTGTGTTTTTCCCTCATCAGTGATTCAGGACGGAGGGTCTGGCAAGGAACAGCATCTAATCGTTTGGATGGAAGGGGGGAAAAAAAGGAGGGGAAAAAAAAGGAGGTCCCAAGTATATATTGGCATACATGTAAACGAATCTTTAACAGTTTGAATTGAATTGCTATACGGGCAACCTGTCCCTTATAGCACACATATGGGGGGGGGGGGGTGTCTTATGGTCATAAGATATGTCATCGAGTCAAGTAGCATGTTTTCCATTCCCACTAGGGTGATATTGCAGACAAAATCCCTCTCCATCTACACCCTTGGGCCATATGGAAGTTACACTTTCTGTCTATTGACAATTGACACAGAGCTAATTGATCGACATTGGCGATTTTAGTCCAAAACACTATGTATATTGTATACTTTAAGAAACAGATTAAAACTGCATAAACAAGATATAGTACACTCATTTTCCAGAGTCCCTGCCATTCAGGGCCAAGATCTATCTTCAAAGAAGGCTGCACTTTTCCCTCTAATAACCATTTCCCACACCCATGTCTTGTCACTTTCCACCTATTATAGTCTCTCTCTCTCTCCCTTTTCACAAAACACACACATCCCAATTCCATACACTTGTTACCTTTCACCTCAACTACCAACATTAGCCATATATACCAAAAAATTCTCAGACACCCACCTTATCTCCAGATCTTCCCTCTGACCCCACCTATCTTATCCATGTCCCATTCACCTTTCACCCCCACCCCTAGCTACGAGAACGTAGCTAAAAACGTTGAGATATACTGATGTGTTTGTTTTTAGCTACGATTGGATGCCTTTACTTCCAAGTGGCAAACTCAATTTCTTTATTAATGCATGTTACATCTTTAAAATAAGATGAGTTTATGCTATTATGATTAATTAAACTTACAGAGGCCAATGTAGTGGCACAACTGTCGCCTAACTCCAAATATTCGCGTTTTAATTAATGAAGCGTTGTTTTTGTCTGACTTTCACCGCCATCAAAATCCATTCATAGTTAAAATGCTTTAGATTGCCCTTTTGATTGGCTGTTATAAAAGCCTTATATTTAGCCCCGCCTTCATGATGACAGCATATCGTTTAAAAAGATGGTGGTCTTAGTAACGGCTTAACGCCTCGATTTGTACCCGTTTCAGGTAGGATTATATGCTAAATTGTAGTTGGATGTGGCAGAAATATTATAAATAACAATAATCAATCGTTTTGATTAAAAATATTGTCAATTTTGTTTACAAATGCCGGGTGCGAATCGCTCCCGGCAGTGCTACATTGGAATTAATGGCATCATTTCTTATCTCGAAACACGGAGGGTTGAGAGGTAAGATTTGTTATCTTCCCCACCCGATGCTTCCACCAGTCTTAAATCTGCCTCTCTCCATCTTCACCATGACCCACACACTTGAAATTATTCAAAGAACCTGCTTGATTTCAGTAAGTCATGCATTCAATTATTCACTTCAATTTCGCAAAAAATTTTGGAAAATCTAACGGCTGTAAACATGTTTTCATGGTGCGAATCTTGATAGTGGGAAAATAGTGTTAAGACGGTTGTATTAACATCCTCTATTTCATGTAACACTTCACTGGTTTGCACGAATAAATTGAATAGTCAGATTTTTTATGCTCCTTAATTCCATCACATGTGTAAAAATAAAATAGACAGGCCCTACATGTATTTAAGTAACGTCCTTGTTGAATAATTAAGTATGCCAATAATAATATATAATAATAAGACGACAGTGTGTGAAATTGTATACGTATGTATAACGTCAACAATAAATAAATTCATTATTTATACATTTGGATTATGACGTGACTTTAATTACATTTTTTAATGACCCAAAATCTTTTATGAAATGTGTTTCATGTAGATTCATCTAGAAATATCAGATAAATTTATACATTTTGTGATGCATAGGCATGCGAGCGATGAATGTTTGCAAATCTAACTGCTGCATACAGGTTTTCCTGCTATTCCAGCTCGTGAATACAACAACTTAAATGTGGTCTAATATAGCCTACCTTACGTGACTTACCTGAATCCCAAATCCAAACAACCAATCAATCGTCGTGGGGTATGGGGGGGGGGGGGGGAGGGGGGAGAGGGGAGTGTTCCCCCGAGAAAATTTAACTACTGCAAATGCATTTTTCTGCTATTTTAGCCCCTGAATTAAGCAACTTCAAAGTTTCCAGTCGGTTTGCAACCGAAATCCTACTCTATGCCGACCTAAATTCCAGCCATCCAATCAGGCAGCGGCATTCGCAAATAATAATTGTTGCCCGAAAAATGTCGAACAAAGTAGAGCGGCTCCAGACAAAATGCTTTTATTGATAGTCAATTCAGTACAAACTTGTGATAATTGATTAAAAGAAAAGTAAAATTAGTGTTTTATTAGGTTTTGGGCATCTTATTTATTCAATTCCCCGGTTGTGACAAGGAGTAGGGTCGCCTATCCAACCTCATGGGTTTTCTCTGGGTCCTTCGGTTTCCTCCCACTGCTAGACCCCTAAGCGCAAGCGAATTATTGAAACAAAATTGGACCATGTGTTAGTCCCGAAATGACCTAGTTTGTGTTGAGTGGACGTTACACCCCATCGCTCTCTTTATGATTTACGTTTTTGGCATATTTCATTTAATTATCTGGAATTATCAAAAAAAAAAATTCATTTTTTTGATACACTTTAAAAGGCCTATCCTACGTATTTTTTTATTTTTTGGGTTACCATGGTTACTAGAAACGGTTAGTTACCGTATCTAATAATAGTAATAATATTTAAAAATCACCTAGATCTATATTTTGTATGGCATATTTGTTTATCTTTAAAAAATATATAATATGTATCATTGAGAATCGATCCGATATTCGTATTTGCGTTGTGTTCTACCCTAGCACTACTAGTACATAAGTATAAGTGTGTGTCGAAACCTTCCTAGTTTTAAGCGGTGCCGCTATTATTTCTATTTAGAATCTACTTACCAGGCCAATCGAAGTATAATTTCCAGCAAATTTGGATACACAAAATCATCACTCCCTACCGACCAACGCCTTCTAAACATGACTAACCCCGGCATCTTGCCGGCCAAGCTTTAGGAAAGCTTTATAATCACAACATTTGGGATAATTTTCTAGAATAAATATCGCCAGTAACACCCGAACTCAAATGAGCCCGACTTAACCAGCCTGATACACCCAATCATCTTCGTTAGTCCGTGTTAATAAAAATCCGATAAAACGCACCCAAACACTAATCACTAAGGGCCCAATCGCTCGATTTACTACACTAGGTAATTTTAAACACGATACCAAATCAAGTACAAGGCAAGTTTCAAAATAGGAAGTAATATTTTCAAAATGGCTGATCTGGTCTGCAATATAGGCCTAGTTTTTTATAGGTCATTTTGCCTTTGGTTCATTTGGTTTCGTTTATTGGAAATCAATTTGGGCTTTTTGTTTTGTTGTAGGCCTACCACCCAACTAAATTCACACAATACAAGGGTCAGACAATTAAATTTCGAGATATATAGCCAAACTTGTCACCCAGTAAGCATCGACACAACATCAATATAATGTTGATAAAATGTTAAATCATGATGTTGAGTACCCGTGTATATTAAGTTGAAACAACGTGTAGGTGTAGTCTAGGTCTACAATACATGGTGAATTATGGATGTATTTGTAAGTTGAAACAACGTGTGTAGTTCAACATTTATACTACAATTCCATTGTAACATGCTTAAGGATGAATCGTCGATTAGGTCTATTGGACAATAACACCCCTCTAAATTAGAAAAATCACTGCATATTAATATTATGCGTACTACTTTACTGGAGATAACCACAATGGAGACAATAAATTTTGATCTCGGTACATTAGATGAAATATTTGGAGATATGTCCGAAGATGAACTTGAAACGCCAACCCCCTTGTCAGGTAACAGCAACAAACAACAACATTTTCAAAAATCTATTACAAAAACATAAATTTTGTTTCAAAAAGTACTTTTTAAAAAATGAAGTGAGAATTTTAGGGTTTTTTTTGGGTGTCTAAACTCATACGGCCATTATAGCAACCAGACGATAAGCGAGCCAAATCTAACATGAGCAGCCAGTTACCCCGCTACGTCACGACGTTTTCATTACATCAAAATTGATTTCTTTGGTTTTTCCGTCACTAAAACCGATTTGCAGTGAGACGAATTTTGAAGTTTACACAATAAAATAAGTTCTTTTAAAATTCTAAAAAATAGCATGTTACAATGTCGATAAACACCTCCTGTTTCGCATTTAGAGGGGTATTATTGTCCAATAGACATGTCCTGAGATTTTACATTAGACCTCATGATCTCAGGACATGTCTATTGGACAATAACACCCCTCTAAATGCGAAACAGGAGGTGTTTATCTCCTAAATATTGATTAAATTTTAGAATTTCAAACGTTGAGTTGAAATAAAACATTTTAAACATACATCATGCAAGAGCTAATTCTGCCTATTGCAGGATTTCTCCGATATTAAATAGATTACAACAGTTCAGCCATATTTTGATTTAAGCTAAAAATGGAGGAGCGAGACTTAGCTTCGTGAGAAATACAAATAAAATATTGGGTTTAATTTTAGAAGGTCAGGGATGATTTTTAATGTTATATAAATCACTGGTAAGAGTCCACTGACTCCGGGGTGGGGGGGGGGGGTGGATGGCCGAATGGTTAGCTCTGAGGTCCACGTGTTTCGAAGTTATTTAAATACATGTAGATCTTTAATTTGGGTTTGGAGCGAAACTTTTTACAATGTACGGTGGCCCATATACGACTTTTAAATGTACAAGATAGAATTATGCTTTCTAATGAAATCTTATTTAACGTGATTTTAACACATCACAGATAACTTTTAACCAAAGCAAAATAGATATATATTTCTAATGATATATCAACCAAAAAATATGCTTTTATTTAAATGTATGTATGTATGGGTGCGTGTAGGCTATATGTGTGCATATATTTATATATAAAACTTTTAAGCTGTAAATATCCTGTGAGATTATTCTTGTAGAATGAAAATGAATTTTGTATTTTGTATAGTTTGTGAATAAATTTAAAGCGCGTGCGAATTGCATCATAAGGTCTGTTATTGAGTCAACTGGCGTGGTTCCGATTCCTGTACGTGACACGGAGCAGGGTCACCTGCCCACCCTCATAGGTTTTCTCCGGGTCCTCCAGTTTGCTCCCACTTCTAAAGACCCCTATGTGCAAGCGAATTATTGAAATAAAATTGAACCGTGTGTTGGTCGAGGAAAGAGGAGATAGCGACTTGTACACCCATGCTACAAAATATCACCAGCTAGGACTATTTCAGATGGACATACATCAATTAATTATACGGGGCCCTGAGTTCAAGCTACAGAAACCAAGATGCTGCCATAATACAAAACACAATTTCTTCACATCAAGAGATGTCAACCATTGGAATAACCTGCCTGCAGAAGTCACATAAGCCAAAGCACTGAACTCCTTTAAGAACCAGCTAGCTAGACAGATAATATGTATGTTAGGGCAAAATGTCCCGCACAGTCATCACACTGTGCACGTTATGCCTTCTGAAAATAATTACAAACCATTTCCTAGCTGATACAATTATTTAATTAACTGCATTTGGCTGTGTAGATATGGACCTTTTATAATTGATTATAGGGTTCATGGCTATGGTCTCTTGTGACTTTTTAGGCATCGCTAAATTTCACTTACAGGGTGTTTGTTCCGTTATCGGATTTGTGAAGATGATTTGCGACATCGGCTGGCTTAGTCGGGCTCGATTGAGACACTCGTCGTGATGACGCTTTGACCTTACTATTTTAGTTCACTAGCGTACAACATCTGGATATTCCGAATTTAGCCAAACTCTAAATAAGATGAACCTTGATTGGTGTAAATATATAGTACTAGCCTATCAACTGCCATCACATTGTTGAAGGAAGTGAGATGATGACCTAGATATAGTTCTCGGTTGTCCAACCATAGAACTAAATACACAAACACACTATACTTTTATAAAGAGGCTCTAGATCTTTGTCTGGATAATCAAGTTATAATTTATTCCCATTGACTTGGAATTCCCGGCCAAACGTCAAACACGTGTGGTTGTTTGTTTTCGGATTGGGGAAATTCGAACTGTGCTCAATGGTAAATGAACTGAATGATTAAGTTTTATCAGTTTTGGTTTATCCATGTGGTTAATAACTTTTTATTGTAACTTTTAAAGTTACATGTCATGTAAGCTAGTAGTAGTAGCCTATAACTTATAAATACGATAAGATTAAAATTATTTATATAATATTAAGCAAATGGAGTGGTAAGACTAAGAGTAAGATAAGATTTTATATTGTAAAATGTATGTCACATGGGTACTAACTACTATATCACATGGCCCACTTCTGGCAGCATACAAATTGATAACCATTCGACAGGGAATGCCCACTAGTCCGCGGGTTCATATTAATCCACCGATATCTATTATTCTATAGGGTTGGGTTAGGGTTCATTAGTCCACTCACTCCACTGATATCTACATATGATAGGGTTAGGGTTATAGGTTTATTGATACCCATATTTAATTTATAGCATTTCTTATAGCGGCGGACTAGTGCACCCGCGGTCTAGTGAACCCCTCCCCATTCGACATATTTATAGTTAATAATTATATATTTGTGTATGATTCATGAACCTTTCAAAGATGCCGTCCCACATACAAACTGTGTGATCTGAGGATATATTTTGACTAAAATAAATATATATTCAGATTAATTTATCCCTAAACAGTTTGCTTCAAATCCCTCTCAAATTACCCAGTGACGGATCATATGAGGACGGTAGGCCCTGAAATGGTGATCTGTGGAGTATAATCCCGGGTTGGATGTCATATACTTAGTTCTAAGCAGTTAGTGTCTATCTAGATTAGTAATCTGAATGAAGTTGCTGCAGATCATATTTCCATTGGAAATTCCAAATAAAGTCCAGAATTTGTTTCTTCAGAAATATACTCAGAGAATTGATTCAAAATTATGTCACTTTCCTATTATCATTGCACGAGTTTGCAAAACGAATTAATAAATGACATCAGTGAGTCAGTAGCATTTCTGGCGGTCGAATTTTCAAAATGTGTCAAATCAAGATATTCTGCGACGAAGGAGAGAGAGAGAGAGAGAGAAATGGGGTTTAACATCCATTTGACACAAACTAGGTCATTTTGGGACAAACATATGTCATAAAAGATACACCTCATATTGATACAATGCACTTGTTACACAAAATAGGCCAACATAATTTGTATTACAGCTTATTTTGCAAACTGAAAGATTTATCAAGGACTTGCACCGAACACGAACCGGTGCTTGTAGAAGAATGTAAGATCAGTCAGTGATAAACCTAAATAATATAATTGATGAATCGCTAAATTTCTGAATTATAATTCAGAAATTTTGCTTCTGTTTCTTGAGACTGGCGAAGTCATCAATTATAACACCCAAATTTACCTCTAGCAACAGTTTGTGCTCAATGCAAGTCAGTGAGATACCGTGAGAGATATTTTTTTTGTCAGTTTTGTTTGTCATGTGACTTGATTGGGTTGGGAATCCATTATCAGCTTGTATTCATCGCAAGTCGCTGTTTATTTACCATTAATATTGAAGCTCTTCAGTAAATTTGTGGGTTATCTGCCAACTTTTTTTTCTGCCGTATATGGATGTTTAATTCTCTGAATGGTCTCATAACCGTTAGCCATAAGATAAACACATAACCACTCCTTATGCCACAGGGGGGTTGGGATGGCCTAGTGGTCTAGAGTGTCACGCTTCGACCTCTAGTTGGCCGGTCACCTCTGGCTTGCGACTGTGGTTTCGATCCCAGGTGTGAGCGTATGTGGCTTGGAGATAGGGGCGCCTTCTCAACCTCGTGGGTTTACTCCGGGTACTCCGGTTTCCTCCCACAGCAAAGACCCCTGCGCATGCGCTAAGATCATTAAAATGAACTTGTCTGCGATATCACCTTCGGTGGAAGCGGACGTTAAACGCTAAGAACAACAACAACAGGAGAAGACAGGCTGACATTTAGGGATACCCTAACATTTTTGTTTTGTGCTTGCCCCATGTTTGTTTTTTCAAGGAATCCAGTAGTTTTCTTAAAAGATTAGGTTTCTCTACTTTCATGTATCGAAATTGTCATACATTTTTTGAGAATAACTAACCGATAAATACTTTCATAAGAATGTATCATTAATTGCAACAAATCCATGTAGGCAAATAATAATCATTTTCTAGAGCGCTGAACCTTTTTATACACCATACACAGCATGCAGATAGCTAATATTAATAATAAACACATTGTTCTTAAGAGCTAACTTCTTATGAGTTGTGTACAATAGTATCAGATTCAAGAGATCAGCATATTTATGGAATTCTGTATTTGTCTCTTATTCTGTTAAAGATACATTATGGGAGATTTTTATAAGGAGTTAGCCATTCTTGCTATAACAGTTCAAAAATAGATGATGAAAGAAGAATATATTGAAAATATCAGTCAAATTACTTTATTCTGAACATAGTTCTCACCAGTGTAATTTTTGACTAGAAATGGGATTGAATTCCATCTTCACCAATTCTTAGTATGGCCGATCATTTGATTGACAGGCGTTAACTCCACCTACATAATCTCTGCTGTCTTTTGTCTGCTGTCATCATATCCGATTTTGAGTTTTACCTTTTTGGATTTTTATAACAATTGGACAATGAGTGAGAGTGTAAATCTTCATTCTTACTTGTATTTTGGGCATGCATTAAATCAATTGAATATAGGACATAATATTATAATACAATTATGATAAATCTATAGGTATACACCAGACCAGTGGCGTTGTGCCTATTGGGGAAATAAATATATCTTTATTGATATTATTAAGACAGAAGACCTGTCCGTCTGTATTAGTCATCACACGATCTCCAGGAATTGTATAATTTGTCATTATCTGTGTTTAGTTTATTGCACTTTAAATAGTTTAGATATCATTTGTTACGGCATCGCTCAACAGCGGCCTCGCTTCGTACACTCTATCATTTAGCCTCGATCCGGGAATATGACGTCAACGTAACGGTTAATCTCCGCTCACGACGCCATTTAAAATTAAATCAGTAAATCAGTCATTGAAATCCTGTTTAAATCCAAGCTGAATCCAAGCCATCCGTGGGTCTACAGAGTTGATTTTGTGCTTCTTGCGTAAATAAAGATCTAATTTATAATTTCTATGACATCTGAAGCCTAAATAAAGGCTTGCAATAATCAGATTTAGCTCTTGCATAATGTATGTTTAAACTATATCGTCGACTTATGAACATATTTGTCACTTTGATAAATCATACGAGTGAACATTACATTGTTTGGTATAGAAATCCGCTAGAAATTATACAGTAGTCATTAATAAACAGATGGCAATTAACTAACTGTAAATGATGGCGATCATTATGTGAATTTCCGATGATGATGTAGTATGATGTATTCAATTCATTCTTCATTAAAACAGTGAGAGAAAAATAGTCCATTGTATATATGCACACGTATGTTCCTCTTTTTAGTCAATTTTTCCCAACCAATCCTACCCATGGTCTTTAAGTTGTATTGATCCTCTTGCATTCAGATGTATTACATTATTGCTCCTCAATACTTAATACTTCTAGAAGCTGGAGGAATTGACATGTTGAGGATTGGTGCAATTTCTTGTGTAAAACCATTCTAATGCCCATCACTATTGAATACACAAACATTACCGATAGGATGTATATCATTCAATAGTCAAGGACTCATGATTTTCTCACCTTCTAGCTCTTGACTACTGCCTAGTTACTAACAATTTTAACTGACTGAGTGATAAACATTCATTATGTACTGTATATAAAGTGACTTAACTCATATATTTATTTTCATTTGTAAAATTTATTTATTTATAAGTAAACAGTATCAACTTTCCGGTGTTATCTACTATTTTTATACACCCACATTTCATTGTGCTATGTATTATGTCATCACCCATGTCTGTCCGTCTGTCCATCAATCCAAAATTGGCCTGTTTACAGTTTTTAACAGAATTTTTTAAAAATTTGTTGTGAAGCATTGGGGCCATAAGAGGATGAATCCTATTTACCTTTTGTTTCTGAGCTATCCCCCTTTTTCCAAAAACACTTTTTCAAATTTGGTTTGATGCGTTGAGGTCAAATGTGAGAAAGGATGAACCCTGTTCATTTTCAGCAATCTAGACCTATCAGTTCCAGAGATATATTTATTATGTGTCAAGAACAGCTTTTATATTTCTTGAAGGATCCTATATATCCCTATTAAATTTGGTCAACATCCAAGTTTACCTTATCTTTTCTGTTTTCATATCTATATGTTTAGTACATTTTTATGTTTTGATACAATAAAATCTTATATACATACATGTATCTAGCACAATTAAAAACTCTTCATCAATATACTCCTTCTATAGACAGACTCTGGATATCTTGGTGGCTTAATCTCTATTGACATGACATGTAACTTGTGTAACAATGTGATCAATATGTTTGGGTGTTTATCTTTTGTATATTTTCTTACGTTTCCTGTATTTGGTTTGTTTTTCATGATCTATGTATGTTTCGTTCTACCCTGTCCTACTGCTACTCTTCAAAAATAATAAATATTGATTACACTTGCAGGAGAATTAAGAGAAAATGCAGTGAAAATTAGATACCTACCTTAAATATGACAAGCCAACAGTGAGGCTGAGGCCCCCCATCGAAGTCCCTCCCTATATAAATAGATGACACATATTGATCAATTGCACATTTGTCTTTTTCAAAAGTATTGAGCAATCAAACTGATTATCTATACATATTCCAATCAGAAAATGTTCACGATCAAACTCAGTCAGGGTTTTGAAGTACCTTCGAAAGGCGGGGGACAAAAATATATTTTTGAAAGAAATATTTTTGTTAATATAATAAAATATCAAGTGGAAAATCAGCATGCAGATATTGTATAAGTGTGCATAATTACATTTCAAAATCAAAACGGGTCATAATATCTAAAATAGAATTAACAGGACATTGTGGTTATGCACATTATTTTGTACACTGTATGACAGCTAGCCTATGAAAAGAGATTTTTAGTGACTATAATATCCAATTAAATATTTGTAAACATTTTGATTTACCTAAATCATTTGGCTGATGTCGTCAGAAAATATCACGGTCTTAGTTGCTTTCCCTTCTTTAATTATGAGGATTGCTCTTAGAATATAATCTTTGTTAATTGCTCCAAAATTGATGTCAAGGTCTTTCCTTTCTTTTATCATAAATTTTCTGGTGCTGTGGCTTTTAATAAGTTACTCAAGTGTTCCCTCCCTCTGATTTGGTTATGTTCTACTGTCATTGTCACTTACAGCTTTATAGCAATCTGTTCTTCATTCTGACATCCAGACCCACAGAATGTTGGAGTGGAGAGTCTAAATCTCACTTCTGCTGCATCAATTTCCAGCCTTTGGTTTGATCTGAGCTCCCAAATACTTTCCCACCTCTCTCATAGTATAGGCATTTACCCCCTTCCCAGATTTTCAATGCTGAGGACTTTTCTCATAATACTTGCAGTCACAATTTTTTCTTTCAGTATGTGTTTATCCCATGAGAGGAAAGAATCCTTGGGCTGGCCCAGGATGACAGTTATTATATAGAGCTTGCACTATTAGAAGGAAGACTACAAATATTTATGAACAATGGCTTCAACAAATTTGCTTCAAGCAATGAAACAAATTTTGGTAGCACATGGATTTTGGTTGGAAAAGTCTTGTCTTCATGGTCAGCAGAATATTTCCAAAATGAATTATGGTACCCCAGGGGCACTGTTAAGAAGAAATATTAAAACAGAATGGTAATTATTAACTGTCATAAGTTATTAGATTTGAAAATTTACCTATAGCCATATGGGACCCCGTTGACGCAATAATACAAAATTTGTTTTCAATGACATTAGGATAGAGACAGTAACATTCGATCAAAGGTCAGCATAGTTAACCACAGTTGTACTATTTCTGTCAAAAGTAAGCATATTGGACTGAAATGAAATGAAATGGCGGCGGATTTAACGTCATACTGTTCTGCTCCGAACTGGGCTAATGAATACGGGCATACGTCATACTATATGCCCGGACAGGGGTACTACGGCCTACTCTTATATCGAACTCTAACTGTCAAGGGATCTTTTACGTGCACGCCAATGTGTATACGGGACCTCGTTTTTTTCGTCCCATCCGAACAACTAGACAGCTGTCCTCCAGAGTTTTAGGCTACTATTTGAATCAAATGTGTACTTTATGGAACAAAGATCAACTCAATGACCAAATGTCAGTCTCTTTGATCGAATGTCAACTTTGTTGAAGAATATATCAACTACTTCATTCAAAGATAGATGATCATTGGCCAAAAGTCCAACTCTTCCACTAAATATTTTTTTTTATAGGTATGATAATGTCATTAGTAGTGATAGTAATGTATTTCCAGTGGAAAACAATATTATTAGTGACGTTACAGAAGAATCAAGTATAGATAAAAGAAAGTTTAAACTATCTTGGTAAATATGTGGTAATTTAATGCTTGGTTATGAGGATAATCCAACATACAAGATTGTTTTTGTCTCTTAGGATGTAGAATCTGTTTGAATTGTTTAATAATCTTTTACACAGTTAACTAACATACTCTGCTAAGTGATGGTGTAGCCTATCTATCTACTCATACAGCAGTCCGATTGCTTTCAAGAACAATAGTTTGCCCTGCTTTCTTGTACAAGGTGAATGCAATCTACCACTATAATCAAGTCTGAAATGAAGTGTAGATTACAGTCAGTACTTTGATTGCCAATGTTAAATAGATTAGCAGAACTGGTGATGACCAATTAATATTTTTTTCAAACTGATGATGCTGACATTTCCTTTGGTTTTAACTTATCTTGTAGTGTAAATAATGAAGAAATGAGGCATTGGTTTATGAGAAGAAATTTTACAGAAGGTTTGTAATACATAGATTCATTTTTCTCATTTTCCTATATTTAAACCAAAAACAACCATTCATAAAGACAACCGACCTATAAATTGCATTTGAGCTATAAATAATCAAACCAATTTACTTATTCAGCACTGTAGAAAGTATTTGATTTCCCTAGAGAAATCCCTAAATATGCTTCAATATCAGATTTTAAAATAACACAGTTGATCCTGCGCCCCAAAAAGTTGGCGAGTGATATTGATATGGGCTCTATCCTCCCTCTATTGCAATTTCATTTCCAGAGCACATCTCATCAACCGTTCAAGATATCTTTATGAAACTTTGTAGGCCCTATACACATGTCAACATGTTGTAGTAGGTATGCCTTTACTAATTAGACATTTCTAAGATTTAAAAAAATTGTGTTTTCATGAAAACAATTGACTTATTTAATTTATAGAATTTTTTTTTCTAAGCATATCTCATGAGTCATTTAAGTTATCTTTATGAAACTTTTTACCTATATCAGCCTATAATAGTAGTTGTTCATTTTGCTAATTAAAAACTTCTCAGGATTTAACATTTTTTGCGTTACCATCAAAACAAATTGACAAAAATGTTCATACGCCCACAGCAGCTAAATCGTCCGGTCAGTCAACAAGAGTTGTCACATATTTTATATCAAAATTCTTTGGAAATCAATATACTTGTTTGTCTCATGACTTTAAACTCTGTGTATCAATCTGAAGTCAATCGGATGATAACTTTAGCCTCTAGAGCGTCACAAGATTTTTCAAAGTGATCAAGTTCCATAACTCTGGCAGTAATTATTGGAAATCGTTGAAAATCAATATGATTCTTCAATTGTGGACGACGGACGGACGGACGGGGGCGACGACAATATATGACCACATTTCAATGTGGACGTATAAAAAATGAGTTGGGTATCAAAATAATATTTGTGTCCTCTTCCTTTTGAGAAAGCAGCAAATTATTAAAATGGGCTGACCCTCTAATTGAGGTAGAATGTTTATTAGGTGAATGTCTTGCTTGACTGATTTGATGATGAAAATTTTCTTAGTATCAGCAGAGAGTGTGTGAGTTTAAGAGTTGTATTTTACGTCCGCTTCCACCGAGGTGATATCGAAGACAAGATCAGCAGAGATAAGCAATGTGATTTTTCAATGCTTTGGAAGAGGATAACTTTGATTCTAGTTGAGTGAGAAAAATTAATGATTGAGTCTTTGGAACACAAAAACTGAAATTCTAATTGATTGAGAATGGTAGTTTCATTACATAAATAATATGACTGTTCGATGATGAAAATTTTCTGCTTAGACTAAGTCAAGATAAGCAATTTGATGGGTCGAGACTGAGTGCTATCTATTTATTTTGGGATTGAGGTGGGGAACATTGGCATTTCTGTTGGCTTGTTATTTCAGTTGTATGTACTATTTTATTGTAATATGCTGTTTTACAGATATGTTAGAACATTACATACCCTCTTTAAATTTAGTGAATGGCCGTCTACCATTTACCCTAGTTCAAATTGGAAAAATATATAATGAGGATCCCGATGAAAATTCTGATGCTCTGTGGAACCGGTAATTACTTTTATTGTCACTGAATATATGATTCTAGTTTTGATTAATCCTGATTTCTTTCCAGTGCTGTGTTTGATATGATTGGGTCTTGGCTATGTAAAGAACACATTGTTCCATCATGTCTAGACTGTATATATAGAACCATCTACCCCAGCTCTTTGGTCACTGGTACTCTGAAATAAAAGTATTAGTTTGCCAACAAATCAAACAGAAATCTCTTGTAAGAGTTTTCTGTAAAGATAGCACTTTTATCAATTAATTACAGTAGTTACATAGATGGTTTTATTTAATGACTAGTGAGTAGAAAGAACATTATATTTAATGATTAGTGAGCATAAAAAACATTATATTTGATGAGTACAAAGAACATTATATTTAATGATTAGTGAGTTACAAACAACATTATATTTAATATTTAGTGAGTTACAAACAACATTATATTTAATATTTAGTGAGTAGAAAGAACATTATATTTAGTGAGTAGCTGAGACAACATTATACATGTATTTAATGATTAGCGAGTAGAAAGAACATTACATGTATAATTAATGATTAGTGAGTTACAAAGAACATTATATATTCAGTGAGTAGAAACAACATTATATTTAATGTTTAGTGAGTACAGACAACATTATATTTAATATTTAGTGAGTAGAAAAAACGTATTTATTGATTAGTAAAGTAGAAACAGAGTGAGATGAAAAAGACATAAATGGTGGATAATATATACATAACGGTATGAAGTACATGTTTATAACTGAACCTCAGGAAGTGCTGGGAAAGTGTTGTTGTTGTTGTTGTGCAGAAAAGGTCAATAAGTAGCGATTAAAAAAATTAAAGGGATATTTTTTTATGTAGGATTATAGAAGAGACAATTATGGCTGTACAACATTATACAGCACCAAGTAACATGTTTCAAACACTGGATCAGTGGATTGTTAATAGACTACGATGGTGGAAAAAGGTAAAAGTATTATTCCATGTTTTATTTTTCTAGTTGTGTATTGGTTATAAGATTTAAGAATACCTATTTGTTTAATGTTAATGGGTCAATTAAAGTCTCATTCATTATGTAAGATTTTGATAAAGAGCTGGTCGTTCTTGCTATAATAGTTCCAAAATAATTCATTCAAAATTAATATTGAAAATTTCATCCACATGTTTATTATTGTAGCAGTGTTACATGTTAAAGCATTAATTGCATATTTTCTACGAAAGTCAAAACATAATTATTTCTATGTCTATATTACATATATAATAGGTTGTCAAGTAACTACTTTACAATTCTAGCACTTAAAAAAAACATTCATATAAACATTTGAGATAATTTTACTCACTGACAGTATTTGTAAATTGTATAATTTCTTTTCACTGGAGTTGTCTTGATTGTCAAGGTCCGTGGTTAAACAAATAAGGATAATGTTGCCTTGTTGAGCGAGACTTTCAAACCTGCACACGTGATAATAACACTGTAAAAAGCAGCGTTGGATTTTAAAAAGAAAAAGATATATTTGCCAATTTCTCAACTGTGTGTATAGATGCCATGTATTTTAAGCTTTTATTTTAACATATTTTAAAAATATGACTTAAAAAAATGAAATTATCGCTTTAATCAAGACTCAGCCTCACTCTTTCATTTTTTAATTGAATCATTAAATGGCGACTGTATCTCATGCATTTAAATCTCCACTATCCGATGGTCTAGAACAGGGGTGTCAAACTCATGTTGATTCAGGTGCCACCTGAACTAAAGTTTTATATCAAAGTGGGCCAGAGATACAAAAAAATATCAAGATAAAGAAAATTTTATTGATTTATTTGACTAAATTCGATAAATATTATATTTGTTTAGACTGGTTTCCAAATTGCCAAGATATTATATTGAACTCAAAGTTCTCTTGTATTACATGCAACTTAGATATCTGTCACATACAGTACAGAAGTCAGAGTTTTACTGAAACCGGAAAACAATAATAAATGATTTCCACTGCTAGATTCTAAGAATTATCAACATGTCAGTTTATTGAAATTTGTTCCGCGGGCCACATTTAAACCCTTGGTGGCATGTTTGACACCCCTAGTCTAGAGGGGGGATTGGATGGCTGAATGGTTAGCACGCGTGCGCTGTATCATACGGTCTGTCATTGAGTCAACTGGCAGGGTTTCGATTCCCCGGATGTATGTGACAAGGAGTAGGGTCGCCTGTCCAACCTCGTGGGTTTTCTCCGGGTACTCCGGTTTCCTCCCACTGCTAAAGACCCCTACGTGCAAGCGAATTATTGAAATAAAAATTAAACCATATGTTAGTCCCGAAATGACCTGGTTTGTGTCGAGTGGACGTTAAACCCCATCTCTGTCTCTCTCTCTCTCCTAGTCTAGAGAATTGATTATAGGCTTGTCATGTGAATAAATGTCTAAATAATGATTTATATAACATTTGAAGCCAAAATAAAAACCTGCAATAGACAGATTTAGCTCTTACATAATGCATCTTTAATCTTGATGTTGATTAACCCTGATACTCCAAGCGGTAGCTCAGTTAGTAAGGCACTGGTTCGCTAACCTGGAAGTCCCAAATCACAGCGGTAGCCGAGAAAGTTCCTTGGATTTCCGGAGTGGTCTCCCCTCGTCGTTGTTACAGGATGGAACTTGTCTAGTCACTTGGTGTGTTGTAAAGGAACCCTTAACAGTTGGAATTTCAAATATGAGTATGCCGTAAGCTCCTGCCCAGACATGTCCAGACAAAATTTCCTTCATAACACACTGCATTTCCAAGCAAATAAGTTCAGAGCAGGCATGTTCAGTTCTCACTTTCCTTTCCACATTTGAAATTACTTCAGATAGTGGTAAAAGGGAGGTTACAACTGTATTATGTACTATTATTAATTCTTCCTAATTTAGGAAATATAATTTTGACATCATCTTGTAAACTATTATGCCAACATAACTGTTAAGAAGAGTTGATGTTGAGTAATCAAATTTCATATGTTATTTAAGATCTGTTGTAATAGTTAGGATTAGTTGAACAAATAATTTATTTAGTTAATTTTCACTCATACACGGAATTAATCCTTTACTTTTGGCTAGTGACGATCTTCTCATCTAATTCTAGGGTAAGCACGGTGGATTACTTTCTCATGTCAAGCCTGAAATTTTCATTATCTCAAGCCAGCTGTAAACCGCATTTTTGTTTTGTTGAGGGCCATCTTGGCTAGTAATTTTGACACTTTAAAACCCCAATTAGTGACTATTAAAGATGACTCTCAACAGAAAACTGTATAGTGTACATCTGCCCAAATGTAGTCATTTCTATTTATTTAATATTCTAGTTTTTAAGTAACCCAGGAGAGCTCTCTACAGTTGAAGTAAAATCAGAAAGTAGTGATATAACCATGACAAAAATACAGTATAAATGCCCATGGGGATTAGAAACTATTGAAACTGTATGCAATATACAAGATCAACATTTACAAAACTTAGAAACGAAAACAGGTATTAGTTGTAAGGTAATTAATTTTTTTTTCTTTGGTGACTTAGGGGTGGGTGGGGCACTGGCTCGCTAGCCTGGAGGTAGGGTGTTCGTTCCCTGCATTGGCCTAGAAAGTTCATCACGATTTTCCCCTTGTTTGTGATGCAGGATGGAGGGCCTGACAAGGACAGCTGTCTAGTCGTTCAGATTGGATGAAAAACCGAGGTTCCGTGTACACATTGTCACGCACGTAAAAGATAACTTGACAGTTGGAATTCGATATAAGAGTAGGCCATAGTGCTGCTGTCGGGGCAAAATTTCCCTCATAGCACACTGTATGGCGTATGCCTGTCTTCATAAGCCCAGATCGGAGCAGAACAGTAGGATGCTAAACCCCATTTCATTTCATTTTCTTTGGCTACTTAAAATATCAGTGAACCTCCTTTCAAGTCTAGAAATATCCATATCGACTATCAAATTTTTTCTCAATTTACATTTTTTGTAAGTTATCCATTTTAAAACTTGCTTGGCTTAATCAGCTAGTCACATAGACCCTATAAAATTTAAATTTTAATAGAGATTTATTGCACTTTTCAAGAAAAACCTAGTAATTAATCTCTTCATTTTATTGAAATGTTATCGTCTGTCTTTCACACTATTTGTCTGTCACACTGTGCTTCAACTTGAGCTAAAATGTTCAAATTGATTAGATGTTTGTTTATGATTGAATGTCTTGACAGAATTAGATGATGAACATTTTCAGCTTAGGCTAAGCAGAATTAAGCAATTACATTGGCCGATGGGGACATAAATCTGTAACTTTGATTTTAATTAAAAGAGAGTAATGAAACTTGGTGTATAGTTTCAATACATGTACATCAATACCTTGACTGAGTTCGATAATGAGCCCTTTTGTGCTGGTTAAGCAGAGTGATATGCAACTTGATTGATCGAGCAGAGTGATATATGAAACTTGTTCGAGCAGAGTGATATATGCAACTTGATTGATCGAGCATCATAACTTTGATTCTCATTGAGTGAGGGTAGTGAAACTTAGTGTATAGTTTCCTTTCAGCAGTACCTTGACTAGTTTGATGATGAGCTTAAGCTAAGTAGAGACTTCAATTTGATTGACGGAGCATCTCTTTCTAATTGAGGTAGGATGTACATTAGTGTGTTTTAGGTGTATGCCTGAATGGAGTGTGATGATGAACATTCTCCAGCAGAGATAAACAATTTAATTGGTTCATTCTTTGGAACACAGCAACTTTGATTCTAATTGGGTGAGAGGGGCGAAACAGTAACTCAGAGAATAGTTTCTTTACATCAATACCTATTTATTTAAAACTGAAATGGCAGAAGTGGGGTGGGGGGAGATTGGGGACGGAATCATCTTATGAGATCTGTTGTTTAAAATTGACGATTTAATTATATGTGTCATGTGCTGACAGTCTGATTAAAACACAAATCCTATTTTGTTTTTTTCTAGTTCAAAATTTTGCTATAGTTGTCTTCATTACACTAGGATTGGGAAGAGTTGTTAAGTGACCCGCATTCTGGTTACAGGGAGGGATTAGCCAATCAAATGGTCTGTTAAGTTGAGTTCTTATCGTTTGGCATGTGTTACTGTGTAAAAGAAAACAAATCAATTAAAGTTATATTTACGCATGTCCAGTTGAAACACTGACACTGATTTTTTTTATTGAATGGCTGACTTCATAGGGTCATAGGGTCAAAAGACACTTCTATAACACCTGATGTGATCTCCCACTGTAAAGGCCATCAAAAGTATAAAAAAGCGAAACGAAATATAGATCTCTTTTTTGTAGATGTACAAATATAGAGTTAATATTGAGATACAAGATACAGCTGTAGCTCCTTTAAGCCAAACTATTCTAGAATACACATCTATATATCATTTGCCTTTATAACATTGCTGAATAACAACAGATGTGTTTTATACAATCAAACTAAAAGCAAAACCATATCTTATTATCTACATATTCATTATAATATACACAGCTGTTTCATAATTGTAAATTCAGTTTTATTGATCCCTATTCTTCATACATAAAACTCAATTATTATTTTTGTTTAAGCATTCTAAACATGTACAGTGTATATAAATGTATTGACCAGGTGTTTACATATCTACAGTAATATATTAGTTTATAAATATTACTATGAAATTTAATTTATATCAATTCACTGTTGTATAAAGAAATTTCATGGGGAAACTCCACTCGACACAAACTAGGTCATTTCAGTAATTTGTTTGCGCATAGGGGTCTTTAGCAGTGGCAGGAAATCGGAGGACCCGAAGAAAACCCATGAGGTTGGACAGGCATCCCTATGGATGCAGCTGCAATACCAGTAATAACAAGTTTTGCACATATCTTATTGTTTTTTGTCCCCCGCCTTTCGAAGAAAGCAGGGGACTATTAAAATGGGTTCGTCCGTCTGTCTGTCTGTCCGTCTGTCTGTCCGTCACACTTTTTGGGACACAAAACTCTCCTTCTAATTGAGCTAGAATGTTCAAACTTAGTGTAGGTGTTTACTAGGTCAATGCCTTGATGGAGTTCGAAGATGAGCATTTTCGGCTTAGGGTAAGCAGAGATAAGCAATTTGATTGGTTGATGCTTTGGGACACGATAACTTTAGTTCTAATTAAGTGAGAGAGATGAAACTTGGTGTATAGTTTCATTACATCAATACCTTGACTAAGTTCGATAATGAGCATTTTCTGCTTAGGGTAAGCAGAGCGATAAGCAATTTGATTGGCCGAGACTTTGGAACACAATAACCCTCCTTCTAATCGAGCTAGAATGTTCAAACTTGGTGTAGGTGTTTATTAGGTCAATGCCTTGATGGAATGTGAAGATAAGCATTTTCTGCTTAGGGTAAGCAAAGTTAAGCAATTTGATTGGTTGATGCTTCGGGACTCGATAACTTTAGTTCCAATTAAGTGGGAGTGATGGAACTTGGTGTATAAGTTCGATGATGAGCATTTTCTGCTCAGGGTAAGCAGAGCAATAAGCAATTTGATTGGCCGAGACTTTGGAACACAATAACCCTCCTTCTAATTGAGCTAGAATGTTCAAACTTGGTGTAGGTGTTTATTAGGTCAATGCCTTGATGGAGTGTGAAGATAAGCATTTTCTGCTTAGGGTAAGCAGAGATAAGCAATTTGATTGGTTGATGCTTTGGGACACGATAACTTTAGTTCTCATTAAGTGAGAGTGATGACACTTGGTGTATAGTTTCATTACATCAATACCTTGACTAAGTTCGATGATGAGAATTTTCTGCTTAGGCTAATGAGCAATACGCATTTTGATTGGTCACGACTTTGGAACATAACAACTCCTCTTCTAATTGAGGTAGAATGTTTAAACTTGATATAGATGATCGTCTTGACTGAGTTCAATGATTAACATATCGAGCTAAAGCTAAGCAAAGATAAGCAATTTCCTGCTTTGGGACAAGATAACTTTGATTCTATCTGATAAAGAGTGATGAAACTTAGAGTATAGTTGATAATCAGTTTGACTGCTTGATACTTTGGAAAAAAATAGATGTGCGATTAATTAATATGTGTAATCTATTTATTTGGGGATTTTGGCGGGGGACATCAGCCTCACTGTTGGCTTGTTTTATAATTATGTCTTAATCAGTTGGCCCAGTCTGAGGCCATTATGTGAGATCTGCCAAAGACACTACATATGTGATAATATGATATATTTGTTCCACTTTTCATCAATGTAATTTATTCTTCATTTCAGGGCAAATGGATGAGAAAGACTGTTTTGCCTCATGTTCTTCATTTGCAGACATCTTTAGAAAAAAGTATGATGGCAATTTTGGTTGATAGTTTTAAAGAAAAAGAGATATTTTCCACTAAATCGGTCAAAAAACAAGATCCTAGATATGTAAGCCATTTACATGTCATTTTGATGTGTTGTAATCATTATACAACTGCAGAAAATTGTATGCATCTGGTTCTGTTACCAAGGGGGTATTTGATGGGTTTTCCAGAATAGGAGAAATTCTGGCAAAAATTATATGAGCTAACTTAATATTATACAATCTTGACCAATCACCATGTCTGTTATTGGGACATACGGTCCATTTTGGGACTGAATTCTGTGTCACTTTATAGCAATTATCCTAAATTTGGAACAGGCCAAACTGACCTCACTCTAAAGTACAAAGCAATTTACATTGCAAAAGAAATGGTTAAAGGCATAAACCACCTGGTTCACATGTACATGTATGTACTATTTTAATGTAATGTAATTAAAGTAACAATACATAATTTGCATTTTCGATTAAGTATCAAAATCAGTCCATTTATATGGATTTTATGTGTTGATTTGTTTGTGATATGGCAACCTGCCTTTGCTGGAAATTTTATGCCTATAGATAAAACATCAGCAATAATGTTTTAATCTTTTATATAGCTTGCTTCATCACTAATGGAAATAACACATTAGATCAACACTGTTCCATACTTATATTGAACAAATTGAAAAGGGGATAGCTTCAAGTTTAAAAGATAGGTTGCCAGGCAATGAAACATACGCCCACAGCAGATAAATCGTCCGATCGATCGGTCAACAAGTGTTGTTGCTTATTTATTCTTTTGTAAGGGGGCATTTACACGACAATTACATGCAGATCAGATTATAACTTTGTGGTTTGAGGGTTTACAAGGTTCTACAAACTGAAATAAGGACCTTAACTCTGAATTTACAGAAATTGCTGAAATTCAATCGGCTTCTTTGTTTCAGTAATTCAAAGGATGCATATAAATTTCATACAGATCGGATGAAAACTTTTGTCGTTCAAGCCTTCACAAGGTTCAACAAAGTGAATCAACGACCATAACTCTTAGACATAAATAACGGAAATTGCTGAAATTTAATAGGCTTCTTCGTTTTACCAATTTAAATAACGCATATAAATTTCATACAGATTAGATGATAACTTTTGTCGTGAAAGCGTTCACAAGGTGCAACAAAGTGAAACAAGGGTCATAACTCCAGAAGAAAGAAATTAATGGAAATTAATGAAATTAAATAGGATTCTAAATCTCACTATTGCAAACAACATATATCAATTTGAAAACAGACGATAAACTTAGTCTGTAGAGTGTTCACAAGAAATTGTGGACGACGGCAATATACAACCTCATTTCTATGTGGGCATATAAAAAAACTATTAAGAGGATTACTAATATTAGAACAACTTCCATTTATCGTACCTTTGTACATCAAGAATTAACAAACAATTTAACTGATGTCTTCTATTTAGCACACTTGATTAGACCAGTCAGAGCAGAAACAGTAGGATGTTAATTGGTTAAAATATTACCCCATTTCATTTCATTTTTCGTTATTTAGAAAGAGGTATTCTTATTGTGAGACATATTAAATGTTTATATTGCTAGGTACTACAGTTACATACTCACCTAGCACCATTTAAAGTGGCATTAGCAACCAGTGGTAATAAAACCAAAGAGATAAGACATTTGGCAGATCACTTTCTGCAAGAACTCAGGCAAAATGGAATGATGGTTTTAGATGTATCAGATTCCAATGGCCAAACCAGCCAGTTCAAAAGGTCAGATATTAGTCCACACTCTATACCAGTAGTTAAAGTATTCTGTACTAGGTTTCAAAAAGTATCATTAACCTCTATAATAGTATTTATTACACTGTAGAATCTTGTTCTGTCAAAATATTTGTATTGTATTCAGTTGGAAAATTGTTCTGAAGTATTTTTTTTCAGATATGATGAGCTAGGAATTCCATATACTGTTATTATGAATGATCAAACATTAGATACAGGTGTTGTTGGATTAAGAAATCGTGATACAAATCTTCGGGTAAATAATCATTAACTGTTTTAATGTTAAAAAATGTGGAAGTACGTAGTTACAAACCAGGAGTTTCAATTATATAATGTTAATTGCCCTGGTTAATTAATCTGATTTCAATTCTAAGTGATAGTCATTAGTGCAGAAAAGTAGGATGTTTAACCCCATTTCATTTATAAGAAGACTATCATATCAAGTGAGTGGATTTGGGGGTCACCTGTAAGCTTTCACAGAAGCTAAACTGCAGTAGACATAGAACTTGTTGGCTGGCAGTGTTACCCAAAGGGTCATCTATTGTCGTGCATGGGTCATGGCAGGTGTAAATACTTCTATTGTTGTCAAAGCTTGATTTGATTTTACAACTCGACATGGATCCGAAGAATCTTGGGAACATGCCTGTGAAGGGTATTTGAAATCAAAGTCAACAAAGATCCTGGCATGCGATCACAGAGATGATGCATTTTTGCCCGAGTTACAAAATCATGGCAGAATTGGAGAGCAAGTTCTGAATTGATCGATTTTCTTTTGTGACTGAATTACATTTTTTAAATGCTCATTTACTGAGTAAAATATTGCTTTCACATAAAAATGGGATGGATCTTGTACTACAATCTTGAAGATTGCTAGATGATATATTTTAGAACCAATTCAATAAAATTTTATTATAATCATTGATGTTTTTCCATGTGTTGAATTTTATTAACATTAATCTGCATCTTATGATGACAAACATTTTCTTGAATTGTTATGAAGATTTATAGGATGAAATGGTCCTGAAAGGCCTAAATATTTGTTTTGAATATCAGTGCAGAGTAAATAAAACACAGACGAGTTAGAGAATCTCCTGCATTTTGAAATGTTCATATTAAATTCAGTAATTGTACTCTGTAAAAGTTGTAATTTAATGTGACCAATTACTAAAATTCCATTCTTCATTGTAAACGAGGAAGGTTGATATTGGCTGGGGGGTGGCAGGACCGGACAAGGTCAGCTGTCTGGTCGTTTGGATGGGACGAAAAACCGAGGTCCTGTGTACACATCGGCATACGCGTAAAAGATCCCTTGACAGTTGGTAGTGCTGCTGTTCGGGCAAAATTTCCCTCCTAGCACACTGTATGGCGTATGCCCATCTTTATTAGCCCAGTTCGGAGAAGAAAAGTATGATGTTAAACCCTATTTCATTGTATTCAGGTTAATGGTGCCACTTAATTGAAAAAAGGAAAAGAGTTTTACTTATTCCATTGTCTTTTTTTTTTACAGGAACAGCTTCATGTTAGCAACATTACTGAGAAACTTGTCAAATACCTGAGACCAATATGATGTGCTGTTTACATTATTTCCTGGAAAATCATCACAGAGTAAAACCTCACCCCTTTGGGTGATGGAGTCCCAGTAGTCAAAAATTGACCAGAGCACAGGCGAACCAGCTGCTCAGAAATCTTCCTGACACTTTTAGACAGATATTTGTGCTGTGCAAAAATGAATTAAAAACATCAGTTATTTGATAAAAGATAAAAGTTCTTAGTGATAATATATTTGTATGCATTTTATTGTTTTCAAGAGATATATTTTACAAACAGAAACATGATTTGGGGAATTTACACGAATCATGTTTTCCCAAATTGTCATGCAAGACAAGAAAGAACAAAGACATGCATGCAATTCAAATTAAATAATTTTCATGGATATGAAATAGTGTTCATAGTAAAATGAGGGTGATTTGAAATATATTTTCATGTATTTTTAATACTTGAAATATATTTTTATTGTATTGTTAATATAGATTTATACAGTTCACCTCAATGCTGTAAATAAATTATATACATAAATGAAATAAAGGGATCTGTATTTCTGATATTCATTTGGAAAAAATATACAATTTTAAAGATGGTAAAAGGTACACCAAAGTAAAAATTCATATACAATTTTGTTGAATTCCTATAAAGTCCATGTTGTATATTGTTAGATACTAATCTTCCTAGGTTTCTTTTAAATAAAGAGATTTACACACATAAAAACATCACTTTAATAACAGACTAGTCAACTCTCTGGATCGATTGTACCAATACCCATCGGCCATCCTGATATTTTGATAGACAAATGATCTTGTCGAATATCGCCTCATGTATTTAAGCTCGCAGCACGTCAACATGGAAAATCCCTGATCAACATAAAACCAGACTGAGTTTCTATACTAGCAGAATTTTTTGTATCTCAACCCTTGTTTAAAATCTAAAATAACTTTAATTTAAACATATAAAAAAAATAACAGAAATTTAACATTAGCATTTAACATAATTTTATAGCTACGGTTTATTTTCCCAAATTTTCAGTGCAATAATTAATGTATACAACTTTCATCCATAAAACAATCAAATGAATAAAATGGAACAGTTATACCCAAAAATAATCTGTAACATCCAAAATTGAGGGACTTGAAAACAAGAAATACATTGTTAAAAAACAATTTTGGTATACAGTAGGCACTTAAGCTTAAGACTAGCTATTTAGAAATTAAAATATCTTATGTAAACACTTGGATCTATCAACATAGCTAGTCAATACACTGGCATTTAATAAAAGTATATATTTGACCACTTATATTGGAGACGAATTTAAGGGAAACAAAACATTTAACTTTATTATTTTATGCTTTATAATAATCTCATTTTGATCCCATCAATATTTCTTTCCACATTATCCCCAAAAAATAAAATTAAAGATATGTACATGGTTAACATTTCTATGAATAAAAATTTATTTCACTCTTAGAAATAACATGAGATGATGACACAGCTCAGATACAAAACTGCATTTTTACAATATGTTGAATATTTTGACACAAAACTTTGACCAATAGGTCAGTTGATCATAAACAGTCACAGTTATCCATTCCATTCATCAGTGTTATCCCTCATAAACAAAAGACTTTACATATGTTCATTTTCCTACTCTTTAAACATGAAGAAGTCCCACCTTTAGGCCGGTAGACTGAGTTTCTTTCCCTTCAACACTGGAAGAAAAATATAAAATAAAATGAACAACTTGTCTATATGACACTGTCAAGTGAAGAGATTATTTATACAATTTTATCAAATACATCATCATCAATAGCTGCTTTGACAATTCTAGTCTAGTGACTGGTGTGGATATATGGACTACCAAACTACAGGTCCTCAATCATATATGTGACATACAGAAAAGCTCTAAATTGTACTGTAATCAAATGTAACAGAACATGCAAGTGCATAAAATTGCTCAATGAATTATATTAATTTGTTAAAAGTTAGCCCATAAAACTATCCACCATGCAAAATCATTTACCAAATTGATTATCTGGAAACCAAATATTCTAATTCTAAAGAAAGGGATGACTGGTGGAAAAATAGGAAAGCTAAATTTTCACACACCTACACCTATGGCATAACCATAAGATAGGTTGCCAAGCAACGAAACATACGCCCACAGCAGCTAAATCGTCCGAGTGGTCGACAAGGGTTGTCGCACTCTTTTGTAAATAATTGGGGGCTTTTACAAGACAATTTCATATAGATCAGATTATAATTTTTAACCTTTGACGGTCCACAAGGTGCTACAATCTGAAACAAGGGCCTTAACTCTGGAAATAATTTACAGAAATTGTTGAAATTTGACACTCTTTTGCGTGTTACTATTTAAAATAATGCATAAAAATTTCATACAGATCGGGTGATAACTTTTGTCATTCAAATGTTCAACAAAGTAAAACAAGGGCTATAAATTTAGAAGTAATTGATGAAAATTGCCGAAATTTAATAGGATTCTTTGTTTCACTAATTTAAATGATGCATATAAATTTCGTACAGATCCGAGGATAACTTTTGTCATTCAATCATTCATAAGGTTCAACATTGTAAAACAAGGGCCATAACTCTAGAAGAAATTAACGGAAATTGCTGAAATTTAATAGGCTTCTTCATTTCACTAATCTAAATGATGCATACAAATTTCATATAGATTGGATGCTAAATTTTGATGTTAGAATGTTCAAAAGGTTTAACAAAGTGAAACAAGGGCCATAACTTGAGAGGTAATTAGCAGAAATTTCTGAAATTCAATAGACTTGTTTCACGAATTTAACTGATGCATATAAAGTTCATACAGATCAAATGATAACTTTTGTCGTTACAGCTTTCACAAGGTTCAACATGAAACAAGGGCCATAACTCCAGAAGAAATAAATGGAAATTATTGAAATTCAATAGGCTTCTTCATTTCAAAACAATCAGATGATAAATGTAGTCTGTAGTGTTCACAAGAGATTGTGGATGACGTACGGATGGGGAGAGGCGATGACGATATACAACCACATTTCCCTGTGGGCGTATAAAAATGATCTGATTTACATAAAAAATAAAATTGCATTCCAAAAAGAGTAATTTAAATCATGGAGTTTTGTTTCTCAATCTCATACTTTTAAGTTTATGTCTTCTACTAGTTACACACCCAACAGAGTATTATATTGTCACGACAAATTATTTCCTTTATACATTACTATTTACAGAACTTTTTGGATTATAGTTCTACAGATTTACTGATATATTTTGGAGTTTGTTGACATGCAATAAAGAATCAAATTATTAAACAGTTTGGGTTTTTTGATAAACTTTTTGTTCAGAAGTAGCCAAAGTTTTTTTTATTGGATCAGTATTACTGAAAGGGAATTGTCACCACCTGAAAAAATTTGAGGTAGGCTTTACCATTAAAAAAAAAAATCTAGTTCATCCAAAAATAAGAATTTTATTTTTTATATAACAAAATAATTATGTTATAAAATAAGCCAACAGTTATGGCGATGTCCCTCGCCAACAAATAGATGACACCTATAATTAATTAAATAAGTATCGAGCAATCAAACTGATTATCTAATCTTGGTCTAAGAAGAAGATGTTCATGATCAAATGCAAAGTTTTCAAGTACCTGCTTGTGAAACAATACACTGAGCGTTATCACTCATCATCAGTTAGAATCAAAGCATCGACTAATGAAACTGCTTAGCTTTGTCAAGACATTTACCTAATGAACATCTATACCAAGTTTTAACATTCTACTGCAATTAAATGCAGAGTTGTTATGTTCCAAAGTCTTAACCAATCAAATTGCTTATCTCTCAGCTTATCCTGAGTCGAAAATGCAAATTATCGAACTTAGTTAAGGTATTGTTTTAATGAAACTATACACCAAGTTTCATCACTTTCACTTAATTAGAACTTAAGTTATCGTGTTTCAAACTATCAACCAATCAAATTGCTTACTCTCTAAGCAGGAAATGTCCATCTTTGAACACCATTAATCCTTAACTGGTCATTGTCGACTATAATCAGCACGTTATACAGCTAAGTGGTCACGGTTGACTAAAGTCGACCACAGCAAGAACCTTTTTTATAAGCCGCATTTGATTATTTAGTTTTGTATTTAATTGATATGGCTACGCATGCGTGTCAGATAGGAACTTGTCTTGTCAAGGGCATTGAGAAAAACATGTCTTTGTTCAACATTTTTTGACGAAAAACGTAATTTAACGATGTCAGGAGGAACGTTAAAGACGCTCGAAGTGGTTGAAATACTTATGAATTATTCTGACTTGGATTATATCAATGACACCGATTCTGAAGACGATATTTCTGATGAAAAGGATGTAGAATGATTTGCAAATTATAGATCGACTTATCCCCTTCAACCTTTTTATTAATGTCAAGAATCTATCACGTAGTCGATTGAAATAGGCATACAAAATATTTCATGTCGGCCTTTATTTAGCCTGACCACTTGACGTCATGATGTCAAAAGACCGGTTAAGGCATTCACCTAATAAACACCTTACACCAAGTTTTGAACATTCTAGCTCAATTAGGAGGGTTATTGTGTCTCAAAAAGTGACAGACAGACAGACCCATTTTAATAGACCCTGCTTTCTTCAAAAGGCAGGAGACAACAAAAATACACCACAAAGCATGTACTTCAAAAATGCTACAAAAATAAGTGACAGAACAAAGTTTAAGCTACAATAAACATCATGGCATTCCATGTACTACGGTACAAAGTCCATTAATCCACTATTTTATTGAAATTAAAATACTGTGAATGACCAAAGAAATATTAACTTTTTTTATTAAAACCATGATGTAATCCTAAATTAAAACAAATCAACTCTGCTTAAATCATTTGTTGAGTCACTAGCATACCCCCACAGCCAAAATTACTAAATTAAACACATATACCGGAAACAACCATAGTATGTTTAATTTAATAGTGGTATTTAATAATTGCAGGCTCTTGGGCAGGAAGATAAGTAAACTACGATATGCTAGTTATATTTACTTGGTCAACCTATAAATTATTATAAGTACCTGACTTCCATTAGAGCAATTTCTTTGAATTTACCTGAAATCAATAACCAAGCTTTCTGAATATAATCTTAACTTCAAATTTGGTGGTGGCTGTTGGGGTATGACCAAGGGAAATAACTCTATTTTGCAATTTATCACATTTCTTTCAAACAACACTATTATGTACTTCACTCAGAAGAAAATAACCCTTATTTTCAATGTTAAATTTTGCATGTTATAAAGTTTGGGAAACCATGGAAATACTGGATAAATAATCCTCGTTTACTGTGATATTTCTCTACTAATTCAATCCCCACATGTGCAGTTTGATACAAATCATGCAGCACATTCAAGAAATCTAAACAATTCAAATCTGCCTGCTACAGAATGTACATTTACATTGTCAGAAATTAAGAAAGATAAAAATAATTTTTCAGTGAAATATCTCTGAAATATAAACGCTTACCTTTCGTAATGTATAAATAGAAGAAATCACAATACAAAATGGTTTGTACGCAACCAGCTACAACGGCTATCAAATCAAAAAAGCCTTCAAAATAATATCTATATACCCAGTTGAATATATATAGCAATCTGTAGGATCCTAGGGCAAATAGATAATGACTGGTTATAGTTTCAGCTTCACCAGTTTTGCTAACCATAAACAATTGTGGTAAAATGGCTACAGATTCTAAATAGATAGAAAATGTCCATAAAATCTGTAAAGAGAAAATTAAGACAAAATATATCAAAATAGATCATTTTCATTAATTATATATAATGTCATTGAACAAATGTAATTTGTACTCTTGCACTAAACTTAAAATCAACAGTTCAGGCTTTCTCAGACAACTGCCCTAGGAAAGGTTTTTGAATGTTATAATATAAATAGAATGCATGTCCTGCAGAAAGTCAAAATTGTTGATATGACAAATGTTCCTTCATTTGCATAGATTCACATCCTTTTCTATTAGAATGGAAAGCACCTAATATATACGGTTAATAATCCTGTCTGCAGATTTAATAGAGTAGTAACATGCCAATCAACATCGGTCAGTGCAACTGTCATTAACTACATACATATATTTAAAACTATGGTCAGTCAGACCCTTGCTCAAAGCAATACCACAGTTGTTGTATTTGGTGTGAATCTTACTGACAAGTTGTTTATTACAATTTAATAATACTAAATTTTGACACATATTGTGAATGAAGTTTCGGGCGACCTGCATGTACACACAATAAAAGCGTAAATATAAATTACAAACCTCAAGGGGCAAAAATTCATGGTTAACTAAGAAAGCCAAACCACCCACAGGAACAACCAGGAACTCCATACGGAAAGAATCGTGGTTACTGTCATATGTGGCTCGGAATTTAGAATACATCAAGAAAACTGTGAAATAACTTGAGGTGATGAAGAATAGCTTCATAGTTGTATTGTACAGAGAGATAAAACTTGTAAATAAATCCAGATATCTTGTTGTAAAAACTAATGCAAACAGAATTTGTGTTTTCCCTGAGATACCTGAAAAAGAAAGTGGGGTTTTAAATTAATAAAACAAACTCTTCTAGAATTTAAATGTATCACATACAATGACAAATATTAATAAATATGTTAAAGCTTAAATTAAAGATGCATAATGTAAGAGCTAAATCTGCCTACTGCAGATCTTTTTTTTGGCCTCAAATGTTATATAAATTAATAGTAATACATTTGTTCATATGACAAGCCTATAATCAAGTCCCTGGACCATTGGATGGTTGCGATTTACAATGAATTGAAACACTATCACATCTTAAAAATTTAATTTAAAAATGGATAATCAAGACTTTGTTGATTTAATCATAACAATGGCACAATCAAAAGTGTATTGGGAAAAACTTCCAAGGCTGACAACTTCGCTCAGAATATGGTAATATGACTGAAATTTTCAATACGAAATGAAATGAAATTAAATGGGGTTTAACGTCCTACTGTTTTGCTCCGAACTGGGCTAATGAAGACGGGCATACGCCATACAGTGTGCTATGAGGGAAATTTTGCCCGGACAGCGGCACTACGGCCTACTCTTATATCGAATTCCAACTGTCAAGGGATCTTTTACGTGCACGCCAATGAGTACACGGGACCTCGGTTTTTCGTCCCATCCGATTGACTAGACAGCTGTCCTTGTCAGCCCCTCCGTCCTGCATCACTGACAAGGGAGAACCACGCCGGAAAATCGGGATGAACTTTCTCGGCCAATGCAGGGATCGAACACCCGACCTCCAGGCTAGCGAGCCAGCGCCTTACCCACTTAGCCACCGCGATCCCCAAATTTTCAATACATTCTTTTCAAATTATTAATATAGCAAGAACGACAAGCTCTTTACCGTCCTAAATCATACATAAGATTTAACTATATTTATTTTTGACTCTCTGTAAATCATGGCTGTAAATTTCTTAACAGTACAAGAAACGTTTGTTTCTCATAGAGATATTTGGATCAACAGTAACACAGTATGTCATTGAAAAATTATCATTTTCCAGTGAGGTATTTGAGGTTGATAATCTGAAACAATTCTGTGATGTTCCCTCTTGAGAGACAAACAGTATTGCAAGGAATTGCAGAGGGTGTCACGACACAGGAATGAAATGACAAATTTCCAATACCTAGACATAACCTTTTTTCTGACCCGTAAGCATGCGTAAGCTACATTAGCAGGCCTATTATCTTCACTGCTCACCCCGCAAAATTAGCCCATAAAATCTATTTATAAGCTTATAAATACATTATGTGTTAAAGTAGCTAAGTCTCTAACTCAATATCATACAAAACCTTCGACAATGAAAACACAAATTATTTGTCAATTTTAATCAACATTGGTGTTGTGATCTTACCGGAAAAAGATGGGATTCTGATATCCAATATTTAACATTTTACGATTGGTAAATGAATCGTGTACCATAATGCGTTTCAGTGCAATTTGTAACAAGGTTACATAGGTTAGACATATTCCATAAGTCATGCCAAACAGTGACCCCATATTCTTATCTGGGGTACTATCGGAGTAGACTGGAATAACCAGACACTAGAGATTGCCATTGGATTGAGACTTATGGCGTATTTCGCCGAACATAACCGCTTTGAAATCAGAGTATAAACGGAAACGATTAAATGTAAATCAGTTTATTTACATTCATATTACATTATTATATAAGTTGCGACCCATTTGTGTCAATTTGTAGGTCCCAAATATTAGCGACAATTTGTTCATTGGGACACATCATCTTGCAGTGTGTTTTACAAAATTTATGTATAAATTTGTAGAGAAGACGTACATGTAAATGCAAAAATGTTGCATTCATTGCAAGACAAATATTCAATTGTATGTAAGCTTTAAAGCCTTACGAAACTTGATTTGAAACTGGAAGCTTGATTGATTGGGTGAGCAAAGATTAAATTAATTATACTTTTATGTGTTCAATAAAGTATTTTAAAATGAATCGAAACCTTGTTTTAGACCTTAGACAAAACAGAAGTAAATTAGCTGGGGTGGTAGTCCTACAATCTATTAGGATAACATAACATAAACAAATCTAGACCAGGGATTAGACAGACACGTCATCTTTGAGCAGCCGATAGATTTTATTTGGCAAGCCGAGAAAATAGATCTCTCCACATAAGTTTATAAATATTTCTGCACGTTGCATATTCGCTTTAGTTTTATTGGTCTATCATATTTAACAGCATTCGGTTTTAGGATTGAAACTGCTCAGAGTATTACTATATTATACGAATTGGCTACTGATTGAAAATGTGTGTCGGCGAAAACTTGTGTTGACAAGTGTCTCGACGGTCTGTCATCATTCATCAATTAATATTATCTTATAATATAATACCTGCACATGATCGGGTTTTCCACATCTTTAGCAAAAGAATTATTATAGCTAAAAGATGGGACATGTCCCCGACAAGCCGAAAGATATTCATGTTGATGCGTCTGCTTCTTCTCTCTCACGTTTCAGTTTAATGGCGGCTGCGGACGTGGCGCGCTGCGGATTGTGGGGAGGAAATAATATTAAAGGGAAATCACTCGTTAGAAATCACGGTTGAGTGGATTCTTTACTAAACTCATACCTGCAAAGAAAAAGAAAAATTCACAAATTGAAAACAATGGAAAAAATGGATAGATCTATATAATATTTTCTGGAAAAACTAGAATTGGTTTAAAAATCAAAAAATTTATTTTATTTTTTTTTCTACCAGTCAAGTTGATTGGAAAGAAACTCAGTTGACCGGCCTAAAGGTGGGACTTCTTCATGTTTAAAGAGTAGGAAAATGGATAGAATGTTTTTTGGAAAAACTCGCATGGGTCCAAACATCTTAATATTTAGCATTAATTATTTAACTCAGAATTAACTGAAGTTTTATTCTTTGAAATGAATCAGCATCAGTAGCCTATGGCCATCACTCACTCACTGAAATGTATTTTACATGCACTGAAAAATGGCTAGTGTTTAAATTTATTATAGATGACAGAAAACAATTTATTGAAAAATTCTGATCGTTCCATTTTCCTAACTGAACTCGAGAACATAAAAAACGTTCTATGTTGGTTGACTTTCACCGAGACCAGGCGCAGATATTGAATTTTCTTGTCTGCAGACCCATTTTAGTCTCAATTACTTTCTGTATTCAGTGATATGTAACTACGAGACAACTTCTAAAAATACAAATTAGAAAGGCATAAGAAAATGCAAAGGGCACGTATACATAAAAAAAAAGAGTTATGCACCGCCTGTATTTTTCAGAATGACTTGTCTTACGAAGTTTGGCATTGAAACCCTAATAATATAAGTACCCCAGAAAAAACAAATTCTAAGATGCCGTCTTTTGAAAAGGAGTAACAATCAGCATGGGAGTGCACAATAAGTCGGAAACACAATTTAACAACGTGATTGGTGATGAAAAATGTCAATTTGAGTCAACAGATTGATGACATTGTAAACCCGCCACGTAACCGAGTAGCCCTCCAGCAAATCGATGTACAGCAAAGTGAGCAGTTTTGTCAAGTTTAAAGGTAAATTATCTACGCAGGAGTTAAACAAGGCGAATCACTGTCCCCGCTTTTATTTTTAATATTTATTAACGACCTAAGAGAGTTTTTATTCAACGATAATACAAATACTTAGAATATATCACAATATATTAATTACTCTTTGCAGACGATACTACCCTCTTTGCTACGAAACCGGAAACTTTACAATTACTTTTGTATAAATTTATCCATTATTGTAAAATTTGGAATTTAGAAATAAATGCTAGGAAAACCAAAATAGTTATATTTCACCGTGGTAGGCTACCAATAAACTTAAAATTTTATATTCATGAAACACAACTTGAAATTGTCAATCAATACATATATCTGGGTCTTTTAATATGTGATAATGGTAAATTCTCTAAAGCAGAAAAGCGTGTGGCGTCACATGGCAGAAAATCAATGGGAGCACTTTTGGCTTCAACAATTTTTTTTTTTATTTTAATCCAATTTAAACAATATTTGATTCAACAAACTGAACCGGATTGAACAATAGCAAGGGGCTATATAAGTTCTCTCAAAACAGTATTTCTACTAGTATTGTAAACCTTTAGTTCAAATAAGATTTGAAGCTAATAGCCTAACAAATATTTGAAATGAAACAAAGCGTCTATAAATATGTAATTTTCTCACTAAAATATATAGATATATGGCAAAAACTAAATACATGTTAGTGACAATGTTGTAATGGAGATACTTGACTCGTACACACTTTAATTGTATGGAATAAATAAGTTTTGCTGTTGTTGTTTATTACAAATTTTACGTCCAATACATTAAAATATGATATTATGGGCAGATTGATTTAATTGAGTTATTTACATTTAAAGGCGTAATATATATAACAAAATGAAATAGGTAAAACACAAAATAAAAAAGTTCTTGTACATTAAAAGTCATAGTGTTTAAAGTGATAACAAATTAAACAGGAGATCCAGCTGTTTGGTGGTTGGTGTCATCAATGTGGATTGAAAAAAAAACCGTTGGAAAACAATCCGCTTACTTTATGTGGAAAAGCGAAGTTCTCGCGGTAAAAACTACATAGCTGGACCCGTGGATTATTTACATATTAAAATATGTTCGTCCAATTAGTTCCATATTGTTAAAGGTTAGTTAAAAGTGCTTTAAAACGGTCACAACTTTAGCGTTTAAAATCATTTATAGTTTGCAGTCCATTAAAGTTTTTCTTGTGTGTGACTCTTCCCAGATAAAAGTTACCTGAAAAGTAAAAGAAAAGTCAACAGCAAAACAAACTAAAACATTTATATGAATAATAACACAAATTATATAGATTTATACACACTGTCATTTGTTAATAATGGTTGTGTAAGTCCCTATTTCTTTTGTCCTTATTTTCCCCTAATATATTATTATGTTAAAACATACAGTAGACGGAAGCGCAATACTGCCCTACAACAATAGTTCCTTCCTTTGAAACTAGATATGTAGTTCCCTACCTTAATGTCAATTTATTCTGATATTATTAAAGCATCCAGGTAGCTTAGCCGCCAAAATGGACTTCACAAATAGATATCCTTTCATGACTAGTCCTCTTTTTTTCGCAACTTATAACTTAACAGTTAATTTTGGGATCGCTTCATAAATCTTATATGACATATTCCGGTGGGGAAAGAGTACATTTTGGAGGGTACTTACGGGTAACGACATGATTAACGGTTAAAATGTGGCCACATTCACCCTTCACTGGTTAAAAGTTATGGTCGGTTATTAAATCTTTAGTTCTCAATCCCGTGATTAACCCACAGATTTTGCGAGACGGGTAATTGACCTCCGTCTTTACAACCAGATCGTTATTTAATTTGAATCTAAAAGTATTTGCGCTGGTCAACTCAGTTTTCCATTCTGAATTAATTCTAGTTTTAACAATGCTATTAGTATATTCCATTCCTTAACGCTATATTTTAAGTCTTCGGTCTCGCAGAGATTGGATCCTTTGTGAGCCAGATTGTCTGCAGACTCATTATGCCAACATGGGATGGTATCCATATAAATGCTAAGGTTTTATTTTTGTTTCGGAGGGAATAAACACTTGTTCGAATATTCTGAACAATTTCTGGTCTAGATGTTGTTCTGTTATTATCTCGATGCTGCTAAGGGAGTGACACAATGACCGCTCTTTGAACGGTGGATGACACAATTCCACGCAAAAGCTGTGAATATTACCTTTAATTCTGCTATATAGATAGAACATCCATCTGGTAGCCTTTTTGATATATTAAATAAGTTTTACTCATTGGTTGTTTATATTGTTTTATTTACCCAACATTATGATTTTAGCCATAATGATTAGTTCACCAATGATTTTGTAATAAAGGAGACTCGTGTTGTTTGTTGATTGGCGTTATATATCCCATGATTTAAAAAAAAAAATGGCTGTGGTTAATACTGGGTCAAAAGTAATTCCTTAAATTGCGGCGGTGGGCCTTTTAGATAAACTACATTCGCATTTTGTAAGATGGCAATTATTCGTACACGTATGTCGGGCCAAAAAATCATTTCTTAAATAGGATTATGTCCCTTTTACAAGACAAATTTGATTGATATATTTCAGCAAAATAATACACATCCAAATTTATATCATTGCACCTAGAATTCCGTATAAGAACTTAAAATACCAAAATGCGAATCGTAACACATTGTGGCCTAAACTGTCTTTTAAATTATAAAATAAATCATAAATCAATGGAACCTGTTGTAAGGTGGACATTGTATTTCTTCCTTAGGGTTATTTGAGGCGCCATGTAGTCTAACAATTTATCGTGCAATTTTATTCTTTGATCTGTTATATCACGGGGCAATTCTTTTATTGAAATCAACCTGCATGAAAATGACTACATTACAAGTTGAAAGTTCAGTAATGAGGATCGTTCGATTGTAAGCGGTGTAATATTAGTGAAATTTGTGTTTGTGTATTCGAAAAAAAGAAAATCTAAAGCGAATGCAGAGAAAGAAATTCGGCACTATTCTTGGTAAAATATTTAAAATATTGGAATTATATGAACTGGGGAAAAAAGTGTATCGGGACTGTTAAATGAGGTGAGTCGTTTAGTGGCTGTGTAGTGACGTTATTTATTAATGAAATTGTTATTGAATATTTATTGAATAAAGTGATTTATTTTGTTGTTTGTTATTAATTGACGTACAGAAAATTACACTCATATCAAACACTATGAATACCACTTGAATATGATGATAAAGCATCCCACTGAACACTAAATTATACTCACTGTGAATACTTTCTGTGTCCCTAACAGTGGTTCTCAGCCTTTTTTTGCCAACGGCACACTTTGGGACACATAAAAAAAATAGCGGCACACCTGGCTAAATATATATGAAAACAGTTTGAATTTTGCAAAATTAAATGATGATAAGTCAGACGGCATACAACCGTAGATATAGACTAGTCATAGACACATAGAATGACTCAAACTAAATATAAAAAAAAACACAACCATGAACTCTAGTGAATGCTAATGATCAATTAGGATAACATGGTTTTTCGCATTTTCTTAGTGTGCCGTGCAAACTTTCGCGGCACACTTAGGAAGATCTCGCGGCACACTGGTTGAGAACCACTGCCCTAACATAACCAGTGTCGTGTGGACTACTCAACCAACGTATTTCTGTACCCCTAACATAAACGATGTCTTGTGTTGACGAGTCAACCAATGCCGTGTGGAAGACTGACTCAACCAACAAGTTTGATATTTGTGGACGACTTAAATAGACTTTACGTGTAGACGAGTTTGCTTGTGGACGAGGAACACTGTTAAATATTTAAACCAATACAATAATATTTTCTTTATTTGCTTTGTTCCGTCTGTGAATATTATTAATGTCAAATCAATTTCTAAAAAAAAAATTAATTTCTCTTATTTTTCTTTATTTCGAAATAATATTTTATGTGAGATGCGGACAAAAACGAACCCCAAAAATACGCACTGGTAAGAGTGCTTCCCCTTTATTTTATAAAAACGGAGTGGCGCTAAATTGCATCGTGTCAGAGAAACATGGCTGCCGACGAAGAAAACGTGACTGGTAAAGGCGACAATATTGCTGATCAAACCGATTCAGAAGTTCCAGTTACACAATCCTTTTCTATTGAAGGTTTCATATTTTTACAATATATCATGTCATCATATTATATTATTACATTCTTATAATATATTTCATATTCACGACTTTCGGACTTATATTCATAATATTTTGATTTCCAAATCCAATAGATGAGATCTAACCTAAAGTAAGTTAAAGTATAACCAGCATAATTTTGGGGAACTACTGGCGTAACATAAGGCTAGACTAGTTTATATGCATATATCAGTTACAGAAATTGAAACTGGATTCTCATTTATTAGCAGGAATAGCAGACTACATTAAATTGATTAATTTAAGTCACTAGTCCTGTAAGTATTGCACGGTTCCGAACCAGTCCAGTGTCATTGTATGTAGTATGCCATATGTCATGATACTATACATCTTTATTTGATGGAATTGGAATTATCTCAAGGGAAATGTTTAATGTTAAATAAATAGGCGTAGACATATTGGAAATGAAAACAATATGTTTGTTTCGTACTAATGTTTAGTACCGTATAATTATACACTATGTGACTATTTCAATTAAGGATGCTCAAGATACCTCCATATCCATATGGGCATTTGTATGATTTATATAAGGTGTTCGTTTGTTACTCGTGTAGGACCCGTGTGGAATAATAAATAGTAATGACAAACATATGTAGGATGTCCTAACTTTTTTTTCAATCGATTTAATTACTCCTTTTCTTTTTGATCTAGTGTTACAGTTAATCAAAGAGGCTCAACAACAACATGGTTTACGTCATGGAGATCATCAACGTTACAGGTATGCATGGAAGCTAGAACTAAGAGCACAAAAAATAAGTAATGCCAATGATGCCTACAAGTTACTACTATTGATATAGTTAGGTTCTGGTTTGGAAGAAACCTGGTCCTGTGATATATGTCTTATGAGCTTGGGCCAGGGCACTCAGTTAACTTATGGTTTGCATAATAAGGTTTCCGCGATACCCCGGGGATGGCGATATATAGCGATCATTAGTTCAGGCGTCCGAGCTTAAATCTGTCAATGTCAATCAGAATATTTCTGATGACAGTTCAACAGACTGCGAAAACACACTGCTGCTGACACGAAAAAGACACAAGTTGATGAATATTTATTCGGTATTCCGGGCATTCCAGTTGATCAGAATAGAATGATCTGAGGTGACAATACCTACAGGAATAATCTTACCCCAGTATATATACATGTATACATCTCACTTCATCAGTGCATCTCACATACATTGCTAAATACCAAATGGATACATTAATTCATTTATACACCTCAAGTTATATCAGTAATTATCACGATCTTGAATTTTTGAAGTACGGTAATTCTAATTATCGCGATAATTTACTCCAGACGATAATCCATGATATCGCAATAATTTATTTTACCAATATCGTGAGATACTGCAATATTTTTTTTATTGTATCGTTGCGACATTATTGCATAACAGTTATTGCACAGTACCACATCACAGTAATTAGTGACCTTGGTTGTTATTGTAAAACATACATACATTGATACCTGAAATTGTGTCAACTGGGCACATGACAAATCATTTACACATGCTTTTTTTCTGTGACAGGTCTTATTGTTCAAGGAAAATCAGAAGATTGCGGAAATCATTACATTTTGCACAGGGTACCAAACACAAAGTTGCTCCAAAGAAAATCACGCTGGAGATGTTGAGTGATGAAAAGTAATTATAAAAATTTATTTGTTTGTCTCATTAATTAATACATGTATTTATATTAGTATTTAGTTGTAATCTATATGTTGTTCTAAAGTAATTTCTTGATATTTCGAAGAATACAGGGGACAATTAAATTCAGTTTATCTGTCTGTCTGTCTGTCATACAATAACACTGCTTCTAATTGAGCTAAAATCCCCCAACGTGATGCAGATTTACATTAGGTGAATGCTTTGACTGAGTTCAAAGAGCATTTTCTGGGTGACACCTCACTAACTCTGCTTCTGAGTGAGCTACAATGTTCAAACTTGGTTTAGATATTTGTTAGGTGAATTCTTCCAGAGATAAAAAAAAATGTTCATAACACAATAACTCTGCTTCTGTTTAAGTGGGATTGATGAATCTTCGTATACAGTTTCATTACCTTCATTCCATGCCTTGAATTGATATTAGGTTAAACAGAGGGATAAACAATTTGATTGCTAGATTCTTTATTGATAAATCTGCAAGTAATTAATGAATGTCATCTATTTTCTTTTGTGTGTGATTGGGACAGGGGACATGAACCTCACTGTTGCCTTCTTTCTTTTTCTATAGACAAATGTGTCTGTTTTCCCACCAGTACTATAACTTACTAAAAATTGAATTTATTGATATCCATTTTTGAATTTAAACAGGTACATACATCTCCCTTTATTTGAAGCAGAAAGAGCTTGGGGTTTTGCTATGCAGCTTAAATCTGAGTCCAACACAGAACCTAGAAAGAAGTTTCATATGATTGCAAGATTAAGGAAAGCTTTACAACACGCTAATGAATTAGTTAAATTATGTGAAAGTCCAAAATGTGATGCACGTACAAAATTAGAGTCCCAGGTATAGTCATATTTTATATATTGTGATTATTTGTTTTTATTAATTAACTTATCTCTGATATATTTCTATAGTATCCTGTCATCTATTTATTTGTTAATTATTTTTTTTTTTCAGGCGTACAATGCATGGATTCAAGGCAGTTTACACTTTGAAACAGATAACTGGCAGAATGCAATAGATTCATTTAGTAATGCTAAGTAAGTAGTCATAAGGTATTGCAATCTGATTAATACAGATCCAATTTTGTTTCCTTTTTGTGGTTCAACATTTCGTTTTACTTGTTTTTACTAGGGTCTGGAAAAGTTGTTTTATAAACCGCGTTCTGCTTGATGTGAGGGATTACCGAGTTCTTGTGTGCTGCATGGAACCGTGGGTATCCCACTAGAAGAATCAATGCTGATTGGTTAATCAAATGTCTGATGTCATAGGGTGAAAAGCCTCTCAGATGACTCATGATGCGACCTCCCACTACAACTGGAGGCCATCAAAAGTATATAAAAAAAATTGAAACGAAATATAGATCTGTATTTTAATCAGCTTGAGGGCATTGAAAAACAGCTTTGTCTCGAGATCAAAGTTTGAGATGTTTCACGTTCTTTTTGTCATCTAGGTTAAGATATTCTATTTGTTGAATTTGCTCTTTCTTTTTTATATGTCAACATTGTTGTCTATAGAATAGGACGTCAAACACCATTTCATTTCATATTGTTGTCATCTCACTTCTGTCTGTCCACACTTCTTGTAAACATGGTACAGGTAAGAGTTTCTGAGATTGTTCTTTCAAACTTACTGGATGTGCAATATGTTTTTACTGTGTCCATAACCAATTAATTCATCTGCAGGTCAGTTTTGAGGGTTTTTTGGCTAGTACTAAGAAGGAACCCCCAAAAAATTAAAAATAAAATGGGGTTCATAGAAATTCAGGGTTTTGCATCAATATTTTAAAGTGTTACTACCTATTCCACCGAAATTTAGAGTTTTGCATCAGTATTATAAAGAATGCTCCTTTCACCAAAGCTCCAGATGCTAGGTTTGTTCTGTCAATCCACCCTCTAAATATTTTAATATTTAATATGGTCATGAATGGTGTGGGTGTTTTTTTTTTTTTAGCTGTATTGTTGTATTTTAATAGATTACAAAAACCTTTAATATTTGTTTTGCAGGACAATATATGAAAAACTTGCTACAGCGTTTACAGAAGATATACAAGTTCTCTACCAGCAGAGAGTAGAAGAAATATCGCCCAATATTAGATATTGTGCTTATAAAATAGGAGATGAATCAGCTTTGAAAGATTTACAAAATATGAGACTCAAATCTGGTGAAGATCAGTTGATATCAAAATTAGATGTAAGTAGATTGTTATTAAATTATTGATGTAATTACTTATAATAAAGAAAGATATTTAAATGTATTTTCTTCCATTTGCAAATCTGTTATATCTTCATGGGTGCCAACACTGAAGAAGATGGGTTTCATTGATATTGGTTGAGTTTTTCTATCCATTGGTTCAATCATGTTACTAAAAATTTTATAATGAATTGTTTTTCCAGGATTTACTTCTTCAAACAAGAGAGAAACAAGCTTCTACACTGTCCGAGGTAGCATGGCGTGGTCGTACTATTCCAGTTAAAATGGAAGGAGTTAGAAACTTTCTTCTAAATCTTCAAGAAAGTACAACAGAGTTGAAATCAGCTGAAGGTTCTGACAGTAAACTTTCTATATATGAGTCATTATTTAAACAGTGTATTGATGCTCAACAATTATTACGTGATGCTTTACAAGAAGATCCAGTAAGTGCAATTTTATGATGAGATCAGATTATCAAAACCAGTTTTCTCAGTAGCGATCTTGTGAAATTAATGATTTTCGCGTATTTAACTCCTCACTGGCTCAATCCAACTAATTTATGACAATATACTTTGTATTTAGTTCATTTCTTTACATGGGGGGGGGGGGGGGGTTGGATGGCCGAATGGTTATCGCGCGCACACGTTGTATCCCAAGGTCTGTCATTGAGTCAACTGGTGTGGTTTCTATTTCCCCGGTCACCTGTCCCATCTCCGTTTTTCTCCCACTGCTAAATATCCCTACTCTTAAAGGAGCTAAATCGCTAATATTTGGGACCTAGAAATTGACAGAAATAGGACGCAACGCATATAATAATGTAATATGAATGTATATAAACTGATTTACATTCAATCGTTTCTGTTTTTACTGTAATTTCTAATCAGTTATGTTCGGCGAAATGCGGCAAAGTCTCAATTAAATGACAATCTTTAGCGTCTGGTTATTCCAATTTACACCGATAGTATTTATTGCGCATGCTCTCCAGATAAGAATATAACGTCACCATTTGACATGACTTGTGGAATATGTCTAGCCTCGTTCTTGGAGTCCCTTGTTCCAAATGGTGCTGAAACGCCCTATGGTACACGATTCGTGTACCAATGGTAAAATGTTTATTTTGTCTTGAATATTGGATATCAGAAGCCCATCTTTTCCCTGTAAGATCACAAGACCAATTTTGATTGGAATTCACAAATAATTCGTGTTTTCATTGTCGAAGATTTTTGATGATATTGAGTTAGAGACTTAGCTACTTTAAGTAAATTATTGAAATAAATTGAACCATGTCAGTCCCGAAATGACCTGGTTTGCATTGAGTTGACATTAAACCACATTTCTCTCTCTCCGTTTACATTAGTCATAACTCACTACTACAAACTATTACACAAATACGATAGTTCTGATGACATAGCAAGTGTCAAATGATTTGAAATGGATCTGTACATTCTCCCTCTGATAGTTGATATATGACTAAGATGCAAAGATGCATAGAAGGTTGTGAAAGCGATACAGGACAAAGTTATTGATGAATATTTTAAAACTTTTTCGTATTGTTCATTTGGGCTAAGGGAAATTAGATGATATATTATAATTTTTCGAACATATTTTGTGGGATTATCACTCTGATTTACATTTTGACTGTTTTGTGAACAAAACAAGACAATAGTTCCGAAATAAATTCATTAAAACTTGGTAGGATTTTACATAAGAACATGAGAAGTCTGTTTGAACAATTATTATATTTATAGAGTTTTATTGCTCACTAGCCTAGACGTCGCGGGTTCGATCCCAGGGTTGACTCAGAAAGTTCATCAGGATTCTCCGGTATGGTTTCCCCTTGTCAGTGGTGCAGGATAGAGGGCCTGACAAAGACAGCTGTGTACACATTGGGGTGCATGTGAAAGAACCCTTGGCAGCTGGCATTTAATATAAGAGTAGGCTGTAGCACAGCCGTCTGGGCAAAATTTACCTCATAGCACACCGTATGGCATAAAGGTTTAAGATTTTAATGTAATGTTTTTCTTTGTAGATCTTTAAAGCTGTAATTCGAGGGCAATCTTTTGATGGAAAAATCAGCAATCAACACTATCTTCATACTTACCTTACATACATCAAATTAACAAAAACGATAGAAAGAAATTTGATCTTGATAGAATGTGCAAAAGAAAATTTACCAGGTGTACAAGTAGATGAATCAAAAAAGATCACCAAACCTCAAGACATGGTTAGGTTGTATGATATAATTATTCAGGTAAGCTTGGTATTTTCAACAGTATACGCAATAATAGGCATATTTCAATATTCAACTCATCTACTGATTAGTGTAAGGGACCATCAATGTAGTTCAGATATCATTGCAATAGGTAATAAATAAGCTGTTAAATATATTATGTCAAATACCTTGTGACGTCATTGAGTCAACTGGCGTGGTTTCGATTCCCCGGTTGTACAGCACAAGGAGTATGGTGGTCTGTACAACCTTGTGGGTGTTCTCTCTGTCCTCCAGTTTCCTCCTACTGCTAAAGACCCCTACGTGCAAGCAAATTGTTGAAATAAAATCAAACCATGTTTTAGTCCTGAAATGACCTACTTTGTGTCGGTGGTTGTTAAACCCCAATCTCTTTCTCTCTCTGTGTCTCTGTCTCTCTCATATATTCCAAAATATATATGTCTAATTGATTTAGAAACATAAAACAATTTAAACAGATTAAAATAGATAATATGTAGCCATCGCAGAACATGTATGCAAATGATTTGTTATAGCCTGCATTATAAACATTAACTTAAAACTATGACTTCACAAACTAGTGTGTGCTTCATTTCTTACTATATTAGGAACTAGTTTATCATCTATGTTTTCATTAATACTTATTGCACTCATTGACAAGTTTGTTAGATATTCATGTATGTATTTAAACAATTTAAAATGTTCTTACTTATTTATCCTTGATTTGTGAAAATTATCAATTATATATATATTTATTATTATAGAATTTAAGTGATATACCTAATTTACCTGGCTTAGAGGACGATTCAGCTTTAGAAGAGGAAGTAAATACTAGAGTTTTAGGCTATAAAGCATTTAGGTAAGAGAATAATTGGTTAAATGATTAATTATGACGATCTATATTTGTGGTGTAATGTTATGTAATGTGAGGTATAAGCATCCATAAATTATAGTCTTGTCTATAAGATTATTTTCTTGACACTAAATTTATATAAATGTATAAATATTTGAAACATTGGTTGCCAGAAAATGAACACACCATGCTAATAGTAGTTTGATGCAAAATGAAATAACCGTTATTGCAATTTGCAAAACAAACCTTCTTTTTTAAAAAAAGGATTTGTTTTATGACAATGTTTAAAGATTTATCCTTTCACTGCAAGCAGTTGTTTGTGAATCCCAAGTCCTACAGTAAAGATGAATATCAATAAACTCTTATTCATAAACAAAAATTTCTCAATGTAACTTGTTTCCTTAATTACTTCCAGTGACTTGCTAAGATTCTGAAAGTTTCTGTTGTAAATGGGCATACATTGTACACTTGCTATAATGAAAAATGTTTTTTGTTTATTTTCAGAACATTTTATATAGGAAAATCATATGCTAATGGCATGAAGTGGACAGAGGCAATAGCATTATATCAAAAATCACTAGATTATACTAAACAGGCTTTACAAGGATATAAAAAACTAAAAGGACAAGAAATTTTTAGAGTAAGTGCAATATGTATTGTTCTTTAATTCCTGAAAAAAAGGTTGGTAAGTGGCCTGATTGCACTCTTTAGTAGGACGGTTGGTGCAGGAAAGTCAGGCGGTAAAACCAATTTCATTTAAGCACAACCGAATATGAAAAATCTGTTGAGTTGTATGAAATCGAGTAAAATCAATAGAAACTTTAAGAAACCATAATTTAGGTTAGAATTAATCGATTTCAATAATTATTTTAATAAAAGTACTTTTGAATGGGTAGGACATTAAACTCTATATATTTAATTTTCATTCTTTATCATATATTATTTTTCCAGACCGAAGAGAGTAAATTAAATGATTTAGTTAAGGAAGTAAATGGAGTAGTATTTTCATGTCATGCTTCTAGTATTCTTAACGTAGCGGGTGATTTAACAGATCAACCTGTTCATACACCTAGCTTACAGAATGTGGTGAGTTAAGATATTTACTTTTTGGGACACAATAACTCTCTTCCTAATTGAGCTAGAATGTTCAAACTTGGTGTATGTGTTTATTAGGTCAATGCCTTGATGGAGTTCGAAGATGAGCATTTTCCGCTTAGGGTAAGCAGAGATAAGCAATTTGATTGGTTGATGCTTTGGGACACGATAACTCTCTTCCTAATTGGGCTAGAATGTTCAAACTTGGTGTATGTGTTGATTAGGTCAATGCCTTGATGGAGTTCGAAGATGAGCATTTTCCGCTTAGGGTAAGCAGAGATAAGCAATTTGATTGGTTGATGCTTTGGGACACGATAACTTTTAATTGAGCTAGAATGTTCAAACTTGGTGTATGTGTTTATTAGGTCAATGCCTTGATGGAGTTCGAAGATGAGCATTTTCCGCTTAGGGTAAGCAGAGATAAGCAATTTGATTGGTTGATACTTTGGGGCACGATAACTCTCTTCCTAATTGAGCTAGAATGTTCAAACTTGGTGTATGTGTTGATTAGGTCAATGCCTTGTTTAGGCTTCAGGGGCCTGTTTCACGAAAATTTAACTAAGATAAAATTCAAATTTCAGTAATTTGATTGGATAATATTAAATTGATTTTAGTGCTTAGCCAATCAAAATTGAAGTATCTACTAAAATTTGGATATTATCTTAAGTTAAAATTTCGTGAAACAGGGCCCAGATGTTATAGAAATTATTAATTTGACCTTTATTTACACGACAAGCTCAAAATCAACTCTGTAGACCCACTGATGGCTTGGGTACAGTTTGGATTTAAACATTCGTCCATTTAAAATTAAATCAATAAATGGCAGACCAAGCTAACATTTACCGTTAGTTGCTGATGTCACTACCGGAAACTGGTGATGAAAGGCCTGTCAAGCATGGCTACCATAGCCATTGAGCATGTTACTTGATAATCGAGAATATGTGGGTGGAGTTATCATCTGTCAATCAAACGATTGCCAATTCTCATAGACGGTGCAGACACAATTGATGCCTATTTCTAGTCCAAATTTCCAACAGTGACAATTCCGTTCAGAACAAAGTAATTTGACTGAAATTTTCAACATTTTCTTTTTTCATCATCTATTTTTGAATTATTATAGCAAGAATGGCCAACTCTTGAGCATTTTCTGCTCAGGGTAAGCAGAGCAATAAGCAATTTGATTGGTCGAGACTTTTGGAACACAATAACTCTCCTTCTAATTGAGGTAGAATGTTCAAACTTGGTGTAGCCGTTTATTAGGTGAATGCCTTGATGTAGTTTGATGATAAACATTGTCTGTTTACGGTAAGCAGAGATTGGTTGATGCTTTGGGGCACGATACCTTTGGTTATAATTAAGTGAAAGTGATGAAACTCCGAGTATAGATTCATTATATTATTACCGTGACTAAGTTCGATGATGAGAATTTTCTGCTTAGGCGAAGGAGAGATAACCAATTTGATTGGTCAAAACTTTGGAACATAACAACTCTGCTTTTAATTGAGGTAGAATGTTTAAACTTGATATAGATGTTCATTAGTTGAATGTCTTGACTGAGTTCAATGATTAACATTTCGAGCTAATTAAAGCCAAGCAGAGCTAAGCAATTTCATTGGTCAATGCTTTAGGACAAGATAACTTTGATTCTATCTGATAGAGAGTGATGAAACTTGGTGTATAGTTGATAAGCAGTTCGATTGCTTGATACTTTTGAAAAAAATAAATGTGCGATAAATTAAAATGTGTCATCTATTTATTTTGGTATTTCAGCGGGGGACATCAGCCTCACTGTTGGCTTGTTTACTAATAAAATGTTACATGGAAAAAACCTGTTATATTTTTATACATTGCTAGCTATCTTTTTGTATGTTTTTAATTTTCAGTGTTTAAGTGATCGACTTGACCAATACAGTGAAGATAAATCCATTGCAGGGAAGAAACCAAATCTTACCAAATTTCCTCCAGACTTTCAACCTATTCCTACTAGACCATTATTTTTTGATTTAGCATTAAACCATTTAGATCTACCATCTATAGAAGATAAACTGGACCAGAAAAAGACAGCTGCTGGAGGATCTGGAATCACTGGTTTTGTTAAAGGCTGGTTATGGGGTGGTGGTAAAAAATAAGATCATGTTTAGTACCATAACAAATTTTATGAATTATAGTCATGTGAGCAACAATTTTAACGCAAAATATGTGTGTAAAATTGTCTGTAAAGCTACGGTATGTAGAATGTGTTTGTATATAAAATGTCAGAAATACAGCTGGGCTCTGGTTTCAGTCAAATTTGCCCGCCTTGACTAATTGGCAAGGAAATTGTATGTCAATTTGCATGTCGTAAGATACAGTATTTTGAATTATTTATCAATAAAACATGATAAATACAATAATTTTGTTTTAGGTTTTTTTGATGTAACATCACATGAAAAGTCAAGAAATTGATGTAGATCTTGGAGGAGAATATTTTAAATCAAAATATTTTTTGGCAGCATTTGTCAAATTCCTCATTGTCAATATATAGATTCTTCATAAATTTGAGGAATTTCTCTTTTAACTATAGATTTAAGGAATGCTCTTTAGAGGGGTCAGAGATAGTTACTTTTAGTACACAAGTTTTTCCTGTCCCTCTATCCATTTTGGATAAATGTTGTCCATGATTTGATGAATAAGAAAATGACAAATGGAAATTATAGATAATGGTTGTACTGGTAATATGTATTGTTACCTTTTGTCACCGAGACATCACTATTTATTGGTTATAAATCTTAAACTATTTTATTGTTAGATACAAGGTGTATTTGTTATGTTATTATTGTTGATCTACAGATTTCTTTCATCTATACCATTTATGGATTTACTTGTAATTATTTTAGGAAGAATGAAATAGGTATATTCTTTAAAAAACTCTTTATAATTTTGTACAGATTTTTTCCCGGTCATTTTATTTGGCTAGTCATAATAAAAAAACTGTTCAATTAAAAATTCCCTTTGACAATAAGTTATTATTACATTACTGTTTGTAAAATAACCCTTTAATGGTTTATTAAAGAATTATCAATATGCTAAGACAGTGGACAAATGTGTTTCCATTGATCTTAATACTACACTGAACTAATAATGACTGTTGATTTGCAACTCTGATTATTTGTCCATGAGACAAACTTAATTTACAAACATGACTATCTTTCAAATCAATTGACTAGTTCTGTGTTTTAACATCTGGTCACTAGTCCTTCAAAGTTAAGATTTATGTTCAGCATACATCTACTTTAAGATTTTTCAGGGCTCCAGTAATACTGCATTTTACACAATTATTACATTGTTGAATATCCTAGTTTTTATTCTCTATTTCAATAATGAGTCCCCTCTTTCATTAACTAGATACATGTTTTAATTGATTTGAATATCAGTGTGATACAATGCATATGCTGAATGTATTCAAGATAAGTTCCCAAGTTAGGGAGTATTTGTAAATGAAATACCTAGTTCTAATGAAATTATATTTTACAATAATGAAGTTCGTTTTATGAAATAATTCTTTGGTTCTGGTCTATCTTATTATTTCTTTTTCAGTGTTACAATGAACACATCAGTTATAATAATAATGATAAAAGAAATTTAGTTGTATTTGTTGTGTTTTGGGTCATTTGATTTCTTTCTTATACTTACTGGAATAATAGTCAAATAGCATTGGAATTGACATTAGCTATTATTTCTCAACATGGATTTGCTCTTGTTCTACATATAGAGTGATGGAAATCATGTCCTGTCCAGTTCCTAGAAAATTTTCAAGTCCAGTTAGGTGCTTAGTAAGTCGAACCAATTTGAAAAGCATTTCACATAAAACTTCCAAGTTTTGGGCTCTGAGATAAATGGATATATAAACTTGAATCTTGATTCAATTATTGTCGAGTTGCCTGAAATACTAAGGAACAAAAGATAATTGCTATGAATTTGATATCAGAAGAAAAAAGGGGTGACAATGTTTTTCTACATTTGCTATTGTTAGTGTGCTGTGGTGTTTTGAAAGAGGGTGTGGATGTCCGAGTGCTCTAACACACACATTTTAGATCATGAAGTGGTGTGTTCTCATTCTAAACCATGTGCATGACAAGGATGAGGGAAATTAAATTAAATAAAATGGGGTTTTAACTTTCTACTTTTCTGCTCGACTGGTCTTCATTGACTGGCCTAATGAAGACGGCATATGCCATACAATGTGCTATGAAGAAAATTTTGCCCGAATAGTGGCACTATGACCTACTCTTATACTGAATTCCAACTGTCAAGGGTTCTTTTATGTTGTGCATGCCAAGGTGTACACAAGACTTGGGGTTTTCATGCCAGCCGAACGACTGGACACTGTATTTGCCAGGCCCTGTGTCCTGCACCACTGACAAGAGGGAACTATGCTGAAAAATCCAGGATAGCGAGCCAGATTTTACTCACTGAGCCACCGCAGTTCCCTTAAAGTAGTAGGGTAGCCGTTAATTTTCATTGAGTTAAGGTTCAACCCCATTTCTAGATTTCTGCAGTTTTAAAACATTCATTTATGCATTACAATGGAAATATTATGAATGAATCCAAGCACCAGTGAGAGAGAAATGGGGTCCAACGTTTACTCGACTCAAGAAGGAACTAGGTCAGTTCGGGACTAACATCGTTCAATTTTATTTCAAAAATTTGCTTGTGTGTAGGCCTAGGGTTTTTTTTAGCAGTGTGAGGAAACCAGAGGACTCTGTGCATTGTGTAATTCCAGTTCAGTTACTAAATGCCGCTGAAATAATAGGTTATTTGGAAGGGAACAGGGAATAATAAGTATTGTTTATAACCGTTGAATTTTATTTGTTAATTTTTATTGTAGTGATTAATTGGAGTTATTTCCCGTGTTAACAAGCGGGACACCTCGGTTATTTCCGCGACTTCGCTTGGCTCACTTGATTGAATTACTCATTGATATTTATACTGTATACATGGCTTTGTTCATTCCCTGCCCAGACTATGCTTGACCATTAAATACTTTAGGGATATTTTTTTTATGTTATTTGTTATTTTGAACCATGTTTTGTTACCAAACCGTTCAATGAACTCCCAAGTGCAACGTTGCTGGTTTAAGTACGGGCTGTTCTCCCACCATTTTGAGTAAGCTGGACAAACTAATCAAGTACATGATATTGAAAAAGAATGGAGCCCACCAGAGAAAGAGACCAACTTTTAGCCCTGAAAGTCATGCGACTGACCAAACCCACATTGATGCCATTTAATCTGATACTAGCAGATGATCAAGATCTATGTGGAACAGAAATATTAGGCCAAAACAAGAATGATTTATCGAAACCACGAGGCTTGAATTATTTTCCGCTGGGAGATCTGCTCACCCTCCCACAAAATTTTGGAAACATTGTTTTAGGGGAAACTTTCTCAAGTTATATTAGTGTACACAATGACAGTAACCAGGTGTGTAAAGAAATAACTTTGAAAGCTGATTTACAAACTAGCTCTCAAAGGCTGTCACTGTCTAGTCGCAATTCTCAACCAGTGCCAGAACTATTACCAGACCACAGTATTGATGATGTCATACATCATGAAGTCAAAGAACTTGGCACACATATACTGGTCTGTGTTGTTAGTTATGTAACAAATACTGGAGAAAATCTGGCATTCCGTAAATTCTTCAAGTTTCAAGTTTTGAAACCATTGGATGTGAAGACTAAATTCTACAATGCAGAATCAGATGAAGTTTATCTTGAGGCTCAGATACAGAATATAACACCATTTCCTATTTACATGGAGAATGTAAGCTTAGAACCATCTCCTCAGTATAAAGTGAAACAGCTGAATTCTGCTGGTGATGGCAAAAAAGATACTGAGGATGAAGTATTTTGCCGAATAAATTACCTAAGCCCAACAGATACTAGACAGTATTTGTATTGTCTGAAACCAAAGCCAGAACTGTACCCAGAAATAAAGCAAAGAAAAGGTTTGAATAATATCGGTAAACTGGACATTGTATGGAAAACAAATATGGGTGAGAAAGGAAGACTACAAACAAGTCAGCTTCAACGTGTTGCACCAGGATATGGGGATATAAAACTAACAGTAGAAAGTCTTCCTGATACTGTTTCGTTAGAATGTATATTTGATGTTACTTGTCGTATAACTAACTGTTGTGAGAGAACAATGGACCTAACACTAGTCTTACAAAATCCTAACTCGTCTCCTTCAACTGGTTTAATGTGGTGTGGAATATCAGGCAAACAATTGGGTAAATTACCCCAAAATGAAAGCATAGACATTCAATTGACTTTATTAGCTGTGTCACCTGGTTTACAGTCTATCAGTGGATTAAGACTTACTGACAATTTCTTAAAAAGAACGTATGAACATGATGACATTGCTCAGATATTTGTGATAGATGAACAAACATAGTTAAAGATAAATAAAGCACAACCTATCAGCAGTATTCATGGTCCGAATAAAACCTATATGTAAAATTTCACAGAAGAAGAGCACAAAGCTATAACACTGTGTAGAACAAGTTTTGTTCAGTCAAAAGAGCTTTTCACATATTTAATTATGTACTCCCATGTCTTTATGACCGTGTTGAACCTTGCATAAAATATTACTCCGCTAATAGCATATACATTTATATACATGTATAAATTACACAATGTTTCAGGGTCTCAACTTTTATTATTGTAATCTTCTAGACCTGATTAATCCAGATTTCATTGGGATCTGTTTCGGAATCTGTTCAGTAATTTTTCCTAACAGCTAAAGTAAAGTAAGCCATATTTACCCTTATCGTAACCGTTTTATTTGCTACATGTGCAATACAGGTAAGGTTGGTGGTGGATAGATGCTGGTAAAAGAAAGCCTAAAAACAACAATATTGCATTAACTGTTGAAACCGAGAATGCAGTCTAAATGTGTTATTTTAATTGGTGAGCTTTATTATTGGTCATGACATCAATTTTGCATCCGAAAGTATTGACACATTTTGACCAATTCTAAATAATAAATTAATGATATTGGACTGCAAGATCCACATATTTGAAAATTAATTATATTATGTAGGATATTATAATTTATTGTTATATTATTTATTACCCCTCTTCATGTATTTTATGTTGTGTGTACTATATCCATTAACTATAAAATAACTACTGATAAGAAAATAAACTGTCATGGTTTTTGCATGGACTTTAGATCATTAAGTGCAAGTGATTCTATACTTGCAGGGTAGGATTGGCCCGAAGTGCTGGTCAGAAGTGAAAAAAATAATTTTGTCCAATTCGTCTAAAAAAACCTTTTTTGCTGAACATTATATGGGGGGGGGGGGGGTTGGACCGATCATGTTGTATGTGGTCGGTGGCCTTAACGGGCCGCCACGCCATCACTGAAGTCTGGAATGGGCTGGTATAATAGTCTTTCTGGCCGGGTGTGCTGGGAGTGGGCCGGAATTCGGAATCCTGTAATGGGGATTCCGAATTTCATCCGAAAATTTCATCGGATTCACCTGACACTGTTGTGGAAGCTATATTTTGCGTCCAAGATCAAATTTTATTTTTATTTTTATTTCCGCTCCCGCTTCTGACAAAAATGTTAAGGGTAACGCAATTCTCATAATTAAATTTGTGTGGCCTTATACTCGAATATTCATTATCTGAACTAATGCTATGTTCATTAATCAATATGTAGTGTGCCAAATGTTCAAGTTCGGAGTCAAGGTAAAATAATTTACCTGGAACGACAAATCCAAAATTAAAAAAAAAGCAGCTTTCATGAATTTCACTTTCGTCACTCTGTACCAATGTGTCTCGTGGCCTTCCATCACAGGAGGAATCAGCTAGCGCTCCCGACAACAAAAATGGGTCATTTTTCAATGAAAATATTCCTACTTATTCAATATTCCTAACTGGTTAATCAAATGGTCAAAAATTTCTCAACTATTCCCATTTTTTAACCAGTTAAATTCTCTTGACGATACAGTGATAATACGTTAATTAATAATATGACGATATGATAATTTCACAGGTTGATGGTTGTAAATTACTTGTAGGTCGGGGTTTTGGCCTAAATTAATCGATTTATGAGATATATTATTTGACAGAGGTTATAATCAGATATGCCACCAAATCGCATATTTGGGGTTCATTTTTCAAAATTTTCCATCCGGGCTTCGCGGTCAGTAAAAGGGGCCGCTCCGAAACGGGAGCCCGGGCCGGTTCCAATCCTCCCCTGTATACTTGTATGAATAAAGGAATTGAGTCGCCTGTCCAAGATTTTTGTTGAATGGCAGTTGCTTACTCCTTACAAACAGCACCAAATGGATTTAGCAAGTTTCAAGCTTTAACAATATCGGATAAAAATTGTGATCTCTACTGTGTGCACAAGCTTAAAACGGGATTTTCGAACAATCGGGGTTCATAATCCATGATGCTACGGTCCGATACATGTCAATTTCGAAATGAACCGAAATTTTTGGGAGGTAAACCTATATTTCAAGTTTCGTCAAAATCAGATAAAAATTGTGACATGTAGAGTGTCCACAAACAAATTGTGAACGGACGCCCGGACAGGGGCGACGACAATATACGTGCACATGAAAATATGGGCGTATGAAAATAAAAATGTTATCATTAGAAATGAAACAAAACTTATAGGAAGATTTATTTGTAGCATCAGCATAACATTGCATAAAAAATGTGATAGATCCTTTTAGAATAATTGAGAATACACGGACGACTCTAAATCTGTGGGACCTAATCCACGACTGCTTTCAAATATATTATGCTATAATCTTGTTCACAACTATAGAACCATTATATTGCTCAGCTATATTGACTGTAAACTGAACATCAAAGAATATCTTAAGTCAATTATCGATAAACTATTTAGAACCTCTCTTATAAAAAATCACAAAAGAGAATAGGGGCGGTAAACAGAACCAATGAAAAGGCTCATCAATAATTACATACCTGTATGGTCTGGTCCATCCGACATAGACGAGATCAATTTATTATTTACGGTAACTAACGTAAACCTTTTTTTTTCTAAAGGACATGTTATCAGCAATGATTAATTTGCTATGGTCCCGTGTACATCGATAGTCCTACTGGGTCGTCAGTAAAAGTAAAGGCAGAAATGAAATGGAGGTTTAATGTTTTTGCACCAACCGGGATGGTGGAGTCGGTAATGGTAAGTACAGAAGGACCACACCACGGACAAACAGAAAGCCAAAGCATAAACCCGATGACAGAACACACAATACATTGTACTTAGAAATGTCAAGCAAAAAATAACCTACAGTGCTTCCCACTGGTGTTTTTTCTCTTGTTATTAGGCTATACATGTATACATATATTATGGTTAAATAGTTATTTAGGAAACAAGGCGTATGATCGATAACGTGAAAATACTTCCATGAGACAATAAATCAGACTGCAAAATCGTTAAAGAGGGAGTCCTTGAATTCTTAGGAAACCGTAAATAAAACTGGATTTAAGTACGCAAATCAATCGCGAAGATCATTTATCACCAAACAAAACTTCGGTAAATAGACATGGTTATAACCAGCCAGTCAAAGGAACTAGAATTTGAGGACTTACATAGCCTGTGCCACATGCAAAACTGAAACACAATTGTGAAGAGTCTTATTTCACCCAGATTTTACCATTTATTTCAATTTCGGGGCTTTTTCTTTAAGATGTCTGTCAATTCAATCTTCGTATGAATACTATACAACATAAAAAAAGTGATAATTACAAAAATGTTGGTGCATAACTTTTGTTTAGACCGGTTCTATAAAGCTATATAATGTAGGTCAGTGTAGTAATGAAAAAATGAAAACTAATCAAAGGAGTTTCGTGTTGGATATGGACACAATTTTATTAAAATAACCAATACCAATTATAACAATCCAATGATCGTAAATAATTTACAATCCACATGCGTTATGGATTGAAATCATTCGGTTAAGTATACATGTAGCCTTGATTCAAAATAATCGATTTTCTCATACAGGGTTTGAATATGACAATTGCCATTATTCTGCGATAGATATATTACATAAGACAATATTTTATCCAAGTTTGGTAAACTATCTCTGAAATATATGGCTTTCAATTTTGGATTTCCGCTTTTCTGATGTTCCTGCTTGCGAAATGAAGTACTTAATTACGTGTTTGTAACGTGTGTATAAATTTGTAAAGCTGACTTGTTTGGATTTTCTAGAAATACATAATATTACACTAAGATTTCTCGTATTAATGCTCAGTCTTGGTCTTCAAAGTAGCAGTGATCGCTTTTTATTTTCCAGATCTAGCCCCCTTCTCTTCCACTAACTAAAATCTATCCTCAAGAACAGTGCGCAGATTCGGGACGTGTTTTGTCAACATTGCTGTGGTGGGGGGGGGGGGTCACGTTATTTTATATAGGGCAGCCGGAAACTTTTGGTACGCTCTTCGTACGTCATTCAAGGTGCACACGGACCTTGGTTTTTCGTCCCAGCGGAACGTCTAGAAGCTGTGCCTTGTCATTTAGGAAAACTATGGCAATTTATTCGGAATTAATAATGCCCTATCACATAACGATAATGAGTTTTAAACGAGTTGCAACAGGTATTGATCTATGCAAATGTTTTTATGGGTGACTATTGTCTGGGGTATTATATGATTACTGGTTTGTATAATCTGATTATGTTTTATATAGTGTACTGACACCTATTGTCAGTTTTTGACGTCTAAGATATTTGGCAACGCTTGATGACCTGGCGCCTGATACGTTCGGGCATTTTTATGCGCGAACTCTTAGGGTGATTTTTACTGGCATGCGCACAGGTACTATTTCTTTTTCTTTTAACAAGTACCCAAATCGGGGATTTCGTGCGGAGGTAGTTCGGAGGTAAACAGTCTGTGAAGTACAACACTTGCCACTTTACCTGTGTATCGCTAATTATAAACCGAATGTGTGAAGACAGTTCATACATATCACTCAAAAAATTTTCAGTACAAACTCAGTTGATTCCCGCTCGATTTGATACTAAACAAACCCATCGGTTTATTTTCTCAACAGTGTGACCAGAAGTGACCGCGGATTTATTGACCTTGTATGAACTTATCCATAGCTATATCCTTACACCGAGAGAAATTATCTAGTCTCGGTGAAAAGAACCATGGTCATCTGGTAGAAAATTACTTTTGTATTTTTTGGAACGGAAAACAGTGTTTTTAGAAGCAAACTAACCTGCCGCACATGAGGAAGTAATTATACTAATAATAAAAGGCGAGACCTCTTTTTGCGGCGCAGGCTTATCACTGAGTAGTAAACCGTCCACAAACAATAATATAGGAAGCTTAGTGACGAGTGTAGTAAGTACTAAAGTAGGCTATAGGCCTAGACTATAGGTTTGAGTCGAGATTACTCGCTTTCAGTTTACTCTGTTTTTGCGATAACCAATTATGTGAGAAATACCATACTGACATTCGGTTTTTAAAAGTTGTACGCGAACTAAATGCGTTTGTTAGATACTGACAGAGCAGCCCCGAGTCGAACAATCGCCGCCCGAGCTGTCTTCGTCAGCTAGTTTCACAATATCGTGCAATAGGTGTATTAATGTGATTTTTAGGTTTAACCCCGCAAACAATGCCAAAATAGTGTTTTCGCTGCTTACAGAAAACTGAAATTTAAAAAAAATCTTTTTTATGAGGGTGACCCTCCCACACACTCCCTATCGAGCTGCCGCTCGGTCTGCGCAGCCTCATGCCTGGCACCATAGATACGGTATTATCTATGCTGGCACATACTGTCAACATTGTATATTTTTCCGTTTCCGCCCTTCCCCCCCACAATATATATTTCACGGCTACGTTGCGACGGTACCAGCATACCCAGTTGTTGACACCCATTACATCACTCCTGTCTAACAAATCATAAAGCTGTGGTGTTACGGTGGCGGCATAGTATTTCACCGTAACACCACAGCCACTCTAACCATTCATAATACATCTAACTACCCCTTTACAGCACTTCACTCCCTACACATTTCCCCTCGTCCTACTTTCCCAAACGTCAACAACACATCTCATACATCCAGTTCGCTGATTAACCCTTGTACCACGTCTACTGGTTTATATTCACGAAATGACATGTTTAGCACTGTATGGTAATTGAACTCAAAGATCCAGGGCCAGATTAAGACCTTTAGTGGTCCTAAGCACTAAAAAGATGATGGCAACACACCCCCATATCCATATGTTATTCAATTCAAAATAAAAACAAATAGTGAACCGTAAAATCAAATTTTATCTTTTGAAATGAAACAAACTTACAGTAACCTCTCTAATATTATAATTCATTATTTGCACCACTGGTCGAAAGATTTCAGTGATGTATTGATAGAAATAAGTTAATACCACACAGAAACTCTTATTATTATATTATGGAGTAAATTATATTATACTTATTGAAGCGATAGTGTCAGTTCAATCTCGGGTCATTTCTTATAATCTGTTTACACCCCGTAACACGTTACTAATATCTTATTCTTAAATATATTATTGCTTCCATATTATTTATATTATTATTTTTTGTATTATAATTTATGTATTGCCTGTGTAACAATCGGGTATAAGTCTTTCATACATTGGATTATTAAAGAAACGTGGGGCGATTGTTAGAAGTCGCTTAGCTACAGTTCCGTGCTCACGTTTCACATTGCAATCTGGCGTTTAAATGAATAAAGTTTCTAGATATCTCGTTCTAAAAAGTTACTAGGCTACTCGCGCAAAAACTAAACATATATGCACGTGTTCGTTGATCCCCCGTCTTTAGGGAGAGAGAGAGAGAAATGGGGTTTAACGTCCACTCGACACAAACTAGGTCATTTCGGGACTAACGTATGGTTTAATTTTATTTCAATAATTCGCTTGCGCGTAGGGGTCTTTAGCAGTGGGAGGAAACCGGAGGACCCGGAGAAAACCCACGAGGTTGGACAGGCGACCCTACTCCTTGCCACGTACAACCAGGGATTCGAAACCACGCCAGTTGACTCAATGACAGACTTTATGGTACAGCGCGCACGTGCTAACCATTCAGCCATCCACCCCCCCCCCCCCCCCCCCCCGTCTTTAGGGATGTATAGGCACTAGATATTTACTCTTGACTGTCCTTTGATATTGAATATTTTTCGACGCATACCGATACATAAAAAAAACTTTTAAGACTTCACCAGAATCGTAAGATATGTTGATGGTCACTGTATGTTATCAAAGTCAGTGCAATGCTTATAAAAATAATATTATTCTTAACTAGTTAGCCAGCTTTTGTTCAAATAGACGTTTTCATGAAGCATTAAAAATTATGCTCGATTGTCATCGATTAACATAGTTGGATTGCCAACTTATTAAAACCAGTAGGTGATAAGAACTGTACTTGTCATCAGTCAGCATGTTAAAATTGGCAGACAAATGCAATCAATCAACAACAGTTCAAACAAAATCATATTCAAAATCATATCCCTAAACCTTTCACAAAAAGTATTGTTTTTAATTTCTGAGGGTACAGTTGTAGATGAAACTGATATTCCCCGTATTAAAACCACTGAATGTAAAGACATACTGTTATAGGTATACCATCTGAAACTTGTACATGTAAATTGTAAAAGACAAACCCCAGGATGCATTTAAGCACAAGTGTGTGCGTTTTACATACCACATTATTCACCGTGAGGAATAATCTATAAATAATAAATGCCTCGGATAATACCCACAAACGACATTCACTACATTGTGTGTGTGAAATAGCTTTATTTAACGCCCGCTTTCACCAAAATAATATCGCAGACAAGCACTACATAAATCCCGTTTAAGATTATTTTATACCATTACTTTCGCATAGTGCGGTTGCGTCATGATAAAGATACATTATGGGAGATTAGAATAAGAGTTGGTAGTCCTCACTATAATAGTTAGAAACTAGATAATGTATAGGGGGTTTGCTGAAATTTTCAGTCAAATTGATCCACTCTGAACCGAGATTTTAGCGATTGAATTTTGGGCCAAGCCTCGATCATCATTACTAAAGTCGGTACGATAAAAACATAGTCTCAATTATCCATTTCATGATTAAATCATGAACGAAAGTTAGGCAGCAAATGGGATCCTAATTCAGTAAATATCGCAGGCTAGCGTTGACATAGATCGTTGATTATGGTCGGGATAAGTTAATTAATGTCTAATTAATAATTTAGATAACATTTCAGGCCTAAAGAAAGACCTGAAATAGGCAGATTTAGCTCTTGCATAATGTATGTTTAGTGATTGAATATATATCTTATTAAAGTAGCTAAGTCTCTAACTCAGTATCATCCAAAGTCTTCGACATTGAAAACACGAATTATTTTTCAATTTAAATCAACATTGATGTTGTGATCTTACCGGGAAAAGGTGGACTTCTGGTATCCAATATTTAAGACAAAATACTTATTTTACCATTTGTACACGAATCGTGTACCATAATGCGTTTCAGCGCCATTTGTAACAAGGGACTCAAAGAACAAGGCTAGACATATTCCACAAGTCATGTCAAACGGTGACACCATATTCTTATCTGGAAAGCATGCGCAATAAATACTATCTGTGTAGACTGGAATAACCAGACACTACAGATTGCCATTCAGTTCAGACTTCTGACATATTTCGCCGAACATAACTGATTAGACTATACAGTAAAAACAGATACGATCATTGAATGTAAATCAGTTTATATACATTCATATATATTACATTATTATATGCGTTACTACCCATTTGTGTCAATTTCTAGGTGCCAAATATTAGCGATTTAGCTCCTTTAAGTTATTGTATCACCGCGTATTTATATAGTTACAGCATGGTTGGTTCTTTAGAATACATATATGAATGCAATCAATGTCTAAGCATATCTTCTCGCGAGACTTATATCATTCCTTCTCATCAAAAACATGTTTCGCAGCAAGCTATCACTTGTCTACCAGGATTTAGGAAATGTTATAACTCAAATATATCAACTTATCACGTTCGGTATAACATTGGACACACCCATCTGACCGCTTGGTATTATTATAGCGTGTCTGAGTCATATTCTTACAAATCTTATTGAGCGTCAATTTACACAATAGTAGACTTAGTTCGCTAAATTCTGATATAATATATATAAATCTACTTGACCCATAGTTCAAATATGCTATAATGCGAATATGTTGCGATACAATTAACATCTATTATAGGGATCACGTGATTGTTTCACAGGGCAACCCAACTAAACACATCCAAATTCTTGGTTGTTTACATTGGTGACGCGCGCGTCTCAACTTTATACTTACTTATTCAGTATTTCAGGTCTGGGATCGAGTGGAAGTGAGTTAACTTTGACAGCACATATCTCAACAAACGCTAAAGAACAAATGTAAGTAAAAAATCATTATCACTAATACTACGACTGTTTACTTCAGATTTGACTGTCATTCATTATAAAATCATAAACCAGCTTATTTCTAACGGGGTAGATTTGACTAAATTATATATGGCGCTAATTGTCAGCCGACAATTCCAGTCTTTATTGAAATCTTGTTCGAAACGATCGAATTTGGCTCTACCAGTGCTGAGCATTCTGTTATTTCCAATTAAATATCCAAACAGTGCTTGCTTTCTCATTCCTCTTATAACAAGATTTATAACAAGTTGCTAGCCTAAATATAGTGCCCATTATTAAACTAGGTCATTGCATATCAACATAATTTATTTCAATGCCTGGTGAAGTCTTTCTATCAATTTGACGATGTGTGAAATGTAGACTTCCAAAAGAATCAGTTTTGAAACTAATAGGCTACGTATGAAACACAAATTGCCAATACGGATATATAGGGGTTTTTTTGGTGGCAAACAGCCCATGTAGCTTATAGGATTTTATCTATTGATAAGATATACTAAATTTATATGATATAAAGACCTGCAGTAAGTTTCCATAACGTGTTTAAACGTGACTATATAGCTAATGGAAAGCAAATTATTGATTCGACTTGAGTTGTATGTAAACTACACTTCACGCCTTTATCCAGTATAAAAATGTAAATATGCGAATCGAACTATATACAGGACGGCGACAATAGAGGATCACCCATCGGTCAATAATCATGATCTGTAACAATTAGCATCCTCCGGCACTATATTTTCTACAAATAAACACGTTCACTACTACAATTGTGTACAAGAGCAGGGTGTCTTTGTTTGCGAAGATGAGAATGGGATAGAAGCGCTGCTGACGTGCAACATTTCGCGTATCGATCTGTACATTGATCTGTTTCTATATAAATAACAATCGACTAATGTGTAAAAGCATCGATTTTCTGTTTTCTAAAGACTGCGAAAAGTAAACGAAAATCAAAGGCTACAGTGAAATGGTTATTTATATTAAGATTGATATTATTGTTACTAAGGAAATATGAATGTTTTTATGATCAATATTCATTTCCCCGATGAATTCATCTGACCTGGCTATCGTCCAGTTCTCATAGAGGAATTAAATGGGATATTTGTAGACTGTATGAAAGCCAAATTACTGTATAATTTCATCATTGGCATTCATTATGAAACAACGTTATAGAATGGAGTTCTCGTTAATGATATTTTATTAATTAAATTATTACATATTAATACCGAGAGAAATAAAACCGTATATCTAAAGATTTTTTCATCTTTATCAACTGAACTATAGTATTACGATATTGCTAGCTAGTATTTTAACCAGATACGCATGCAGCACCCCACCCCACCCCACCACAAACCCGTCATCTGGGCCACTTTGATCCAAACATTTGTGTTTCCATTGTCATTAAATATTTATTTGTAAAATATCTATAGATATTAAATAACTCAATTTATTATTTGTTGAAATAAAATATTGTTTATCCGTGAACTTGAGTTCGCATGAATTTGAAATATACACCATGTTGAAATATGGAGCCACTGGGTGGGGTGTGGTAACGAATGGTGATATGTCTGTAGATAGCTACTATAAACAAATATAGGGGAGGATATATACACCTTACCAGTTATTTTGATAGACTTGTATGTTTTAGTACCACTTGACCTAAGACAAGAATTATCTAAGGTGCGATTTATAAAGTTCGAAGTTCATGACATTTCTGGCTTTATTAAATCCGTTTTGTTGACATAACAGCGAAAGGGTTTAAAACATGTTTTAGGTATGTATATTGGTGGGCAGTAGTATAAATTGCTGATGTAGCGAGACTGGCTGTTATATCTGGTATGGTAGATTAAATCAGGTCGATTAAAGTTAAAGGTTGATACATGGTGAAGATGATATTTCAGAAAATGCGCTTTGAAGAAGCGCTATGATTATGCATGTTAGAATAATCTTTCGTCATTAAAGATACATTTTTCAAGAGCTACCATAGGATTTTCCTACTTCGATCCAGGTGTAGGCCGACTGGGCGAGAAAGTTCCTCGATTATCCATTTTTATACGCCCACATTGAAATGTGGTTGTATATTGTCGCCCCCGTCGGTCCAACGTCCACAAGCGCCTGTGGACGCTCTAGAGACTAAAATTAATATCCGATTTACTTTAAAGTTATACACAGTGCAGTGTTTAAGGTCATGAGACGAAGAAGCCTTTTGATTTTCAGCGATTTCCGATAATTACTGCCAGAGCTATGGCCCTTGATCACTTCAAAATATCTTGTGGATGCTCTAGAGGCCAAAGTTAATATCCGATAGACTTTAAATTTAAACACAGTGTTGAAGGTCATGAGATGAAGAAGTATATTGATTTTCAGCAATTTCCGACAATTACTGCCAGAGTTATGGCCCTTGATCATTTCAAAATATCTTGTGGATGCTCTTGAGGCTAAAGTTATCATCCGATTGACTTCAGATTGATACACAGAGTTTAAGGTCTTGAGACGAACAAGTATATTGATTTTCAATGAATTTTGATAGCTTGAACAGCTAAATCCATTTCATTAAATGTTTCGTATACTAAACGTTAGCATGGGGCAGAAATTCTAATGATTTTCTGATAATTACTTATTGAGTTGTTACTCTTAATCAGATTTTAGTGTTATATAATCACCGAAAGAAAGTAAAAAAACTCTTGTTGACTGCCCGGCCGATTTAGCCGCTGTGGTCGCATGTTTCGTTGCCTGGCAACCTATCTTTACGTTAAATTATCCATCACAAAATGTATTCAAATCCACAAAATATCAAAGGCTAACGATGGCATCGAGGGTGGATTATGGTCTTGATAATTTAATTAATGTCTTAATTAATACTTTAGATAACATTTCAGGCCTAAATGCATGTCTAACATTCACTTTATGTTACTCAGTTTTATTCTTCTTAAATTCTTAAAGAAACAACATAAAATAATGTGAAATATAAATAGATCAATAGTAGGCTATTATGTACTTCTTGTGAATTACATTCACAAACTATATTAGGGTTTTAAAACTATATAGGCTTTAGAAAGTTTAGTTCTATACATTTTTTTATTCAAAAGATCATACCCCTACTCACTCTTGTGTAAATAACAGAACGTAATTGACGACGTACTACTAGATCTACAATCGTATCGTTATTTACTCAAACACACCCTTTATCTACCGACTTCACGGTTAAAACTTGTCCTCGCTTGCATATCCCTATATAGTTTTACATAGGAAGACTTTAAATAAGTTGAAGGTTACGGATAAACATTACGAATCACTCACTCTACCTGACACAGACCCAAAATATATCCTTATATATCTCAGTAAACCTGTACAGTTCAAGTTTTGCTACCATATAGGGTTGGCGTTGGGCAAAATAAAAGCTCATCGTTTGACGTACTTTTTTTTTTACTTTTAATAAGTTCTAGTAAAAATAATAGTGTACATAATTAGATTAAACAATTAACAGTTATAGTGTTGACAATTAAACTCAAGCAATCGAATTGATATTAGACCTTTAAAGTAGGCCTATCTGGGGTTTCCCTTAATGTAGTCTGGTTTTGGAAATGAAATGAAATGAATTGGGGTTTAACATCCTACTGTTCTGCTCCTATACTGGGCTAATGAAGACGTGCATACGCCATACAGTGTGCTATGAGGAAAATTTTGCCCGGGCAGCGGCACTATCGCCTACTCTTATATCGAATTCCAACTGCCAAAGGATTTTTTACGTGCATTCCAATGTATACACAGGACCTCGGTTTTTCGTATCATCCGAAGGACTAGACAGCTGTCCTTGTCAGGCCCTCCGTCCTGCATCACTGACAAGGGGGAGCCACGCCGGAAAATCTGGATGAACTTTCTCGGCCAATGCAGGGACCGAACACCCGACCTCCAGGCTAGCGAACCAGCGTCTTACCCACTTAGCCAGGTTTTGAGTTTAAGCCGCGGTTGCAATTGGCATCTATTCATTGGCTAAATGAGAGGCCAGGTCAACTGAATACAAACTGATATCGAGAAAGAGTATACTCATTATACTTTTATTTAATAATTTCTTATGTTTTCCGAAATTCTATCCAGATTATCGCCCTTATAATTGTTAATTTTTGTTTTGACATTTTCTTTTGACGTCAAATAATAGTAAGTGCAGAGGGACTGCACCACACATAATTTACACAAAAACAAATACATGAACAAGACATCATACACAGAAAAACACAAATAAACAAACAATTCAATAAAAGTGAATGGATCCGGGGGCTAGCCGTAAGCGTCCACTGCGCTGTAGGGCCTACAGTCCTGGGTCTGTAGTGACACAGACTTCACTCAAATTTGAAAACAATCAGGAATACAACCCAAAGAAACCAAATCATTGTGTAATGCCAGCATGAGTCATGATCTGCTATATGCTACACGAAATACGAAAGCAAGCACATAGTAGTAAAATTCAACTAGAGCCTATACAAAAGTAACCACATCGGTGAAATGTATAAAAAAATGTAGTCTAAACCTAAATGTTCTAAATCAATCAAGAAACGTTTCAGTATTCAATGAAATCGAGGTATATTGAATACATTTAGGGCACATGTTCCATCCGTCACAAAAACAAAACAAAACTGAATACAAAGAAGAAAATAGGAAATGTAGACTGTCTCGAAAGACAGCCGTCTGGTACGGTGTCTGGTGACTGAATGGCGTGACGTAAAATCGCCGTTATTTTGGCAACCATCGTTCAGACCTAGAAGTATAAATAGAATACTCCTTGGTCCAGACCCGTCGCATTTATGCGCCTTTCTTGTAAATCTTTGTTTTGTTTTTTTTTTTACTTTGAGCGAAGCCTGTATCATCACGGAACTGTACAAAGCAGTGGACGCTTACGACTGACCTCTGGATCCATTCACTTGATTGGATTTGTGTTGCGCGTGACGCGGTCTTTCTGCACTTACTAATAATATACTATTTTTTCTTCAGAATTCAAGATGGCGACAGCAGGAGCAGTTACAGACGATGAACGTGATATGCTAGCTAAATATTTTGAAGAGTGCGTGATTAGTGCATCCGGTGGTAAAAAATTATCAGATGACGAGAAGAAATATGCTACCGGAAAAGCAATTATGAAGATGATTGAACCCGTGATGGGCAAATCTGATGCTACTTTTTGTGAAGGAGGCGTGGTTACCAAATTATCCGATAAAAAAACGTAAGGACACCACTGGACTGCGAATTGCGATGTCGCCTATTATTCAGAGTATTATTAAAAATGAAATCAAGATAGAAGGTTACTCCAATTCTGTCTTCCAACTGAAATGTCTAGCTGTGTTAATCGATTTGCAAAGTTCATGGTTCGTTCAATATCAAGGTTTCTGGAACTTTAATCTTTACAGGCGAAGATTATGCTATGGCCACTTCACACCTTAGTGTCGTTAGTGAAATGAAATGAAATGGGGTTTAACGTCCTACTGTTCTGCTCCGAACTGGGCTAATGAAGACGGACATACGCCATACAGTGTGCTATGAGGGAAATTTTGCCCGGACAGCGGCACTACGGCCTACTCTTATATCGAATTCCAACTGTCAAGGGATCTTTTACGTGCACGCCAATGTGTACAAGGGACCTCGGTTTTTCGTCCCATCCGAACGACTAGACAGCAGGCCCCTCGGCCTGCATTCACACCTTAGTCCAAACCTTTCTAATTTACTTTTTGTTCTTCCATTATGCAAGTAAGGCAATCTGATTAAAATGCAGATCTATATTTCGTTTCGTTTTTTATACTTTCGATGGCCTACGTGGAGATCTGACCAATAATTTTGGGAGGTCGCGTCAGAGGTCATACGAGCGGTCATGAAGCTCACGGTTTCATTGGTTAACCCCTTATATCATCCAGATCACGTCAATGATAACAACTCTTCCAGATCCTAGTGTAGTTAAGACAATTGATATGACATGTGGAGATGGCATTTTAATATTGGGGAATGAAAGTGCACTCCAGAGGGTCGTTTTACATTATGAAAAGCGTTTACAGTAATAAGGTATAATACGAATATATTAATATACCTTTTGAGTTCACAATTGTTTTATTAGAATTCATGTAGCCAATATGTAACTTTGTATTTATGGATTTGGAACTTGAATGCCCTGGTGGTACAATGTTAGGCCATCTGTTTCACTCTTTCACATATTATTACAGAAAGAAAATGCATGTAGATGTCTTTACTGGTGATTTTTTCCCTGAATTAGCAAAATATGCAGCTACCAGCATCCCTGCTCACAAGAAAAAGGGCACGACTCCAGAAGCTCTTAAACAAAAATACTTAGAAAAAGTTAGAACAGAAGTGAATAAAGAGAAAAAAGCTGTAAGTTTTCATTAATTGTTTTGTTCATTGATATAAATTTTCACTTGATCATCCCTTCTTTCTAATAAAAAAAAGATATTGAGTAATTTCTAATAACACCCTCATTTTACCAGGATCAGAACATTTCAATATAAAACGACCACCCGTTGCTAAAATCCAAAGCTTGCTTATTTCTAGCTTTTAAATGCTTTGTTTATATTTGAAGGCTTCAAACACTGCTGTGGTTGATAGACTTACAGACACATCTAAATATACTGGTGCACATAAAGACAGGTTCGATGCCGAAGGTAAAGGTAAAGGCGCCGCAGGACGAAAGGAGGAAGTCCACAATACTGGTTATGTTGGTAACTACAAGGGAGAAGGTTCATACGAAAAAAAATAAACCCAACCGTCTTTTATCATTGCTCCATAAATCACATCTGTTTTAATCAACCACCAAAGAGCGAATTATTGGAACCAATTATGTTATGTTATTTTTCAAGTTATGCATGTTTGATACACGTTTTCGTCACCGAGGTTTATTTAAATACAAAAGACATGATTCTAATGTCTGTTTGAGGCAATCTGTTAAGGTTTTAGATTTCTAGATTGTTAACTAAACAAGAACGTAGTGATCGCAATATTTTCTGTACTGCTGAATTTAAAATGAATTGTATTTTTTTTTCTCTCTCTCTACTGGGTTGAATTTTATGTAATTCGCTCTTATACCTTTTTCTTAAAGATCTGAATTTTGTGTAGATTGTAATTATGATGGGATGCCTGGAAATTGCCTTTATTTTATATATAATTTTACTTATGTATTTTTTAAAAACTTTTTATTTGATGCCATAAAAGTCCCATACGTATTTGTTGAAATTAAATCAAGACCAGCCTTAGTTTAAGTTTTCTAGTAGACTCCTTTCATTAAAGCAGCTGGATGGGATATTTGTTAAGAAAACGCGCATAGTGCTTACCGAAGTATTTATTTATTTATAGTTATATACCAGACTTGCTTAAAAGCGTAGATCCACGACCTGTCTCAGATATGATAGTATATCTCTAAATTACAAACTATTACATGAATAACTATTTTGACATTCCTTGATTCAGTGCGTCAACATGATTACTTTTTTTTTATATATATAATTCTTTCTCTTTCAGTTTATATAACATTTATTTTACACGATTTTAATAAATGTAACTTCTTTCCTATATAGTGTACGAGTATATCATTATGTTAGATCATTATTGTGTTATAATAAATAAAATTTATTGTTTATCCAACCACTTCTGGGTCATTATTCTGAAAATTTCCGCAGTTTCGATGATCAAAAAAGGCAGACATTTTTCTGGATCGACAACGTGGATATGGGAACCGCATGTCATGTTACATTTTCCGCGTCGCCGTTTCAAGCATGTAAAAACTTCATTGTCCTAACAGTATGCAGACCTTCAACTTTTTTTTAGCGTCGAGTAGATCAGAGATTTTGAGTTATTTGGTATTCAAACCCGATGGAAATACAATGTATATTCAGCCACATGAACATTTGCACCCAAATTCAAAGTCGTGCGCAAGTTATTTCCCTTGTCACTTAATTTGGTGATAATCCGATTCAGATTGTCAATATTTATATTGTTATAGTTCTTGTCATTGAAGCAGATTTGACATACAATATTCTGGAAACTTAGCATCTTGCGATTAAATGTTGTTGTCATGAGGTTTTGGCCAGCATGGGGGAAGGTGTGTAAAAACTTGTCCGATTCGTCCTTCGCCCTCACCACACATTACTTTCCGTAAACGATGTTTGTATCAGCTAGGTTCACGGAACTGTCCGTTAGTAATTAATATTATTTTATGTCCCGGTGATTGTCTTTGTCATTATCATTGACATTTTGACTTGTCTATGTTCTGTTTATTAAAGTGCAGTTCACGCTGCACTATTATTTCAGTTGGGTTTCGGTATAAATATAGGCCTTTTCCAAATATCCATACTTGAATTAAAAATAAACCAGCGGCTGCCAGGCAGGATACGCCCACATTTTCGAGAGATGGATAGAGAACAATTAATACTGAAAGTGATTTTTCCTACAATCAAAGGCCATAATTCATTAAGTTACAATTTGATATGGGCAAATATCGAAAGGAATTAAGATCTTTGGGTTATAAACATGCATTTCAGACGGTCCGATATGCGCGAATATCGAAAGGAACCGAGATCTTTGGGTTATAAACTTACATTTCAAGTTTCAACAAAATCGGATAAAAATTGTGACCTCTATAGTGTCCACAACCTTGATATACCATATTTTTACGCTATTTGAGAACGAACGGCGGCCATTTTGTCTGTCAATTTTGGGCCGATTTTCACGAAATTCGAACTCAGCCGTCCTTAGGGTGTAATGGTGATATAATAATACGTTTTTTTTTAATCGGATAAAAATTATGACCTCTATAGGGTCCACAAGCTAAAAACGCGATTTTTGGTACAATCAGGGGCCATAATTCAGGAAGTTACGGTCCGATATGCGCGAATATCGAACGAAACCGAGATCTTTGGGTTATAAACTTACATTTCAAGTTTCAACAAAATTGGATAAAAATTGTGACCTCTATAGTGTCCACAACATTGATATACCATATTTTTATGCTATTTGAGAACGAACGGCGGCCATTTTGTCTGTCAATTTCGGGCCGATTTTCACGAAATTCGAACTCAGCCATCCTTAGGGTGTAACGGTGATATAATTGAACGTTTTTTTTTAAATCGGATAAAAATTATGACCTCTATAGGGTCCACAAGCTAATAAACACGATTTTTGGTACAATCAGGGGCCATAATTCAGGAAGTTACGGTCCGATATGCGCGAATATCGAAAGGAACCGAGATCTTTGGATTATCAACTTAGATTTCAAGTTTCAACAAAATCGGATAAAAATTGGGACCTCTATAGTGTCCACAAGCTAAAAACGTGATTTTTCGTACAAACAGGGGCCATAATCCATGAAGTTTCGATCCAATACATGCCAACATCGAAAGGAACCGAGATCTTTTGGAGATAAACCTATATTTCAAGTTTCGTCAAAATCGGATAAGAATTGTGACCTGTAGAGTGTCCACAAACAAATTGTGGACGAACGGACGGACGGACAGGGGCGACCGCATAATACGTCCACATGAAAATGTGGGCGTATAAAAATGGATTGGATTGATGCATATATTATTTCCATTAGTGATGGGGCAAGCTTCGCCAGATTCAATTTTTGTTTGGAAAGATTAAGCAAAATTCAAAGAAATTAACAGATTCACCTTTGGCCCAAATCAAAGAACTTCAACCATTTTAAATAAAACACGGAAATAAAACACGAACTATTCATGAACAACATTGCACACTACTTTATTATTATTTATTATTTTTCATCAAGAAAAGTCTTAAAGATTGGACGGAATCGATAAGAAAAGTTTCAGCACTTCAAGGCCAAACGGTTGACAATAAAAAACACAGAGTTTAACACAGAACACGAGCTAAACAAAATTAGTTACAACATTATATGGAATGTATATATATTTGTACTCATATTGAATACCAGCAGATTGAACCACACATTTGGGGATAATACCGTTCACATAATAAATATATAAGTTTCTATATCAATAACAATATTCTCCAAATAAATCCAGGGAGTAAAATGATGATATTGGTGAAACCATTGTATTATACGTTATTGGTAATCCCATATAAAAAAATAAACAATAATTCAACAGCAGTTTCAGAGAATATCAAAAAATGGGAATGACAAAAAAGAGGGTATTTCAAAGCATAACATTTTTTTTTTATAAATCTTTGGAAAATAAATGTCTTTTATATTCATATCACATTTTACATGGGTTAATTTCGTCCTTTTTCTTTCAAAAATATACTTTTTTGTTCCACGGGACTTTAATATTTTCTATGGATATAAGCAAGTCTAATTAAGGGAAATACCCCTGTCGTTATCACAATATCCATACTTCACAACAAAGTTATTATTTACTCTAATTAACAAGATTCTACAAAATAATATCATTGTTGTCATAAAACTTTAACAATTATTTTTGGGTAAGTGAGGTAAAATTTCAAATTTAAAGGAACTCATTTATATCTTTTAACAGTTTCCATTTAACAGTAATAGAAATGCAGTATAATTTATTAACAAATAATGTTTTTTTAAAAAAATATTTTCTTTTGTATTTATTATACATCCTTGCATAAGTCAAGCCTAGTTCAGGTCCTTTCAAAATTTGAGACCACCTGGTCTTTGATTTTCATACAGCAGTTATATTTTGGGATCAGACTGGACGGAAAAGGTAACTGAATCATATATTTAAATGATAAAGTTTTTAGTACCAGATGTGTTAATTTTAGCTAATACTAGCACATAAAGACACAAATATAGATACCAATAATCACTATACTAATATACTGCTTAGTTCTGAACCTCTGTAAGCCCATCATTATCATGTGAACTATTACCTCTGAACATGCTCTTCATGTTTGATTTGTTCTGGGCTGCCTCCTTCTGGTTCATTCGACGAGCAATACCGTTTTCATCCATGTAGATGTTTGAAATAGAATTCAGTAACTTGTCGATTCTATCAGGGAAATGGGTAACATTATCTTGTGGTCCACTGATAGGTCTCCCCTTCGCATCAGTCATCAAGTCGGATGGCTGGAGAGTGTTAGCAGGTGCAGCTCCAATTCCAGTCCAGCGCTTAAAGCGACCTACCATGAAATCGACAATCTCATAGTCGTTATTGACCTTGTTCATGTCCTCTCTGACGGCTCCGAATGTTTCATTTAGAATTGACAAGAACATATTTACAAGAATAAAAGTGATGGTTACCACGAAGCAGAAGACAAACAACTGAAAAGAAAAGGGAAAGATCAATGACGGTGATTTAGTTCATGTCTAATATAACTATGAATGCACTGTCTGTCCATCTTCGAGTTAAATTAACAAATATATTTGCTGCTAAAACATAATGCATTGACTAAATGAAGTAAATTCATCTGATGACTATAGATCAAGGCTCTCACTTCAATATTTTGGCAAAGTTTTATTGTTTTTACACAAAAAAACTATAAATATTATGGTTGATGTATTTTCAAGTTTAATTTTTAAAAAGTATCTATATTATGGAGTCACCATAATTGTATTTTCCAAAAGTTTATGTCTTTTGTTTAGACCTACCTGGGTTAGGAATGGTTCAATCATCAACATACTGTAAATATCAAATTTACCCATCATCATTAACACACCAGATTCCATGGAGGTTACAAAGGTCGAGAAGGTCGTACTAAGGTTCATAAAGGTCAAGTAGAACAACTGCATGAAAGCCATGTAGACAATGAGGAAAATGATACCAAAGTGGATAAGACTGTTCGAGCCATTTTTTAATGTAGCTGCAACCAGTGCCATTCGTTTGTTAAATCGAAGCAATTTTAGGAATTTAAGTGTTCCAAAGAATACCAACCAACCAATCATGTATGTGAAAATTTCGTTCCAGTATCCAGCATATTGAAATTTCATATACTCATTGCCATGGGAACGGGCAAAGATGGCTGTCAGCTCGTTGGTGACGTTAAGACGGTAGAAATAAACGATGACTGCCCCTAATGATACAGCGATAATACCAAGTTCAATGATATTCCAGAAAACAAAAAAGTATTTTATCTTCTCTTTGAAGATATTCTTTACTGCCTTAATAATAAACCAGGCTGTAAACAGAAGGTAAATTACTTCACAAGCTATCTGAAATAACATAACAGATGACATATACGGAAGAAGCATGGCCGGTTCAAAACGGTATGACGTCGTAACACCACCGCTGGCATCAAATTCAGCTACAATTGTGGCTATGGCAAAGAGGTTTACTTGTGGATTGTAGATGGTGAATTCAACAAAAACTGCCCTTGTGTATCGATCAATCCAGTTCTGGCTTTCAAGAGTTTTGAAAGTCTGATTAATAACATCCTTAGATCCTTGAAGTCTCTGAACATACCCTCCTCCACCATATAGTTCCAGTACTCCCCAGTAAGGATAACCATTCAAAACATCTGCTTTGGAAAATACCCATGGTAACCCTGTATCATTTTCAGACTGTGTGCTGTTCAATTTTTTCCACTCGGGCATGTAAGTTTCCTCGTCTTCATTAGACAATGAATATGGTTCGTTACATTCATGAATGACGTTCTTCATGACACCTCTAATGTCACATAAACCTGGGAATAATTATAAATATTAAAACATTGAAGCACATGAAATTCTGAAGGTAAGGTAGCCTTATGATGAATGTCCCTTTAAAACAATATTGTTATTTAAACTTATTATATATATTTATTGGTATTGTGACAATGTATTTCTTGCAAAAACCATGTTCTTTGTCAGCACAGACTTCATAACTTAACATGTAGAGGTAGTGACCTCAGATATTAATCTCAACTTGTGAGCACTGACTTCTGATATTTAAATTTGGGACACTGACTGCTGATATTAACCAAACTTTGGTGCACTGACTAGAGATATTAACTTAAAATGTGTGCTCAGGTTAACTTAACTTGTTAGCATTGACTTGAGTCAACTTGAGTCCAGATATTAACCAAGCTTGTTATAAACTCAACTTGAGTACAGATTGAGAATAGATATTAAGTTCAGTTACGTCATAACAGTAAGATCAAGGGCAGATCCAGAGACCATGGAAACATAGGGGGATCATGGGAGTCAAAGGCGCAAAGCACACAATGGGACCATCAGGGTGCTTCCCCCATCCCCCTGATACCCAGTTGTGCTCTTGAAGATGACATGTATAGAAATGAACTCCGATTCTATTTCTACAACCCAGACATTTTGTTTTCTAGAATAAGTTAAATATTACCTGGTCGAACTCGTAATTGTCTCATTGTAGCATAACCCATAATACGAGATACTTTATCATTTACAAAACCTCTCAAAAGTAAAGGAGGGTCAGAGTTGTAGTAGTTGCTTGCACGTATTCCATTTAATAGACCACTCTTAGCCCATTTCCAATATTCTGCTGTATTTCGAACCTAAAGTCAATTTACAATAATATAATGTCTACATTAGTTCCATTCTCAAATTCCAATTACGTTTCTTAATAAATTTTCTAGCAGTTTTATCTGTTTTTAGTATGATTACAAAAATACATATATAATAGTAATCAGTTTATAATGGGGCCTACATTTCCCCATCAGAAATTATCAAGTTTTTGTAGAATACACATATAGTTAATTAAAAATCATTGACAAATACTGGTATAAACTGGGATGTTTGTTTCAAAATTGAATATAAATTTGTCCCTAGTGTTTTGCATAGAAAGTTCTTCAGGATTTTCCAGCTTGGTTTCCCCTTGTTATTGGTCCAGGAAGGAGGACTATATCTATATCTAGGAAACTATATCTAGTCGAATGGATAGCACAGAAAACAGAGGTCCTGTGTAAACTTTTGCATGCTCTTAAAATTAAAGAAGAATTTTGCCACTGTCCTGGCAAAATTTCCCTCTTAGCACTCTGCATAGTGCCTTAATTAGCCTGACTGGTGCAGAAAAGTCGGATGATAAACCCCATTCCATTTTTTAATTGAATAAAGCCAACCCCCACCCCCGAAATCACACCAAGGAAATAAATGGCGCATATACTGGATATGAACACACATACATGTATATGGACAAAGTAAACTATCTTATTTATACAATATAAACGAAAATACATTACGGAACTCACCTTTGAAAACCAGTGATTTGTCTCAGTGTTCTCAATAAATGTTTTCTGCAGACTATCTTTATAGTAATATGCATCGGGACTTCTGTTTCTGTAACTGATGACCATGAGAATCCACAAGAAGAAAGCATAGAATACTATTTCCCGTACTATCTCCCACATCTTAATCTCATTAAGTCTTTGAATCCTGGCCTTTTCAAGTTCTGCTGGATCTGGGGGTTTGTAACCAATTTTCCTTGGTCTAGTAGCACCATATCCTGAAAAAACAAATGCACATATTTATTATATGTATGCATTCGCTATGCATTAGCATAATGAAATTCAAATGGGTCCTAATAGATAGGGAGCCCTGGATTCCTGAGCAGGTCTGCAGGTTTGGATACTGACTATTGCACGGACACATTAAACCATTAGGAATATTTATAAAGCTTAAAATTTTATTTAGTAAACACATTTCAAATGGATGACAAGTACGACTTTAAATACCATTACATTTCATTTGAAGTGGACGACAAATTTTCCTGAAAGATTCAAGAAAATAAACGCCGCTAAGAATAAGAAGGAATGGTTACATAATTAATTTACCCACCGTCTTCAAAGTGCAAATATTCCTCATCGGCACCAAGTTTATGAGCTTCCTCGTCTTCTACTTCGTCCTCCTCCTCCTCCCCCGGGTTCTTCACAACAAGCGAGAAGAAGATGGCTGTTAAGAACACCTTCACCGGTTGTGTGATGAATACGGACGTGAAGAAGGATGTCAGCATGGAGGTGATCCATTTCTTACATTTCTCATCTTGGAATGTTATACCATAGAATGTAACAAAGGCAACAGACACACCAACACCTAACCAGAGAAGAATCCAACCCAAAATACTACACCACCAGGGAAACTCAAACTTCTTTTTCTTCTTTTTCTTTTCGACTCGGAGGGCTTCATAATTTCTCTCGCCCATTCTGGACACAGAGGAGAACGATGTTTCCGGTCTCATGGATGCTGAAGTACCAGCCCGATTCTCTGCCATCATTGTTGGAGAGCGACTCATCCATACTCCTCCCATATCGGATTTCACTTCTCCCTCTGCATTTGACGCTGGGGAAAGTCCACCTCGTTTCAAAGCTTCGTCTATTCTTGATGGTTTCATTTTCCTGGCACGTGATTTACGGAACAGAGTCATGACAAAGAAGTTGATTGGAAAGATTATGAGATTAACAGCAATACCAATAAATATCTACAATACAAATTTATTATTTGTTTAATGGGTAAAATAAAAGAAATGAAATGAAATGAAGTTTAACGTCCTACTGTTCTGCTCAGACTGGGCTCATGAAGACGGGCATACGCCATACAGTGTGCTATGAGGGAAATTTTGCCTAGGCAGTGCCTGGGCAGCGGCACTATGGCCTACTCTTATATCAAATTCCAACTGCCAAGGGATCTTTTACGTGCATGCTAATGTATACACGGGACCTCGTTTTTTTGTCTCATCCTAATGACTAGACAGCCGTCCTTGTTAGACCCTAAATATTTCGTTGTCTACAATATCTGTGCATTGTTTATTTCACTGATCCTAGTGTTTACACTTTATGGGGCTCTATTTTAATCAAACACAAATGTAAGGGTATAGGGATGTTGCACATGATGCAAGGAACACTTCAACCTGTACTCTACTCCACAAAACTTGATACTGACATGACGTTTGATTTTGTTGGCATTGGGTACTGTCCATAGAAAAAGACAATATGTTGTTAAAATGTGTTACTTACCTGTTCAGGAGACAAAGCAAATGGTCCGAATGTATAAGTTGTTGAACTGCTAGTGGCAGTACCATAAAACATGGCATTACCCAACATAGATACAAACAGAAGAAGTAAACAGCAAGACACACGTTGTACTCGAGTAAATCTACTTTGTGCTGGCCTGGCTACCACAGAAAACCAAAGATGGCCATCAATAAGACTCTTTTTGGACTTTTCAGCAAATAGGTGTCCAAATTCTGTCATCTGAGCTTTACCAGCTACAGGAATAACTCGATCAACCTGTAATGACAATTATGGAAAAACTAGAAATTTGCCATTTATATAACAGGTTAGGTTATAAATGATCTCAGAGTTTACACTCATGTGACCAAATACAGTTGGTAACCACAAGGTGGAGAATGAAAACATTTGGGACAAGAGCTTTTAGTTTTCTTGCTCCATCAAAATGGAATGATCTTCCAGTGTTCATCAAAAGTGGTCCTATCGAGTGTTTAGGCTATATTTAATTCAAAATTGTGTGTAGAAAATGCATAAAGCATACTTTAAGTGTGGAATTGGCGTTATACAAATGTTCATATTATTATTATTATAAATCAAAAACAAAAAATATTCAAATAAATGAGATAGCGTACCTGTCCATCGTCTTCCTCTACAGCAAACCATTTATTACAAATAAAAACGCTCCGTTGGTTGGTCTGTATGTCTCTTACCATTAGATATTTCAAATACCAGGATGCCATTTTACCTTTACCAGAATTATCATGCCACACGCGAGCATAGTTCAGGGTACCGAGAGGTCTAAAATAATAAAAAAAAAAAAAAAAAAACTTTTAGAAAAACACATGCTACAATTTTAGAAATAAAATTTTAGTGTACTTTGTAATTAAGTGTCTGATGAAGCCGCTATTGCTTTTTGGCTGGAGGTTATTATCTAACCAGTAGGATCATGCACAAGACAGGGTATTCTTACAATTTCTAGAACATCTGATATGTTTTGCATTGAGAATTGTTAAATTGCAGATCAACAGTAACATATATGTTTCTATATTCTAACAAAAGACTGATATCAACGATGTCTACTTAGACCAACTTTAAGACCCCATTTTTATGCTATCTTTAATTCTGCTCTGACTGGGCTAATGAAGATGGGTGTATGCCATACAGAGTGCAATGAGGGAAATTTTGCCTGGGCAGCGGCACTATAGGCCTACGCTTATATTGAATTCCAACAGCCAAAGGATTTTTTACTTGCATGACAATGTTTACACGGGACCTTGCTTTTTCATCCCATCCGAATGACTAGACAGCTGTCCTTGTCAGGCCCTCCATCCTGCACCGGCCAATGTAGGGGTCGAACACACAACCTCCAGGCTAGCGAGCCTGCATCTTTAGAACATATTGGTTTCATGTTAAATTGTTCTAGCATCTTAAAAACACAATTTTCACTACGATCTCCAGGAATACAATATTCATTTACCTTGGAACTGCGACAAGGAAAGAATCGACTGCTCCACGCCGGAAAATCTTCCTTTTATCATCTGTAAACATTCTGACATCGGTTTCATCATGTTCACCGGACATGATAAAACATACCTATTACATACAGAATAACATTTGAGTATCCAAGAGCAAGCAGTCTTTTATATAGAATACATTTGAATTCCTATTTTTTGTTATTCATTTGAAAGAATAAAATGGAACTTTTGTGCTTGGCAATTCTGCGGGGTTCAAAACTTGACTAGCAATGTAGAATACAGAAAGATAATAACTCTTCTGAGATAACACCCGTTCAAGAACCCCAAATGACATAGCACTAACACCCATGTTGACAAGGATACTGAACACCTTGTATGTTAACATGTACATCTAAACCATTCCTAGGCAGATTTGAACGGCTACGTACATTGACCATTTGTTAATATTTTTCATTATTAACTGAAACTCAACTTGTCAATCTAAAATACCCCCCCCCCCACCTCCCCCCCGAGTTGGTTTTATGATATTTTATATGCTAAAACGTACCTTTGAATCAGTACCAGCATTTCTTCGCATTCCAGTAATAACAACAACTTCATAGTAATATTTATCTCTGGGATCATTATCCTTTAATGGTGTTACACCAATCTACAACCAACAATTAACACGAAATTAGTGACTTTCTTTACATACATAAACACAATCTATGTGATGGAATCTTAATGTAATTTTTTGATTTGGAATCTATGTCGATTTAATTAAGTTACCAATTCTCTAAAGGAATCAAAAATAAAATATCTCATTGTAGGTGAGAATTTCAATTATAAATCCCCCCCCCCCCCCAAACTAAAAAAAACCCAAAACAACAACCCAACCCAGCCGTATATTAAGAATTTCAAAATAAATCAATCAACAAGAAAGTACCTTTCAATAATTGAGGTTTTGAGCTTTTCAATTATAAATGGATCAATTAGAAAAGATCTGATCATAATTAAAATTTTCCAATATAAATAAATCAAACAGAAAATACTTTGTCATAATTGAGAATTTCAATAATTATTTACTAAGTTATCCAGAAGAAAATACCTATCATAATTAAGAATTTCAATTATAAACCAACAAAAACATAATATCTTATAATAATTGATACTTAGGATTCATATATCTTACCCTTTCTAAATCTTTTTTATCTTCTCGTCTTGCCCAAACAACAGCAAATAAATAAAGAATGGCGATAACAATTTCTGTAATATATAGTGTAGGATTCTTGGCAAAGTCAGCATTAGAAAATATAAAGTTCCAGTCAATGGTATTTGGTACTACTACCCAGCCACCAGCAAATGTTGTTAAATGGTTACAGAAGCAATGGGTTGCACCTTCATCTGTTTCTGGACCAACCTGTTCACAAACAAAATCAAAGAAATTGAATGAAAAAGAATCCATTTCCATGCCAGAATAGAAGTTAAATATAGAGTTTTGTACTTCATTTTAAAAAATAAAAATTCTGATTAGAAAATTATTCAAATCGATAAAATCTAACTTAAGTTCAAGTTTATTGATTTCCCATCTCCATGTGTCTTAGTTTAATAAAGTAATAATAATCCTATCTTTGTTTCATACATTCCACACCAGGAAGATATATTTTATACTTGGATGTTAATTAATTGTATAATAACAACATTTTATGTTAAAATAGAAATTGACTTATGTTATGGTATCAGACACATATCCTAACATTTTAATATATTCCATAACTGTGATCTTGTATCTTTAATGGTACAACATCGTTTTTATTCCATTGTAATCTGACCGGTAACCAATGTAATTTATAGGGGACAGGTGTAATGTGGTCACAATAGGAAGTGCCTGATATTAGTCTAGCAGCAGAGTTGACCAAAAAATAATTACCCAGCATCCCTCTGTCGACCAATCACTGAGGGATTTGTTGAAGAAATAACACCCGGTGGAGAAGACTCTGAAATTGTATTTGTTATCTGGTTTACCAGAACCTTTTTCATATTCTGGAATATCAGCGCATGTTTGGTAGTTAGCGGGAATCTCCTCCGGTTCAATAATTTTACGTACACCAATATAGACACTACCAATAAAATCACTAACGTTTCTGTTATCTAAGAAGTAAGTGTAACGATATTGGGCTGGCACTGAAATGAGAGAAAAGAAAGGTCAACGGTAAAGTTAATAGATAATTCACGAAGATTGCATAACAAAAGTGTGGTCCAATTAACGATTTACACATAATGAAGCAATAGTAAGTGATCCTTTAAAATGGAGAAAACAAATCCTGTGTCAAAAATGGAAAGCATATTCCGCACAACGTAGCATAGACAATACAAATAAGATTTATAAAGAGTGGAATTGGGTTGAAAGTCACCTCAACACAATATTTCAGTCATCTTGAGACTAACATATGCCAAATGCCAAGGGCTGTTTTATGTGTACACAATACATACATCAGAGAGAGAGAGAGAGAGAGGGTGGTGGTTTAACTCCACTTGACACAAACTGGTTAACTCCATTTGGGTCTTTAGCAGTGGCAGGAAACCGGAAGACCCAGAAAAACCCCACAAGGTTGGACAGGCGACCCTACTCCTTGTCACGTACAAGCGGGGAATCGCAACTACGCCAATTGACTCAATGACATATCCTGTGATCAAATGCGCACATGTTAACCATTAGGCTACCCCCCCCCCCTCATACATGACACTAGACAAGTGAGAACCAAGCTTGACGAATCACTAAGGTTCTAAAGAGAAAGGAGAAACATGTAAAAATAAACATACAGTTATTTGGCAATGACTATGAATAAATGACTAGTCAAATAATTCTGGCAAAAAGTTACAATAAAGTTTCTCCTTATCAGAATAATACCAGCAAGTTTGAACAAATACATCTCCAAAACCTAACCAGTAGAGAGCATTTACAAGAATTGCAGAGTGACAGACCAATGGAGTGACAAATGTGATGACAATATACCCACTCCCACATGAAATGTGCATATAAAAACAAATGTAGGCTTGGCTTTTTGTCATCTGATCAGTTAGGCACACTGTCCTCGTCAGCACCCCCAGACACCCCAACCCTGAGAAGTGAAAACTTTAGGCCGTATTATATGCCTAAGAAGAGCAACAATAATATCTTCATAGAATTGTGTTTCAATATTGGCCAGTAAAATATAATCACTCTTACTGTTGTCATCGGGAATAACACCAACAAAATCACAAATTTTTTTTTCAATATCTGGAAATTCGCCGAATTTAACAACTACTAGAAACTTGGTGGTACTATTGGATATGTCGAACTGGATGTGTAGAGATGCACCCTTCTTGGTTATGTTCACCCTATGGTAATAAAAGTAGTCCCATTCCGCAACAAATGGGTCGGCTTCTTTGTATTTGGGTACAGGTGCATTTACATCGCGAGGTATCTTAAACTCAATAGGGGTCACTAAATTCTTGATAACTCGAACATCTCCATTATCATCAAATATATCAATAACCAAACCATTGGAATCTGCTGCCAAAGATTTGGAGCCTTCTGAGTATTGGTAAGGAACACTGGTTGTTTGAAGTAACTTTTGGAAAAGAATAAAGAAAATATTATTTATTTATGTAAACCATTAAAATGAATCATGAATCATGGTATTTACTTGTCATATTTCATTAAGACATCCTGGTTTATCATCAACAACAATGGACTAAACATGTATCAATGTGTGGTAATTTATTTTGAAGGGTTTTCTAGCTTATTCTTATTAATTTGTTATGAAAGTCTTATAGTACAATCAAATTTCTTCTCACTTTGATTCTTACCTGTAATTCATTATAAAGAGTTACAGATAATTAATTTGTTATAACAGGACACTAATAATAATAATAGGTAACTAATTCATTATTCATGTAAAAAAAATACTGACTGAGATGCAATAAAAATGCACCACATGAATGCTTGTCTATCTTGTTTAAGAGACACACTTTAGTCTTGCAATTCAGAATCTAACAACATCAGATCATGACTATAACATGTGAGAATGTTGTTTTCACAATCAAGTAAATGCAGCACAGATCAATTATCTCATAGCAATTATCTCAGTATATATATATATATATAGCAGGTTAATTGTTAGAGTACCTGTAATACGAAGGAGTCATTCTCTGTTTTGTTACTTCCAGGGAACAAAGCATTAATGTTATTTGGTAATAATAATGTAGCATTCGAGTCAGGAATCGTAACTGGATTCCCTAGCAGAGCTTTGGCATCTTGATTAGTAACAACACCCTTTAGTCTGTTTGTTGTAAACGGAATTGATTCACCAGGTACTGAGTTTGTAGAGAAACCTTGAGCTAAAAGTAACATGGTTTCTGTTGCTTTATCGATGAATGCAGAAGACTAGAATACAAAGAAAACAATGTACATTAAAATGGTTTGAGTGAGTTATAAAATTGATTGTTGACCTACAATGTAATTTAGTTTGATGTGATGGAGGTGTTGGTCTAAATTTAAAGAATAATTAACCCTTACAGGGTATTTGGTGTCTGAAGAAGAAAATCATTTTGATTTCTAGTGATCTGGTTTCACAGTTACACTGTATATTAAATTTGATAGAAAAATCAGCAAACTTTTTCAATTTTGTGAGCCATACAAATTCTCAAGAAGCTTTTTCAAATATCAAAGTAGATCAGTGTTTCCGATAATCAAATGAATATACTTAGGTTATTTTTCACTGTATATCAAAAATTAACAACATTTATTTTCTAGTTCAGAATGATCACAGTGATCATCACGCCCCTTTAAAAAAAATCTGCATCCTAAAACACAGATCAACATCAAGATAGTTTTGCTTTTCATGATTCACAGATTACATGTAGGTAATATTGATCAAAGATGCATTATGTAAGAACTAGATAAAGAGTTGGTTGTTCTTGCTATAATACTTCAAAAATAGATAATAAGTCAACAGGTGGCATGCAAGATATGCCAACATTTTGCAAGAGGTGGACAGAGAACGAGCTAAAAAAGCGATTTTTCATACAATAAGGGCCCATAAGCTAGGATGTTACAATCCGATGTGCACTATCAATATCGAAAGGAAACAAGATATTTGAGATATAAACATATGTTTTAAGTTTCATCCAACTCGAATAAAAATTGTGACCTGTACAGTGTACACAAACAAAATGTCAATGCATGGACAGGGGCGATGACAATATACGTCCACATGATAACGTGAACGTATAAAAAAAATCCCGATATAAGAGGGTCCAGAAGCTAAAAATATGATTGATTTTTCGCATATATCAGGAGGGATCATATACTGTCTGGATATGTGTGACGTGAAGAGTGTCCACAAATAAAATGTGAACTAACGGACTGATGTCCGGACACAAGGGGCGACGACAATATACGTCTTCATGAAAATGGGAGCGTATAAAAATTGTGACCTCTCGAGTGTTAACAAGCTAAAAACCTGATTTTTCGCACAATTAGGGCCCTTAATCCATAAGATTACCATCTGACACATGCCAAAATCAAAAGGAACTAAGATCTTTGGGATATAAACCTATATTTCAAGTTTCTTCAAAATTTTATAAACAAAATGTGAACGGATGTCCAGGCGAACAGGGGCGTGACTATATACATACGTCCACATTATGAGTGTTTGAAGTTTGACAAAATGTAGTGTAGATTGTTAATTATCATAGCAACAGCACATGGCATTCAAGACAAAGTCTTGTTTATCTATTTTGTCGTTAAATGGCCGAGTCATTTTGATCTATTTAAAATCAGAGTCAGAGAGTTGATTATGCGCATGTCATGTTAATAAATGATTAAATAATAATTTATGTAACATTTTAACATAGAAAAAAGACTGATTTAAATCTTACATAATGCATCTTTAAAAATATTTGACTAATTATGATACATACTTCTGATCCAGCATAGGTTTTATGGGTATGTTTACCATGTTCTCCCATAGCTTCTTCCAAATTACCAGCTGTTATACCTACAAACAAAATAATATATATATATAATAATAATAGAAGTAGCATGTGTTTTTTTTGACTAGATCATCAACTTTAAGTTTTAATCTGACTGCAACCTACATTTGATTATTAGTAGAGCAGCAAAGTAGGAAACCAGCTCCTAACTCACCCCATAGATCGACTCCAGTAAAAAATGTAACCCTACAGTCCCTACTAATATTTAAATTAATGTACTCATATGCTTTTTCAGTTTGATTTTTGTCATTTTCTATTCAATAGAAATATTCTCCACCAAACTGATGCTATTAACAACCCAGAAATGATTGTTAGGTTGTCGCCATAATATGGATTTAACTAGGACTTATGTCGATCTTACAACTGAGAGCATGGGAGCAACTGGCTTCAACAGACTTCGACCATTGGTCGACCCGAGTGGCTCTTACAAGTCAATTTATTTCAACTAGCATAAACATGTTATGGGTAATGTCTATCAGTTCCAAGTCGCTCTCAATTGCCCTCCAATGCTGATTTGATCGACATAGTCACACTTACAACTAGTTGAAAGCAGTTGCTCTCAGTGGAAAAGTCGACAGAAACCCAGCTTTAAAGGGCCAAACTGAGTATTGTGCTTACAGTTATCCTTGTATAGTAAGGAATTCTGTTTAGAAATATAAGTTTCTTGGAGTGAGAAATTAAACTGAGATGAAGTAAGACTAATATATTTCAGTCTATGGCCAATAGAAGTCGACTCACCTCCGTCAGGGTTTTCCCAGTCTGTGTCATATATTTTAAATATAGGCAGATCTTGAGCTTCGTCGAGTTCAGTTAATGACGGGTTATCGCCGTTAAATCCAATTGCCTGAAAAATAAATCCTTCTTTCAGCGAAACGGTATGTGGTATTAGTCAATTTATCTTATAAATATATTAATATGCACAAAATGAAAACGTAACAAAGGGTCTTGTTTGTTGTATAAGTGGTAGACTATATTCTCTGTAAATTGAAAAGCTTGACCAATCATCTAATTAAATGGAAGATCAAAAGATATTGAGCACCATATCTTTTTGGGGTTAAGTAATAAAAGTCTACTTATTTTGTCCCAAAAACCCAATCTGAACTATTAAATTGTTAGAATTCCTTCTTGATTGAGAATATCTATCTACATGTTTTTTAGAATTTGGAGGAGAAATTTTTCAAGATGTAGCCTAATTCCAGGCTTTCCTATGATTATTTGAAATATTTCTCTGTTTGTACAATTCAGAATTTAAAAAGAAATAGAAAAAAAATAATTCAATGGTTGTCATCGAAGAGCTGCAGATATGAATATCATAAATCTATTTTTAGTCTCACTGCTGTTTCTGATTTCACCCAACTTACATGCTATTATATAATAGAATAGTGGGTGTCGCACAGGAGTTTGATTACTTTTTTCAAAACACCTGATAACCACTTTGTCAAAGGAATACCAAGTCCATTCCTATTTGTCACTTTGAGCTTAAATGGATGGTATTAAATTGATATTATAGCTTAGTTACATAAAGAGTAATCATCAACTTGTATTAGATTTAAACTAGTATATCTGATATTTACATCTAAAGCACCGCCCAGTGTAGCAGCCATATAAATGAAGGTAGACTTCCGATCTTCATATGAAACATCCTTCAATTCTGCCATATATTTAGCCATTTCAAGTGTTTTGTTGATGGCCAAGGTCTGTAATAAAATCAAAAATGGCCATTAAATTCTTATAAATATTTGCTATTGGCTACACCAATCAGGGCCATATAAACATCATGCACCCCATTTACATTACAAATTTTAAGCATGCCAGACATAACACAGTTAATTTTCTCGTACCGTACCAATTTGGCCCAGTGATGTGAGGTGGTCTCGGCACGATGCCAGGCATGGCACAGTTAAATTTTTTCCCCCGCGAACTTTGACAGTTCTGTCAAAATGGCTGCCTGAACTAAATCAACCGCCATAATTGTTTTCATCCGGGATAATTTGCATAGGGACTGAAATTAACTTTTCTGTTAAGAGTTCCACATTTGGCATGCCTGGCACGGTTCCGTAATGGGGGCCCCCTACATATACAACCACTCACAGTGAAGCCAATGTCCACTTAACAAATATTTATAGTTAAGTTTAGTATAGTATTAAAATTTATTGACAGCAAGTCACCACAGGCACTTGAAGGGATTAAAATAAAATTTCTTACTACTGCTTAAATATATACATTGTACAACAATAACAACAAGGTGTATCAGCCACCATATTGAATTGATTGTTGAAGACATTTTGTCTCAAAACAATATGGCAGCGGATGCACTTTGTTGTTATTGTAGTATATAGTCAAGCAGTTGTGGTAAGAAGTTTATTTTAATCCCTTCAAGTACCTGTGCAAGTCGCAACATACATAGATTAGCACAGGGCCCCTATGCTCGTGGGGCCAGTGGCAATGGACCAGCATACCCGTGCGTTGATTCTCTGTGACGGGCATCCCTGATATTTTGAGAATTTGAATGTCTCAAATGTCAAAATCTGCCTTACAGCAGTTAATAGACTTTGAGTTTAAGCTATATCATCAATGTCGTCATAACGTCACATGACAAGCATTAATGGAAGTGCTCAATCTGTTTCACAGAGAATTACGAGTCTTCTTTAATATCTCTGTAAAAGACGACTGCCTTTAACACGTGCCGTCACAGCATGCGGTGTCAATCATTGGCTGAATGACACGTGCATTGTTTACATAAGACGTTACTCCTTTGGGCAGAATGCTGCCTTTTAGTCATTTTAGTACCCATTTACACTAAATAGGAAATAATTTTTACCTACAAATACGTCAAACGTCTTTATTTATTTTCTAATACATCAAAAAAATGTTTTAGAATTTAATCTGTCGGTGGAAAAAAGTTAATATTTGAGACTCATTAAGTTGCATTGATGTCATCCTTATCAGTGATTGTAGCGCCCTAGCGAATATTCACTGCTGATCAGTGAGGGAAGTGCTCATGAAAACAAAAAAACATTCATTTTAGTTCCTTAATTTCTCCAATTTTTGCAAGGTCTATAAACTAATTTATTCTACTCCCCATTAATTAGATATCCCCATTAATAACCTGTGATTATGATATGACACTTACGGCAGATTTAAGTGTAACTTCTTCTGGATAATGAACGAATTCCGACAGACTGCTTGATATCTGTTTAACAGCTGTTACACTACCTGTTGTTACTTTAGATAGAGCTTCTACAGCTTGTTGTTTCAACTGAAATAAACAAGTGGTAACCATGCAAGATACACCCACATTTTGCAAGAGATCTTTGAGTTATAAACATACATTTCAAGTTTCATCAAAATCGAGGGTTCACAACCTTGGTATTACATACTTTTAGACTAATTACGTACAAGGAGCGGCCATTTTATGTTTCAATTTTGGTCAGATTTTCATGAAATTCGAAATCAACCTTCACTGATGTGTAACAGTGATATATTTATACAGTTTTTAAAATAAATACAACTTGTGACTTCTAGAGGGTTCACAAGCTAAAAACATGATTTTTTGAACAACCAGGGGCACTAATCCTGGAAGTTATGTTCCTATATGCGCGATTATCAAAAGTAACCAAGGTCTTTGTGATATAAACACCCTTGATAATACATACTTTAACACTATTTGCGTTCAAGGAGCGGCCATTTTGTCGGGCAGTTTAGGTCTGATTTTTTCCGAAATTTGAACTTACACCATTATCAAGGTGTAATGGTGATATATTTAAACAATTTTTAAAATTTGCTAAAAATTGTGACCTAAAGAGGGTCCACAAGCCAAAAACGTCATTTTTTGAATAATCAGAGGTCATAATCCAGGAAGTAACACTCTGATATGCATGATTATCAAAAGGAACCAAGATCTTTGTGCTATAAACATAAATTTAAAGTTTCATCAAAATCAGATCAAAATTGTGACCAGCAGAAGGTCCACAACCTTGATATGCCATGCTTTTACAATATTTGCGTTCGAGGAGTGGCCATTCTGTCCAGCAGTTTCGGTTCGATTTTTTTGTACAATTGGGGGGCATAATCCAGGAAGGCACAGTCCGATATGCGTGAATATCGAAAGGGACTGAGATATTTGGGATATAAACATATATTTTAAGCTCCATCAAAATCGGATAAAAACTGTGACCTCTGGTGCGCCCACAACCTTGGTATTACATACTTTTACGCTATTTGCATACGGGGAGTTGGCATTTTGACAGGCAGTTTCACTCCAATTTTCACGAAATGTAATGGTGATAGATTTAAACGTTTTTTTAAACCACCTAAAAATTGTGACCTCTAGAAGGACCACAAGCTAAAAACATGATTTTTCGTACAATCAGACGCCATATTCCAGGAAGTTACCATCCAATATGCGGGAATATCGAAAGAAACCGCCATCTTTAGGTTATAAACATATAATTCAAGTTTGATAAAAATCTTATAAAATTGTGACCTCTAGAGTTTCCACAAGCTAAAAAGTGATTTTTCGTACAATCTGGGGCCATAATCCATGAATTTCCTTTCGAAAGGAACCGATATCTTTGGGATATATACCAATATTTCAAGTTTCGTTAAAATCGGATAAAAATTGTCACCTGTAGAGTGTCCACAAACAAAATGTGAATGGGCGGACGGACAGGGGCGACGAAAAATATACGTCCACATGAAAATGTGGGCGTATAAAAGTTATCTATCTAATTACGAGACATCTTAATGTTTACAAGAAAGTTTCATACAGTATATAAAGTCCAATCAAATGTTGATCCATTATTTATTATATGGGACAGTCAGAGAGATAGATGGGCTTTAACGTCCACTCGACAAAAACTTGGTCATTTTGGGACTAACATATGGTTCAATTTTTATTTCAATAATTCGCTTGCGTGTAGAGGGTCTTTAGCAGTGGGAGGAAACTGGAGAAACCCCACAAGATTGGACAGGCAACCTTACCCTTTGTCACGTACAACTGGGGAATCGAAACCACGCCAGCTGACTTAATGACAGACCTTATGATATAAAGCGCATGTGCTAACTATTCTACCATACCCCCCCCCCCCCCCCCGATAGTCTTGAGACATACCTGTGATCGGAGGTCTTTCTCCTCTTCATATTTCTGATTTAAAACTGGATTACTGGAACTCTCACTCTATAACAAAAAGGATGTTTCATTTGATAAAATCTATTTGAATTTTTTTACTACTAAAAACATTATAAACTAACTGCAGCACAAATTTGAAAATTTAGTGGGCTACAAATAGAGTTACAATGTCGAACTTAGAGGTGTTAATGTGTAAGTTCTATTTCAAAAGTTATGTGAGTGTTTTGTAATAAGCATCAGTCAGTCTTACCGTAATAAAGGCACCGTCTCTGTCAGCATCAGATGGACCAAAACCTGTATTCGTTGTACTACTGGCTACACCAACTCCAGCATATTCTATAATAATCATAATACGCATAAGCATCATAGTCATTGTCATTATACTGATAATAATGACTACTTTAATTTTGTATAAAATAATTAAAGTAACATTATCTGTTCTTTTTTTTTCTTTGATGCATTTTGGATTACAATAAATTAATATGATTTGTTTTTATTTGTATATTATTTGAATAGAAAAGTAATTATATTAATTATTGAATTTTGTTAGTAGAGCGGGAATGCGTGTGAGTGTTAAATTGTTGCTATGTTTGTTAGTAGTATCACACATAGACTATTGTTAGTAAGTTTACTTGCATTAGGAAGGTGCTTTTTGCATTGTTACCACTGTTAGTATTGCTATATATGTTACATGCCTAATAACACCATTAACATGCAAGTGGTTGTTAGTATTGTTAGTATTTTTGACATACAAGTGCTTGTTATGTTGTTAGTTGACATACAAGTACTTGTTAAGTTGTTAGTATTTTTGAAGTACATGTGCTTTTTGTTAGTATTTTTAACATGCAAATAATTGTTAGTACCCATATTTATAATGGTTTCATGCTTGCAGAACTGACATCTATTTCCCTCCCAACAAAAACAATTGTGCAAATAACACCTGACCTGCTTTCTTTTCAATGAAGAGCTAATGTATGCAGATTATATAATGTATTCATTCATAAGTCTTTGAGGAGAAATTAAACAAGTATTAAAACAATTATGCAAAAAATTTAACTCCAAGCATCTTTTTTTTTTTGTCTTGAAAAATAGTGTTTAGTAAATGACTGGGATTTTTTTGTTCTGTTGTTTTGATCTTCTGCTTATTCTATCTGAAATGAATCTTATTAATCGGTTTAAATCATCATCATCAAAATATTATAGTTTTATAAATAATCCTGATTATATTTAGATCAGATTATAGTGCTACCATAAACAACAAAGCCAAGCAAAGCATGCTAATAACCTGATTGAGCCTTCTTACTGTCACTGTTGAGTATAGCTACCAGATTGGATGTAATGGCAGCCACTGTATTGGTATTTCCTTCTGCATAAACCTTATCAAATGGATCAAACTGATTGTTGAGGAACTGTGTAATCAGAGTTTGGGATTCAGCAGCAGAAAGTGGACTGACCTGAATATCAGAAAGAAGAGTGCTTTAAACTTAAATGAATTTTTTGATTTTTGCACATTTTCAAGAATAAGATTAGGGTTCTAGCCAAAATCAAAGTAGCTGATTACACTGGCTTATGGACTTGAAATATGCAGAAAATAGTTTAGGTTTGAAAAAAATTGCTAAAAAAACAAATTGTCTAGCTATCAAAACATGCCAAAATGGGGAAATTTCAAATAATGGTTCAAACTTGTTCAGACCAATAATATGCTAGATTAAATATAACATGTCAGTTTTAACGTCACAGATTTTAAAGTTCTTTTTTCCAAAGTTTTGACACCCGTGTTTCACTTCATTATTATATTATCTGCTAAGTGCTGAAATAGAATGACTGAATGGGATCAGAAATTTAATAAATCTTGTTTGTGGCATAAAACAAACATAAAAAACTAAGTTCAGTGAGCTTGTTTTTAATCATACTGACATACATTGCATAATGGAAGTGGGGTATTTCTATCATGTCCAATACAACATTAAGAACACAAATGATTTCTAATTATTTTGACTTTGTCAATCATTATTACTAAAAGTTCATAAAACCCCAAATTAGGAGAACATAATAATCAAGGTCTTCAACAATACAATAATTGTGTTTGGTAGATCCAATTGTTTTTATTAAAACTTTTTCAAACAAGACAATCTGATTGAAATACTGATCTATATTTTTTTACTTTTTATGGCCTCCACTACATGCAGATCTGACAGGTTGTATTTGGAGGTCGAGCCAGGGGTCATGTAAGTGGCATTTGACCCTATGGCATCAAATATTTGGTTAACTATGGTTGCCCATGATCGCAATAGCGTTTTTTGGGTTATTACAAAATAAAAAAAATAATCTTTTAAAATTTAAATAAAAAATCTTTTTAAAAATTTAAAAAAAAAAAAATCTTTTTAAAAATTAAAAAAAAAAAAAATCTTTTTAAAATGAAAAAGAAAAAATCTATATATATATAAAAAAAAATAATAAAATATATCTTAAAAAAAATAAAAAAGAAATAATATTAAAAAAAAAATTAAATGAAAAAAAAAAAAAATTGAAAAAGAAAAGATAAAAAATAATTCCCGACGTGGCCCATCGTCGCAATAGTGTCTTGAGTATCCAGACCCAGGATACAGCTATCATTAGACTAGAGCAACCAGAAACATTTTGTGGCCCATTGTTGCAGTAGTATCTCGATTATCATGTGTGGGATCTATGAAGAACGTATAAACTCGAACGACAAGAAACGAGTCTGTAGTTATCTCACGTCAACATAATTGTAGATACTTCAATTTTGATTGGCTAAGCACTAAAATAAATCTAATATTATCTATTATCCAATCAAATACTAAAATTTGAATTTTATCTTAGTAAAACAGGCCCCAGACGAAGTCCACGTAGGCTATCATGCTCTATTTTGTCTTTGAAATTGATGTTGTGTGCCATCGCACTTTCGCACCTCTTACCCGTTCCTGTGGTCGTAGCGGGGGACTGGCGATGACCTCAGGGAGAGCAGGGGTTTCACAAAAACTGAAGCTAAAATCACTAACATAGATTTTAAAATCAAAGTGAAATTTTAAATTTATGCGTTTCACGAAGATCGATTGTAACTTAAAATTTAATTTTAATAGATTTTAGTTAAAATTACTTGTGCCTAGATGTGAGGTTACTATAGACTCGTTTCTTGTCGCTCGATTGTATACCATACGTTCTTCATAGATTCCACACAGGATAATCTGAACGACAGACCCACAATGTTTGACAGGTCACCCTACTCCTTGTCACGTACAACCGGGGATTCGAAATCACGCCAGTTGACTCAATGACGAGCTTTATGATATGACAGGCTTTATGATACAGCGCGCACATGCTAACCATTCGCCCCCCCCCCCCCCCCGGCTACTTAGTAGTAGTAGGCCTATACTTCGAGGATTAGTTTCAAAGTTGTTAACTACTTTTGAAATTCAACCTCAGGGAGACCAAGTGTTTTAAAAACATTACATAACCTTTTGAGGGGAGAATAGGCCTTGCGCACTTGTAGTAGGCCGAATGGTGTCATTAAAGTCAATGACTTCAAACGTCATTATGTATGTAGGCCTAGTTCTAGTTAGACTGGATAAACTAGTCTAAATGACGCTAGGCTTCTATAGTCTATTAATTATACATTTCTATTGACTTGCATATGTATAAATACATATATCCAAGTCCATAGACGTCATGGGTGGAAAAATTGTGTTTCACGTGTTGATGTCTGTTTACCTTTTTCCTTTCGGAAGGGGAGATAACTACAAACTCGTTTCTTGTCGCTTGAGTTATGCCACATAGGATAATCGAGACACTATAGCAACAATGGGCCACAAGGTATTTCTGGTCACTCGAGTCTAATGATAGCTGTCGTAGGCTGATTTTATACTGAGTCTGGATAATCAAGACACTATTACGACGATGGGCCACGTGCAGAATTCTTTTTTTGATTTTTTCTATTTCACTTATTTTTTTTTTTTAATTAAAATGTTATTTTTTTTATAGATTTTTTTAATCTTAAATATTTTATTAATTTTTTTTATATAGATTTTTTTTATTTTAAAAAGATTTTTTTTTTTCCTAAATTTTAAAAAGATTTTTTTTTCTTTTTAATTTAAAAAGATTTTTTTTTCTTTTTAATTTAAAAAGATTTTTTTTTCTTTTTAATTTAAAAAGACTTTTTTTCTTTTTAATTTAAAAAGATTTTTTTTTCTTTTTATTTTCTTAAATTTTAAAAAGATTTTTTTTTATTTGGTAAAACAAAAGAAAAAAAAAATGTTCTTTTTTTTTACTTTTATTTTCTATGATTTTAAATGAAATACAAAAAATAGCCCCAAAAACGCTATTGCGACCATGGGCCACCATAGTTAACCAATCAGCGTTGATGTTTCAAGTCGGTATTTGGAAATACCACTTTTACTTTGTTTTTGCTTCAAATGTCTACCCACAGTTCTGTGCACCGCAGGTCAAGAACTTGCCACAACAGATAATTTCATTGGCAAATCAACTAGAATGGGGTTTTATAATAACTCTTTCAGATCCTAATGTAGTTAAGGCAAGTAAAACGAAATTTTGAACCATAAAAAACGAAACGAAATAGAATCTGTGTTTTAATCAGATACCAACATGACTACTTACGGTTACTTCACTAACAAGGACTTCTCTAACAGAACCTAAGTTATCTTTTATCCGAACCAAGAGATCTTCTTTAAATGCATTGTATTTTGCTCCCATCGGCAGATCTAAACACAGCGGTCCATCAAACGTAGTAACGGCCATAACCTCACGGAAAACATCATCATCCTTTAGTCGAACTGATGAAAAGTATACATAAAATAATGACTCTGTATTCTAATTAAATTAATACACTCCCTAAATACCTATTGATATCCAGTCTAATTATTGATCTAAAGGCTTTTCTCTATGCATTGCGTTCAGTACAGCACAGATTGTGATTGGTTGTCTACAGATCTACCTACCAATCAAAACCCAGCTCCAGTTTTTAACACCCTATTCATCAACTTGTAAGCATTTTTCTTTTGCCAAGCATCTTCAGTAAATAAAGATATGATGAACTGAAAATTTGTTAACATTCGTCATCCACTGCAGATGATATAGCCGAAGGGGGATCACGTGGCTAAGTGGGTAAGGCGCTGGCTCGCTAGCCTGGATGATGGGTGTTCGATCCCTGCATTGGCCGAAAAAGTTCATTCAGATTTTCCGGGGTGGTTTCCCCTTGTCAGGATGGAGGGCCTGACAAGGACAGTTGTCTAGTCGTTCGGATGGAACAACAAAAAAAAGCGAGGTCCCGTGTACACATTGGCGCGCATGTAAAAGATCCCTTTGCAGTTGGAATTCGATATAAGAGTAGGCCATAGCGCCGCTGCCCGTGCAAAATTTCCCTCATAGCACACTGTATGGCGTATGCCCGTCTTCATTAGCCCAGGTTAGGAGCAGAACAGTTGGACGTTAAACCCCATTTCATTTCATTTCGATATAGCCAAAACATGCCAGCGCCATCTAAAAATTTTGCTAAATCATTGGATGGGCTTCTTTCTAGTCCGATTGAATCCAAGCTGGGAGATTACTGACTGTTGATATTTTGTTTTTGTTTTCTTAATTAATTATAAATGTTAAATAATCAATGTGAGTACATTTTATCATGGATTGTGTCGTGGACAATTTGACATTTTCCAAAAAATGCAAATGGAACACAGAGTATTTAATGTATAATTATAACTTACTACTTTTCATTACCTATATAATAACACAGAGTATTCAATGTATAATTATAACTTACTACATTTCATCTTTTCATTACCTACAACTTATTTATAAAGAAGAATATGTGACATACATAGACTTACCAATGATCTGATATTCAGCGATTCCCTGTTCATCATACCAGTTTTCACACGTAATACAAAAAGCTTTATTAGTACTGACAACTCCTTCCGTTTTATCTACAGTACACGTTCCATTATCTGGTTTACTGTTGATCATGAAGTTCATGTATGCCTTTCCAACCTCGCTATGACCTGCTATGTTAGCAGTACATCCTGCTCGGAATCGTGTGACTTCAGGGTAATCTTCAAATAGATTTTGGTTGATGGCTAACTCCTTTGAATCAATACCTAATAAAACAAGATGATATTACCCTGATTCAAATTGTTATTATTATTATTATTATTATATAGAAACGTCGCCAGGCTTTCAAAGATCCATGGAATGGTAAATGAAAGTTAATTTTACCTATAGTGCACACCGTAATTCAGAAATCTGTGGCATGCAAGAGATGGGGTATGTATATTATTTCTTAAAAAAAAGCATTTACCACTCTCTGTGTCTGTGTCATATGTTTAATATTATAACATGTGTCACTTGTTTTCGTATAACCTTATTATCTTACATAGTTCAAAATCTGCACATAGAGCACAATCAGCGCACTTTTATTTAAATCTCAAGTAGTTTGTCTACAGCTACCATTTCATTAGTTCAGCTTAACTTCACAATTACTCTTTATTCGGAAGCGATCCCAGCTTACAGTTGTTGCAATGGTGATTATAATGCAGATTGTGAAAGCAAGAGAGAGAGAGAAAGAGAGAGAGAGAGAGAGAGAATGGGGTTTAACATCCACTGGACACAAACTAGATCATTTCGGGACTAACATATGGTTTTGATTTTATTTCAATAATTTGCTTACGCATAGGGGTCTTTAGCAGTGAGAGGAAACCAGAGGACCCGGAGAAACCCACGAGGTTGGACAGGCGACGTGAAAGCAGGTAATAAGTAAGTCATAGAAATAGAGAAAAAGAGGTGTAATCAAATAGAACCTATTGGTTTACTTACACCGCAGAATGATCTCTTATTTTTGTAATATGTACAAATTACCAGGGGTGGGGGAGTATATCTGTTAATCAAATTGTGCTTCCCTCTTAAAGACCTCTTATTTTTGTAGGATGTAAAAACTTGAATTTTACTTGACAGTCGAGATTCTAAATACATATCCATTGATACTGGTATTCAAACAACTGGGGAAAATATGTCTGTTATCAAAACAGTATATATTGTGATACATAAACTTATATTGCAGCCTACCAATTTAACTAACTGCTACTGGACAAGACAATGAAGACAAGAGAGCAACAATCTGTATAGAGGCTGACAATCTTTATTTAATAAGTCATATAATTAAATATATCTGTCTTTGTTTGTGATCTGAGTTTGTCTGTTCTGGTAGTTAGTTATTTAATCATACTTTCAAAATGATTTGTGGGTACAGTGGATAACTTAAAGATACATTATGCAAGATTTAGATAAAGAGCTAGCCATTCTTGTTATAATAGTTCGAAAATAGATAATGTTAAATGAATAATTTGAAAATTTCATTCAAATTACTCTATTGCGAGCGAAGATATTAGCCTTTGAAGGTTTGACAAGACGTGTGCAATAATTTCAACCACCGTACTGATTGTTCGAAGCTAAGTCTTGCTCCTCCATTTTTAGCTTAAATCAAAATATGGCTGAACTGTTCTAATCTATTTAATATCGGAGAAATCCAATGCCACCGAGAGTTGATTATGGCCTGGATAAGTTAATCAATGTCTAATTAATAATTTAGAAAACATTTCAGGCCAATAGAAAGACCTACAATAGGCAGATTTAGCTCTTGCATAATGTATGTCTAATTATTCCCAAAGGAAATGTTATTAAATTTTATAAATGTAATGATATAAATTTTACTGATTAAATGCCGAAATTGAAACATAAAGTGAATATTTTGTTTTAAATGCTGATTTTGGGCATGAAATATAGGCATAAAAATGCAGAAACAAAAATAATGAAACTGGTCATTAGACATATTTTTAATCCATTGCAGACTATAATATGGTGAAAGATGAATATCTAAATGGAATATTAGTTCAATTCCCATAAGTATTTCCAAAGATATGATGAACTGAAAATATGTCAACATTGGGCATCATCTGCACACAGTGGAATATGATTAAAACAAGCCAGCATCACCTTTAATATTTTCTAAAAGCTTTCATGGGCCTCTCTTTCATCTGATTGAATTCAAGCCAGATTATCTACCTTTGTATTTTGATTTTGTTTTCTTTATTTAAGTTTAAATAATCAATTTAAGTACATTTCCATTTAATTGTGGATTACACTGTGAAAAATTGGACATGAAAATAAATAAATTTATGGGAAAAGAGTATTGCAATTACCCATATTTATATTTTTTGTAACTTGTTTTATATATGTAATCTCAAGTGAATAATTCTGTTGAAAAGAAAAAGAACAAAGTTGAAAAAGAGAGATTGAGAGAGTGGAGAGATTAAGTCAGTTTGTGTCACAATTCACTTTTCACAATGTTGCCATTTTGAAGATGTCTGCAACACAGTATTTCAACCAAATACCAGATACATTTATTCTTGTTAATCTGTATGCCTATATAGTTATTAGACAGTGCATGGGGATAAAACTGGCATGGGTATTTTATGGGGAAACATTAATATAATGCTTAAGCTGTGATGCTTACCGTTAATTCCTGTAGGCGCAACGCAGCAGTGATTAGTAATGTAGTTGCAGTTGCAATTGCAGTTGCAGATGCAGTGACAGCAAATGTCAGCCGCGCACACATAAAAGACATGATCAAGTGTTAGTAAATAAACTACTTTCAAACTCACAAAAACGAAAAGGTTATCACCATCGAATCATGACAAATTTTGCCTTAGGGCGAATTCATCCATCGGAATTGCACTTAGAATCGTTTGTGCGTATCCTTTATTCAAACAGTATGTTCTCTGTTGCCAGTTTTATTGTTAATATTTTCTGTTAATTTCAAACGCACTCTTTTGAGGTTTGAAAGCTAATATCTCCTCGATAAAAATTCCCACCAAAATGGATAAATAAACCTTTTCGTTTTTGTATCACACAAAAATTGTTGTTAGTAGACAATGAAACAAAATAATATCTATTTCTTACTACAGATTATAAATGCACATGTAAATTGTCTTAAAATAAATTGTTACAAATATCATACTTTTATACAGTTATATTTCCACTTCTATGTTAATGTCTTGAAATATCATGTTATATAACGAATAATACCATTCAAATATCAAGGAAAAATACTAGTGTTGAATAACACTTAAAAGTTAGATATTGAGAGAGATACATAAATTTATACTACAACAAATATGGGTTCATGAATTAAAGGTCAGATAGTGTGTGGCTGGGGTGGGGTGAGGTGAAATATTCCGGTATTCTAGAATTTTAGATCGAGGAAGAGGGGATTTCATTTTTTTTCATACTTAACGTTTTATAACATGCTATGTTGACTGACAGTACATAACAAAAATAAAGACACCACTACTTTAAGCAGAAAACAGAAAGTAAAGTAATTATTAATTTATAAAGGATTAAGAAATAGGTTACAGGCATAAAAGTAAAATGACACCTCATATAATAATATTGAAACAGCAGGAAAGATCTTTCCTGATTTTTTGTAATCTGTTATTAGAGAAAAAAATATAGGACTGGTTGCCTTGTCCATATTTCCTTATAACGACACCTTCATTCCATGCAAAATATTGAAACAAAATTTGAATGGTACACGCAATCGCAACTTAAAAACAAAATTCTAAATCAAAAAAGTTACACAAACTATAAGTTTTTACATCCAGCAGTGCTCTTTTATCTTTATGAATATGAGTAGTACATTTTTTGATAACCTGACCGGCCTATTTGTATCTATTAAAATAAAACTGTCATGCAAAGATATGTATAGTAACAAATAGTAAGGCTACCACAAAGACTATACCCAGACTTTACAAAAACACAAAATGGTTGAAAACAGAGAGTAAGAAAGAAAAAATATACCACACATACCGATAGCATATTTTTGTATGTCTCGGATATCCTTCCATGGCCAACGATAGTCATATACATAAAATATCCAGCTATATTCCAGTTGTAAATTGGCACATGATGAAGATGTACATTCACATTTTACTCCCAGACGACCAGAAGGTGGTATTAACTGGCCATCAGCTAACTGATTACAAACTGAACTAGCAGTACACCTATAATTAAAAAAAACATGAATTCTATTGATTATTGATTAAATGTGGTTAATCAGATATGGGTCTCGGTCATCTATGCAATGTGTGTTCAGTCTCCCACGACTATTACTGACCAGGAGAAGGGTAAAGACAACCACCCCCAAGCGATTTCAAGGAGATGGTCCAGTCAGGTCAACCTGTTTCTACATTTAGCCAAAAGATAGATAATGATGACATCTCTTTCTTTCTCCTTTCTCCGTCTCTGCATAAACCTATGTTCAATGTGGGTACCTCTGTCTAAAAAGTTTTAACAAGAGCATCGCTAACGCAGCAACATACGTCCACATTCCTGTTTTGTTTGATATGGTCCAGTTTGCATTGAGGGTCTGTGAAATAAAACTGGGTTGTAGGACTGCTATCAGTTGAACATTTCGTTCACATTAACAGAACACAATTTTTATTTTAAAACAATCAATGTCTTTATTCTAAAAGCATGACGTTTCGAATAGGTATGCAAAGTTTCAAAAGGATCTGTTAAGAATTGCGGCATGTAGGCAAAACACAAGACACACAAACATTAGGCGTGGCTCTGTCCCAAGGGGTCGAGCATGCACCAAAAATAATAATAGAGGTCAGCCTTAGGATTAAGGAATAAGTATAAAAAAAAGTAGCCTCAGGCTATAAGGAATAAGTATAAAAAAGTTTTCAAGATGATCGATTACGAAATGCGGTCTGCAAGTGACACAGACATAAAAAAAAAGAAAATGGGCGTAGCTCTGCCCCTGGGGGTTGGGTATTCACCACAAATAATAGGGATGTGCCTTAGGATAGAAGGAATATGTATGCTAAGTTTCAAGGTGATACGATAAGAAATGCGATCTGTAGATGACAAACAAATAAATAAATATAGGGGATGGGCGTGGCTCTGCCCCTGGCGGTCGGGCATGCACCAAAAACAATAGGGATCATCGTTAGGTATAAGCAATTCATATGAAATTTTTTCAAGACGATAGATTAAGAATTGTGGCCTGTAGGTGACACACAGGCATAAAAAAAAGAAAATGGGCGTGGCTCTGCCCCTGGGAGTAAAAAAACAATAGGGATCATCGTTAGGGATAAGCAATTCATATGAAAAAAAATCAAGACGATTGATTAAGAATTGTGGCCTGTAGGCGACCCACAGACATAAAAAAAAAGAAAATGGGCGTGGCTTTGCCCCTGGGGGTTGGGCATGCACCAAAAACAATAGGGATCATACTTAGGGTATAAGCAATTCATATGAAAAATTTTCAAGACGATTGATTAAGAATTGTGGCCTATAGGCGACACACAGACATACAAAGAAAAGAAAATGGGCGTGGCTCTGCCCCTGGGGGTCGGTCATGCCCCCCAAACGATAGGAATGTTCCTTAGGGTACAAAGAATAAGTATGCATAGTTTCAAGATGATACATTAAGAAATGCGGTCTGTAGATGACAAACAAATGAATAAATATAAGGAATGGGCGTGGCTCTGCCCCTGGGGGTCGGGCATGCACCAAAAACAATAGGGATCTTCCTTGGGGTATAAGGAATAAGTATACCAAGTTTGAAGAAAATCCAGTAAGAATTGCGCCCTGTAGGCGACACAAAGACACACAAAAAGAAAATGGGAAATGGGCGTGGCTCTGCCCCTGGGGGTTGGGCATGTACCCCAAACGATAGGGATGTTCCTTAGGGTACAAAGAATGTGTATGCAAGATTATAAGTTAAGAAATGTGGCCTGTAGACGACAAACAAACAAATACTAGAAATGGGCGTGGCTCTGCCCCTGGGGGTCGGGCATGCACCAAAAACAATAGGGATCTTCCTTGGGGTATAAGGAATAAGTATACCAAGTTTGAAGAAAATCCAGTAAGAATTGCGCCCTGTAGGCGACACAAAGACACACGAAAAGAAAATGGGCGTGGCTCTGCCCCTGGGGGTTGGGCATGCACCCCAAACGATAGGGATGTTCCTTAGGGTACAAAGAATGTGTATGCAAAGTTTCAAGATTATTAGTTAAGAAATGTGGCCTGTAGACGACAAACAAACAAATACTAGAAATGGGCGTGGCTCTGCCCCGGGGGGTCGGGCATGCACCAAAAACAATAGGGATCTTCCTTGGGGTATAAGGAATAAGTATACCAAGTTTGAAGAAAATCCATGAAGAATTGCGCCCTGTAGGCGAACCACAGACACACACACACACACACACACACACACACACATACATACATACACACACACACACACACAGACAGGGGCGACGGCATAATACGTTCACATTATGAATGTGGACGTATAAAAAGTAACGGTCATCGTTCTCTATCACTGTTAGAATATAGACATAGGTGGACCAATTAAAGTTTTACCATATGTTCATAGTTTAACTCTAATGATTCCTCCCTATAATGACTGCCATTGATGACAATAACATATTTATATTACAAAATATGTTTTTTGAAAAATTACTTTAAAGATGCATTGCCCCGAAAGTATTTATCTTGTGGTTATTTCCAATAAAAGTATGGCAAATTTGGTATATATGGAAAGTATAGATACCCAATCTTACTAGATAAATACTGGATTACCCCAAAAACACCCCTGGGGCAAGCACTGGGCAAAAATATCAGGGTATCACTAACTGGCAACCCGACTGTTGTCTGCCAACTAACTAGCTTGACTGAGGGAGCAGTTGTTATTTCTTGATCAAATGGTTAGGTGGTTTTAGGAACATTGAGGGGTGTCAAAGTACAAAAGACTCTGCAATCAAAAGACGGAAAAAGGATCGAGTTGACAGAAAATAACTATGAATTTACTTAGGCCTCAATATATATGGTAAAGATGACAGTAAGTAATGAAAAATACATTCTAAAAAAAGGACCCTCCCTCCATAACGTGAGGTGACAGACATGGCTTCTAACAACAGTTTATTTATAACTTGAGGTATCTCCTCATGAATACAAAGTTTTGAGAAGGATTTGAAGCCAATTTTTGATAGATTAATTAGTTTGATAGTTTGAATATGTTTTAGTCCAATATCATCAAATTACATAGTTTATATGCGGGAAGTATCTTTAAAAATTTGTAAATATGACTTACTCAAGATAAACATCCGGCGGAGCTCCAGGCACTAACTGAACAACCAAACAAGCAGTGGTGGCTCTGGTACCTTTCTTTATAACCACACAGAATCGAAAATCAGCATTAACAACCGCCTTTGCCAAGTCAACTGTCACTGGACTGCCCACAGTTGTAGTTGGAACCATGTCATCACAATGTGCTACTGTGGCATTGAGATTGGCTGGTGTGCAGTTCCATGTATAAGTGTCAAATGTCTGAAACAAAATGAAATGGGGTTAATATTTTCAGCAACAACCCAGGTATTGAAGACAAGCATATATATGTGACAGTCAATGTCTACAATCAGGCAATGTGTAGGGTTAGGGTTACAAAGGCATTGTACACATTGCCTGATTGTAGACATTGACTGTAACATATATATGCCATGTAGTATGTAGGAAATTCTGTTCAGATTTCAGAAGATTTTTTATGTGTCACCAATGGCATACATGGGAACTCTTATTTTGTGTTCCAAACAAAAGACTGGGTGCTTTCCCTTGTCAGACTTGATCATGCACCATTGCTAAGGGGAAAACGGGCTGGCAAATTCTGAGGAACTTTCTCAACTAAAGCTAAGATTGAACCTGTTACTTCCTGGTTATTGAGCCTGTGCCATACTCACTGTCTGAAAATTACACAGAATTAATCTCAAATAATACTAATGATTTTAAAAATTGTCTACCATAGTTTTTATTTAAAGAAGTAAGAAAGAATTGTTGCGGAAATGCCCACCAATATGCAACTCATCCATGTTAGCCCTAAAATCGATGTCAACAAATCCCACTGAGCAAGTTATTTTGAAAATCCACCGAAGATCTAATCAATACAATCAATAACTTTGTCATATATGAAGATATAGCTACCTCCACACAATGCTTTTGTTATTTGTGACACAAACATTTTACCAAAAATGTACTTCAATATGCTCTAGTGGACAATCCTACCTACCTAATTCTTAAAAATATACTGGGAAGTAAATTCTGAATTTCGATCTAGTTTTCCTATGTATCAATGAACAATACTCGCAATTTTATTTTTAAAAGTCTGTCAAAATGATTTTGAATGTGACAGGAAGAACATTTTTGCTTAAATCTTCGAAATTTATTAATCAAAATTTTAAAAAATCGATAGGGTTCTTTATAATGCCCCAATGAATAATCCCACTGAGATTTCAAAGAATCCATGCCATTGATCACATTCAAACAATTTAAAAAATCTGACAGTCAATGGGATTGATGATGACCCCACTATTTGCGACTGAAAAATTTAGAATTTTAACAGACTTCCTCCCCGTTGATCCAATGTACAAACTCTGTAAAATTTTAGGGGAAAAGATGGATTTCTTAATGACTGAAGGACCAAGGTGATAACATAATACATACACATTAAATATAGGCGTATAAAAGTCATACTCATTGATATATTTGAATGACTGTTTAAACGCAGCTAAGCAACTCTGTGCCTTCTGTCAAGAGCAGTGGCGGCGCCAGCCGTCGGTGATTGGAGTGGCAAAGCTGGGGCAAAGTCCAAGGTTAAGGGGGCAAAAGCACGAGCTTCAACTAGGGGTAGGGGGCCTCCCCCAGAAAATTTTGAAAAAAAAGGTTGCCGGAAATGCAGCCTGGCTGTATTTTAGTCACTGATCGATGAGGTAAAGTGTCAAACGAACGGACTTGGGAATCACGACGAAGCCCACTCACGAGCGTCAAAGTAGGGAGTCCTCCCCCAGAAAATTTTGAAAAATAGACTGCCGGAAATGCTGTCTTACAGTATTCTGTCAGGCACCGATCGTCAAGATAAATAGATCTGCCCAGATACCATTCGTCGCCTGATCACTAGTTTATCCGACTAGAGAACAAAATGTCAAACGAACGGACTTGCGAACCTCAACGAATTCCCCTTGTGAGCGCCAAAGTAGCGAGTCCATTGGGGACCTCGCCAAGAAAATTTTGAAAAATAGACTGTCAGAAATGCTCTACAACATGCAAGTTTATGACTAAGTGGGGATGTGGGATTTATTCACCGTAGAAGGTATTGATTACCGAAACGTATCACAAATACTTTTTTTTATTTTCTAAAATTATTGGGGGGGCAAACAGAGGGCAGACCAGATTAATGGGGGGGCAAATGCCCCCTCTTGCCCCCCCTGGCGCCGCCACTGGTCAAGAGTCTTACCTGAGAACCAATCGGTGTTATATCATCTGGATCAAATGACCACTTGTGTGGTTCTAAAGTAATAGGTTGAAGACCTCGGACTATTTCACTGATACCACCTTGTTGTATTATACCAACTATATCTGATTCATCTACACGGAAATATGTGTAAGATGCGGTTACAAATCGCCCTCCATCAAAGTCAGCACCAGACATTTCCATGCTGTAAGTAGCTTTGTACAGACCATAATCTAATGATCTTGCAGGAATGTATAATTCAGCATTTGTCCTTGTTGAATATGATGATAAATCAATTACACCAGTAACTTCTCCACTATTATCATCCACGGTTTCAATTGACCAGGTCTTTATATTTTCCAGAGTAGTTGAACAAAGGATGTCTGATTGACCAATGATTGAGAATTGCTTGCCTTTCTTTACAATCATTGGATTATAAAACTGAAAGCTCTGGTCCAGGATGGTTACTATAGGATCTTTGCATTCCGCTCTGGATACAGGTACACTGATTGAATTAGACGAGTTTGAAAAGCTGTTATAAGCAGTGGCTACAACGGTGTAATAGCCATTGGCATTGTAGGTGTGTTTAATTTCTGTCACACCAGTTAGAGCTCCTATGTGTTGAAATGTAGATGGGCTACAGTAGGTCGGATCATCTGATAATGACTGCTGAATACCATCTCCAAAATCAATACTCAGACAAGTTTGGTCTCCTTGGATATCAAATTCAATACCAAATTTCTTTAAGACACCGGATCCCTTATTTGGTACAAGATCTGTGATGTTGGTACCAACAACTCTATCTAGGATGGTAACCTCAGTCGTCATGGCGTTGCTATACAGAGGATTTTTAGCAGTGATTTGTACCTCAAATAAACCACTCTATGAAATAAAGATTGGTAAATTAAATTATTTTATACACTAAGTGTCAGTGTAAGTGGGGTGGGGAGAGATAGAGAGATAGATAGAGGCTTCAACGGTATTGTCTTTAACTATGACAGAAAACAAAGAAAGCCAAGTAGGTCGGATAGGTGACCCATTCTTTGTCATAACCAAACATGGAATTGACATCACAACTTGCCGAATTGATAATACTTGTAAACTACAGCACTGGCTTAAAATCTGATTTGCCCTGCTGTCGAGCGAGGGGTTTTAAAATGAAGTGATAAAATACTTACCCCTGGAAAGTCTATTTCAAAGGGACTTTTTGTTTTGCTACTGGTATAGGTTAGACCACCACCACTCTTTAGATTATAACTTATGTCATAACCTTCAATTGTTCCTAGAACACCAAATGATGTTATGATAGCCCAACATATCAATTATAATTGGCAAAAAAAGTTTGTTGTCAAATCAAATGGGGTTTAACTTCCTACTGTTCTGCTCCGACTGGGCTATTAAAGACGTGCATACGCCATGCATTGTGCTATACAGCCTATTCTTATATCGAATTCCAACTGACAAGGGTTCTTTTACATGCACAGCATGTGTAAATGAGACTTCGATTTTTAGTCCCATCCAAATGACTATACGTTGTTCCTAAGTGGGTAAGACGCTAGCTCGCTAGCCTGGAGGTCGGGTGTTCGACCCCTGCACTGGCCGAGAAAGTTAATCGGCATTTTTGGACGTGGTTCCCCCTTGTCAGTGATGCAGGACGGAGGGCCTAACAAGGACAGCCGTTTAGTCGTTCAGATGAGACGAAAAACCGAGGTCCCGTGTATACATTGGAATGCACGTAAAAGATCCCTTGGCAGTTGGAATTCGATATAAGAGTAGGCGATAGAGCCGCTGCCCGGGCAAACTTCCCTCATAGCACACTGTATGGCGTATGCCCATCTTGATTAGCCCAGTATAGGAGCAGAACAGTAGGACGTTAAACCCCATTTCATCATCATCATCATCATCTATACGTTGTTCCCTACCAGACCCTCCATTCTGCACCACTGACAAGAGGAAAAATTTTCCAGGAGTAAAATTTTTCCATGACAGTGGTGCCACGGCCTAGTCTTGTTTCGAATTCCAACTGTTAAGGGTTCTTTTACGTGCACGACAATGTGTACACAGGACCTCCGTTTATCGTCTCATCCAAAGTTTGGTGTCAAGGTCATGTCTTAAAAATATCAAATATAAAGGTAGAGCAACAGGAACAGCCTCATTCAACAGCACACAATATTTTAATCATTTTCTATACCAATGAAAGAAAACATCCACTAAGAAATAAAATATGCTGTACATACAAAAAGCCGTCTTCATTAGCCCAGTATAGGAGCAGAACAGTAGGACGTTAAACCCCATTTCATTTACATACAAAAAGACACCTTGTAAAGAATGTAAATAAATTTTCGTCTATTTCATTTATTCAAAATGTAAATCTATTTGACAGAAAATCAGATTTAGATTATTTTTTGAACAGCATAGATGTACAGTGCACTCTGTCACATCCGACATCGTACGGGATCGTTACAATATGTCGGATTACGCAGAGTGTCAGAATACCCAGAGTGCCGGAGTGATCAGAGGTCGGATGTGACAGAGTGCACTGTATATTCATGTATCAACAAAGGATATATCATAAAACAGAAACTTACCTGATGTATGGGTCATTGTGAATATGATAGGCCTATCTCTCGGGAATTTCCCAACTTGATTTAGCAGTCCAGTCTCCTCTGGTGCATCTAGTGGCAAGGCAGGTTTGTAAGTAATCGCTGCAGCTGAATCTGCGATAGCTATATAAGAGCCAGTCTATGAAAAAGATGAGTTTACAATCATTTATGTCCTCAGTTAAAAGTATATAGTACGGTAGTTCTTTAACTGAATAATTTCTTGCAGATCACTGATCACTTATACTATATTAAAGATACATTATGTGAGATTAGATAAAGAGCTGGCAGTTCTCACTATAATAGTTAAAAACTAGATAATGTATAGGAGATTTGCTGAAAATTTAAGTCAAATTGATCCACTCTGAACCAAGATTTTAGTGATTGACTTTTCGGCCTAGACTCGATCATCACTACTAAAGTCGGTACGATAAAAAACATAGTCTTGGTTATCCATTTCATAATTAAATCATGAATGAAAGTTGGGCAGCAAATCGGATCCTAATCCAATAAATATCGAGAGTTGATTATGTTCTGGATCAGTTAATTAATGTCTAATTAATAATTAAGATATCATTTCAGGCCTAAAGAAAGATCTGCAATAGGCAGATTTAGCTCTTGCATAATGTAAATTTTAAAGAACTGGTGATATTTGTGAAAGAAAGGTTCAGTTAAATCTGTGCTAAGATATAACTCATGTAATGCAGATAGAATTCAATCTAGTTAAAATTTGAATATATATTTTGTTCTAGTCTAATATTGGTTGGCTACACCACAAGAAGATCTAACAACGTTAAATCTCTGTTCTCTTGTCACTGTGTTTGACAAAGCAGTGCTGTAGACACAGGGATGCTCGAGATTGACGGACCAAAGTGAGCACAGATTTTGCAAATTTGCTATTGGAGGTAGGACACATGCTCCCAGAGCAAATTTTGGATCTGATACCAGTGTTTTAGTCTTGAGTCTCAATTCCGCTTACATGAGTTACCACAACAGATCCAATGGACTATTTCACAGAGAAGACAACTTTCAAAATGAACAGCTTTACAATTTTTTACCAAACAAATACTTTTATGTGGCCATGTCTGATGTGCCAGGAATTGTATGCTTCTCTGTCTTTTAGTTGACAATCATTTCCTCAATTTTCCCTGTGTAATATAGCTTGAATATTTCTACTGTCCAGTGTTAGTAAAATACTTACATTGAAACTTGTGGTTTCTGATGAGGCTAAGTTGTAGATAGTCATGGCAGCAGAAAACGTACCATCGTTAGTGAAAGAATGTGACAAAGTCGCAGTACCAGGAACTGTTGCAAATAGGGTGGCAAAAGATCCATTTATGAATTCACCATCACCCAAACTAATTGAATAGCTGGCATCAGTTGGCATCACGTTTCCCGTATATACTATTGTAAAGGTTGCTGGGCCTAGTAACAAAAACAGAAATACAATTCAATATACAACAAATTTTGAGAATACAGAGAAATGGTTGATACTCTCTGTGAATCAACACCTTTGGGTCCATCCTGGCTACCATTTGCCGCTTGGCTCATTCGTGATGGGAATGATGTCATTTTCCTGCTTCTGCACCAGTATTTATTTTATATACAACTAATTATAAACAGACATTTTGTGATGTTATTCAGAAATATCGTTAGAAATAAATATTACCTGGATGTGTAAATTCTCCATTAGCGTCTGGCCCTGCAGTTACCGTAAATCCACCTTTTACTGGATCCTGCACTTCAATATCTAATGTCTGTGTGAGACTCTCTAAGGGAGATTTGACCGTAACAGTGATGGTCTTAGTACCAAGCGTTGTATATGTAACCTCTGGCAAGGTGTCTTTGCCATTTTGACCAGATCCTGTGTTTAAAATATAAAAATGCAGGTAAAGAAATTGTAAAGATGACTGTTGTTCAGTGTTTAACTTGTGAAGTATAGAAGTTAACTATAAGACAGACTAAGTCTTTAAGATATGTTGCCGCAAACTTAATTATACTATCCAGTGTAATTGAAAGTATGAAGTATCATAGATTGAAAGTAATTAGTAAGTTCCCATTAATGTGGATATAAACTACAAGTTTGGCAGATAAATGGTCCTCTGTGAAGACTAAAGACAGTAGTGAATGCAGGATACTTGGTTAGCAGGTGTGGTAGGTCTGGCGTCCTGAGTTTTGGATTCAAATATAAAATTCATTTTCAGTACTGAGTACTGTATTGTATATTATGTAGACCTACCATTTTACTTGCAAAAACGACATGGTTAAGGTCTCATAATTTATAACTTAAATAAAGTAAGATTATGATCCAAATCTCAGGGGTCACGGTGGCTAAATGGGTAAGATGCTGGCTCGCTAGCCTGGAGGTCGGGTGTTCGATCCCTGCATTTGGTCGAGAAAGTTCATCCAGATTGTCTGGCGTGGTTCCCCCTTGTCAATGATGCAGGACGGAGGGCCTGACAAGGACAGCTGTCTAGTCATTCGGATGAGACGAGATACCGAGGTCCCATGTACACATTGGCATGCACGTAAAAGATCCCTTGACAGTTGGAATTCGATATAAGAGTAGGCCGTAGTGCCGCTGTCTGGGCAAAATTCCCCTCATAGCACACTGTATGGCGTATGCCCGTCTTCATTAGCCCAGTTCGGAGCAGAACAGTAGGATGTTAACCCCATTTCATTTCATTTCATTTCTGAGTCAAAGCTCAATTCAGTTAAATATGACAATGACACTAACCTGTACGTGGTCTATCAACGACATCAGGAATACCTCCTCCATAGTTAACAGTGATAAGACAGTCGTTACCGGTTGGTGCTCTGTACAAGACAACATCTAGGGCAATAGGAAGATTTATAGCGGCATGAGGTGGATTTGTGGCTATCTGAAGATTCTCTAAGACTTCAACAATGGTTATATCCCTGGCAAATTCTTTAGTACTAACACTATTAGAAATACTAGCATTAACGGAAAATGGACCCGTTTCTCTAAATTCATGGTCATAGTTATAATCCATCTGCAAGTCAAACTTTTCCGAATGGCCGTCACCAAAATCAAAAAAGACAAGGGCTTCGTTTGGTGCAGAACCTGTGACAGAGAAATTAAAATGAGGGTAAGCAGGAGGTGTAAACCTATAATATTCTTCATTGTGCATTTCCACTTGATTTACGCTTTGGATGGCCAATATTTCATGAGTAAACACCTTTGATGAAGCAGAATTCCATGCTGTAACCGTGACAGTATAAACTCTACCATCGTTAAAACCGTAGGTACTTGTATATAGACGAGGAACCCTTGTGGCCCAGTCACCAGTATTTGTACCATTGACGAAGTTACCATCATCCCAGTTAAAAACATAATTAACATTTGACCCTTCTGTCATATCCAGTGTGAAGGTTATCTGTTCTGATGTAGGAACAGTAGTTTTAGACACTGTGCTGACAACATCTTTCATGGCGGCCTCGACAGTAAATGAAATATTCTCCGATTCGGTATTGAACTGGTTTTGGACGGAAAGTTGAAGATCATAAAAACCTACAGGCAAGCCTGGTATCTCAGTAGTTTCCCAGCTTTTAGCAGTAAGCTCTGTAAACCCATTTGTAGCGGCGTCTTTGATGTAGTTGACTCCGTTAAAGAACAGACTAACTACTGGAGATGAACCGTGTTGAATGGTCCACTTGATCTTAAAGGCAGTGTTTTTATCAGCCCCTACAGTAATTAGGTTGAGATCTGTAATAGGGTATTCAACGTTCTGTACCAGGAGCTTGGTCTCTGTATTGATGTTATTGTAACATGTCACATTAACATTAAAATTACCATCTGTTGTGTACATATGTTGGACAACTGTTGCAGCTCCTCCGGATGGTGTATCTGTATCAATTTTGTTTACAGTAGCAGAACCATCACCAAAGTTCCATAAACATGTAAAGTTAGAGCCTGTTGTCATGACAAAGCTAAAATCTGTAAGGGTGTTGGCAGCAGACGGACTTGATGTTACACTCAGGCCTGTAATTCTATACTCAACCATGACTTCTGTGAAGTTGCTTTTCCTACTCATTGGGTTGAAAGCTTCACAAGTAACATTGAAACTTCCTCCATAAGTAAATGTGTACTGATAAGGTAAAGTTGTTGTATTTTCTTCGCCATTTCCAAAATTCCAAGTATATATTATGTCTGAACCTGAAAAATATACAGAACCCCCAGGCGTAAAACAGTAGGATGAGAACTGTGGATGCTGATCTACAAATATTCTCATGACCTTGAGTAAAAGCTTAAAAAATCCTGAGGAGATCGAAGGTTTATTCTGAACACAAAAGAACAGTTAATAGATAGATTGTGGACATCATTAAAACTCAATGTGATTTTAGCGTGATACAGTCATCCCTTACCAACTACAATATTGTAAAATTGAACTTCTAATAGGAATATCAGTTCAAAAATGGTTCAATTCGATTCAGTATTTACAAAGATATGACGAATTGAAAATTACATTGATCTATGCTGACCCCTATGTAACAAGACTTCCGTCATCTTTTATTGCCCAGGGGCCTGTTTCACAAAATTTTAACTAAGATAAAATCCCAATTTTAGTAATTTGATTGGATAATATTAGATTGATTTTAGTGCTTAGCCAATGAAAATTGAAGTATCTACTAAAATTTGGATTTTATCTTTAGTTAAAATTTCGAGAAACAGGGCCCTGGACCATATTGATGGGCCAGTTTTAAATCTGACTGAATCCAAGCCGAGAGATTATCTAGCATTGGCATTGTGATTTTGTTTTCGTAAATGAATGTTTAATAATTAATCTGAGTATATAACCTTGGATTAAGCCGTTAGAAATCATACATCATTTAAGTACAGATATATGCAACATACTGTACGAAAAGCTGGAATATAATATCCTACTTACCTGTATGTGGTTGAAGATTAAAGTCAGTCGCTTCATTTGCTGCTGCGTATATTGGTGCTATTATATCTGTAATGTTGATACCTTCAATAACAATTACTTGCGTAGAATTGGTTTTTGAACCATACGTGTTTGTAACAGAGACGTCAATGGTATACGTTTTGGCTTGTGGCAACTCGTAGTGTAGTAGCGCCATCGATGGAGATGACATAATGGCATTGAATAACATTCTATTTGGGACAGGTGCTAAACTTGCATGTGGAAATGTTAATGGGGTTGATCCTATATGATAATCTCCATTCCCAGGTGTCTTGGACATTGCTACAACACCATTTCCAGCAGTTTGCTCAAATCCTAAAATATCACCTGGAGATACTGGTATATATGTTGATAGTGGATAATAATCAAACCCCACATTGATAGTCACACTTTCTTTCTGTTTTAACTTGTAGTCAAATGTGCCTTCTGGACGTACAGCCACAGGACATGATGAGGTGCAGGTTTTACTACTTGGACAAAAAATGCCGGCTGAACAATCCATGGTTTGATATCCGAAACAAGTTGTTTCACAGGTATTACTCTCTGGACAGTAAATGCCAACTGCACAATCAGGCTCTAAAATCTAAAATGTAATAAAGAAACATATCAGTATGTATTATATTGACATTTTAAAGATACTTCTCATACAAATATATGTATTTATCAGGTGGTTATTTCCAATAAAAGTATGGCACCTAATCTTACTAGACAAATAATGGATTCCTTGAAAAACACCCAGGAAATATGCACACAGGACAAAAATGAGAGGGTGTCACTAATCGGCAGCCTGACTGTTAAGGGCTGTCAGCTCGAGTGACGTCAAAGGTAGCCCGCATAGATTGTTGAGCTCTTAGCATTAGGGAGCGCTTGATGTATATGTTGACAAACTCGATGGTGAGTGCACGTGCAATAAGTGAGAGACTTAAGTTACAGCAGTTTCTGAGACAAAAAAGATGTGGGCAGGGGATAATCCTTCGATATTTATGATAAAGTGACAGGGATTAAAGATAGCATTGTCATTTATATGCAACAAATTCTGCTCTGGCTTCGCACCTGTTGCTAGGTACTGCGACAGCCAAGTCACGTGACACAACAATTACTTTTTTTAAAGATACATTATGGGAGATTAGATAACGAGTTGGCAGTTCTCACTATAATAGTTAAAAACTAGATAATGTAAAGGCAATTTGCTGAAAATTTCAGTCAAATTGATCCACTATGAACCGAGAAATAAGTGATCAAAAGTTCCGCTTAGCCTCAGCCTTCATTATTAAAGTCGGTACGACAAAAATCATAGTCTTGATTATCCATTTAATCGTTAAATTGAGAAAGAAAGTTATGCAGCAAATCAGATCATAATCCAACAATAAATCGCAGGCTAGCGATGACATCGAGAGTTGATTATGGTCTGGATACATTAATTAATTTCTAATTAATAGTTTATATAACATTTCAGGCCTAAAGAAAGACCAGCAATAGGCAGATTTAGCTCTTGCATAATGTATGTTTAATAGATATTTTATAGTTTGGGGTATTTCTTCGCGAATACAATGTTTTGAGAGGGATCTGAAGCAAATTTTTGATAGATTAATTAGTTTGAATATGTTTTTAGTCCAAATGTATCACCCAATCACCTAGTTTGTATGCAGAAGCATTGGTAATCTGAAACCGTTGACTAATGAAGCTAGGCCTTTCAGTAATGACAACTTTTGTCATTAAATCATATAAGTGATCATTATTATAAATTATACAATTGTAAAAGATGTCAGTACTGGTGTAAAAGAGTGACTATTTATTACACCTATCACCACTGAATACACAAACCTGGACAATAGTGGTGTATGGACTATAGTCATAGTTTTAACACCTTAGTGACAAAATACCTACTGAATGACTACTGCCTGATTACTAATAATTTTAACTAACTAATACACATTATGTTTATAAACTAACGACTTTGATCTATTATATTTTCATTTATATTTGTTGCTTAGTCAACGATATCAAAGATACAGTGAAGGTATCTTTAATAAACATATTTTGTTACTTTTGACCCCAGATTACCTGTCACATCATAACAGCACTGTTTAGGTATTCTTTAACCTGAAACACTTTGTGCTGTTCTTTTCTGTTTGACCGCTAAAACAAACTAGTGAAAATGTATGTTCACCCATTCTAGAACACCATAGTTGAACAATGGATGAATTAAACATTATTCACAACAATTCTTAATTAAGTTTACAGAGTATTCAGGAATATCATTATACATACCAATACAGATATTGAGCCTGCTGTTTCACCCAAAATTTGGACTCCCAAAACCTTTCCTTCCATTCTGAATTCGGAAGCTTTGAGGATGTAAGAACCGTCTCCATTGGCATTGGAATCATATGGTCCTACTGACTGGATAGCAAATCCAACTGTATCATAAACAGGATCTGAAGAGAAAAAAGTAAAAAGTAAAGTTGATTTCTTCTCGGAGGGCGAGGAATATTAAAGGCACAATATTCTGGATTACTAGTCAAATAGCCATTCTTACTATAAACATCAGTATTACATAAGTTTCATCTACAGAACTGACACAATTCAAACTTTAAAAACGTGTATTGTATATTTCAATATTTGGTGGTTTCGATTCCCAGCATTTACGTGACAAGGAGTAGCAATCAGTCCACCCTCGTTGGTTTCTCCAGGTCCTCCGATTTCCTTCCACTATTAAAGACCCCCACGTTCAATGTAAATTATCAAAATAACACTGAATCATCTGTTAGTGCTGAAATGACCTAGTTTGGGTCGAGTGAACGTTAATCCCCATTTCTCTCTCCCCTAGGACATTTTTGTATACGAAAATAAATGATTCTTTATACCATCTTATTTTTATATATTTTCCCTTGAAAACCGTTATACTACCAGATAACAAATAAAATTTTAGTTAATTAAATTTATAACTCTCATTGATATTGTCAGGGGAATATTAATGATTCTGCGAAGGTACTGTAATAACATTTCCTTTCTAAGTGGCATCAAAATCCATGCCATATACTGTTTTACTTTTTGGAAATTGGATGAAGTATAAAAAACAATTTATTATTGTATAAATTTGTTTACACAGGACCTCATTTTTTCATCCCATCCGAACAAATAGACACTGCCCTTGCCAGACCCTCTGTCCTGCACTACTGACAAGGGAAACCATGCTATAAAATCCCGGGGAACTTTCTCAACCAAAACTGGGATCGAGCCTTGGACCACTAGGTTAATGAGGTAACGCCTTACTGACTGAGCCATGACAACTCCTGAATCTAACAATTAAATTAAAAGTAATCATCTTTTAAAGACTAATTCTAATACTAATCTCGAGGGGTTAACACAAGTATTTATTTCAAGTCAAGTGTGAATCCTTAGAGACCCACCTATTCAACAGAATGCTTTTAACTGTTTCTGAACTAATATGATTATGTTTATATCAAAAATAGTGTTGACTTTGATATCAAATACAAGGAAATGAGTAGGGATTTATAACTGCATGTAATATTTTATTTATAAATAATTATTGATATTCTCCTTTATCAATAAATTGTATTATTGAATGTAGGTAGACCAAGTTTGATACTGTTCTCATGTACTTGTTTCAACTTCAATAAAGGGTATCTTAAACATACATTATGCAAGAGCTAAATCTGCCTATTGCAGGTCTTTCTTTAGGCCTGAAATGCTATCTAAATTATCAATTAGACATTAATTAACTTATCCAGACCATTATCAACTCTCGATGTCAACGCTAGCCTTCAATATTTATTGGATTATGATCCGATTTGCTGCTTAACTTTCATTCTTGATTTAATCATGAAATGGATAATCAAGACTATGTTTTTTATCGTACCAACTTTAGTAATGATGATCGAGGCTAGGCCGAAATTTCAACCGCTTAATTTTCGGTTCATAGTGGATCAATTTAACTGAAATTTTCAGCAAATATCCTTACATTATCTAGTTTTAACTATTATAGTGAGAACTGCCAGCTCTTTATCTAATCTCACATAATGTATCTTTATCTTTTATAAAAATATTGTAGGAAATGTAGAATTGTTCTAATAGTTAGCATCTAACTTATCCCTTCTAAACCCTTGTCTTTATAAATCTAACAGTATCTATCATTTTAATTACTAATTTCAGTTTGAATATGTATCATACTAATTTAATATTTAGTTTAAGCCACTAGTGACAACAATTTGATGATCTTTTATTGTGTAACTAATTGAAGTTTAAAACTATTGAAGAGTGGAGTCTTGATAAAGGGGGCGGAGGTGGGGGGGGGGATGGGAGACAAATGAAACGGTCATAATGTCTGTCATTGAGCCAAGCACTGTGTGACAAGGAGTAGGGTTGCCTGCCCAAGGAATAAATGAAATAAAATGATATAATATGTTAATCCCGATATGACTTAGTATGTTTTAAGTAGAGTTAAATCTATAAACCCCTCTCCTTCACCCCCTCTTCTTCTTGACCTATAACATGATGGTAACATTACCTGCTATTTTGAAAGGTGTTTGTGCGACACTATCCACAGTATCAGTTAATTGCATCTCACTACCCTGATATGTCTTCGCTTCACACAAACAGTATTCATATGTAGCACACATATCAGGACAATCTACAAACACAGTTCCAACTTCATCTTTCACAGCTACTGTGGTTACAGCTTGACCTTCCTGTAACACAAAAAACATGTCTCCTTTATAAAAGCAACACAGCCATTCTACCAACATCCATCTATTCAATACATATGAATTGGAAAGTGGTATCAGTTGTTCTAGAATGGGTAAGCATACCCAGCTTTGAACACAACACCGCTGCTACCTTTTGCTATTAACTTTTACAAGAAGTTAAGACATTCTTTGTACTGAACACATGCCAGATTTACCTACGACTTGGCAGGCCCGAAGCCTAAGGCCTCCAGATCTAGGAGGCCTCCAGCCAAGCTGTATACTGTTTTTGACCCTGTCATAAGCCGTTTTGCTGTTGTCTTAAACATCTGCCATCATCCTCTAGTCATAAGGGTGGGAAATTGGGAGGGGCCTCATAAATGCAATAGACTAGGACCTCTCTAAATTCAGCACTGATTGAAAATCACAAAAGCGCGCAGTTGTTGTTGTTTATTACAAATTTAACGGCCAATGCATTATATCATATCATATTATGGACAGGTTGATTTAATTATGTTATTTGCATATCAAGGCATCATATATATAAAAAAAGAAAATTGCTAAAATCTAAAAGGTTCTTGTTTATCAGAACCAAAAACGTGCACTTCAATAAATAGTTACAAGGTATCAACACAATGACAGGATGGTGAAATACAATGAAATGGGGTTTAATTTCTCAATTCCCCACACTAACCGAACTAATGAAGATGGTTTGGGCAATTAGGTCATTTTGCATGAACAACTGTGTACAGTCAACTTAATTTTCAACTGTCAGGACATCTTATAAGATGCTGCCAATGATTTTTTATCCCATCCAAACAACTAGATGCCTTTCTTGTTGTGCCCAAAAAGTGTTCAAATCTATCAATTCTAACTTTTGTTATGGACATCGTAAGGTTATTGGTTTTTGCTGATTTCACACCAATCATTTTCTATTTTAACTTTACATTGATTTCATTCACAACAATCTTTATTGTGCTATCTTTTCATACACATCAGCCCATAAGGTCGTTTCATTTTCATACACACCAGCCCATATATGAATGTTGTTTTATATACACTAGCCCATATATAAATGTTTTTTCATACACACCAACCCATTCATAAAGGTCTTTTCATATACACCTGCCCATTCATAAAGGTCTCTTCATTACATAACAACACCAACTTATATTTTTCACCTCTGGGCAGACACGGTGGATCAGTTATTAAGACATTGGTTCGCTAACATGAAAGTCCTGTGTTCGATCCCTGTGTTGACCCAGAAAGAGATTTCCTGGTATGGTTACCCCTTGTCAGTGGTGCAGGATGGGTGGCCTGGCAAGAAACAATGTATAGTTGTTTGGATGGGCCAAAAAAACAAGGTCCTGTGTACACATTAGGGTGCAGATAAAGGAACCCTTTGCAGTTGGAATTCAATATAAGAGAAGGCCAGAGCAGAACAGTAGGACAAAAAACCCATTTCATTTCATTTTAACCTCTGATATAAATTTTAATTATTATATACATTATTATCTGAAGACGCCTGGCTTGTTCTGCCTTTAATAGATCATAAAAACTAATTAAACTTACCGGAATGGTGTCATTCAAATCAGAACCATACACCTTGACGCTATATACACCAGGTACGTTAAAGCTATGTGTATACATTTGAGTTTCATTCTTGGGTGTTCTCTCTGCCCCGTCATCATAACTAAACTGATAATAAGCCCCCAAAGCACTAACAACACTAACATCAAAGGTTACTGTGTCGCCTGTCTTAACGAATCCAGCTAATGGTGGGTTCGGTTCGACTTGAAGTCCAACAATTGGCTGTGAAGATTGGTAAACGCTCACATGATCTAAGTCTCCACACTTTTCTGCAGCATTACCCGTACATGGCATGGTACATTCACTCGGTTTACGATTTCCAGGTGGTGGTTCCTGATTAGAGCAGAAACAGAAATTACCACCAGTCACACCAGCATACACATAGCCAAATAGACCACATTTAGACGCACATAAACCCGGTGTGAGGTTATTAGGATCAAAGTCTCCTGGGTTTACGTTCATTGTTCGGCGTCTTTTGTTTTCTTCGTAGCATCCTCTAAATTCAGCTGAAAAGATTTAAAATAAACTCATGTGAGTTAACAATTCACGTTAAAGGGTTGTAGTTATTAAAGGTGATTAGGGCCAATTTGTGTTTAAATATTCGTTACCCCTTTTGCCTTTACCAATATTCAACAACACAGGTAAGTGTTTGTGATTGACTGATGCTTTATTTTAATATACTACCCATAGAAGTATAGTTATAATGGTAAACCAAAGATATCGGGGTGCACAAAATAACTACAGATATGCATAATTTTGTTAGAATTGAGGTAGGACAAACGCACACATTTTGGATACATAATTATAGCATTTTTAGTTGTTCGTTATTTGTTACATGTATATTTGTTGTATTGTATTAATGTTCGTTTATTTGTTACATGTATATTTGTTGTATTGTAATGTAATTTTTGTAATTGTATGCTGGTCCTCGTTGGCGTTTTTATGCTATAAATTTACTTACATACTTAGTTGTGGACGCGGGATATTAGGTAAAGGGGGTAGGGGTCTCAACGCCGAGAAATTTGTTAATAAACGGGGGTGTCTGTAGTGATTTGTGGATGATGTCTGGTTCCGAATATAACATTCAATCCCCTTTCCCGCATCACCCTAACCGACGAGAAGATCAAATTTGCACGTTTCATAGAAACAGATTAATAAATGGATTATTCATACTTTTATTCGTAGTACCCGCGCATGCAGTTAGCCACTGACAATCAAACCTAGTGACTAACATATGATACTGGATCTACAAGTAGGCCTATAAATTATATTTTCCTAACTGTCTTGGATGGAATTTAATAGAACACAATATTTTAATATCGCATAGCAAAGAGAGAAAATATTTGAATTGATCATAGACTATAAATGTTTTTGACACCGAATCATTTTTAATTCCCAATTTTGGATTGTTTGCATCTTTTTACAATGCAGTAGGCTATATAGCCCAGCATAAATTCACCACTTGTCCAATTAGTGTCGTGATGGGGCTGGATTGTTTAAGTCTCGGAAGGCCTAGTCAGTTTCACCTCCCGTGGTGTTCACAATCTTTGGCGGTGTATACTGTACCCCATCTTTATTAACAAAATATATATTTAGCTAATCAGTATTGAAATTCATAATAATCATTCCCAATGTGGTATTTTGTGTTCTAGTCTATTTTTGTTACATTATTGTTATTTTATTAATAATAAATGGCCTATTCAATTTCATATCGTCTGCTGTTATATTTGTCTACTAAGTAAGACACTCACAGGGGGGGCATACTTGTCTGTCGTCATGTCACGGTTAAAATGGCTTCCATTCCAATACCAACGATAGCTAGTAAAATCATTGTTGCATTGCCAGAACCAAAATGCTTTGATCACTTTAAAGCACAATTTGATCTTTGAAAGTGGAGGCTGATCCAGAACCATGATCTTTCTTCATTCTTTGTCAGTATTTGCCAAATCAAGACATCTAACAGACATTTTTTTTTATGAATCTTGATTCTTGAAATTGAAATTCTGCATTGTCGTTACCTGAAACCAGGGGCGTTTTAAGATTTATCATGGCGGAGGCTATACTATTTTGAGGGCCCTCTTTCGTGGGGGGGGGGTCTCTGCCACCGGCCACCGGAGGTCGAGAAATTTTGCAAAATAGAAAACATTTTGGTGCATTCTGACATATCCTCCAGTATCAGTGTATAGAAAACGATTGACTCGGACTCAGGGGCCCTTTCCTTTGACCAGAGGGGCCCTTTTGTCAGATGCGGGACCCTCTTGTCTGCCTTTAGGGCCCTCCCTAACCAGGGCACATTTTCATTTTTCTCATCGGTTTTAGCATTTTTCTCCTGTTTTATTTTTTAAACTTCTTTGATTTTTTTTTGCAAGGAGGCTGGCGCCTCAGCTATAAAACGCTTTTGCCTGGAACTCAAAAATGTTGCGTACAGAATGTTTCATTTAAGGTCTAATGATTAAATGTTGATCAATGCAAAACTAGATGTTACTTTCATTCCCTGAAAGGCATATTAAGAAGAAATGTTCCGGGCCCGTGAAGAAAGCACAATATTGCCTTTAACCTTAATTAGCCAGCCAACCAAATGTCTTTCAAAAGAATGAACAGTATTTTCTGTTTGTCTTATTCTCAGTGAAATTGACACATTTTTGAAAATTTTCACCAAGAAAGGATCTGTTTGTATATGTGATAACCAAATATTATTATTTTTACTGTCAAATTTGAATTTATGACGCTTTTGAGTTAAACGTTTTAAATATACGTGGCTTCAAAGAAAGGCACCATCGTTTCTGAACGATTATCTTCAACTGATTGTTTAATTTAGTGAAAGCTCCGCGCATACTATGTTTAAGTGCGGAGTTGATTGTCAATATAAATGAATAATACAAAAGGAAAACATCGAGACAATAGATCAGGTGTTACACGATATAAACGTATATTGATTGTGTTCTGGTCGTGGAAACTTCCCGGATCTTTTCTTGAGATTAAAAAGGTTTTCTATTGATTTCTAAAATCAGCTCGGGAAAAATCATGAAGAGATATTTACACGAGAAGCGAGCTTGTTTAGATCCGGACATCAGGGGCTCTTGAAAAGATTGAATAGTGCTTTCTTCCATTGATTGCATGTATTCACAATTCGTGCCATTGTTTACCTCGTTTCTATGGTACCAACAGGTAAAAAACCCCGCTTACATCAATAACAAATTTACGATCGAATCTGAACAAGTAAATCCCCTTTGTTTAAAACCAGTCTATTTGTGTACCGTGTAACTTGGTCCACTGTAGTTAAGAGACGGATTAATTGACGTTTAATAAAATTGATTACACAAGTCAGAGGCAATTATCTTAATATTATCATTCCCTTATTATGGTTTTGTGTGCTATCCAGAAGTGCTATTAAATATGAACGGCGCCGTATGAATGAAAACACAGTTTTCAAATATTTGTTATAACAGTATGATTTCTATAGCAATGTATCGTGTGATATTATGTTATAATTAAAAGCAATGTTTTATCCTTTATGAAAAGCGTGGAATCATTTGGAATTCCATTTAATGATTTTCAGATAAAATCTAATAAATTACCTACTCCGTCTATTTCCTAGTATATTATATAAGCCGCTTTACTTTCACGCCAACGTGTACAAAGGACCTCGTTTGTTTTTTGTTCCATCCCAACGACATACTGGCAAGTAAAGGGGGAACCATGCTGGAAGTTCGAGGTACTTACTCGGCCAACACCGGAGACGAACGCGGCACCTTCTGGTTAATGAGCCAGTGCTGGAACACCCTGGCTCGATACATTGTAAAAAAAAGACGATTATACTGGATGGAGAACAAGACAAGTGGACACGTTCTGGTATTTGGAAAGAGGTTTCAGTAATAGTAGTAGTGGTGGCATCACGAAAGAAATAAACATCAGAATCGGGAAAGCAAGAAATCTTGGAAACTTCTAGAGGTCAAGAGATATAGCTAATGAAACGGAAATCAAAATCCACAAAAGCAACGAAAACCCAGCATTTATACGACATAAATGAAATGAAATGAAATGGGTTTTAACGTCCTGTAGTTCTATACCGACTGGGCTAATGAAGACGTCTCACTCACTGAGCCACGGTGGCTTCTGTATACGACAGAGACTTGGAAAAAGCAATAGAGAGATGGAAAGTAGGACGAAAATGTTTGAACGTATAGATGTTTCAGAATGATACTAGGTGTGAGCTGGGCAGATCGTGTTAGTAACGTAGAAGTGTCAGTCTGAACTGGGTGGAGATATGTTGGACATGTTCTGAGACCAGATGAAAGTAACCCGGAAGTCAGAAAGCTGGCAGACCGAAAGGGTACATCGATTGGAATGATAGCTAGTGTGATGAAAGACATTGGTTACACCTGGAATAGAATAAGTCATGCAGATTACAAAGAAAATGATTTGGTAAAAACTGCGAAGGCCAATGGTCACCCATACACAAAACGTAGAATGAATGAAAAGTAGACCTAAGATTAATACGTAAAAAAGTACAAAGATAGGCATTAAAACACCAATTCAAAGATTTATACTAATAATAATTTGTTAGTTTGTTGATTAGCTTTCTAGCAGAGATTTTCATAAAGTGAAGCAACATGATAACCCGATTCTCGACTGATATAAAATAGGTTCCATGTGAAAACTGGAATCAAAACATTTTATAACTCATGCCTTTTCCCCCGATTACACGCGGAAAAGTGCTAGAAAAAAGAGACATAGACAAACGTTGGTATTTTGTTTAAGCCGTGAGACATTTGATATCGAAGCGAAAACTACAAATGACCTATCGTTACTTTAAAATTTAGTGGTATTTATTTTATTTACAGAACTCGCTAAATTCCAGATTTTAATGAAGACCCCTCCTCACCTCCCAACCAACAAAAAAAACAACCTTAACAAACCCTAAATAGAAATCCTCTAGAAAAATACTGAGGTATGCTATTGGGTTTATTGTTAAATGTTAGTCTGCGCTATACAGAGGCTAAGTGAGAGGGACGCAATCACGAGTTTTGCGTCATGGTTTTGAGTTTTTGTGCCCCCTCGCAAATGAGAAAAAATCACGCGGTTTCAGTGCAGTTTTAAACACTATAATTATAATCATATATACCGTGGGTCAGATATGCTACAATAGGCTACAAATCGACTCTAGCATGTTCCACACAGCCCAATATTACCCCGACGCCCCTATCCCTCACCCGCATATAAATATTGTTTTTTGGGGGGCACGGACGGGATCTTGCTCGTTTATGAAAAATCATGGGACCATGCCCCTGGCGCTATATTGTTACCGCATTTAATACAACTGTTCGTACAAGTATGTCAATAACTTAAATATTTTATGTTTCGCGGTGCTTTCAGATAATCAATAAAATTCAATGATACTAAATGGTAAGCGTGCGCGCGCTGTATCATAAAGTCTGTCATGGAGTCGACTGGCGTGGTTTCGAATCCCCGGTTGTACGTGGCAAGGAGTAGGGTCGCCTGTCCAACCTCGTGGGTTTTCTCCGGGTCCTCCGGTTTCCTCCCACTGCTAAAGAACCCTACGCGCATGCGAATTATGTAATTAAATTAAACCATATGTTAGTCCCGAAATGACCTAGTTTGTGTCGAGTGGACGTTAAACCCCATTTCTCTCTCTCTGAAGCATGTAAGGGGGTCAAACCACTATAGCAGTCACTTCGTTGCTACCGCCACTATAGCAGTCACTTCGTTGCTACCCCCAGATTCTTACACATGTTACCACTGTCTATGCTTCAAAACGAGCAAGATTAAATCGAATTTCTGGCATGTTTTGTTATTGCGCCGAGTTATAATAATAAATGTATATAGCGCTTCTTCTTCTGGATCCCTACTCAAATGCGCCAATTGTTTAGTTTGGATTTGAAACCGATGGTGTCCCCGATTTGTTTTATCGCCAGAGGAAAGTCATTCCACAATTCGGCTGCAGACATCTTGAACCGTTTGTCACCATTGGGTGTGCTGGATATTGTCTACCTACTCTACTGGGGTACTGTGCGGCGACTATGCCGTAGACTGACTTGTGTAGGCCTATTGGTATCTGGATCAAATGGGGAGCCAATGTAAATTCTTCAGGACTGGTGAAATATGAGATTAATACCCTTTACTTCACCATCAGTACTGCAAGAACATTCACAACTAAACAGTAAGAATATGTTTCGGCGGTGCTTCCGGAAAAAAAATGTCCTTTTTCCCAAATATTTCACGAAACTAACAGGGAAAAACGACTGCTTATAATAGCTTAAAGTATTATCGCATTAGTAGCTGTAAAGTGTGTACCAGATGTAGACCAAGTTATGTTCCCAGACAATGCTCTGTTGGTGTTATTCCAGATTCTGGTCTGAAATATTAGAATTCTATCTACATGACAGTATCGCGGATGGTATTTCCGCGAATCCTATAAAACTGGATGTTTGAGTTAATGGATACAGGAGAACCAGCATAAATTGTCAGCGATACAAATCTCTGCGAAAACAAGGTCCATCTTTTCAGTCACAGCGTACGGGTTAACTTTCACTTGGTCTCATTTTTCTGCGAATGTATACCTTTTAGTATTAACGAGAGATCTTGTAGTTCTTACCATTATCGCATCTATGGCGAAATGATGAGAGTGGGTCAAAGTAGGACAAATGTCCCGGGCCCCAACACATTAAGGGGCACATATTGCGTTGTTTGACTAAATACCGTATTTAGCTTACACGGTAGTAGATCTATATTTTGAAATTATGTTGACAAACTTGAGATCAATGTTATATCCAGCTTCATCGATCTCTTATGTATTAATAAAAAAATCAAGTTAACTTGTTTTCGAGCCAACATTTAGCACTGATTTCTGACATTAAAATTCTTTTGACGTTGCTGACGTCAGAAACAGTCAATGAGAAATAATGTCTTCGTACGTCTTCAGTAACGTCATCATGATTACTATTCGCGTGTGTATTTCGAATGGATAAGATGTTTCCAACACGCATGTTTTGATATTTTTATTTGCTAGAATTATACGGAATTCGAAAGTTTTCTGAAATGACCTCGGCCTTTAGATACAGTAATACTATACAGTCCTAATCATTATTCTATCAACACAGTTCGTATTTTGAAAACTGATATTAAATGAAAGCTGTTTAATGACGGTATTCCATCGATTTGTATTCAATTGCCATTACAAATATAGAAAAGCTAATATACATCAAATAATATATTAAAACTTAAAGATCAGCTATAAAACTCAGCTTTCAAAAGAGACACTTAAAGATGCCTTCCTGCGTACAATTTGTGTGATTTGATGATATATTTGGACTGAAAACATATTCAAACTAATTTATTTAAGAATAGTTTTCTGCGAATCCCTTATAATCGGAAGGAAAGTATCCCAATCTATTATAAGCAATCCTGTTTGCCATGCGACTTGAATGGGGAACAATTCATTTACGGCTAGCATTTGTCGTTAGTCGCTGTCCCAAACTGATCAGCAGTAAATATTCGCTTGGCCGCTATATACCATCACTGAGAAGGACGACATCGGGCGAGTTAATTAGCTATCAAAATTATCATTTTTTTTCTTCTGCAAATTAAATTCTAAAATATTTTTTTAAATTAGTAAGAAAAAGAAATAAAGGCGTCGGTTATCTGAATAAAAATATTTCCTTCTTATTGTGAATGGGTACATAAACAAACTACTACACGAATACGTAAAATGAGTAAAAGGCACAAGTTCTGCCCGGACCAGTTTGTCATACATCTGATTTAAACGTGTTATCGATGCCGTATGCTGTGGTGTCACGCGTAGACCTATACTGCGCATGCACGTAAAGCTCAGACATCTTGCACAGAGTTAAAGAAGCTGTGAAATAGATAGTCGCTGTCCATTTACCATAAATATCGAAGCGTTGGATTATCCTCTGGCAACTTCTTTTCCGCCGTTTAGTCTACTGGACGTTTAATTCTCTCAATGTTCTCACAACCGGTAGCCATTAGATCATCACATAAGAGATGCCCCTCACTCGAGGATACAGACTGTCAGTTAGCGACCCCCTTACATTTTTGTTCTGTGGGCGCCTCATGTTTTTTGGGGTTTTTTTTGTTTTTTTTAGGGAATCCATTATTTTTCTAGTAAGGTTGGGTGTCTCTACTTTTCATATATATACCAAAATTACTATATTTTCATTGGAAATAACAACCGTTTAAATACTTCCGAGGAATGTATCTTTAAAAGGAAAGTCTTTGAATCTCCTTAAACTAATTTTAAAGCACAGACTTTACTTCTGTAGTGCTGGATCAGTTCACTAATCAGTAGGTCACGTGTCCGATCCAAGTTTAGGTCGAGAAATTTCCTCATGATTATTCAGCCAAGCTTTCCCTTGTCAGTGGTGCGAGACGCAGAAGACTTGCCAATGGAAAACGTATAGTCGTTTGAAATCGAGGTCTTGTGTTAACTAATGGTAGCACGTTAACGACAACGGCCATTGATTCAAGACGTAGGGTGTGTGTACGCGGGACCTCGGTTTTTCGTCCCATCCGAACGACTAGACAGCTGTCCTTGTCAGGCCCTCCATCCTGCATCACTGACAAGGGGAAAACACGCCGGAAAATCTGGATGAACTTTCTCGGCCAATGCAGGGATCGAACACGTGACCTCCAGGCTAGCGAGACAGCGTCTTAGCCACTTAGCCACGTGATCCCCCGTTTCTCAGAGAAATAAAATACTAATAATTGTTTAACATTAACATTTTTCATATTGTTTTTACTTGTAGGATACAATGTGTACAATATGTTATTGTGTCTTTAAATTGTCAATACATGGCGGGTCTTATTTTATCATAAATATGGAGTAAAACTATACACATGAAGCGGTGGTATAGTTTTCTTGAAATGTCCATTAAACAAAATTATCTTCCAAATTATAAAAGATGAACTAATCTTACCTGATTTTACAACTGTTAAAATGGCTACCTGCAAAGAGAGTAGAAAAGAAATATAGATTTAATGTTTTATTCAATTCAGATTAGTCCAGGGTCATGATATATAATTAATAATGCATTCAGTAAATATATAAGCCAGGAATTTTTGTTTTAAAAAAAATAAGACACGGCTATATAAACAATAAAATTTCCACAGTGACTTCTTGATTTTTATTTCGTTTGGTATATAAATTCTATTTGTATACAATTCCTTCTCGAGTTCAAATTAAATTAAACTTTCTTTTGTAATTCTGCATGCCTTGATTGGCTAAAAAGCTATATTTTAATAGCTTTTAGCCAATCAAAGCATGCAGAATTGCAAAATCCTTTCTTTTGATAGTAATCAATGTCTTACTTGATATACATGTCTGGGTCTACTGGCATGTGAGGAGCATAACAGAACTAAAAAATATCCGTGTTAACCACATCCCATTGAAGTAATCATTATTACTATTTCAAATTTTAATCTATTTTTCATGTATTTATTCTTAATCGCGATTTTAGATTATATTGTACTGATCTACATATATTTATATACATGTATAGATTAATCATTTATAAATATAATTCATGTAGTTTATATTGCGTTCAAGTTCTTAAGGAATGATCCACATTAGTCGAAAACGCATCTCATATGTTTCATCAAGATTTATTGCATATTTCAAAAAACAACTGGTAAAATTAGAGAAAACATTGTGAAAGTCACCGCGACTTAAAAACTTATTTCTAACCAAAGAAGTTAAAGATATAAGATAGTATAGTTTTATAAATTAGGATAATAAGTACTTACTATTAGTAGAAATACCGGTTGAAATATATTAAAATCCATCAGTGCATTATCTAGGTTGTATCTTCCACGGTCTCGGCACTGACTTCTGTTTCACTGAAATTACCAATTCCATGGGGGTCTGGTGCTGTTTATACAAAGTTACCGCTGATTGGATGAGTCCCGTGTCCCATGGCAATGTCAGGTTGACGCATGACGATCTAAACTATTGTTTAAGGACGCGTTTTACCTTTTGTTTAACATATTGATATAATTTCTCACCGATATTCTTCATCGGACCATAACATTAATGTCAAACGATTTTATCTAACACAAAAAGCGTTTTATTGTTTATAAAATATTACTTAACATAAAAGTGAAGAACTTTTCATTGATTTCGCCCTCTACAAATATTTATGTCTTTAAACTATATTTAAAGGCGAGATGGGATCAATCATTTCTTCATTTTATTTAGAATTATTAAGGTCTATTATAAACAAGAATAATATCACATTTCAATACTCATTTCTTATTGAAGGGAATCACCAAGGTAATATTGGCTTGGTTCTACTTTCTGAATACTGATTTCCGCCGCTTTCTTGTTATGTTTCAGTATTGAATAGGCTTTATCAATACTTTTGTCATAAAAGACCTTAGACCGATAAAAGCATTAAAGAAACATTATACAGAACTATAAAGTATCGATCTCTAAAAAAATAATTAATATTATTTAACATGAATTGTTCTGAATCAATGATTTCTACATTATTTGGGATTTTAATCACATGTGTAATTATTGTTGTCAGTTCTTATAGTACTGAAATATGTGTAATTATTGTCGTCAGTTCTAATAATACTGAAATATTATTAGGTATAACTATTACATTAATTGATACAGGGCAAAACTTTTGCACAGCAAAGATGGCTATAATCCCTTGATTTCGTGAATCCATCGAATTATATACCTTGGGTGTTGCTTTTCAACAGTTAAACTTGTTCAAATTCAAGTATACGTGTGGTTTTGTTATAAGAACGAAGACTCCCTAGTCGAAAGGAAATTTATGATAATTGAGGGAATAAAAAAGATGGAAATCCCGAATCTCTACATCAGCATTATCTCCACTTTATACAATTAGGTCGCTTTGTGACGTTTCTTTTGATCAATCCAGTTCTTCCCATAATTAATCAAATAACAACCTTTGGAAGTTATTTTTAAAAAAAAAACCCAAACAAAACAACGTTTTAACAATAAGAAAAACGGTTAACGATCGACAGATGTTTGTATATTGTGTCCTGTCCGTAGGTTTGACTTGTGTAATTGTTTGTGTGTGGTGCGCCCCCCCCCCCCCCCGGCACTCACTAATATAGTATACTCTGTACAAAATCAAAATACTATAGAAACACACGATCGAAAGTTAAATATGATTCAGGTAAAAAGGCCGATTTAATAAATTTATTCCGACGCATTTGCTGTTTAGGCGACGTTGCATAAATGAGAACAATTGCTGTCTTAAAAATCTCTTTATCTTTTATGAGTCTTATTAAATAAATGTTTTATTAAGTCTACGGGAAATCCTGTTATTACAAAATATATTGAATAGAATTTTGTAGGCACGTCTCATATTTCCATATCCATTTTCAGAGATAGTGATAGAATGATAGAATGAAAAATAACAACCATTGTATTATTAATAAATTGTGTATTGTATCGTTGTAATCCTAATGCAAAAATATTGATTGCTTAAAACAATTAACAACCCATTGATTTTTACAAAGACAAAAAATAAGTATAACAGTGCCACAATAGAATTTCAGAGTAACGACACTCTAGTATTAAACTTGAAATTTATTGTTATTTAATAGTGTTCGGATATTCGAACAAGAATACTATTCGAATATTCGACGTGTCTTGAAATTTGTATTCGAATAGTATTCGAATACTATTCGAATATTTTTCAAATCTTAATATAAATATATTTAAAGTGGTTTATATTCAATTTATTATAATTTCTAATTAATTATGAAATACGTGAAATTTCTGGTGACATGTGAACAATACACAAGATTATATTTTAGCAATTGCCAGTGTATCTTTTACGTAAACTGCCAATCTGTACACAAGACCTCGGTCGTCCATGGCATCGCAACAAATAGACGCGGACCTCAACTACACTCCAGTCATCTGCCATCTCCGTCAGGTGCTCTTTTAGTTTATCCGAGGTATGTGAACCTGGACATGATTTCACTTCCAGAGTCTTAGCCACCATCTCCCAATCTGGTGATACAAAATGAGCGGTTAAATTAATGCAAGACTCATTTTGTTCATCTGATGTCCATACATCTGTGGTTACAGCGGCTATCTTCTGACTTGGGTCATTCCTGATTTGACGTTCGTCGGAACGAACGGCATCATAGATTTCTTCCATTCTTTTTTTTAATGTTTTACTTGACGGCAAATTGTGTGATGGATTCGGGGCTTCTACCAATTCCCGAAAATGGTCATTGTGAATAAGAGAGAGAGGGGCTGATAATGCTTGGCTACAAACTTGATCAGTTTCTCAAACTTGATCAGTGATTTTTTTTGCTGCGCTGAATCTTACTTGCTGTTGCCTGAAGACCTGTGTGTAGAACTGTTTAATTGGCGGAATCTTGCCTGATCCCGCGTCCCGTGCAGGGGAAGTATCTGGAGCTACGTAGCCATGTTTCAACTTCAAGTGGTCCCAAAAATTAGCCTTGATGTGATATTAGTCAAGACCATTGAGGTATATATATTGTCAATATATACACCTCTATGGTCAAGACAGCCAACTCCATCGCGGAACTAACTGGCTAACCAAAGTAGGTAACATGCTACATACAGAATAACTGTCTCTGAAGACGGTAGATCTATGTAGGGGTAGCACCCTTACAAGCTGCGGTAAGGTAATCTAAGTAAGCTTTGAATGTAAATGTGGCAAGGGAAGTCGCCTTTAATAAAATTTGAGAGCAAATAGAATAAATAATAGATATTCGAAAATATTCGAATATGGTAATTGCTATTCGAATATTCGAATATTATATTCGACGAGCGAATATTCGAATATTATATTCGACGAGCGAATATTCGAATATTCGAATATTCGTGCCGAACACTATTATTTAAGTATATCTATTAAATAAAACTACATAGAAATATTTTCTAGAGGGAATTTAAAAAAAAAAACAAACAAACCCACTCAATCATATTTGATTTAGGTACAAATGAGTTGTGAACTGAGTTTATCTGTGTGCTATAGCCATTAGGGATAAAACAAACCCTAAAAGTTATTGTAAATGTAGACATCTAAGCCACGGCTTTTATTTATTTCTTTTTCAATCAGAAGGTCTTGACTTTTAAATAATTAAAATGGTAGTGAGAACACACATCGATACCTCAAATTGCCTAAATTCAGAGATATTTTTAATGTATAATATTTGATAGTTTTAAATTTTATTCATGATTTTTTTAAACACGAAATTGTATTAAAATACAATTAATGTCTTTAAGAAATATCACTATATATTTGTTTATTACAAAACCGGTATATCCATACAATAATGCTGAATAGCATTAATATCTTAATTAGTAGTTGTATTTACGTTTAATTATATTGCCAGCGTGTACTTATAACAAACGGTTTAATTGGCACATATTCTGTGGACTTTTAAATACAAGCCATTAATCATTGTACTTGCGTGCCAAACTGTTTTGTCAAGGTGCGAAAAGAAAAATATTTCGCGCTGTAATTAGCTTATACTTTTTTTTTATCTGTGGCCGGCGGCTAAAAGGGGTTGTTATGATTACCTGGTCTTACTTTAGTTTAATATCGTTCTATCAAGATTAGAAATAATAGATGGTATTGTTTGTTGTCAAACTAATCCGCTTTATATATGACCGAGGAGAGAGAAAATATCAGAATGACGCAGTAAATGTGAAGTTGTTATTCTTACACTGTTTCATCTAATCATCGATTTGTTCTGTTGTTCCACTGACGATTTCCTTTATTCCGAGTTAACCTGGCGTCACACAATAAAACCCGATTGCCTGCCATGACAGACTTTGTCATAGCAATCAATACTAGGGTATTGTCTTGACAATTGACTTCGGGGGATCTATAGTCCGACATATTGCAATGAGGCAGTTACCTGTGTAGTATGGTTTAACTAATAGAAAATGTATAAATAGTCGATAATGTATATGTTGTCAGAATTCTAAGACAAGGTGAAAAAAAAGCCAAACGCTGTTTTAAAGGAGCTAAACCTCTGAAGTAATGAATTGGGTTGATCCAATAGGTTTGTTAAATGATTTTTGGAAATTTAGATTGTTCACAAAATTTTGTCTTGGCTTAAACAACGTCCCCCCCTCCCCCCCCCCCCCCATTTCGTTGAAGGGAGTCTTTGGTTGTCTAGAATCTGATACAGTGTTGGATCGTCATAGTCCGATTGGGTTTGTTACATAATTCCCATCCGTCGGCTTTTCGGGTAAAAATCGAGGAATAAGCTTTATTTTGAAGGTTTTAATGTTTAATGATAAAAAACCAATGTTGACTTTTTTTTCTAAGTAGGTCTTCATAGTATGAGAGGCCATTATTTGAGGGTAGCCATTTTGCGATAATGTTTCAACTTAATTTATTTTTATTTTTTACCTTATTTATAATGTTATCGACATATAAACTGTGATTTGGCAATGTAATAATGTTGGCAGGGGTCGTGACAATATTTCAGATTCTTTTCGATCACTTCATGAAAATATTTCCAAGATGGCGGACATTTTTGGTGGGAAAATAGGACGATGTGCTTATTTCGATTAAGTAGTAGTGTTTGGTGTCAATACATATGTTTTCAGGGGCACAGATTCAATTTCTGCCAGTTACAGCTGTGTAAAATGATCACATGTAGACCAATTTTGCATGTTTCCAAGATGGTGGACATTTTTGGCGGGAAAATGGGACGATATGCTGATATTGATTAAGTGATCGTCTCTGGTGTCAATATATATCTTTTCAGGGGCACAGATTCCATTTCTCCCAGTTAAAACTGCGTTAAATGATCACATGTTCATTTATTTTGCATATTTCCAAGATGGTGGCCATTATTGGCAGGAAAATGGGACGGTGTTCTGATATTGATTAAGTAGTCGTCGTTGGTGTAAATATATCTGTTTTCGTGTCGCAGATTCCATTTCTGCCGTTTACATGTTCACATATTTAGCATATTTCTAATAAAGCTGCCATTTATAGCGGGAAAATGGGACGATGTGCTAATTTTGATTAAGTAGTCGTCTTTGGTGTCAATATGTTTTCTGGATGCAGATTCGATTTCTGCCATTAACAACTACGTGAAGTGATGGTATGCCGTGTTTTACCCATAAGGTATATTATCCAACGATGAAAAATCCTCTTCCGAGTTGACCATTGAGCTAATATCGATTTTCGAGGGAAAAGGTGCATTTACTTGGTCGATTAGTCTGATTTTAAGACTTGGCGCCGTTGAGACTTTCAGTTTATGTTGTTTGTCAGTTATAAATACAAAATTAAGGATGGTTAAAAATGTGAGATTTACAAATTTTGAAAAGATAATTAATAAATTAAAAAGTAGGACAGAAATGTAGCGGCATACAAGGACTGCAAATGAAAAAATAACACTTGCTATAAAAAAAAACTTCGTGGCATAGATTATATTATCAACTGACATAAAGCTGCGTGTGGAAGGAGTCGTTCAAAGAAATGCTGTTGCAAACAAGCAATATCACCAATTAAAAGACGACGTAACCATTCATCTATGACATCACTGCCACCACCATTGAAAGAACTGGTGGCAGTGATGTAAAAGTAGCCGTCTACTTCGTTGTTTAAGTGTTGACATACTTTATGTTTCCAACGCAACAGCATTCCACATGCTCGTTCCACATTCAGCTTGGAAATCAGTTGATACCATAATCTATGTCACGAGGGCTTCTTAACAAGTATTTCATTTACAGTCACGCCCCAAATACCTTTTACCACGTTGCCACCAGACAGGAACGAAGCTCCTAGCAACATGCTCGCTTCGCTCTTACGTTTTGCATATATAGGGAAGGTGCTGAGCCTCGTCCATCAATTCCAGTCTAGCATCCTAAGAGGAAACATCAAGAAACTAAAAATGTTTCTTGGTTGCTTGACGTTTGGTTGTTCTCTGCTTTGAATGTGAATGAGGACGGAGTGAGCATGGCGCAGTCACTATCGGTGCGCCCAAAAAGCGGGTTACGCTTAGTAGGGAGTGTGGAGAGAACGTATCCCAGTCTGACTGCTAAAAGCGAGAGCATGGTGCGAACAGGGTGCGCGTAGCCAGAGCTTGAACATAAGTGTATAAAGATCTTGAGCGCGTTGGGCGTAGAAAGCGCTTGGTGTGGTCGTGGCAGGAGCATAATGGGCTAGTGTCAATGCGGCGCAAGCTCCACGCTGCCGTTACGCTCTCTTCATGCCAGGAGACCTAGTGAATAGCCTTTTATTTCCCAGGAAATTCCATATCAGCTCAGTGGTCATCTCGAATCATTAATTTTCATTGTTAGATAATATACCAAATGGCCCCGACACGGTACCGGCTTTTAGGAATGTGCTACAAGCTAATAGCCTACGTAGTAGAATTGGATGCAGAAACACGTAAATAACAACAACACGTAAATATATGATAATAATACGTTTAGACAACGTTCTGCCGACTTGCCGTACATGGTCTGTAGTGCATTCAGACCAAAGTAATGGGGGGCTAAACCTCAGTAGGTAGCCACGTTGACTACCACGTTGACTTGCTAATATGCTAAATTGGTCATTGATCATTTTACGCAGTTGTATATGGCAGAAATCGAATCTGCGCCACCGAAAACATATATATTGACACCAAAGACAACTACTTAAACAAAATCAGCAAATCGTTCGATTTTTCCGCCACATGTGGCAGCAATATATATTGATACCAAACACTACTCTGGAAATATCTTCATGAAATGATGGAAAAAAATCTGAAACATAGTCATGACCCCTGTGAATACTAATACAGTGCCAAATCACAGTTGATATATCGACAACATTATAAATAGGTGGAATATATAAATAAATAAGTTGGAATATTATCGAAAATGGCTACCCTCAGACAATGACCTCCCATACCACGAATACCTACCCAGAATAAATGTCAACATTGTTTTTTTTTTTTGTCATTAAACATCGAAACCTTCAAAATAAAGCTTATTCCACGATTTCTACCCGATAAAACGACGGATTTACATTAAGGATCGGACTATCAGCCCAGGGAATTTGCCATTTATCATATTTTCAATATAAAACCATAAAGTTCGACAACTGCAATCATTTTGTAATATCGTTTTAGTCATTAGGTTCCCTTTTTATACGAATCTATTAGTCAATTTCAATGTTAAAGCGGCATTATGGAAGATTAGATAAAGAGCTGACAGTTCTCGCTATAATTGTTTTTAAAAAAAGATAATGTAAAGGGAAACCTACTTCACTATGACTATGAGCCGAGAAATCCTCATTTTAATAACATTGTAGCCTCGATTGTCATAGTTACCGTTGTTACGATAATAAAGTCTCGATTATCCATTTTTACGGTTAGTCATCAACGGCCGTTTGACCCCTCAGATGGCATCGAGAGTTCATTATGGCCTTGTCATTTTATTAAATGTCTAATTAATAGTTTATATAACATTTAAGGTCTACAGAAAGACCTGCAATACGCAGATTTAGCTCAATAGACTATGTTTAATAGTTTGCCACGAACCAATAAGTCGTTATGAAATGAGTACGCTATGGTATGTATTAAGATGCATTAGCTGGCATTTTGACATAAGTGCACAGAAATGTGTAATATTTCGTCTCATACTGGCCAAATTGATACATAACATTATTTGAACAGAATATAAAACCTGCAGTGAAAAAAATTGAAATAATAACACAGTTTATTTTCTATTACTACATTTGTGTATCGTAAATTTGCAGTTACCATAATTCCCCCCAAAGCACATACAACAAATAGTTTTAAGATCATAAAATCAACGAGGGTTCATCTCTTCCATTTCAAGGTCATCCAGACTCCTCCCGACAGATAAAAAGCCAAATTGCACTAAAACTTTTTACCCAAGATTCTCATCAAGAAACTGCCACCAGATTATTCTGTTTTAGCAGTCTCTATCATACTGTCTGGTAACCATAGAAACTTCTGAGCGTACTCTATATTGATATCCTTAAACATACCCGAAGAGGCGTCATAAGGGAATTATAGTTACCACAAAGAAATTTAACACAATGTTTCAAGCGACTATATCTAATATATTATTTCAATGATATTTTTTTCAATTCTGTTCTGCTGCAACCTCCTTTTCTTTTCCACTTTTTTAGAAGGCGACGCTTTCGTCTTCAACATATTCTCTATATCTGATTTAAGATCTAAAGGATTGGTGTCTGGGTCATAACGTTTCATGACCACGCCTTGTCTATTGATAAGGAATGTTTCATAGTTCCAGTTGACATCACCAACACGTAATGGAGCATAGTATAGATCAGATTGGAAGGTGTTGGATGTCTGTGGACAGTATTTCTAAAAAAAAAAAAATAAATGGTTATTATATTTAGTAAGATTTTAGTATAGATTAGACAATAGTGTATATATTTTTGTATAATTTTTTTTTTATTTTGATCTTTTCTTTTATATTAAGATTCTTAGAAGACACATTCAAAGACAAAAGCCTATGGATAGGTTGGGTTAAGTTACTAAGCAATCTGATTTAAATACAGATCTATATTTCGTTTCGTTTTTTTTAACACTTTTGACGGCCTACACTACACGAAGATCTGACAAGTTGTACTCGAAGGCTTTTGACCGTATCAAATTTGATAGGAACCATTAATGTAGTTTATAAGAAGGATTTTTATTCAGAAGCAGAAGTCCAGAAGGCCACAGTAGGCGAAGATAGATATATAATTAATATTGATGTTTTAGACTATAAAAGAACAATATCTACCTTAAGATAAGTATATAATGGTTCTTCGTTGGCACCATTAACTTCTATCTTTGTAAACATCTGAAAATTAGGAACAAAACCTCCCCCTGGTCTCACATATTTGATTCCATTTAAGATCTCAGTGCCGTTATTTCCTGGTTCTAACTGGATATAAAAACAAAAATAAGCTCAGTAAGAACAGTATCTTGATCTCAGTGCCGTTATTTCCTGGTTCTAACTGGATATAAAAACAAAAATAAGCTTAGTAATGACAGTATCTTGATCTCAGTGCCGTTATTTCCTGGTTCTAACTGGATATAAAAACAAAAATAAGCTCAGTAAGAACAGTATCTTGAGGTGTCACGTGTATTGATGAAAACTGAAGTGTTGTAAGAATTGAATAAAATAACAATTTAGTAAGATTCTGCAATTGAGCATATTCTAATGATAATTTGGATTAAATATGGGAAAGTACAAAAACGTACTTACCAAATCAAACTGATTGCAAGGAAATCCCAAAACACTAAATCCCTGGGCCCCGTACATGGTCTGTAGTGCATTCAGACCAAAGTAATGGGGGGCTAAACCTCAGTAGGTAGCCACGTTGACTACCAAGACCACCTTTCCACTGTAGTTAGATAGGCTGATGTTCTTAATATTCATAATATCTGGTAGCGTATATGAGTATATATTCTCACTGGACGTAGGAGGCTGGTTACAATTAAATGAAGCACCTCTGCTTCCCTGTAGACCAACAACGGCCAACAGGAGAGCGGACACGACCGTATTCATCTTAACCACAGTTGTGCTACTGCAAAAGACACAACTTCTGCCTTCTTTTATATGTCGCCTTCACGTATCACGAGTATAAAAATGTTGTTTATATTTACGAGCCTCGTGGTTTAGGTTTATTTAGTCTAATGTTTGATACTGGTGTAATTAATCTGAGATAAACGCATCTATTTGTTTACTTAAAGATACTATAAATCCTTTATCACATGATATTCAATTATGCCATGTCATCATCTATTCAAAGTGGTCAAGGAGACAATAAAAGTACAACCCAATTTGCTGAATAAAGTACAAAAAAAACAATGTAGGAACGCAACAAAGTCACTCGAAAAATTTAATGACACTGTTAGCTGAAGATGAAAATTGAACTTTTCCCAGGTGAGATCAATGGTGAATCGAGGTGAAAACGTTAACTCTGACCAGTTAAGAGCAATGCCGTGTGGAGATGCAAATAAGCATTCTCCCAATGCCGTGTGGAGATGTAAACATTACTTCTTCCTATTGCAAGCAATGACGCGGGCAGATGAAAATATTAACTCTCCCGGCTGTGAGTAATGTTGAAAGGAAATGCAAAATAAGTCTGTCCCAGTTGACGCTTGAAGAGTAACTTATTCAGTAAATTTATGATTTTCAAGAAGACTTTTTATGTGTTGAATAGGCCAACGATTTGGAGAATAATAAAAGCATTATGGCCTCAAGGAACTAACTGTACCATATAAAAATAAACAGCTTGATCATCCACACTCGTCAACGACACAGGCGATGGCTCTACAAGATATTACCAAGATCCTAAATGTCAATGGCAAATTGGATGATGCGATCAACGTCGATTGTAGAAGTTGTTGTTCACATATATAAGTAGTCTCTTCGCCATTTTACAACCAGAATAAAGAATCAACAAAACGTTTATCGTGAAAATAAACAAGAATTTATTAATCCATTGCTTGGGGTAAAAGCAAATTACAGGTATTCATCAACATTTCTTGTTTCAGAATAGATGGCCAGTTCGTATCTCAAACCAGAAATCCCTAGGTAATCCCCTCTTTATATCATTACACGTTAGGTATTAAGAGTGGAATCCAAAGGTCAAGACATTAAATGGGTTTAACAGTCCACTTCTCTGCATCAACCAGGATAATTAATGAAGGCGTGCATATGTCATGAAGTGTGCTATGAGGAAAATTATGCCCAGACACCGGTACTGCGGTCAACTCTTATTTCGATTTCAAACTGTCAAAGGGTTATTCTGTGTGGACGCCAGCGTGTATACGAGACCTCGGCATTTCGTCCCATCGAATGAATAGCTACTCTTCCTTGCCAATCTTCTGTCCTGCACCACCGTCAAATAAAAACCATGTTTGGAAATCTCGGGGACCTTTCACGGCCCACATTAGGGTTGAACCCCAGATCTCCTTGTTAGTGAGCCAGCACCTTAATAACCGTCGTCTTCATTAGCCCAGTCGCTGCAGAACAACAGGGACCGGCTGCTCAAAACTAAGAAATTTTAACGATCCGTTAAAACTCTACGGGTTGTTATCTTGCTAACGTGTCGTTTGTTAACGGTCCGTTAAATTTCTTTTGCTAAAAGTCAATTTCATTATCCTTTAGCTAACGGAAAATAAAAGTTAGTCCAGGAGAAGACTGCTTGTTCATTGGCTGAATTGTAAATTTTTAAACTCAATGTACATGTATAACAACTTCATAGAAGTTAGTATTAACAAGAAACTGAAGACAGTGGGACAACTGTGCAGTCTGTTCACAAAAATATAACTGTAGAATTTACTGCAGAAAACATTATAAAAAAAACTATAGAATACTTTAGCATAAATCTGCAGGGAAAATCATGGGATTTACACTACAGAAACTGTAGCATATTTGAGGCCATTATTTCCTACACGCCCCCCAAATTTTGTAGAATATTATAGCATTTCATCTTATAGAAAATGGAATAGCCCCCCCCCCCCCCCATCGCCCAGCCCTCTAGAATGTTCTACAGAAAATTACACTGGTAATCTATGACCTTTTACTAAGGGTATACCTCGACTGACAGCCGACTAATGCCATCGTTAAACAGATAACCAACACCTCCGTTAAATATAACGGCAAGTTAACGCCATGTTAAAGTTAACGGGGCTTCTAGCAACAGACTTTCTCTCCATTAAAGTTAATGATCCGTTAACTCCATGTTAACGAGTCGTTAAAAGTTAACGGAGCTTTGAACCACAATTCCAGGACGTTAAACCCAATTTCTTTTTATTTCCTTACTAACCGAGCCACAGTAGGACAAGAAAAGGCGAGACCATCCATCTACAGCTCGGAAGAGAGGACCAAGTCTTCTATGGGTAAAGACGGGGAACAAAATAAAAATCTACGTATCAGTCAATTCATCCATATTCATCCATTTGTCGGTGATTAGTTGGACCCGGTGTATATTTTCCAGTTTATCAATCTCCCGGTTTCGACCGTAGACCTCCCCGTTCTCTGTAAACAAGGCTTTTATTGAAAGCGTTTGTATGTGAAACATTAATACATTTTGCCGAAACGCCACGCATTTAACTTCGCCCGCTCCCTCTAAAACCTGACGAATGCATTTAAAATATGTGAATAAAATGTTTTGATGATAATTATGGTCTAAGTAATGTTGATAAGGTAAAATGTCAGTATACTTTCTGGTGTTTTGTCTACGTCGAGAACCTTCAATGTCAGGTGACTGACTTTATTTAAGGAGGTTGTAATTATAAATATCTAGAATGTTACTAGATATGAAAGATAAATAATACAATAGATACAAAGTTGAAGTTTTATAACACTTAGTTCAAATTCTACGATATTGCGTTGACATTTCAAGTTACTAAGCTCTATTTTCAAGATATTAAGTTGAAATATTATTTTGTCAACATTTGCATACAATTTAACTTGAACAGGCACGATATCAACCCAACTAATTTTTTAGTCATCGACCAAGATCTCCAAGGCGCTAATGACTCTTGAAATCCTGGGTTTTTTTAAAAAAAATAATTCTGCGTTTTTATGATCTTGCCTTCAAAAGCAGCCATGGTAAGCGACCATTCCATGTGCACACTTGATTGCATTCACATACTATGACTTGGTTCTTTTAAAGGAGCCAAGTCTTTCTTTAACACAATATCACCCACAGTCGTCGACATTGCAAACACGACTTATTGGTCAATTTAAATCAACATTGGTGTTGTTATTTTACCGTGAAAAGTTGGGCTTCTGATATCCAATGTTTAAGACAAAATGAAATATTTTAAAATTGGCACACGAATCGATTGCCAGAATGCTTTCCGGCGCCATTTGAATGAACCGTCTCGATGAACGTGGCTAAATATATCTTTCGACACTTAGAGGACCATCGCGAATGGAGGTTCCTTGCTTTTGTCCCCGATGTTTTCCGCATAGACTCATTGGCTGCTGTACTGGTTGCGTTGGGTGATGTTGCCAGAGACCACATCCCATAGCATTTTTATTTGATTGTTACACCTTGGTTGTTGATTTCAAATATCAGATGATCACTAGTTCATTATGCCTAGTGTGCAAAAAGTTGGGTTAAAATGTAAAGACAGACCTGTCGCTCTTACAATTAATATTGGGACTCATACATACATCATACAGCACACATATGGGCGTATCCTGCAGGGCAACCGTTTGTCTAAAAATGATTTGTTGAAAGGGGGAGGGGTGATGATACACGCCTCCGTTTTAGATTGCCATGGTTTTCCGTCCACATGGTTGTTCAGCTTGGTTAAACGCGAACTATTGCTATTCGTTTGATTGCTAAATATCGTTAACACTAGGTGGCCCCAGTTATTATACCAAACTTGAATTATTTTTCAACTCGGCCAAAGGAAGAACCCCATATTGAATTTCGAAACGGGGCTACTTAAGGGGCCACGGTTATCTTTCGATCGATCTGAAATTTGAATATGTTGCTCAGTCTGATAATTGATTTAAACCAAGACCCATAACCAACACATTAAAATAAAATATTTTATTTTTCCAAATACATTTGGAAATCGCATGCAGTTTTCATAATTCCCTTTAAAGGGCCATAACAAATAGTTTTAAGGTCATAAAATCAACGAGGGTTCACCTCTGTCCATTTCAAGGTCATCCAGACTCCTTCCCGACAGATAAAAAGCCAAATGCACTAAAACTTTTTACCCAGGATTCTCATCAAGAAACCGCCACCAGATTATTCTGTTTTAGCAGTCTCTATCATACTGTCTGGTAACCATAGAAACTTCTGAGCGTACTCTATATTGATATATATCCTTAAACATACTCGAAGAGGCATCATAAAGGAATTATAATTACCGCAAAGAAACTCAGCACAATGTTTCAAAAGCGTCAATATCTAATATATTATTTCAGTGGGTATTTTATTTTCAGTTCTGTTCTGTTGCAACCTCCTTTTCTTTTCCAATTTTCTAGAAGGCGCCGCTTTCATCTTCAACATATTCTCTATATCTGATTTTAGATCTAAAGGATTGGTGTCTGAACTGTAACGTTTCATGACCACGCCTTGTCTATTGGCGAGGAATATTTCATAGTTCCACAGAACGTCACCAACGCGAATTGGGGCATAATGTAGTAGATCAGCCTCGAAGGTATTGGATGTCTGTGGACAGTATTTCTAAAAGATAAAAATACACATTCTTGAATACTTACTATTTTTTTTTTATAAACGATACAGACTGTATTGTGGTTCAATATTTTGTAGGTCAAAACCGAACAATAAAACTGTTAGCAACATTAAATGCCCCATAGACATGAAGATAGACACCACAGATATTCAAGAAACAGTAAATATCCTGGGGCCTGTTAAACGAAATTTTAACTCAGATAAAATCCAAATTTTAGTAATTTGATTGGATAATATTAGATTGACTTTAGTGCTTAGCCAATCAAAATTGAAGTATCTACTAAAATTGGATTTTATCTTTAGTTAAAATTTCGAGAAACAGGGCCCTGATATATAGAAACTCATAATG